CATATAGACGTAGTTGCTTCTAATGATATGCATACATGGATGTACGTTGGTATGACTGAAGAGGCTGCTGATATTGGTGTGAAGATTGATATTGTCGATGAGCTGCCATTCCACTGCTTCTTCCAAGAGTCATGGATCCACTGCTCCCAATACCATGGCCACCATAGCTTGCTATCCCACTACTGCCCCCACTTCCACCAGATGGGATAGACGACGTCCGTCGAATTTGTGAGGGTGATGGCACGATCGACGCGGAGGTTGATGAAGATGGTTGGACCAACATACTGGTGCTTGCACTATTGCTCATGCCACCATAACTACCGCGAGCATTCATTGTGTTGCTTCTGTTCAAGCCGCTAATATTGCTATTGCTGTTGAACACTGCGTTCCCAGATGCCACTCCCAATGATGAATGGCGCATCGGCGCCTCTAGCTTGTACGAATAGCCATCGTCATTCATCAACTGCGATGTTCTAAATCCACTAGAACCTGCACCAGAACCTGCGCCATACCCACCACTGGCGCCACTTATACTCGAACGTGGAGAGACATATACACGAGCATACTCGGAAGATGATGACGACGATGGAATTGGACCGGGTATACCGCCGGCACTACTACGGCTCGGTCCACGAATTCCGGAAGTCATGGGAGTCGGGATTGTGACATTGGATGTAGATGAATAAGGTCCGGAAGTACGCCTCGTAGATGGAATCAGAGTGGATGAAGATCTCCTTAGATTAACTGAGGATTGCACTCCGTCCGTCAATGTTTGGACTCCTCGCGGTCCAGCTCCCATCCCTATTCCTAATCCTGCACCCCCCATGGTCCCTGCAGTGGCTCCTGATCCTATATTGGTGGGTGCATAAAGGCTCGTTCTTTGACTCATAGTTGCTGATCCAGATGAAGCAGATCGAGCATGAAGCGATCCATTATTATTAGCACCATAAGATAATCCCGAACCCATGATTGGGAGTGCTGAAACATATCCTGATGTGGAACCATTGCTCGAATTATTTGACAAACGACGAATTGGCGATGACGTTGGCATGACTACACCTGCGACATTGGAAAGTGACCTTCTTGGTGTATTGCTACCCATGCCAATACCACTATTACCCATACTGCCAGGATTGCTGAATGTGTTGAAAGTACTGGATCGGGCTGTGGACATTGCTGTCAGTGGTGGTGAAATTCTAGGCGCCGGCATCAGGCTATGTCCATCCTTGCTCTGCCTTCTATAATGGTCAGAGGATCTTGTAGACGCAGATACCGGTGGTGAAAATCGCAATGAGCCAGCTCCTGATTTCGTTGTGGACGAGAAATAGTCCCGTGAGGGCGAAAGTGGGCCGTGGCGCGCGTGTTGCTGCTGCTGTTGGTAAGCACCGTTACTATGACCGCCGCTATTGATATTATTGCTAGTACTAGCAGGAAGTCGACTATATCGAATCTGGTAATCTTCGACAGAGTCAGGACTATCTCCATAGTTATTGCTATAGCCACGACCATAGACCTCCTCACGTGCCTGTTGTTGGACTCGTAATCGCTGCTGCTCCTTTTGAAATTCAGGCGATGACCGATGAACTGATGTTGGCTCTCTCATACTTTTGGACTGATATCGGCGTTGTGAAGGTTCATCCAAGTCCTCTTCCCAGTCATGAATACTACGCTCTGTAGTAGGCTGACGACTATGTAGCCCCCGCGGCATGGTAAACTGTTGCTCATCCCTTTCAGAGCGATAATAATCGTCATAATGATCTATTGGACTTGGCAATCTAGTCTCCCTTTGGGATTCCTGATCTGGTGATGAGAGACCACGACGATGTTGCACCGGAAGCATCGAAGGCGGTGAAAATCGAGCACTATTTCTTGTTGCTGCTCCAGGCGGCGTTTGTAGTTTTGACAGAGTCAATGACTGGAACGGCGCAGTCAATTCATCATCCTTGTTATCATCACCTCCGTCTTCTGGAGCGTCCGAATTAGTATATACGCTGCTCAAACCTGTCAAACTAAGTCGCTGAGAGCCTGCACCTGCCTGTCGAAGAGTACGTCCCGATAACGTGCCATAAGGATTAGAAGCAGTCGGAGTTGCAGGGCTCATCATCGATCCCGAACTGCTACTACCAGAGCGACCTAAACGGGTGCCTGACGCACGACCTAAGGACTGTGTTCCTGAAGGCTTCGACACTTCTGTTTCCTCATCCATGAGCTTCCTTGCTCGTTCTGGCTGTGCTACCTCTTGGTGCATCGCATAGTTGTTCAGGCTGGTTAGAGACTCTGGAAGGATATTGACAGACAAGGGTCTGGTGCTTCGGCGAGCTGGAGAAGCATCGGAGTACTGTGGAATCTGTGTTGCTACTGATTCTGGCTTTGGATTCTCTTCAGGGCCTCCCTGGTCCTTTTGCAGCTCCAATCCGTCGTCTTCTCCGTTGCTTTGAATTTTATCCTGATTGAACAAATCTAAAATTACCAGAATCAAAGGATGAACAGTTTATTAGTGGCCAAATCAATAGGAAGTATTGCACCTTCAAAAAAAAAAAAAAAAAAAAAAAAACTGCAGTCAATGAAACCTACCTTGATGTAAAGAGCGTCGTTTGCGCATAGCCAATCCTTGAGAGTTGCCAAGATCTGCTGGTTGTGATCCATCAAATGACCCTTTATGCTCTGATCGTCGAGTAGTACTCAATCCAATATTTTCTTCATCTTTGTCTTCCCCATGATCCATGTTTCGGGCCATGGGTTGAACCATCGAACGGCGCTCCAAAGGTGTCTTTATTGGCTTTGCCTCCTCGACTCGTTCTGAAGGAGGAATTGTGGGATCGAAGGCTAGATGAGGATTTTGGATTGATGAAGACCTGCGGATGCGATCACTGTTGGACTTGTGCTCCTGCTTCTGTTGAGTAGCATAATCTTTGTCCTGTGTCTGCTGCCTCGGCTGCTGAACATCTTGATCACTTTCCTGGCTCTGATCTTGGTGTTGTTGCTGTTCTGAATTCGAGAGAGCGCTCATTATAGTTGATGTTTTTGCAGCAGACATGAGTTTAGGTTTGGTATCTACAGGAGGTGATGTAGCAATAGACGAAATCGGGGAGGAATTTGTGGAATTCGGTATGGAGTGAGTGTTTGTAGGTGAAGATGATATAGAATCTTGCTTGCTCGGAGCAGGTGTCTTGGCAATTGTTGGGAGAGTGTCCATGGACATCTTCGCTAACGAAGTTTTGGCGATATCTTTGTAGTCTGCAAGGCTGAATGAAGGTAATTTTCTTGATCGGATCTTTGGCTCGTTCCAGAGAATTGGAAGCGGTTGTGGCGCAAACTTGTGTGGAGTCTTTATGGGATCTGCCACTTTTAGAGAATCAATAAAGCTCTTAAGAGCACGCTTGTATGCTTCATTACTCTCTTTGCGTTCACCTCCAGCGCCCTCATTGTTGTCCCGAACGTGCTTATAAACATCATCATCTGGCATAGTTGGTGCTGCGATAGTGTGCAAGCCTTGGAGCAAATTCTGGTTCGTGGCGGACTCTAATGGCGGAGGTGGTTGCTGAACGAGTGGTGCTTTGAGTGAGTTCAAGAACTCTTGGCTGAAAATCTCGTTCATTATTGGCTTTTTGGGCATGCTGTCAGGTAATGATGGATTATTAGATGGTGGAGGCCCAAAAGAGTTTTCTGATTGCATCCTGGACTGATCCCTGGCCTCATCCGCATTAAGCTCCTCCTTGAAGAGATCACAGCTCAAGTCAGATTCTATAGCAGGAAGATCCGAGTTAAATAAACATGTAAGTGAGATGTGCAATAGAAATTTGATTAATGATGGTCTCTTGAAATGGCCAAGGGAAAGATTGAAAAAGGATGCTCGTTATTGATAAAAAATAGCTTGGATGAAACCAATTGATATATATTTCCCTTTGCAACTGTAGGCTGTGGAATAGAAAGGGGCGTTTGCCGTCTATTGTGAAGAGCTACTTCTCCTTCTGCTTTTTTTTTTTTTTTTTTTTTTTTTTCCCCTTCATCCAATATGTTGCACTTCCACTTTGACATGTAGAAATTGAGGAGAACACTGGTAGGTGCGCAAAAAAAAAAAAGGGGGGGAAAATGAAGCACCATCGTATCCGAAAAGGCTCTCAGGACATTTGTGGTTCTCCTGAAGAAGTATATGATACTTCAAGGTACATAATTACTGTTCATCTCCTTGGATCAAACAGGTAAAAATGTCACAGCGGAATCGATCCCTGACCCGGGCCATTCTGCTGGTTATCTTTATACAACAGAGCACAAGTGTTTGAATGCTCTGACGCCGCCAGAACGATTTGAGGACATTGGTTTCATAAATTAACCACATCAATGAAGATTAAGAGTTCTATTAAAGTTCTCTTTTTCTACAATGCATTGCGGTTATATCATGGCGAAAAGCGCATCCGACGGAGGCCATCATGTGGAGAAGTTTTTTTTTTTTTTTTTTTTTTTTTTTTGCTTTGTGATCTTTTTTCAGTCATGACTCCCACCCTCACTCGCCTCCCCCCTTTTTTTTTTTTTTTTTTTGCTTTCTTTCTTTCCAAGAATGGGTCATGTTCTGCCTTGCAGTAAAGGTCGTACGAATAGCGTATGAGAGAGTTTGGAGGGGGTATGGGTATGAGTTTGAGAAGTCCTGATGGGATATTTTGATTTTTCTTCGCCACCTACCATCGCCAAGTTTGGCAAAGAGTGAGATACTATCTCCACGACTTAGATTGGCTGAAGCCATCTCTTGAAGGAATAGTAGGTGCTGTTCATCCTTATGCTCTCTGTCATTCAGAAGCATAATTCCATTATGATCTCTTGTATCGTCGACCCAGCTGTTTTGAAGACTACTATCATCATACCCTTCCGATTGCTGATCAGAACCCGAACCGGAACCTGCATATTCATCTTTGAGAGGTGATCCTTGAAATTGTGTTCTTGTACGAGGATGATGAACGGCTGGAGGTGCAAGAAATTGTCGAGATGCTGGATATCCGAGGTTAATGCTATTATTTGCACTGTTATTGAGTGAGGAAAGTCCGGAGGATGGATGGTAGATGCGACTCGATTCGACCGTCGGAGGAACAGACAGTTGACCATCATCCCAGAGAGCTTGCTGTGCCAAAGGGATACCGGAGATAGAATCTGAATAACTATGATTGTAACTTCCACTCAACTCGAAAGAGAAGGAGGATGCTTCTGGAAATGTCTCTGTGATATTCATGGCATCGAAATCAACCACGTCGGGCGTATATGTGAAGGACGACGATAGTGTGTATGCCATTGTCGATAATGATTGATCTTTGGTATCGTTATTGCTGTGGTTTTTTTTGTTTTTACGGTATGAAAATTTTTTTGATTACTACCGTTGGAAAGTTATTGGGAAAGCCTGTGCGAACGGAAAACAAGACAGAACGTGTATTGTCTGCAGGGATGGTGATGATAGGATGAAAAGTGATGATTCCGTGAGATGAAAGTTACGGTAAGAATTGAGGACAGACAATGGACCAGGGAAAGAAACTCTACCCTGGTTTTTTTTTTTTTTTTTTTTTTGTAGAAAAAGAGGGGAGTAAAGTAAAATTGGGTTCTGTATATCTGATCTTATTTTCTTCTTTAAGAGTTCCAAGAAGCTGAAAGGGAATGAGAGGTTGGTAGTGAGGCGGAGGACTATATAACAAAGGGAGTTCAAGACGTGTTTTTTGTTGCAGAATGAGATGAACAAGGCTGAATGAGTTGCTCTTGTGTGCAAGATGTTATACAAGGAAGAAGGAACACAAAGAACACTAAAAAAAATTGGAGCGGGAAAAAAAAAAAATTGGACTATGTGCAAATGAACTTTTTCTTTTGAATCAAACAAATTCTAATGAAGACAATGAAGAAAGAAGAAGAAAAAAAAAGAAAAGGGAATGAGGGTATTGATCTAAAGTTTTGTTGATCGAATGAGTAGAGTTGAGGGAGAGAAAGTGAGTAAAGAAAGTGTAACGGGGAAAAGGAAAAAAAAAAAAAAGAAAAAAAGAGGGGGACACTCTGTGGTTGTGTTTGTGTGTCCAGTCGCACAGTAAAATAATGAGCAAAGGATGGTGACAGATGCTCTTTTTGCCTCTGAAGTCTTGTCACAGAAATCAAAGGGTCCTGCATCAAATACAAAGGCCATGGTGTCTCATGTCCGTCTTCCATGCCCAATGTTTGTTCATAGACTACAGACTATTGTTTGTGGGTTTCAAATGTTTTTTTGATTTCCCACAATTCTCTCCCTCCTGAGGCAACTCTTGTCGATGCTAACCAAAGGAAGCCATGAATAACCATTCCATCATATCGATTGCATTCATTACATCGTTCAACGCAATATTAACGCTCTTTGTGTGCCGTATCCATCTATCCTAGATGGGACTCATAGTGGAATGTATGCCCCAACTGGATCTTAACGGCAACTCTCTGTGTGCGTAATTGATCATATATATCAGTACAAAACAGGACGAACAATAGTTTCCATGGTGATCCCCTCCTTCTCAAGAAATCCTAGGCCAATCTTTATTGTTTCCATGTTGCTTCTGCCTCTAATCATCCTCTCGCCCCCCACAAACTTTTTTCTTTCTTTCGGTGCAATTGCATGACCAATGGGTATTAACCTTAAAACGTGACAAATCCATCTCTCCCTTTTTTTTTTTTTTTTTTTTTTTTTTTTTTGGGTTGGAGTTTTCTCCAAGCAAACTAGTAACTGTAGTCTGTAGTCTAACTTACTTTACTGGTCACGTTGAATGTCATGCAAAGCTCTCATAGATCTTCTCGCTCTCATTCTTTTTTACATCTCTTTACATATAAAAAGAGCATTCGCCCAAACGTAAGATTGACATCGTCGCATATACATGCGATATTACATTTATATGTGTATTTATGCACATGTATGTATTTCATGTAACCACAGCAAAGTCTAATGAATGGTATATACATGGACACAGCCTATGAAGCCTATGATGAACAACTGCATGCCCTTGGTTGTGCCTAGACTGAGAAGACAATGCACCAAAATGAACTTTGACATTTCTGAATTTATTCTTACTTCTCAGGAACAATTAAAAAGCAAAAGGAGAGGGACCCTTTTCTCTTTTTATTATTATAATTATTATTATTATTACTATTAACATTGATCATTTATCATCTATTGTCCTATTTTTTCTATTTTTTTTTTTTTTTTTCTCTTTCTCCTTTTGTTTAAAGGGCTGCAGCAAGAGCTGCAATTAGACCTACAAAGCCCAAAGCGATCGAGCTTTGCACCAACTTATTGGCATTGCTGGGTTGGTTTGTAGGAGCAATCATGGAGGATGTGTGGCTCGCACCATCTCCACGGCTACTAGTATGCATCATCGAAGTGGTTGAAGTACGCTGCTGGATAGTGCTACTAACACTAGCACTGGCACTGGCACTGGCACTGCTCATCGCGGACGTGATCGAAGTTACTGGTGCAGGTGGCACCGCGTCACTTGGTCGAGGTCCCACATAAATGGTTCCAACCGTATTGTTCTTGGCACAGTTGGCTCCAATGCCATCCTTGTAGTTCACCACCCCCTGAACCGGGAACGTACGTTGATAAGGCTGGCCTGCTGTCTTTCGTCCCGAATTGAATCCTCCAGACTTTGCGGTACATGACTGAGGCCCTGGAATGGTCTCCACAATCGCATGATCTCCGCCATCATCCAAAGGCCAGCGAACCGTGTCTCCGGGTGAGATATCCAGGATCGAGGGCGAAAACTTGCCATCGTCAATCTTCACATCCCAAGTCTTGGCTGCCAATGCTGGTGCAACAAGAAGTGCAAGTGTTGTAAAGGTCGTGATCTCGAAACGCATTATGACCGCTTTGTTAGTTAGCTTGTTGGTTTGTTTGTTTGCGTTTTGGGTTTTAGTTTTGTTTGAATGTTTAGATAAAAAAAAAAAAATAGAAGCTTGTAAAAGTGCTGTGTCAGGTCAGGAGTTAGAGAATCTTTAAGCAAGTAAGAAGACAAGAAAAAAAAAAATGAAAAGAAAAAAAAAAAAGCGAGAAAGAGAGAAAGACCTAGTCTTTATAAACACACTTTCATCAATGTCTTTTTCATTTGCCTTTCATAGGCTAGAGGTTCTAATCAAGCCGGAGAACAGGTGAATACGTAAACTATTCTGTGCGAACCTGAACATTAAAAACCCATCAAGGGAAACCCAACCAATGACGACAAAAAGGTTTTACATACTACACATGTTGCGAGCAGAGTTTTTTTTTTTTTTGCTGTTGGATATTGAATAGAACGATAATACGATAGGACGTCAATCGCCAATTGCTTTTTTTGTATGTTTCGCCTGCAGTCTGGTTTGATTCCAACGTTTTTTTTTTTTTATTTTTATTTTTATTTTTTTATCATAGTTAGCCCATATCAAGAGGACCTTTCTCGACTTTCCAACGCAGAACGCAACGGAAGGGAGATACGGTGGAATCGATTCCACGTTGCCCTAAAATGAAGGTGGATGAAATACTTATCTTGGTCTCTAAAATTATTGCATCATCTCTAATTTATCCGTTTCCTCTCTCCTTTTTTCATGATCATTTCAATTCGGCACAGCAGATTGTAACAGGTTTGATAAAAAAAAAAAAACCTCTTGGTGTAAAAAATATACGCGTTTGTAAACATTTTGAACATTTTGATCAAAACTATTATTAACTATTATTTTTCTCTCTTTCGAGTAACCTTTGCCCAGGCGAAAAAAATTTATTTGTTGGTTTTTTTGAGAGTTACACATGTTGGGCTTCCCTCAATTCATCATGTCTACTTTGTCGGCAAACATACCAGTCTCATTTTCTTTTTTTTTTTTTCCTCGATCAATCGAATATACTCCTATCCTTTCTTCATCTTCTTGTTTTTTTTTTTTTTTTTTTTTTTAAGCAGTCTTCTCGGCCTCAGCCTCATGGGCCTTAAGAACAGAGATAGCCTCCTCAATCTTGGCATCCAAAGCCTCATTGTCCTCCAAAAGATGCAAGAGCTCGCCATTGTCCATCTCAAGCAACATGCCAGTGATCTTGCCAGCATAGTCGGGCTGACGGGCGGCAATCTTGGGGTACAGGTGCTCACCAACCATTTGCTTCTGCTGATCGGGATCGGCAGCAGCCAAAGCAGCAGCAGTCAAAACATTGGCTTCGGTAGCGGGTGCAGCGGCAGCAGAGCCGTTAGCAGCACGGCCTTGACCAGCGTTGCGAGTATAACCACCACGGCCCGCACCGGGGACGCCACGAGGAGCACCAGCGGGTCCTTGTGAAGGGATGGGGCGACCGGGCTGACCGGCTGCGCCTCCACGCTGAGATTGAGCACGGGGACCCTGACCGCGGGGGCGGCCCTGGCCCATGGGTGGGAAACCCTGGCCCATTGGGTAACCAGGCATGGGGGCACCGGGATGCATCTGAGGCTGGCCAGGGTTAACCCAGCGAGGACGGGGAACCATTCCGGCCTGTCCGGGGTAGACCATGCCACGACCACCCTGTGGAGGGAAGCCACCAGGGCCGGGGTAGTAGAGCTGAGGGGGGTAGATACCGCCGGGCATCTGACCAGGGATCTGTTGCATGCGAAGCTGGTTGCGCTGAGCCATCTGGGCCTCAAGCTGAGACTTGCGAACTTCCTTACGCTGAGCGAGGGCGACATAAATGGGCTTGGAGCCGATCATGCGTCCGTTCATCTCAGTAACGGCCTTGGTTGCCTCATCAGGAGAAGAGAAGCAGACGAAACCAAAGCCCTTGGAAGGTCCCTTCACGACTTCGTCTCCATCGGCAGAAAGTTTCTCATCACGCATGACCTTCGCGGAGGTAATGGTACCATAAACAAGGAACTCCTGACGGAGTCTCTCATCATCAATATCGTCATCCAAGTTCTTGACATACAAGTTGACACCCTGGTACTTGCTGAGCTTCTCGAGCTTTTGTTGTTCGTACTGCTTCTTAAGCTCCTCCTCACGCTCTCCCTTCTTCTGAGCACGAGTGACGAACAGCTTCTTGTCCTTGTAATCAGTATCGTGAAGCTCATCAACAGCACGTTTAGCATCCTCGTGATTCTCAAAGTTGATGAACCCGAAGCCCTTGGAGCGGCCATTTTCGTCAGTTGAAATAACGCAGGAGGTGACGGGACCGAACTTTGTGAACATGGCCTCAACCTCATCCTGAGTAATTTCGGGATCCAAGTTCTTAATGTAAACATTGGTGAAGTTGGCCTTCATCTCCTCAACCTTGGACTGACGCTCCTTCTTGGCAATGTGATGTCCGACATAGACCTTCTTATCATTCAACAACATGCCGTTGACGTGCTTGATAGCGTTCTCAGCAGCCTCATGAGTCTCGTAGTGAACGAAACCGTAACCCTTGGACTGACCATCTTCAGTGGCGACCTTGCAAGACAAGATGTTTCCAAAAGCAGAGAAGGTATCATGAAGGGCCTTGTTATCAATAGTGGCGTCCAAGTTCTTGATGAAGATATTGCCAGTACCAGTCTTACGGAGAGCAGGGTCACGCTGAGACCACATGATACGGCAAGGACGATTCTTGATCAATGTATAGTTCAAGGTTTCCAAAGCACGCTCACCTATCAATAACAATTTTTGACAAACAGTGTTAATCATCAAAGACTTCTCCCATAGGTGCGTTTTGATGAAAGACGATAGTTGAATTTGCTCGTCTTTGCTCATACTAAAATCGCCTGACCCTCCAATGGCGACAACGGTATCAGAAACCAAATTTTCGCTATCCTGACTAATGATACCCAAAATATCGGATAGCGTTTCCATATCTGAGCTGGCGTGATATTGCCTTCTTTGACATTATCCGTCCTCTGAAAAGAGCTGGTAGGCTACAATCGGGTTCTTTATAGCAATTTTTTTTTTTTTTTTTTTTTTTTTTTTTGCAAAAAGCCAAAAATTATGAGTCAAATTCACTCCGTTTAGAATATTTCTTGGCTGTTGCTGCAATTTTTTTTTTTTTGAGAGCCGGAAAATCTTTTTCAGATCTAAGAAAAAGATCTTTCTTGTTCCTCCATTGATTCGGATCTAATCGCAAGATTGTTGTTGTTCCTGACTGAGCTGATTGATCTTGTCCGAATTGATGATCGATCTCTCCATGATCTCTTTTGATTATTGTCGACATCACATCATCCATAAAAGTAAAAATAAAAAAATAAAAATAAAAGTTGTTGATGTTTGATGCAGGTAATAATAGTACAAATAGAGACATACCATCAGCAACGTTGTGGAAGTTAACGTAGGCATAACCAAGGGAACGTCTGGTGACAGCATCGCGGCAGACACGGATGGAGGCAACAGGTCCAACAGAGTTGAACATCTCGAACAACATGGCCTCGTTGACAGAAGGATCAAGCTCTCCGATGTAGAGAGATGCTGAAGCAGTTGGGGCAGCAGCAGGAACAGGGGCGAAATGAGCAGCAGCCTGGGCCTGAGCAGCAGCGATCTGCTGTTGTTGCTCCAAGCTGAGATGGTTGGCAGCAACAGGGGCAGCTGAAGTGGCAGCAGGGGCAGCAGCGGCCTGGACGTCAACGTTAGCAACAGGAGAGGACATTGTTCGACGAAGTGTAAAAAAGGGTTTTTTTAAAGATTTTTTTATATATTTTTTTGAGTAAAGGCCTGGTGAGTTCAATTAAGAATCCTAGGTCTTTCTTTTTTTTAGTTTTTTTTTTTTTTTTTTGTCTTTTTTAATGCGCTGGGCAACGGCGATCAAAAAAGAGAAGATGAAAAAAAAGGGAGTTTTGTGATGGAAGGAGGAAAAGAGAAAGAAGCAGCTAAAGACGCAAGCAGACTGAAATAGAAAAAAGAACAAAAAAAAACAACAACAATTAGAAACACGGTCACGGCAGCAGACTTTTTTTTTTTTTTAATTTTTTTTTATTTCCGCTTTCTTTATTTCAGAGTTTGCTTCAGGACACCTTGTTATTCTGCGCGCACAGTTCGAAGCCAAGTTTCGACTAGTCGCAAAAAGGAGGAATCTGAAGATAAAAAACTAAACAGGGAGACAAGACTTTTACAAAATAAAAAAAAAAACACTAACATGTATATCACTGATAACTGATAAGAGCTACTAAAAAGGTAAAATAGGGATTTGATAAAAAACAGCAAAAAAAAAAAAAAATGAAAAATAATAATAATAATAATAAAAATAATAAAAAAGGGCGTTTCCCTCAATTGAAAAACCAAGCATTCGAAAAGAAGGGTTGGTTTTGCGGCTGTTGAAGCGGCCTTGTCCTTAAAATCGAAATGTCGACATTAAAATATTCACGATCTTGTCTCAGCTTGAAGACAAGAACCTTGGCTTGTGAATGAAAGGGACAAGTCAAGAGTATGAAACTGAAAAAATATATACATATATAAAATATACGAATATAGTCCAAAAAAAAAAGAATCCAAACATTTGATAATGAAATATAAGATCAACAAAAAAAAAAAAAAATCCAGAAAGTAATGGTAAAAAAAAAAAAAAATAAAGACGGACGATGACAATTCAGCGAGAAGAGAATTCTCCAAGTCATGGTCGATTACTTAAAAAAAGTAGGGGAAAAAAAAAAAAAGGTTGCCAGAATAAAATACTGGTGGTTACGGGTGGTTCGGAAATCCTGTTGAAGGTTCCTTAAATGGATGTCCATGCGTCAAAAACTGTTGAGCAACGGATCATGAAAAAGAAGATTTAGACAGATTGACGAATCGACGCAGTTTTGGTGCGGGGATCTCAAATCTGGGGACCATCGATGGGTCGGTTGTGGGTAGTTTAAAAGTGACAAACCGGGGCCTCATCTCATGTGGCTTGCCAGGCGTTGTCGGAGCAGGGGCCCTTGACAGCGAGGTGACGACGGAGCCCATCTTGACGGGAGAAGGGTTTATAGCAGGTGGTGCAGGCAAAATTGCGCTCACCCTTGTGGACTGACGCTTCATGACGCTGCAGGTCGTGCTTGCGTGAGAAGGCTTTCCGGCAATCGGCCTCGGAACAGATGAAAGGGCGAGCTTGTGTGGGATCGTGGGTCTTCTCGTGGGTGTGAAGATTGAAGAGACGAGCGAAGCGGCGATCACAGCCAGCAAAGCTGCAAGGGAAGCGCTTTTGGGGGGCAGGCTTCTTGACCTGTGCGACCTCGGTGGCGCGAATCTTCTTTGGCGAAGGTACAGAGTCGTCAGCCTTACGCTTCAATCCAGATACAAGGGCAGCAGCGCGTGAGGAAACAAATTCGTCCTCATCATCCTCATCATCCGAGAAATCATTCACCACAGACTTTGTAGGCGAGACAGAGGGCGAGGGAAAGATATCCTCAACAGGGTTAAGGGGCAAGATCGAGTTGAGTTCAACAGAATAAGCATCCGTAAAAGCAAAGTCCAAGCCAAAATCAGAGAAGAGCGGCAAGGCAGAGGCATTCGCAGCGAGCTTGGAATCCAATTCGGAATCGAGAATAAGGTCATTGAGATAGGGAGTCTCGAGAGGAGTATCAAGCAAAGGTGTATCCATGTAAGATGAAAAGGGAGTATCAATCAAATTTTGAGAGACAGAATCCTCAAGGAAAGCTGCGCAGCTGTCAAAGCCGAGACCAGCAGGCGACTGGACATTGACCAAGTTGAGGGAGGGGGTCTGTGGGGTGTTGAGTTGGTTGTTAAAGCAGTTAAGGGTAGCAGCGTTCGAGTCAGAGCTGATAGACTGAGCAGTTTTCAAAGTCTTTGGAGCGACTTGCCCATTGAAGAGCGGATAGTCAAAAGAGGTCTCATCCTGATCGAAGAGACAGAAATCCTGGTTGATGGTGTTGATGGGAGCAGGCATGGTGAAGAGAGTGTGGAAGAGAGCAGATTCAGCAGCAGAAATATCAGAAAGAGTGGTCAAAGCAGGAGTAGTAACAGGAACAGAGGTGGCAGGAGCAGGGCTAGCAGAAGCAGAAGCAGAAGCAGAAGTGGAGATGAAAAGAGACTGGTCTGACAACATGAATTTAGAGGGAGAGGTCAACGAGTGAGAGGAGTGGGACTGAATGGTGAAGAGAGCGAAGAGTGAAGAGAGCGAGTGAAGAGAGCGAGTGAAGAGCGAGGGAATAGGCAAGAATGTAAGCAAAGTAAGCAAAGTAGCAAAGTAAGCAAGAGCTAAAAGCAAAAGCGTCTGTGTTTAGTAAAAAAAAGAGAAGAAAGTGTAAAAGGAGAAGAAAGAGAAGAAAGTGTAAAAAGTGTAAAAGAAAGAAAGAAAGAAAGAAAGAAAGAAAGATGAAAGAAGAGAAGAGAGAACAAGGGGAAGAAAAAAGAGGTAAAAAAAGAAAGAAATCCACAATTGTCAACGATAAAATACCCCATGTTTTGCCCCAAGCGACATCTTCAGTCTTCGTCAGTGCAAGAACAAAAGGAGGAAAGCAAACAAAAAAGAGCCGCAGTAAAAAAAAACTTTATTTGGATAAGGTTTCGATTCAAGGCAGACTAAACACTGATTAATAATATTGAATAGGAAAGTAAAAAACATTCGTCTTTTCATCCCGCTACAGACCATCTTCTCCCTGTCTTTTCATCTTCTCTCTCTCTCTCTCTCTCTCTTCTGTTCCTTATAATTAATTTGTATACTGGCATTTGTCTGCTGGGAATGTAATCTCTTTCTTTGAACCTTTTTTTTTTTTTCTTTCTTTCTTCTTTTCTTACTTTCTTACTCTCTCTTCTTCTCTTGCTAATCTTCCTTTGTCTCGATCGAAATGTTAAAAAAGGCTGTTTTGATCACAAAGTTGATCGAGCAGAAAATAGAGAAAAAAAGTAAATCAACTGGTCAACTGGTGGCAAGGGAAAAGAGCCTTCTTTGTCCATTCCTCTTTGTCAGAGTAGACAGTGCGCTCATGGATCCATATCATTGTTTACATTTTGATTTTGCCACCACTTAATTTTTTTTTTTTACCATTTTTGTACCAAGAGGGGGTTGGACTTTTTGGAGCTAAAAAAAAAAAAAAAAAAAAAAAAAAAGACATAAAGCAAGTCACATTTCAATTCTCCACGGAGTACTGTACTGTCAGAATGGGTCATGTCAACATGCGAAACATTACATTACCAGACACACAAAACACTTGAAGCCTGCCAGATCACCTTGTTGAAATCATTGGTCGAATTGGGTTTATTATTTTTTTTTTAAAAAAAAATGAGAGCCACACACGCCGCAGGCAAGGTCTTCTAGATGGAAAGAAAAAAAATAAAAAAAAAAAATGCCTCAGCCCGAGAGCATCAAAATGATGTCGTTTCTGTGTGTCATTAGACACTGGTAGGAAACCTTGTGGCTCCTTTGATTGTGGCGAAAGTCCAATTTATCAATGTTGTCATATATATATTTATCTATCTTTATAGACATGTGTTCTTCACAAAAGACTCCGTGGCGATAAAAAAAAAAAAAAAAAAAAAAAAGCACCGCCACACAAGGACTTTTAGTTCTTTTTTAAACCAACAAAAACAAATTCCTCTTTTACGAATTTTTTTTTTGCCTTTCAAGTCAACAGATTCTGAAATCACTGTTGATTGGTGCCACCAGAGAAACACTACTCATTTTTTTTTTTTTTTTCCCCCTCAATTGTATTCACAAGATCGTGTCAAGTCACAGCACACTTGAATGTGCGAACCAAATTTTTGCGATTGAACGAAGATTGGATAGATCTCTGATGACAAATGCCATATGGCTGCCTTGGCTACTAAGACTATCAAAAAATAATGTAAACTATACTTCAGCATGATTAAACATGTCTCTGCAGATGTAATATTAACATTCATGGATAAATTGGCAGCTATTTCAATATCCAGGATGACATCAACGGCAAGGGCTGCCAACATGAGCTTTCATTATTTCATATGACGAGAAAGGTGTGCCCTCTGACAGGGTTTACATGAGCAGTGCTTCACTCACTTCAGACACTGTTACACATCGGCATAGTTCATCAACCTTGCGTTCAGGGGCGGAACAGACACAGTATATACCCTTCATCATCAGTAAAAAGATCATTATTATTGCGCCTGCGCCTCTTTTGTGCGCTTTGTAAACCTCCCTCCTGGTTTGCTGTCATACTGAGCGTCAAATCATCAATGACAACGTGTCAAAAGTCTGTTGAAGCATTTTCTATTTCCTCACACTGTTGGTTAAATTTTTTATTTTTTATTTTGACAGACCATTCTGCCATATTGCAATAAACTCATCACTCTGCCAAGCCTATACACCTTTATTTTCCGCTGGAATAGCTGGGATACTCCATTTCTGGTCGCAAAAGACTCTGACGGCGTCTACACTTGTCATTACTTCATTATTTTCAAAAACACAACGACATGAAAACATTGAGATACTTGAATCCGTGCTGGACTCGGGGCAAATATCCTAGTCTAAATAATGTATTTTACATGCAAATTTTTACTTTTATTTTATGCAATTTTTTTTTTTTTTTTTTTTTTTACACATCCAAGTCGCTCGAACGCATGTACGCAGATGCAGGCGGCTCCTGTTGCTGCTGCATTGCATAGCTCTGGATTGATTCTAATCCAATTTCATGGCTTCGATACCCGCCCCCTCCACCTCTTGATGGAGAAGACGGTGCAGAAGTACTTGCTATCGGATGGATATCTGAACTCGATTGCTCTCGTATCGTGTTGCTGAACCGTCTCTCAATCCTTGAGTGCTGCTCGCGAGGAGCGTACACAGGGGCGGGAGACGTTGGCGTATGTGGCTGCTGCTCTATGTTGGATGGTCTACGAATCCCTTGATGAGTAGGGCTCTTCGGAGGATTCACCGACACAGGCCCGCTATTCTTGAAGGATGAATTCCTTGACAAGCGATTCGAGCTTCCTAATGTCGTGGTAGAGGTCGTGTGGTGTGATGGGCTTCCACTAGATGTAACTGAGCTAATTGAAGGACGAGGATGGGTGCTGTTCCTAGATTTGGGACGTATTATTGCTAATGGAAATGACGGGATATTGAACCCTCCAGATGTCGGCGACAGAGGTGGAGAGAGTGAAGATGTCGAGGTCTCTTCACGCGGTGTTCTGCCACCAAAAACGGATTCACGAATCTGGCTAGGGGCTGGACCTATGTTTATAATATATGTCTTTGAGGCGGGATCATTACCATTAGCGCTGTTGGTGTTTATAGACAAATGTCGTGGCGGTGGAGTCAAGGATGGGGCTCTATAAGAATCGCGATCGCTCTCGATTGCCGTAGCAGCTGCTCCTTCTAAATCAAAACTCTCCACTGGGTATCTATCGAATCCCATATTTGGATGATGTGCATTCGCGTCCTCAGAGTCACCATATGTTAGGCAAGCTTCAGAGTCGGATTTCATTGACCCTTTACTTGTAAAGTTTTGGTCTAGGCGCTCCTTCTTCAAGCTGCCTGCCCTCCCTCCCCCTGTACCACTACTCTGGACTGTGGGTTCACTGCCACCACTTCCTTGACGTGATGATGGCCCATTCCGGGAATTCGATGGGTTCGACACGTTCGAGGAGGGTTCCTGCATTCCTCTCCTCCGCGTTCTTATCGACTGAACTGTGACCAATGACATGGCAACGAGATAAGTTACAGCCATTGCACATGTCCAGAAGAATGCAATTGTATGTGGCAGTTGGTCGTTTTCCATCTCCAGGATTTTGTCTTGGAACAGTACCCAGAATAGACACAATGTTCCCGCCAAGACAGTGACAGCACATCCGCCAAAGCCAGTAATCTGAAGCTGTATAAACAAGAAACGCGCCGGTGAACGAGATCTAATGTTTCCGATACCGAATGCAGCTCGTGGTGCCTTGAGCGCTTTCTCCGCAATGATAATATTGGCTCTGAGTATAAATGTGTATTTGAGGCCATAGTAAAAGAACATGAACGCCATGATATAAAGAATTAAGGACCAATTTGCATATTGGATAAGGAGCAAAGTATGGGATGCTTCCTCATTTCCTTGGTCGCGAAGAGCGCCAGATGCAATCCCTATTCCAGCGCCAAAGAGCGATGGATAGACAGCTCCCATAATAAGAAGGATGTTTTTTTGTACAGTTGAAGGTGTCAAGACATGAATAGGTCGAAGCGCGCGGGCGCCATATGCCACCTCGGGCTGGTATACAGCAAATATTCCCTGGCGCGTGGTGATAGGCATAGCATACAGTAGCCCTACGAAATAAGCCGAAAATGCTATTGCAATAAACACCCTTTAAATAAATAAATAAAAAGGAGAATGGAGCCAACTCAGTTAAGCTGATATGGATTGGCAGATGATAAAGGCGATAGTATATACATGGCACACGAACCGCACTCATCAACTTACCAATATAGTTGCTCAACAGCTATTCGAAGCCAGTAGGCATCTTGAAGGACATCAAAGATTAAAAGTAAATTTCCAGCCACTTTGACGGGACAAGATATTGTCATGAAGAAAATGAGGCAGTCCATCTGTGATGAAAAGTGAACCCAAACATTTTAATACATGAGCGGACCAAATGTCTTTTCTCACATAAACAATGGGCAACAAGAAGAAATTAAAAATAAAAACGTACAGGCTTTGGTCGAATCCCTGTCCCGACTGGAAGGAACAAGTCTGTGACGATCTTACGGTTGAATCCACGGTTACGGTATATCAGTAGCCAAACGCCAAAAAACCCTACAGCGATGTGCATCGCACATGATGCCCAAAGCATATATCGGATAAATTCTGCATCTCTACAGTTTGCTGCTGTCCTGGTCCAGTCACATAGCAAGTTCTGTTTTACTAACGTTGCTGACTCTGTTGTTGTTGCTGTTGTTGCCGTTGTTGTTGCTGCTGCTATAATAGATGATGTAGCACCCTTTACTGTTGTAGTAAATGTAGTGATGAGGGTTTGAGTGGCGGGGTTGAGATCAGTAGACTGGCTACTCATATTGAGTATAAACTTTGTGAAGCTATTAGACTATTTAGGAGATTTTATAGGGATGAAAATAGGGTCTGGAAGGAACGCGCCTCGAATAGTCAGATAATGTGTGTGTGTGAGAGAGAGAGGGATAAAGGAGGTCCACGCATCAAGACTTTTGTACACTTAATTGCTGTTGGTTCTCTGAATAGCAATGGTATCATACAAGCTTATGAATACCTTACATATACTATGCAAAGAAAGTTGCGACACGGTTGTTGTTGAGTATGACTCGCTAGGAGCGTGTGAAGTGAAGATGGGTCATTCCAGGGGGTGTGATGAAGATGAAGGATGGTATATTAAAGGAGTAATGAATTTAAGACAAGGTCCGTGGGGGCAAAGAGATTGGTTGTGGAGGAGGAGGAAGGATGGGCCAACAAAACAAGAAATAAAATACAAAGAAAGGAAGGAAAACGAGAGAGTTAAAAGAAGGTCAAAAAGGTCAAAGAAACGGACAGGAAAATGGGAGGAATGTGGAGGGGAGACGAGGTTTATTTATGTATGTGTGAGTGAATGTGGAAGAGCCGAAAACAGGTGATGTGGGATGCGCTTTTCTTGCTGACTACAAGTTCCGTTACAAAGTAACTTGCTGTCCTCACATTCTGCATCCGTTCGATTTCTGGGTTTCGAGGCCCTGAAATTAGACAAGAAAAGGCGTTTAAAGTATCCTTTTTTCGTTCTTTTGTTCTTGCTGCCATATGATTCAAGGCTATTGCAAACAAACGGTGATACAATGTATACCAAGCAAAAAGCAAACATATTGCTCTCAAATGAAGTTGTACAAAATATTGTCCGGGACGCAACAAAATGAGCAAGCACCTTTCTGATAGTTCGAATATGCAGAGTTAGCCTTGAAAAAAACGCCAATTATGTTGCAGTCCACTTTTTTAGATGGATATGCTTTAAACAATAAATACAAACCCATCCATTCATCTCTGTTTTTTGCAAACTCGATGAATAATATGAATTGGTAAGTGGTCGGTGCTGAAAAGCCCTGTTTAAATTCTTGGATGCATGGCCTCCTGACATGTGGAGAACAAAAAAAAAAAAAAAAAAAAAAAAAACCTTCATTATACACCTTCTCTGGTGTCCACTTTGAGTGCTTCGTACTTTTAACCCTCTTCTTTTTTTTACATGGATTTAAATATGGGATCCTCGTGAAAAATAATTCCGGGTGCAACCATATATACACAAACGAAAGGTAACGTGTTCAGGTACATCGAAAAATAATGCCACTGCATCGCACCATTCCCTCCCCCAACATAAATACATACCGTCTATTTTGACCAATTTCGGATTTCTACCGAAATAAGTATCAACAAAAATAAGAAACATATGCATTCCACACTTTACAGCTCAATAGCATTACTTTAAATAATGCCCTTGCCCTTGCTCTTGCCCTTGCCCTTGCCCTTGGATTTATAACGGCTGCAATAATTCAAGTGCATATTTGATAAGAAGACCGAACCGCACCAAGAAGCAGGACTTAAAGTAGAGATATTAGGGCCCATAAAACTAAGAGTGCTGAGGGATGAGGGGTAGGGAACAGGACAGTGTACATCAATTAGCAAATTTCCAAAAATGTAAAGAGAGCCAACCTTATTGGATCTTAAAACCACCTTGCTCAATTGATGATAGATTTTGTTTCCTCTCTCCATTTCTCCATCTCTTATTTTAAGACCACTTTGTGCCGCAGCCATTTGCTCTTTTTTTTTTTTTTTTTTTTTTTTTTTTTTTCCTACAAGACAGGAAGGCCGCAGCCAAGTAATTTGCCAAATAAAAAGGGCGTTCAAGATAAAACAACTTCTTGCAATATGGATATATTCACTCTAATTCCCCCTTCCTCTCCTCCCTTCTCTTCATGATGTTGCTTGACTCAATATTTGAGGACAAATCCGATGTAAAGACGACAAACGATCCCCCTTCTTCATCATCATCAGCTTCTTCCTCTTCATTTCTGACACACACGTTTATGTATCAAGCCTTAAATGTCTCTGAAATCACATATATTATCCGGCGAGAGCTCCGCGGTCATGACCTCAAGACTATGGTTTTAGTCAATCGTCTATGGTGGAAAGCCTTTGGACCTTATTTATGGGAAAACATCTATATTGACGCAAATCCAGAGCAAGACGATCGCCAGATTATTTTCCGTAATGGACTTGCAGCCAAGCGTTTGACGCTGTCCATCTACGACCCACAAGACACAAGAGGCACCGTCAGCTACGTAGCAGAACGATGTCAAAATGTGTCAGAGCTACATCTTAAACTCTTCTCACCTAGCCTTGTGGATGTGGATGCAATAGTGATGCTCAAAGGCGATGGTAACCCTTCGCTGGGAAAACCATTCGGATTACAACATGAAACTCGTACGACACTACTGGACAGCCTCCTCACAAAATTACCATTCATTACAGACCTTACCATCTCACTTGCAGATGAGAAACTCAAACCAGAGGTGCTTTGGTGCGTCACTAAAATATCAAGGCTTCAGAGACTGACAGTCAACGGTGGGTTGCCCACTAAAAACTATATTCTTCGCAGGAACTGGTCATGCAGCTGGGATTTACTCATGCAAGTTGCACGGGAGTGTCCAACCTTAGATTCATTGTCGGTCGCATGGGAGAGTCGACGACTCATAGACACTATACCCGATATTCAGGATGTGGTGTTGGAGAATATGAGGGAGATGTACTTCGCCATTGAAGGAATACAGGAAATGACAGATAACACACCAACCGTTACATCAATACCACTACCAGTGCCGTCATTAAAGCGGCTTGACATCTCCTGTTGTGAGACATATGACGGATTATTGGACCAAATCCTTCAGTCATGCTCAAATCTTCGCGAAGTTACTTTCCAGTCAGTTAAAACAATAGCTGGAACTCTTGACAATTGCATTCAAACGCTCACAATCTTTTGCTCACGGCTGCGGGCCTTCAGCTTTGAACCTGCCACTGACGATGACAGCGATTATAGCAAAGTGCTCCTGGATGGCCCATTGCTTAATATTCCATGTTTAAAGCTTTCACTGGGTAGAGTTTCATTAGATTCGATCCAGAGTGTCGGCCTAAGGTGGGACGGCGCTCATTCTATCACTGTGTTGGACATCAGTATCAACAACTATATGTTCCTTTTCAAGCTCATGACGACAATGACAGGATTAGAACATTTGACGCTCCGCGGTAGCCTCTATGGCGTCTCATGTGAGAGCCATGAGGATCTATTGAAATACTTTGAGAATGAAAAGGTCCCCTATCTGGCGCTGCCAGAGTTCGCCAGTCAAAGCACACTCAAGTCCTTGAACTTAACCCAGCTTGAGTTTGGTAGCCTCAAGTGCCATCAGCTCTTCTTCGATCGTGTTCAGAGGCTACCACAGTTGAGGCAGCTTGAGTTAAGTCATCGTCAAGTTCAAGATGCTAGGTTGGAAGAAACCTGGATGGATCTAGGTGATCCACAGATGAGTAGCGACATTACACAAGGAAGGACCGGTTATCCATACACAATCTTTAGTCCAGCGACCATTAAGATTCGAAGACGGCCCAACTACAATATGTATGGTGTCGCTTATGCAAACACTCTAGATTCAGGCTATGGGCCAGAGAATGAACTGAGGACTATGTACTATACTCCAACTTGGGTAGCCGATCAACAGCAGCAACTGCAATACGATGATGTAGAGCGCATTGTCAACTTGATCCCGGATAAGACCTTCCGTCACTTCCCTGCAGTTGAATTTCTCTACATCTATGATGACAGTCCCACCTATAATTTCATTAAGGAGGAGCATTATTTGAGTGAGCACATGGCCAGTGCACTGGTGCAAATGATGCCCAAACTTAAAGTTATGGCTTTTGATCGCAGTTTGGGTATGGATTTACGGGTAGTCAAGAGAGCTTTCTCGAATATCATTTTTGACTGTATTCACACAGGAACAAATTAGTTGCTACACTGGAACCAGAACATTATGCTTCAATAGTTAATACTTTTTTTTTTTTTTTTTTTTTTTTTTTCTTTTTCTTTTTCCCTTTTATAAATGAGATATTACTATTTAATGTGAATAAATAAACCATATGTAACAATAAAGGAATGATATTGCACCAACTGCGTTTTCTTTTATATCCACTTAAAGGACCATGCCGCCTGCATCCATACCACAAATCTCTAAAGTCTTTTCCATACCGATCTCTAGTTGCACCTTGATTTGATAGACAGCTCCTTCGGGTAGCATCGTTGAAATAAGCGGGCATGCAAGATCCAATGTCATTGTGTGAGCGAATGGGTATCGTGCCGTGTGTTGGCATGTCGTCTTTGTCCCGATAAAAAAAAAAAAAAAAAAAAAAAAAGGTTAACCGATGCTAGAATAATCTTTAGACAGAAAAAATCTTACACAGTATATATACTCACCCATTGATCACCGTAGTGATCTGAAGCCAACACGGTGATTTGTCCTTCTAGACTTGTCAGGCCTTTTGAGGATGTAATGGTAAGATAAGTAAGTATCGTCGGCTTCACGAATCGAAGACCAAATGAATCACCCTTCTGAGGCACTTTAAAACTATTCCAGCAGGTCAGGGGATCATTATCGACTGCATGGATATATGCAAACGTTCTCCAGAATTCTGTCGTGGGATAATCCAATTCCATGAACTTTGCATTTTGCTCATCAATCGTTTGTAGGTCACCCTTGAAAACTACTTCCTTGGGATTAGGGAAGGGATCCAGGCTGGTCATAAAAAGACATTTATCATTGAAGCATGGTGCTCTAAATACATGTCACAGAGGCACAAATTTCCTTTTTTAGTATGATGCTTGCTTATGTTGTATTAAATCATCAAAAAGAATGGGTTGCACAAAGTCAAAAACATACCTAGTGTGTCTATCTTGGACATATGGCTCCTCCTCTTCTCGCACAAAAGGACTCTTGCCAGGATTTGCGAAGCTCGCCAGTAAAGCTGAGTATAAGCGATCAGCAGCATCCAGCTATTATAGATCGACATTAACCAGAAATATAGGTATGTCTGTTAAGAAATCATAAAAGACCACATAGTTCTTCTCCTAGACGCTACAGTCGGCAATAGAATTTGAAGTATTACCATATTCCTAAAGACAATGCTCCAATGGTCGTTGACACCTTCTGTGCTCCAACCATTCTTCTGATCGAGTGGAGTGAGATAATTGACCAATTGATAAGGATACTGATTTGTCCAAATCGAAAAGTACATATCGATCACTTTAAACCGCTCCTTTGAGAGTGTAGTGTTGCCACGTTGTTCAAGCAACCGTTGTGCCTTGGCTCGAGACACATACGATCCTGTACCCATCCATGAGAATCCAGCATGCATATTATAGTCTAGTTGAGGTTGATTAAAAAAAAAAAAAAAAAAAAAAAAAAAAAAAAGCTTAGTGGGAAGTAAGAAAAGGCTCCACAGCGTCCGAAATTAAGGATCACTATGGATATCAATATCTAATTCGATGCTGCAAGATTTTTTTTTAGGCATTTGAACCTTGTGCAGTATGTATATTGGGAAAAATGCAGTGAACCCATGGCAGTTTGTACCAGTCAACTGATTGATCTCTTCAGTCGTTGTAGATTGAAAAAGAAACATACCCTCATTGGTAAAGGTCCATCGACGGTGCTCCATCTGAATTAATGGCAAGGTATTGGTGTGGATCAAGTTTGGACTGGTCAAAAAATTGGTGTAGAGTGCATCCATATGGGTATTGAGCCAATCATCATCTTGGAAATAACAATGCTCATATTTGGCAAGCGAGCATGACATGTATTTCGCAAAGTCGTGTAGGTTCTCTGCGGCATTGTAAACCTGCAGTTCCGGTAGCGGGCCATAACTCGGATCCATCTCAAAGTCCCTACGAGACAGTTTTATGTCTCGGTTATTGTTCCAGACAATGATCTGTTTAATGAATGGATAACGGACTAAATAACTGACAATCAATTTTAATCCTTGAGTACGCTTCCAGCCAAGTAATACAGCAGTTGTCGGCAAGAGATGCTCATTTCCAGGTCGGGCTAGACCTTCCTCTGTAAAGTCTTCGAATGAGTAGGCTGATTTACGAGTTTCCATGATCTGTTGAACAATGAGCCCACGCTCAACTTCATCGTTGGTGTCCTTGACATTGGATGGTTCATCGACAATGCTGTCTTCCTGAGGTGTAGATACTTTACTAAGGACTAAAAGTGAGACAACACAGAGACTTAGAAGGAGAAAGAACTTTGCGGGTTGAAATCGTTTGTTGTTGCTGGGAGGAATGGAAGATGAGGATGCAGTTGAGACAAGGCCTGGTCTTCTAGAGGAGGATGAGGACGGGCCATTAAAGTAGAATGGCAATGAATTACTAGACCCGCTTCTGTTCATGATGAGTGTGCTACCAGAAGTCTAGGGGGACTTTTTTTATGGCGGACTAAAAGCTTAATTGGGGAAGAGGTACACAACCCCAGCAGCGAAGAAGTTTTAAAAATATGTATAAATAAATATATGGATTAAAAAATGGGCGGATGACGATGAACTAGAAGAAGAGAAGGAAGAGTGAAGTGAAGAGGTGAAGAGTGGAGTGAAGACATACGGACAGTAAAATAGCTTATTTTCATTGGAGGCGGCCAAATAACCTTTTTAAAGGCTAAAATGTGAAAGAGGAAGAAGGGGTTTCTTTCAAGAGTAAAAGATCCCTATCAGACACAGGCAGCATGACAATACATTGAGCACAAAAAAGAAAAAAAACGGCCACAAGGTTCAGGATAGGTCTGAAGGTTATTTCAGCAGCAAAAAAAAAAAAAAAAAAAAAAAAAAAAAAAACAGACAGGGGGCTCATAGAAAGTACTAGTGCTCGTTAGAAGTGTTGTCAAGAACAAAGCACGGTGAGGAGAATATTTATTTTGTTTTTCATAGTCTTTTAGCCATCATTGAGCCTCACGAGTCAGGTCGAGTTCAGTCTGCCAAAGCCAACGCGATTGTTGTCAAAATCGTAGATCTTACACACAGCCACATGGAAACAAAGAAAAAAGAAAAAGATTAATCAGGTGCATTGTTTAGGCACAACATCAAAGAAACATAATCAAATATCAAGTCAAAGCAATCACTGTCGTTCGTGTAATTCTGATTTACCGAATATATACTACGCAAGAAGACGTCGCCGAGGATCCATGCTGTGCCATCTACTTCTTCACCTGCAAATCCACTCATACAACGACCTGGAGCAATCTGCTGAAGAACATACAGGCTTGGGGGAACATCAAACATTGCTCCAGAGATTTGAATTCGAAGTGTAGGAAGGTCCTTATGATCACATGGAAGTGAATAAATGTTATCGTGGATATGAGCAGCACCAGGGAGGACTTTTGAATGCAGATGACGGGCTAGATTGACAGGCATGATGATTTGAGTCGTGCCTATTAAAATAAAGTGGCAATAATCAGCAGACATAGACATCTTCATGGATAGAGAAGGTCACTTGGATACTCATGCCAATGCTTATGGCCGACAGAGTACTTACCGGTATCAACAATAGCATGAACAGGCTTTTTTAAGATATCGTCTTGATTCAATTCGACTTTCTCCATCATAATTTCCCAATAGCCCTTCTTTACCACTTTGGACCACGTAATTTGGTTTCCCTCAACCTTTGACTGGTCGTATCCTCCAAGAGCAAGTTCACCATAGCCTTTACCCATATAGAAACCAAACATGCCGCGTTTAATAGCATGCTGTTCCAGCATGGCTAAGAATGGAGGACGTTCATGTGAGCTACTCATTTCTTGATACCCGAGTCCAAAGACACCATCAAAAACTGCGTGCTCAAATATTGAGCTCGTGCTGGTACTTTCCGCAAACCGGACAGGTTTCTTGCTTGTGATGCCGCCAATGGTGACAATGTCCTCTGAAATCAGACCAGAGACCTCACCTGTCCCATATTCGATCTCAAAAGAGCTCGGCGGGCTGATACTTTTGTGGCTGGAGGACCTTTGACTATTGTAACGTTGATGGTTGATGCAGCCATCCTCAATACATTTGATTGAGGGGATCCAGAGGTCGCTAGAGCCTGTATCAAAGACAACATCAAAATATTGTCCAGGGTTGCCGATTTCAACTCGACCATAGTAACCACTGACAGCGCCAATTGTGTTAAGTTTGATGAAAGCCTGAGGAGTATGGTCCTCATATCCACTTTCTTCTTGATGCACTTCCTTAGCTGACATTTTATGCTTTTCTGCTGTCTTCGACCTCTTTGCCTTACCCTCGTTATCCTTGGTATGGCGGTGGTCACTGTTATTGCTTTTACTGTGCTCGTTCTTGTTAATATCGCCTTGGGTGGGTTTGCCTTTGCTACGATGTTTCTCTCCTGTTTTCATCTTAGCGGATTTGTCTGCTTCACGTTCTGGATAGACGTTGGATCGCTTCATGAAAGTAGCTGTACGCTTCCGAATAGAATCCTCTTCATTCATCAACTGCATATTGTGGGATAGAGGAATAAAAGGGGATATATCAGATCGTGTTGAGTAGCGTCTCTTAGAGATGGTGATTTTTGCCAGTGCATCCATCAGGTTTTTGTTCTGGCAGAGCGTGTCACATCCACAATGTACTGAAGTATCTGTCAGCTCATTGGTATTGGCGACTTCATATTTCTGTATTTCGAGCTCTGGTCCCTTCAAATTGGTTAGCAGGTCGATCATAGGCGGCGCTTCGAATTGATTATGGTATTTAAATTGGAATGTAGGGAAAGACGCGGGCGTGGTAATAGTTTCTTCGGCATAGCTGTTTCGTAATATTAATACGGCCGGCACTCCAGCCCAGACAATGAACACAGCGATAGCAGCCGTGATAGAAAATACAAGGGACAGTGCACGGATAAGGTTGATGATCGTCCCTGTTCGTCGTGGACGTGAGAGTGAAGCTGGTGTAGCAGATTTTAGACATGGTGATCTGGCTCCAGCAGAGTGGGGTGTAGGTGCAAAAGTTGTTGTGATAGGGACTAATTTCATATTTGTTATGGATTCTGTGTAGGGTAGATTCGAAAGTATGTGATGAGAGGCAATGGTTGCAAGAGAAGATTAAAAATAAAGATGAAGATTTAGAGTCTTGTCGTTAAAATATTGAGCGCCGAGGGAATATAAAAAGCAGCCCAGGTTGCGACCTGGACCAGAGGCGACTTTCGAATCATCCTTGTACCAAATAACCTTAATGATAGTTTGCTTGATATAGGTTGTCCCTTCTCTAAGCACCTATTTGTACATCATTTGTGGATACATTCCATGTCATGCCAGCTTCTGAGGTCATACTTAAACGGACTCAATCGAGCTTCGCCCATTCCCTAGGTCCTTCGAACCTATAAATTATAGTATGCATGTCGAGATGTAGCACTACAAACTAAAAGTAGGAGAGGTAACTATGCCGCTCAAGCAGTTGATATGCTGTCGTCGGCTTCCCTTCCAGAAGGTCAAGAGCGAGAAAGAAGGCATGGTGTTGAGCATGGTTGTAAGGAAATGCAAGGACTCACTAAGCAGTCACACGCGCGTGGCACACGCGTCAAGCCGAGGCAATCGATGTCGTGAGGTTGGATTTCGCCTGTCCAGTTGTCTTTTGGCTTGTTTTGCCACCACAACAGCTTGTTTCCTTCATACGACATTTTTCACTTAGTGTCAACAGGAAGACAAGAACATGGAATCAGCCTCTTCAGCACCCACACAGGCTTCATCAGCCCCTTCAACATCAGTACCAGGCACTTCTATACCTGCTGCTACTACCACCAATGCTACGAGCAGCACTCCTGGAAATGATCCAACAGCAGAACAAACACCCATGGAGGACATTGTTTCGAACAACGTAGTGACTGCAGAGGCAATCGCTCGTCAGAATCAGACAGTCGTATGTAAATGGGTTTATTTTCAAACTACGCATGTAATACGCCGGTTAGAGTCGACTAAACCTGGACTATACTCTTTTCACTCTTTATTTTATTATTTTGCGGAATTGCAATTGTGGGTGGAATTGTACTTTGTCAGGTAGAGGAATTTCAGTATCTGCTCGAGAAAAGTCAACACTTGTTTGCCGGATTAAGGTATCTCACTGTAACTGTAACACATAGATTTCTAAACCCAATGACACTTTTTTCTTTTGCTTGCTGAAAACAAACATGTATACATCTATTTTCTTCAAATGTACAGAGATTTGCCACCTACAGGAGCAAAGCAATGGCAGCCATACTTTCAGAAGACATTTGAGATCTTTTCAAAGGTAAAGCAGTGAGTATGGAGTAGGTATTTAGAAGGAGTACGAACGAACTTTGTGTTTACATATTTGTTTGTCACTATTTGTACTGACCAAGGATTTGTTGTATCAAAAAAAAAAAAAAAAAAAAAAAAGCTATGGCGATTTCAGCAGCAGAATCGGTAGGTCAGTTGTTCCATATCTTGTGGATTTCCTATTTATTTATGGCTATACTGTTCTGCCTAAATCTCATTAATTTTTTACCGGATTCCTCCTGAATAGATTTGTGCTTGAAAATAGTTATGGACTAAAGCGGTGGGAAGTCGGAGAGATTGCGTCCAAAATCGGACAACTGTATTATCATTACTAGTAAGTTTTGTCAGGAAGCACTTAAATAAGTCCGACTACCAAAGAGCTCCGGAACATCATTGCTTTCCGGATAAATGATAATTTCACTGAGAGGCATGCGTATGGGTGCCGACGTTTACTGATTTAACTCTACAACTCTGTGACATTGCTAGTTTGCGCACAAGTGAAACAAACTACTTGCAGGAGTCATATATTTTTTACGATGCTATTCGTGAAAGACGCTACTTTAGCGAAATTTCCGAAATGAAAAGGTAATAACTAAATGTTATAGTTGAGCCCATGAGTCCAAGGCAGTATCATTTTGTTAACATAATCTTCTGTATATTATCGCTTTAGCCCACAATTAATGATTAAGAAGCTTCGATACTATGCAAGATTTACTGTTGTTTGCTTGCTGCTTAACAATCGCGATATCATCTCCACTCTCAAAAAGGAGCTTGAGGCCCTTGTTAATGAGTATATTACTGTTTACGCACCCTCAGACGCTAAAGAATGGAACCTAGTTGTTCAGGAAGTCAAGTCCTTCACTGATGTATGGATGGACGTCATAATTAGCAACTATCATGGACTCTTTTCAGGGATCACAATTCACTAACATGAGTCGGATTTCCATTCTTAAAATCTAGGCAGAGAAAAAACTTCATCCGGTCAGTTCAGCTGGATCATACTTGCCTGTGACAAGGCGCCTACAGACCAGCAAAGCCATTTCTGCGGCATTAGATAAAGAAGGGCCCACGTCTACAAAACTCAGGCTCCAGGAAGCAATCCTTGTAGGGAATTCTGATCAGATTAAATTTTCTGAGTTGACAATTGATATGTATCGTATATTGCAATCACTTGAGCGAGAGACCCAAACAAGGGGTAGCACCGATACGACTGCAAAGGACACCGCGCCCAGCGCTGTCGCCACAGCTGTTGCTGCAGGCGCTGCGAATGAGACTAGTAGTAGTGGAGCGAATCCACCCATTAAAGAAGAGCCTTCAGAAGATACAAGCATCCCACAACGAAAGACTGCAGAAAAGATTATTAAGCGACCGAATCCGCATAAGTACCTACTATATCGACCTACGCTGAGTCAGATTATGCTTTATCTTGCTACAGCATTTAAGGTACAAATCTTTCGGAAGTAGGATAGCTCACTTCAATAGCAGTGAGTGCAGCGTAGAACCATTGTTAACACTCTTTTGGGCTATGCGCGAAAACAATAGGAAGTATCTAGTGACGGCGCGCTGCTTATTTACTTCTCAGCAATTGGGTCAAAGAGATCTGTGCCAGATCTTTCAGGCGCCAAAGGTATAGGCTTAAGAGTTCAAATACAGTATCTCAAAGTATTCAAGGTTCATGATCTTTCTGACACGACTCTTTTTTTTCTTTTTCTCCATCTGCCTGGCCCTCCATACTATTAACAGGCTATCGTGGAGGAATTGCGACTTACTCTCGTAAGGCATTAGACAATTCTGATCCTGAACAGCAGAGTATCAGTCACTGCCTTCACCCAGGAGATTTGCTTCCATTCACGCGGAAGCCAATGTTTTTAATTGTTGATAGTGACAATAGCAGCGCGTTTGCAGTAAGCCGGCTACAAGCTTGTTTGACATAAAGCAGATATAAAGTGGGCTCTTACATTGCCAATGAATCTGACTGAAATGATGTTTTTTTTTTTTTTTTTTTTTTTTTTTTTCTGTTTAGGAAATACCTCGAGTGTTTAATCATCCATTCATGAGTTTGTTATCGCCAACAGAGTACCCTCCTTCCATCCCAGGTAACTTTGCGAATATTTTAGTCCGCAGCCTTATTATCAATTTTTGTATGAGCTTTGCGTCTACAGTAATCTTACGTTTTCAGTTTCATTTTGTAGATCCGACTCAAATTGGCGGGCTGTTCACATTATTTTTACATGCCCCATTGCTTGCTTTCAGTTTCATATGTGGGATTGACCGGATCAGTCCGGAGACATGGGAGCAATGTTCAGGATTGGTTTCGCAGGCAGAAGGAAAGATTGCAGAATTGATGGCTGCACCAACATTGGGTATAAAAAAAAAAAAAAAAAAAAAAAAAAAAAATTGATTGTTCATGTATATTACATTTTGATGCACAAGGAGGGCCTTGAGTAGATCTAAAAAAAAAGTTCCTTCCATCGTTGGGCGTTCATCTATTATAGATAAATCTTTGCGACGTTTCCTACAAGACGAATTCCTTCGCCAGTTCATGATCCGGTTTGCTTTATGTTATATTATTCTTAAAGCTCATGTTGCCTTTACTGAGCCCAAGGTACTTGCATAGTTATTAGCAATTATGACTCCATTGACTGAATAAGAAAAAAGGTTGAGTTAATAATTTGTATTTTAACACTTTTCCTCTTTGTCCTCTTCCATTTTTTTTTTCTTTTTTTCTTTTTTTTTTTCTTTTTTTTCTAGTATCTCCCGATGTCTTATCCAGCGTTACCAGCATCCGTTCTTGAGTCAGCAGATGTATTGACCAAGATTCGTTCTATGGCTATCTTGGCAAACGCCAGCTGCTTCTCGTTTGATGAGCCAGCTGCAACTGCAGCGCCTGAAAACAATACTGATAATAATAACACCGACAATAATAATAACGCATAATCAAATTTTATAGGATGACACATACTCTCGAATAAAAACAAGAAAACAAAAAACAAGTTGATCGTTTCTTATTTTGTCTTTATCTTTTGATTGATTGGCAGCACACTATTCTCTTCTAAAGTTGAACCTGGGAGATTTGATTCTTTACGACAGAGTCTGTCTAGATAGGCATCACTTTGTTGAGTGCGACCTAAAGGGTTGGGCATGGCATGCTTCCACCACCTTCTATACAGCGGCGGTCGATTATTCTTCCATCGTATCGTCACGATTTGATGTTCATTCGGGAACTTTCGTTGGCTATGAACACTTCCTAGACTTTTAGTATTCTGAGGCTGAATTTGATCGATATTGTCTGCGCTCAAAGGAGGTGTCCTTCTCTTATCCCTGCAACTGTTATTGATGTCTCCTTTCTGATCATTATTTTGGAGATGAGCAGCAGCTGGAAGTTTTCTCCTTGAGGACTTTTCCCCATACAAGATAGGATCACGCACTGCTTTGATCATAAGGTCGACCAGCTCTGCTTGTGGGGTAGTGATGCAATCTGGCTTTGCGAAAATCATAAACTCATAACCTGGTCGAGCATGATCTCGAAAGACCGTTTCGACAGCAGCGGCCAATTTTTTTCTCGCAAAATTCCGGTGGACAGACGATTTGGATATGGTCTTTTTGGAGGTAACATAGGTGACACGGAATGGTGGGTGAGGTGCATGAATTGTTGGAGGATACTTGCGGAGATTACGAAGCTGATATTGTAAGATAAATGGATGTGGTGTTGGAAGAGGAGGAAGCCCGGGCATTTGATTTAATGGTTCATCTTGGCCTTGGTTTAATGCCTTTTCCTTGAGTCCTTGTAATTCTTTATAGTAGCGTTTCATGGCCTTATCGTGTTCATCTATAGCCTTTTGAACAAATAGTGGAATGTTGACTAATAGTTACACATATAAAAAAAAGTGATTTAGAATGAGCTACTACTTCATATAAAAGCAGCTGTAGCTTTAATATCTTACCAGGTGGTGGCTCCCTGAAGGGCATGCGACCGGCTTTAATGGAGAAAGCTTTGGTAGTTAAAGTATATGTATTGGTCCTTTGTACAAACAATCCTTGAACTGCCTCCTTATCCAAACCCTCGATCTGATATTTAACAAGAAGTGAACATTCCCACAAAAAAATTAGAGTTTATCATGGGTTATCACTGCCATTCTTCTTTTTGAATCGGCTAAAATGTGCTTACCCGCTCATTTTCGGATATCACATTAAAGCTGGTAGGCCATTTTTTTTGTGAGGTTGTGATATTGTTGATACTTTTAGATAGAGAGCCGCGATCTGCCTTCATCCGATCATTTGTAGTGGTGACCTGCTTCTGTGTCCGATGAAATTGAAATGCGTCATGCCCATGCTTTCGCTTTATGGCCACATGCTTTGCCTTAGTATGTTTGACAGCTCCTGTATCAGTTGAATACTGCCTTGGAATCAATACTACAGCTGGGTATCGCTGTAGACCAAGGGCTGGATAATTTATCCCAGTAGCGATCCTTAATATAAGCCTAGTGCATGGTATGCTCATGACAAACATTCAACATGCGGAATGAAGAAATGTAAGAAAGAAGGGAGGGAAAGGAAAGGAAGCTCAAAAATGGTACGAGCAAAGTTGATCTCACCAGCAAATTTCCATTTTTGGGGTTGCGCGTGTAATCTGATTCCTCCGTGCCTCTCATGCGAAATAATTATTCCTCCCCAACCTCCAACCATCCCAGGAAACGACCTGTAAATCTTTGATCACTCCCAAGGATAAAAGAACCCACATCAGTAATTCATGTCCTCACATTACAACTTCCCACCACCCAGCGGTGCACCTAATGCTAATGCACCTAACCCACTCCGTCCATACTATACCGGCTCTGACTCACCATTGCAGTCCTATTACAACAACACTCTTTCATCCGTTGCGCTTGAAGAAGAACTTACTTCTCAGGGTGAAATCAACTCACAGGCTGCAGCTAAGGAGCTTGCTAGTTATGGCCTAGTCAAGTACATGACTCTTGCCATCGCAGCCCCGTTTGAAGCTGGCCAGACCCTCCTGCAGGTTCAGTACTTGCCGAACGATGATGGCTTCAACGGTGATGAAGACGATCTTGCTGAGATGGTAAAAAAAGAATCAGAAACTTTTTTGACAAAGCGAAAACGTTTTCTATTAATTATTGATGGGTTCTAAATCTCATATTTTCAACATCGTTCTCCATACAGGCCCGGCGGGAGGAAGAGGCTAGAAGGGCGGCGGCAGAGCAAGCAGAGCGAGAATACTATGAACGCACGGGCGTTTATTCTTCTACATCAGGAAACTATTATTCTAATCAATATGGTAATTTGAACAGCAGCGAATACGCGTTGTCTCGGTCCCCATATGGTCAAGACTCTCGTTCACATATTACAACAACGGCAACAACATCCGATTTTGTCTTCCGAAGCAGCGTTTATGATGAGGCAACTCGCCCGACATACCAAATGGCGCCAATCGAAGGAGGTGTCTGGAAGGCTGTTACCGATTTGGCAAAGCATCCTACAGAAGGCTGGTTGTCACTCTGGAAAGGTAAATAGAAAAGAAGATATGTTTTACCTCTGTCACATATGGTATACCAGAGTTGAAGACTGATAACATCTGCAAATTTGTTCGTACGATTTCCTGTAAATAGGTCAATTTACCAACTGGATCTACGAAATGCTACACCTGTTCGCGCAGCCAACATTGGAAGCGACTCTGAATGACACGTTTGATCTTTACGACGATACCATTCCTCTCGTCCACTTGGATCATGTTGGTCCCAATATTGCGACAATGGTCACTAGTCATCTTGTGGTCGGCTTTATTCTCTCACCATTGGAGCTCGTACGAACACGATTAATTGTACAAACTGCTAACCCATTGCAGCGCAAATACAGTGGCATGATCAACTGTATTACAACAATCATTCAAGAGGAGGGCGCGTCAGCGTTGTGGGGCGGTGTCAACCTATTCCCGACATTGATTTACCATACATTGACTCCTTTACTCTCAAATTCGATTCCCTTGATCATTGACAGAGTCTTTAAACTCTCAGCGGCAGATTCACCGGTGCTGTATTCTTTAGCCGAATTGGGATTGAATACTATTGAGCTCTTGATCCGTTTGCCTATTGAGACCGTCAGGAAGCGTCTTCAGATTCAGATCCAGCGTAAGGATCGTCAAGCTTCTTCTTCCAGCAAGAAATATCGTACTGTTGTTGAGACAAGAAAGCGGCAGTATTATGGTATGGTGGATTGTATATATAGGATCATTAAGGAGGAAGGCAGCCATCATAAACGAGTGTCAACGACCAAGGTTGTTAAGGGACCAAATGGTGAACAGAGACTGAGCACTACTGCAGTTCAGCCAAGACCCTGGTACTCTGCGTGGGGAGTTCGTGGTTTGTACACAGGGTTGGGTATGCATCTGACCACCAACATTGGATTGTTTGCAGTAGGAGCAGTGACCAATCTGCAAGACGAAGGCGATGATTGGTGAAAAAATGTATAAGAACATTTAAAAAAGAGTACCTCCCTTTAACATAGAGTAACAATAAAACTTGATCCTGGACTAATGAAAATAACAGACTAGGTTGGCCAACATGTCATCATAACCGAACTTTTGAACCCTCATTTTAGGCCCGACATTATGAGGCAGTCACGAATTCCTGGTAAAATGCCAAACGTCTCATTCAACTTTTAAAACCATTCACCAAAAAAATAAGAATCATTTCGGTGGAAAATGAGTCATTCAGACAACGAGGATTCACACCCACCTTTGGCTGTGCCTTTAGACACCAAGGACCTTGATAGGGATATGGCCTTAAACGACAGCAGCAGCGGTTTCGTGGACGACGACGACGAGCAAATGCCTGATCTGATTGAAGCGCCAGCTACAGATACTAATGTCATCAATGCAACAAAAGTTGCAACAGTAGCCGACGATGGTGTTCCGAAAAAAAAGATACCCATTACTATCATCACAGGCTTTTTAGGCTCTGGAAAATCAACATTATTGGATTATATCTTGACAGAGAAGCATAACTTTAAAGTAGCAGTGATTCTGAACGAGTTTGGAGACACTGGCGGAATAGATCAAGCCATGAATGTGGGTATGGGAGGCGAAGTAGTGGAGGAATGGTTGGAGTTGAAGAATGGGTGCCTCTGTTGTACTGTCAAGTATGCCTTCAATTTTTTTTTTTTTTTTTTTTTTTTTTTAAGATTTTCATTTTACTTCAATATAAAGTCAAATCGCTCAGCAATGATTAATTTTTTTTTTTTTTTTTTTTTTTTTTTTTCGGGTTACACCATGTCATATAGAGACAATGGAGTAGTAGCGATTGAAAACTTGATGAAGAAAAAGGGCAAGTTTGATTATATTTTACTCGAAACCACAGGATTGGCTGATCCAGGACCCATTGCTTCTATCTTTTGGATGGATGACGATCTTGGAAGTGATATCTACCTCGACGGCATTGTTACTGTGGTAGACTCCAAGAATGTCCGGAAGGTAACTAAAAAGGATAATGTTTTTTATAAAAAAAGGAATTCAGTTATTCTTTATTATTAATGTATTTACACTTTTCTATTTACAGGAACTTGAAGTCAAAAAGGAGGATGGTAGCTTAAACGAAACTGCAAAACAGATCGCCATGGCAGATCGACTAATTCTCAACAAGACAGATCTTATCAGCAAAGAAGCCGTGGATCAATTGGAGGAAGATTGTAGAGCCATGAATGGTGTAGCACAAATTGTGCGGACGCAACACTCAAAGGTCGACCTGAGGTTTATCCTTGATATTGCAGCATTTGATGCAGTTCGAGCCCGAGAGTTGGAGCAGGCTGATCTTGTGCTTAAAAAGCAAGGAGCTGTCGACAATGACCATGATCAACATAATGATCCGAATCATGTACATGGTGAGGCATGTGGGCATGAGCACACAAAAAGCAAGCAGCAGTCGCGACACTTGGATCAGGTATAAACGGGTAGATGTTGTTATCAAATGCTTCCAAGAGATATTTTTACATTCATATGGTTATGGACTTATTTTTATTTTTTTATTTTTTATGGATTCATAGTCAATCAAGACAACAACGTTAAACTTCAACACCACAACTGTGGATCAAAAGCTTTTTGAGCATTGGCTTCAGATGCTGCTTTGGGAGCATCAGATTCCTGATACTCCTGAATTTACAACTCCAATCTTGTCATCGGCCTCAGAAGACACGGCCATCAATAATACTGCGGTTAAACTAGATATCCTACGTGTCAAAGGGATTTTGAAGCCTTCGGGTCGGCCAATCGGAACTAGAGCCGTCATTCAGGGGGTGCAAGAGCTATATGATATTAAAGATGCTACGACTTCTGGGCCTAGTCAAGAGGAACTGGTGAATGCAGGGAAAGTTGTCTTCATCGGACGTGGACTTGATGATAAAGAAAGGCTACTCGCTTCTTGTTTGCATTACATGCATTTAAACAAAGGCGAGGTGAGTATTCAATAGGCTCGATTTCTTAATTGACAAAATGGTGGTAATAAAAATGAGCATTGATAAAGGTACAAAGGAGTACACAAAAGGCAGTTCTTTTGGAGTATTCTCCGACGTTTATTTGCATTTCTCTTTCATGTTTGCGTGAGCAGTAATGAATGTTTTGTCGATGCAATAGCAATGCCAAAACTAAATCCACATGCAGGAGCAATGACTCTGTTTTTCGTACTTTCAGGGAATCTCCCTCCCTGTTTACATGTGTAATATTTGTTTTTAAGGTTCTTTTACGAGCACAGACACGTTCATTAGCGGAGTTTCTTTTTTTACTCCAGACGCGTTTTTCTTCAAAGGTTCATTTGAAAACGCACAATGGAAAAGTATCTCAATTAAAGTCTTTTCTGCTATATCTCCAGTGTACTGATGTCCATCTAAGCTACTCCTGATTGGTCTTTTTTTATTTCCTTGGGATAGTTCTAGTGCCAATCAAAGGTAAATCACCATGCATTGAACCAATTCATCATAGTTTGTGCAATGCTATTTATAATACAGTTTAAATAAGTGGTAGTGTTCTCCGTTTCGTTCGATCGATTTGGTTGCGAGCCTCTACATTTTATCTTGTGAATTACTGAAGATCGTAAAAAACCAGACCATATTAATACTTATTTAAGTCGATGGATCGTGTTTCCATAAAGAAGATTCTAGGCAATCCGTAAAGCGATCCATTCTCCTGGAATAAAACGATCCCTTTTTCTCCCTTTTTCCTCCACCCCTCTGTTTTGGGACATTAGAATATTTCAAAGCACAACGTAAAAGTCGGGAAATTTTTACCAAACGTCCTCAACTTTCATGGACTGGCCTCCTCCTCCAAAACAGATGAGCGTAGTCGCTATTAGTGGCATGTACGATGTTTGCAGAATCGTATGATCCTAGCGGGAATTAAGCTTTTTTTTTTGTGTGTGTGTGAGAGAGAGAGGGCCCAGTTCTAAACCACTATATTATTCAGCATTGCATGATGGGATTTGAAGTTGTAGTAAGGGTATTGGTCCTTCAGTCTTCTTTTATATAGGCAACAGGCAAAGTATAAGCTGCTTCATCATTGGCTTACGACCCCTTCATTCGGGGAAATTCAGGAGTAACGCCTAATCGCACTCCATGTGCCTCACTTCAAGCAAAAACGGTCATTATCTTTTATAAATACATGGATACATGGAGAAACATGAACTACAATAGGCTTAGTTTGACCCTTGAGCCGTTGCTACTTTCTTATTTTGTGTGGTCAATGCTCAGGTCAAAAAAGGATCTTTTGAAGCAAGGCTTATTAATTTTAGTTCTTTTTAACGTCCTTTGATGAATCAAGATTTTTTTTTATTTCCGTCCTTTAATCCTGTCCTAACCTGACAACGAATTTTTTTTTTCTCTTTTCTCTTTTCATTCTTCAATACCACAAAGCAAAAAAACGCCTCCTGGACTTCACTCAACTTTATACCTTATTATTATTCACCAGCAATAATAGCCCATCATCATCACCATCATCATCATCATCATCACCATCATCATCATCACAGCGAGTCATCTTTGGCTTACATCCGTCCTATTAGAGTCGCTTTCCTTCCAAGTCTTCCTAAAACGTGTCCCTAGGTTATAGGGCTTTGTGAACGTTTACCAAACGTATCCGCAGTCGTTACAGGCTCTCTCTGTCCTGCATCGCTGCCCCTGGCTCTAGAGCCTCAAGCGCCTCATATTGGATATTGTCATCTTCCGTACCGAGAGCAATAGCAGAAATAACTGTGGAACTCCAACTTCCCCCAATATAGACTCTACCATGGGGATCACAATAGAAGCCAAGTTTGAATCACAGGACTCTCCATCAAACGCTAATCCCTCTTCTGCTTCCCCGACTAACCTACTATTAATGCCTACTTCGGTAGAGCTGTCACCTTTATCAACACCTATATACCCACATTTACCATCTTCCTCATCGTCCCCACCTTCCAACATCGTATCCAGCCAACTCAACGAAGAGATTGATGTAACATTCGGCAATGACAGAATTGTTATTTTTCATGAGTCAAATATCCAAGTAGCAACGCCAAGACTGTCACATCGACCTACATTGCGGCAAGCCAGGCAAAATGGCGCAGCAGTCTCACTTCCTCGTGAGCCCCTCTCTATTAACAATACTGAATATGACTGGGATCTGCCTAATGGACAAAGCAACTATAACAACTACAATAGCGACAGTGATGACAGCAACAATAATGACGATGATCAAAATACAGAGTATGGACCTCGCCTTTCTTTAACCACATCTGCCGTCGGTGGTGAGAATAGAGAATATGAGCACGAGGACGAGCATGAGGGACATGAGTCTGCAGAGCAAATGCGGCAGTCGTCATCACTTGGCGACATTAATTATGCACAAGACTGGAATCGACTGCTACAGCCACATCCCTCTCACTCTCGCTCCCCGTATCAGTTATCACCGCCTTCGATACCATCACTTACAACTACAGGACCGAGCCAGCAGCAACATCACACACTATCACGATTCCTTGCATTATCAACCCCGATGATCAGGGAAGTGTCGTTACCTTCTGATCTACCGCAGGCAAATGAACCAGTCGCGCTACAGATCAGACGCGTCCAGAGTGAATATAATCTTGGTCTCCGTCAACGGCTTGTGCAACAACAACAACAACGACTACAGCGTGAACAGCGGCTATTGGAGCATGAGCATGCCGCTGCGCTGCTCCCACCCTCACCTACAGCTCAAAATCAGACAAGGATGAGCCAAGGCCCTTTCTCAGATCCTGCTCCCATACTGCGGCGGCATCGCACAGCTCCATTACCGCTTGCTTATCTACAAAACTCTCATCTCTTGACGCCTGGCTCTCTGGCCCATCACCATCCGCACACTTCGATTGCTAGGTCACCTGAGCCTCGGGACGCTGAGGATCAAATGCTCACATCTGTTGCTATAGCACGATCTGACGATAGAGACACTCGACATCCCCATCATCACTACCAACAGCTACATCAACGACAGAATCATCAGCTTACATTGTCAGACGGCGATAGGGCTTATCACGAGAGTGGAGGCCCAAGTTTCCCGTTATCAGTGCCTCAATCATCATCTCCTGATCCTGGTTTTACTCAAGATGGGGTTGATTTAATGTCTGCCTCTGATTTTGTGTCCCCACCTAGGCCTGCTAGATCTGTCTCGTGGTTATCCTCACCACATCATCAAGCAATTCCTTTTATGAGACGTTATTTCGAGCATACAACAGCAACTCTTATATCCTCTTCGGCATCCGTTGGTAATATCATTGAGCCACAGGGCTCTATCGACGGGTTTGTAAATGGACTCGAGACTAGGGTGGGTGTCAATTGGGCTGATCTAGACATTCAAGGGCCTCGTCGTGACGAGCACACTTGGAGATCACGTACTGCAGAGTCCGATCCTTTGCATGCCGATCCTTTGCATGCTGATCCTGATGAGGAGATGGTTGGAAGATAATAAATATTTAGGCTTATTCATGCTTTTTATTATTATTTTTTTTACGAAAGCATCATTTGTAGTTCAAGTGTACCGCTTCAGTAGTTTACACACACCTTATCCTTTTACTTATCTGATATAATATGCCATCTCATTTATCAACTTGAGAACTTTAAAGGTTGTTGTACTGAATGAAGTCATGTCTTAAATCACTATGCAGACTAATTCTCTACATCTTCCACCTTTTTCTTTTCCCTCTTTATTTTGATATTTTACAGGGCGGGGTTGGCTATCATATTAAAACCGCCATCTGATATTTTTTTTCTTCTTCTTCCCTTCTTATGCTTGCGAAGTTCTATTGGACTGCCGTGGTCTAATCATAAACGCCAAGATTACACAAAGACCCGTCAAGAGAGCACAGCAATACCATACAAATTCAGGCCATGTTCCAACAGTCAAGGCATACACTCCAGAGATCACTACTGGTGAAGCAATTCCTGCAATCGAATCCACTACTTGAATAGCACCCAACGCAGCTCCAAACTGGGATGGTTCCACCAAGTTGGTCAAGATCGTCTTGAGAGAGGGCGATGCAATAATGCTGATCGCATGAAGTGATGCCCACAGATAAAAATGCCAGCCTTTTGTCGCAAGTCCATACCCAGCATAGGTAGTCGAGTTGATCACAAATCCAAGACGTACAATCCAAGTGTCAAGTTTAATATCGCCTTTTCGAGACTGCTGTTGTCCCTGTTCTTCACTGGAATTAGCCTTATTGGCTTTACTGTTGTTATTTATGGTAATACCGGAACTAGGACGAGTGCTCGAAGATAATGAAGCCTTTCTTAGAGTAGACGGCGATGAAGGTGAAGAATATGATGAAGAGGGACGTCGCATGCGGTTTGGTGTCAATGTAATTGCAGAATCAGCAGTTGATTGACGGCGACGACGTTCTTGGAAGGACTCTTCATCATCTGACAAATTTAGGGCAGCCTCTCCCAAATGCTCTACTCTGGAGGCCACTACAGGATCATCAAGTCCTCCACCCAAGATCTGCTCAGGATGGTTTGCGATGATGCGATCGCTATTATCGTTGATGTTGTTGTTGTTGCTATTGCTGTTGTTTTTGCCCTTGGCTGTATTTGTTGTTGTTGCGCTTTTCGACGTCTTTGCTTCTCTTTTACTAGTTCTCTTATGGTAGGTATGAACGAGAATGGGTAAAAGAACAAGCAGTGAAAAGAAGCGGACGGACGAACTTAAAGAGAGTAGAATCCCATCTTCGTACTCCGTCCAATTGAAGGCTCGATTGGTGTAAAGAATCAATATAGAAAATGTGCCTTTGAGAGCCAACATCTGCAAGAATGATATGGCCCCTACTAAGATCATATTCGTGTTTTGACCATTTGGTTTGAAAAATTGGAGAGATCGAATCATGTGATAATGCCATGCAGTTGCTGCCGCTGATGACAGCGAAGACTTCTTGGTTGGACTCTCTTGATTATTAGATTTGAGCGCTTGTTCGTATAGCTCCTGGATATGAGCAGACTGTTTTCCTGGCAAGGATTCGGGAGTGATAAAAAGGCCCAAAAGCGCCAAGATCGTCACTCCAATGTCAGTGTAAACAACCAGCAAGATACTGCCTGTCAACTTGACAATCAGTCCACCTAGGAAGGGCCTATTAAAGAAAAAGAGCAATATATATATATATATATAATCTATGAGTATTACGTTGTTACATTTCTTTTCATGACTAATAACAGACGGAGAGAAGGAATTATCGTTTTTTACCCGATGCTCAGACCCATGAAAAGCGCTGCATGCAGCCACGAAAACACCAAGCTTCGTCTGCTGGGCTCCGTACAATCTGCAGCGTATGCTAGACTCATAGTGCCTCCGATGCCTATCCCTCCCAGTAATCCATGGACCAATGTAGCAAAGGCCATGAACGGCAGGCCAACCTGATCCCACCATTTACGCATAATAATGATGGATATGAGCATGGATAGGCTGTTTAAGATACCAACACACATAATCTTAATACGTCCATACTTGTCGCTCAACGAAGCGTAATATCCGATCGAGAGTGTAGCTATTTAATATGAAAATTATTGTAAAAATATCGACATTGACATGTTAGCTGAACATGCACCTGTGCATCTGCAAAAATGCGCCAATTACGAATGCTCGATCACCCCTGCTGCGCTGGAGAAGAAACGCAAGGATTGGTACGTTATGCACGCACCATCTCGAAAATCCCCAGTTATGATCTGCAGGTAATTAATCGTATGATTTCTAGTGGCATTGGGTTTCATCATCGATCAAACATTTTGCTTACCTGCAATACCACCCAGGACTTCCATAAGCGCCACTATCTTTGCAGTATATGCCTGAATTTCTGGTGCATTGCATCCTGGTGCAGGCCTCAAAGAAATATCAACCGCAGCATTAAGCAAGAAAGAGGCGGTGTTCGTTATCAAGGTCGCCGTGGCATTTGCGGGCTCATGACGGTTCATATACTCTCGGCAAAGCAGCTCTGCTTGGAACTGACCAAGGGAAGAAAATAGCATTCCTCCACTCATGGAAGTCAGACCATAGATCGGTATTAGCCATAACACTGATGGACGCTTATACCAGGGAAGGTTCTCGGCCAAGATTTTGACGTAGAGCGAAATAGGGTCTGAAGCGTCTGAAGCGTTATCATTTGTAGACGAAGGGAGTAAAGGAGAAGTCTCATTTTCTTCCCAAATAGTATCTTTTGTGGTGTCATGCGGATTGTAGGACCGTTGGCCCCGAGTAGGAGACGTCATTGGTGGAATCTATGGACTTATGGTCTATGAATTTTAAATAAAGGCAAAAAGGGAGATGTATGACATAGACGTTGAGTAGGGAAACAAAAAAAAAAAAAAAAAAAAAAAAAAGAGTGGAGAAAGAAATGAATGTGCCCATGTCGATGACAGGGCATGAAATGCACGAATGAGAGGAAACAGGAACTAACACAAAACAGGATGGCAGTTGAAGATCAACTGGTCATTCAAAGTTTGAATGCATTTCAAATCATTTTTGACCCACGAAATTTAATTTGTTATCTTTTGCATGTTGTTTGGGAATTGGGAATAAAAAAAATTTCTTACATAGACCAATGCTTCTCTCTTCAGGAGTGAGTGAACGCGACTTTTTTTTAAAGGAGTGGACAAAGTAAAAGGTTAAAAAGAGACGAGAATGGTCGAGATTTTGCTATACATATTCTTTATCACAGTTACTTATACAGTAAAAAAAAAGAAAAAAAGAAAAAAGAAAAAAAGCCTTGCAGAATAGAAGAAGGACAGGAAACAGGAATACGAAGATTTAATTTGAAAGAACAAGGTTTGCGATGACCCGCATCATTATTTGTTGCATGTGTTGTGTAGGAGAGCCAGAATAAAAAAAAAAAAACACATCAATGCTCGATAAGGCAAAGAACAAGACACTACCCGATCCTCAGAAAACATGCGGTACTGCCAGTCTGTTAATTACGAAATAATTATGTGAAAAGATTTAACATTCAATGAGACTGAAATCAGTTTAGTGCACCAAGAGGTTCGTATGGGGGAGCCAACAACACAAGTGATCTGGATGCTCAAAATCCGCAATGGATAAAGTTCATGGGCCAAGCCCGATGATACTCATCCTTTCCCAAGAAGGCTACATTAATGCAGATAAATTTTTTAAACTCCAGACACACAAATGCGTGTTGTGGTTGCACGTCCTGTGCAATCTTGCATTACCAAGGCACCATGCAAAAGCCTTGTTTACAAAGTTCATCGTCGAAATGACAAAACTACACAAAAGATCTGATTACTGGTTTGCAATGGTCCATTTAATTATTTGTTCTTCAAAAACAGCATTTTCGCACGAGAGTAACACGAAATTAAAGCCGCTTCATTTCCAAAAATGGTTCACTCAGCCTTTCGAAAAACGCCCACTGTCGTGTCAATGACAAATTGGCCTACTGTACGACAATACACAAATGAAGGAACGGATGTGGTCCGCATAGTCTAGAGGCCTAGAATACCATGTTGTCATGGTAAGACACACACCAAGGAAAGGCTCTGTTACACGCGATTGTTCATTTCGAAGTTTAGAAATCAATTTTAGACAGAGGCAATTTTTTTTTTTTTTTTTTTTTTTTTTACTCTGTGAACTGAAGAAACGCGTCGTATCCAATGTATATACTAAACATTACTTAATTTCCCTATACGCATTTTATACGCACGCATCCAATCACAGCACACAAGCATCTTTGCTAGTAATCTAGAGTAGCGTTTGCTACTATGTGCTCTACTTCATAGATTTCCTTGTCCACAGCTCAAAACGATCACCATAGCCTTGCTTACAGATCCAGAGAAGATGTACGCTGCTAATCGCTCCATAATCCCCAAGTCTGTAGCCTTTTTGCGTACGCATTTGTAGCTTTCCCTCTCTATTAGAGGACTGAAATATAGAATCCTCCTTTCTGCTCTTTGTACCATCTTCATCCTCAGTGCCTACGTCATCCTCAGAACTGGTCTCTGAGGAATAATCTACCAATGGGAGCCTTTTTTGGGTACATCCATGTGACCCTGTATCACTCAAAGCGCGTTCAACCTCTTCTTTGGCTAAACGAAGCCATTTGGCATCCTCACTCTTGTCCATAACACTAACTGCATATGTTTGTTGTTGCTTAAGGCACACAGGCTGTTGATAACTACTTTTTCTATCACCTGATATTCCTTCTACTTCCGCTTCTGCTTCCGCATAGCAGCGAATCAGCTTCTCTGCTGATGGTAATGATGACGGTGAAGGTGAAGGTGAAGATGAAGGTGAAGGTGAAGATGAACACTCCTCTGATTCGTCTTCTCCTGATTCATTCTCAGCAAGGAATTTAATCATATCAAGCTCAAAATCTTGCCATGGAATGATCCGTCCCTCTAGCCCCCATTTCTGAAGCAAAGGATCGATATTTCGTTTGGCGCTTCTGTCCTGATATGTTGTTAAAAATATACACTCTGGATTACGTCGATTGATGATATAGGACACTGTCGCCATCAGTGAGTCAAAATCTACATGAGTTTTAAGACGTAGTAGCAAAAAATAAAAAAATAAAAAAATAAAAGTGTAGTTAATAGATGACATGAAACCGTTACTTTGATTAGCAGGTAGGTGGATGATTCTTTTGTTTCCTTTTTCATTACCTGAAGGATCATAAAAGAGGTCGCTACCGAGAATCACATCAATGTGGCGGGTTTCAAGGTCTTCCAGCAACCGCAATAGCCCGCCATCATCCTCATGTCCACTCGCTGCCTGCGAAAAATCGCCCCAACCAAGTCCTCGAACCATGACGCGAGATGTGGGGTCTTTGGGATAGAATGTTTTAATACCATTGTCGATGAATGCTTCACGAATGTTTTCCAAGATACGAGGTTCTCCAGGTCTGTCTGTCACAATCACAAAAGTATGATCGGTCGCTTTTGCAAGTAACAGTGATGGCAGAGCAGTTCCTGCACCTATCTCCAGGATGATCAAAGGCTGTGTTCGAGAATTATTAAAGATATCCAGACGATATGCAATGAATTCTGCAAGAACGAGCGCAGACGGCCAGACATATAGACCAAAATCCGGATCTAGCAACTGAGTAAAAAAAAAAAAATGTTTAGTTGATTACAGATGAATCGTTTATTTTAAGGGAGAAAGGGAGAAATGACAACTTGCCTCGGTCACATTGATGGAAAAAGATCCTCTTTTAGTGTCATAATGAAATTGTTTGCAAGCTTTGAGCTGATTTGAAGGGCCATGAGTTGTCATCGAAGGCAAGCTAAGAAAAAAAAAAAAAAAAAAAAAAAAAAGCCGGCTTATTTCTATGTCTGTCCACGGTTCAACTTTACAACTTTAATAAGACACATCTAATTTCTCCATTAACTCACTCATTGACTCATGGCAGACACGGCAAAGGACTTTCGCACTACATTTGATGCTGAAAAACAAAGTAAATCCTGGTGATCATTCCACGTTCTTGACGTTGTTACCAAGATCATATCAAGCTATTCTAACCTTCTTTTTTTTTTTTTTTTTTTTTTTTTTTTTTTTTTAAAAAAAAAAAAAAAAAAAGATATTGAAGAAAGCCTTACAAGACTAGACCAAGTCCCAAAGGCTGATATGCAAGTGGCTATTGATAATCTTGTCCAACGAATCCATATCCTTGAAAAGACGGTGACAGAAAAAATCAGTGTCCTACCACCATACGATGCCAGGGTGTGTATGGAGGTATGTATCTTTATTAAAAGTTAACCTCAACAGTAGTTTGAGTAACGTATATAAAGGCGATTGGAGACATTTACTGACCTTGAGCAATCTAGGCAATCAAATCCTTGTCAGAGCGACTGAACCAATTGCGCACAACACTCGTTCCCAAACCAAAGTTTTCATTCAAGTCAAGAAAGGCTTCTTCATCAACAACAACAGTAACTGCGGCTTCATCTTCGCCAGCCTCTTTGCCAAAGGCAACGGAAACCCCCAGATCTTCCTCATTGGTTGACCAGAGCTTGTTTATGAAGTTTGAGGATCGGACAGGCGAACATTTGTTTATTGGATCACTTCCTATGTCCGACGATTCGTCCAAGGATGGAGTAGAAAGGGGAACGACTACAGTTGCGAAGGATGTTGCATTAACAAATCTGACGGATTGCACAGTCAATCTGGTCCACAACATCCCTTTGGGCGCGATCCACATTAAAAACCTGAAGCGCTGTGTCTTGGTCATTCCTCCGGTTTCCGGAAGTATTTTGTTGCATGATTGTGAAGGATGCACATTGATAGGTGCTTGTCATCAGGTAAAAGGAGAAGAGAGAAAACTTTGAACGCTGTTTCTTTGCCTTGAAGCAATATCTAAAAGGTAAACGCACTACCATCTAGTCTCGTATGCACACGTCCAAAAACATGGATATTTACCTTCATGTGACAAGTGAACCGATTATCGAGGACTGCAACGATATGCGGTTTGCGCCGTATGGGCAAATCCTACCCGTGGATGAGCTTAAAAGATTATTTGAGGTATTGTCAAAAAAAAAAAAAAAAAAAGGCATTGTTTGGTCTCGCTTGTGTTGACGTTCCTAATATTTTATATTTTTAAAAAATGTACAGGCTGCCAATCTGAATCCTACCAAGAATTACTATGACAGGGTTAAGGATTTTAACTGGCTACGACAGCAACAGTCGCCTAACTGGCGTTTGATGGAAGCAAATGAGATCCAGCCAGCAATTGCTCAACAGGTTCTGGCAAAGGATCGACAACTTTAGAACTTCATTTTCATTTTAGATTAGATTAAATTTCTGTGGTCAATTAACAATTCCCACCGTCACATTTGCATCATATACATTTCAGATAAATAAAGAGAGCAACGGTTATTATTTTTCCTTGTTCTCATGTCATTCACAATCTCTTGAATTAATGCCATCCATTGTTTATAAAAGTTTTTTTACCTTTCCGCTATGCATGAAGAAGTTATTGCCAAAAGGGCCAAGATCCCTCCTCATCACACTCTCACATCACTCTCTTTAACTCACGTTCAATTCAGTGGTGATGATATCTATTCAAAGATTTTTGCTCACCTTACACTTTCACCGCTGGCGATTATCTGTGGTTATATCGCCGTTGTATTAACCACAAGAGACCTTACAGTGGTCACGATGTTTGCAGGTCAACTCTTGAATGAAGGCATCAATTTTGTACTTAAACGCTTGGTTAAGCAAGCAAGACCGACAGGTATAAGATTACTAATATTTAAAGGATGATGAAAGAATTTAACATTTTACCAAACACTAACCAATGATACTGGGAAAAATAAATAATATTAGAATATCTGGGTGATGGCTATGGTATGCCTTCAAGTCACTCGCAATTCATGGCATATTTTGCAGCCTACATGATCCTTTTGGTGTATCGAAAGTAAGCAAGAAAAGGAAGTGATTTTCCAAAGGTCATAAAAGAGATCCTAGCTATTCTCTCTCTTTTTTTTGTTTTTTTCCTAATTATCCTTGGATATCCAATGTATACTATGTCTTTAATGTTAGCGGTGCCTCATCTGGAATCGTCAGTCCGCACTTCATATCAGCGGTTGTCACCCTTTGGTCCTTATTAGTGGTCTACTCTCGGTAAGGATATTCTTTCAAGCTACAAAGTAAAAAAAAAATAAAATGCCTACTTCTAACAAAGCGGAACAACTGATGATATTTTTTTTCTCTTTGAAACACATCTTAAAACTTTCACTTTCAAGTGTTCACTTATACTATCATACCTGGCAGCAAGTAGTGGCAGGATCGATTTGTGGAACTTTAATTGGAGTAGGATACTACTTTTTCACTCAAAAGTTTTTGCGATCGAAAGGCATGCAGGACTGGATGTTGGATAATCCGCTTGGACGCTGGGCTCATATTGTCGATCGAGAACAAATGGATCATGTATATCGGTGGGAATGGGAACAATTCCAGCAGTGGCGCAAGATCAGTCAGGGCAAGAAAAGTGATTAAGTTAATAAAAAATATCTCTATATAAATAAAGCAAACTTTAGTGATCATGTGATAATCCAAGGCGTAAAGAACGGGGGTTGGACACGTTTTTCTTTCTATTTTCACATCTTTCAGTTTTTTTTCTTCAACAAGTCTGTCAGTCATGTCAGGAACAAGAAACACCAGCAAAGAAAAGGGCAAGAATGTAGCCCGCAATACTAATCAAGAGGACAAGACGGCGTCGTCGGCTGCTCGATTTGAACAGGAGTTGATGAATGCACCTGCTGATGTCCAGGAGAAATTGCGTGCCTTACTTCATCAGATGGCTCTTAATAGTGGCTCTGCCAATGGAAAAGAGCCAAAGTCAATGGAGGAGCACAAGTTCTGGAAGACGCAGCCTGTTGTGAAGCATGGTATGGTTTGGTACTGAGATTAAATCATGTCTAATAGATTTGAAGAAAAGAGGTGAAATTCGTAGCGTCTTATTGTTATTATGTTGTTGTTGGGACGATATCCGATCGAATCAACTGTCTATTTGGGGTTAAATATCTCAAGCCTCATGTCTTCTTCCTTGATTTATCTTTCTTATTTTGCAATAGATGAGGTTGTTGACGAGGATGGAGCAATCGAGCCAGATGTCCCACTGGATCAAGTTCGTGCTACTCCTTATCCTTTGCCGAAGGAGTTTGAGTGGTCATTAGTCAATGTAGAAGATGATAAGGAGATCAAGGAGCTATATGAGCTTTTGACACTCAACTATGTGGAAGATGATGATGCCATGTTCCGATTTGACTACTCGGCAGAGTTCTTGAAGTGGGCTCTGTTGCCTCCAGGATGGAAGAAGTCGTGGCATATTGGTGTTCGTGTAGCCTCAAACAAAAAGCTTGTTGCCTTTATCAGTGGAATCCCTCAGGATGTCCGTGTTCATAACAAGTAAGGAGGTTGTTCTTATTTTCTTTTTATACGATCATCTCTGTATTACATTATATTGACCTCTTTTTTTATCAACCTATCTTTGTCTCTACCAAAAAAAAAAAAAAAAAAAAAAAAAAAAGTGTTAAGCGCATGGTCGAGATCAACTTTTTGTGTATCCACAAGAAGCTCCGCAGCAAGCGTTTAGCTCCTGTATTGATCAAGGAAGTGACACGTAGGACACATTTGGAGGGCATTTTCCAAGCTGTTTATACTGCAGGAGTCGTTCTTCCAAAGCCGATGGCCACATGTCGTTATTTCCACCGATCACTTAACCCCAAGAAGCTGGTCGAGACTGGGTTTTCACAGTTAGGACGTAACATGACAATGGCTCGCCTGATCAAACTGTACAAAATGCAGACTCAGACGAATACACCTGGATTGAGACCTATGGAAGAAAAGGATGTTAAAGCAGTATCGACATTAATGAACAAATACATGTCTCATTTCAATTTGGCACCTCATTTTGGAGAGGAAGACGTCCGTCATTGGCTTATCACTCGTCCTGGAGTCGTCTGGGGTTATGTTGTTGAGGTAATGCACAGTTGCTCAATGATTCAAACAAACAAACAGACAAAGCATAAACAAAAACAAAAAATGCATTGGCGTTCTTCTGCCCAAACTTATTTATGTTCTGAAAATGGCTGCTCTAGGATCCGGAAACAAAAGAGATTACGGATTTCTTCTCGTTCTACTCACTTCCATCGACTGTCATCAATCACACGACGCACTCGACGTTAAATGCTGCTTACTGTTTCTACTATGCTGTGCAAATACCGGATGAAGAATTAAGTAAGATTGCAGATGTGAGTGAACGCGAAGCTGCGCGTGACAAGGCGATCAAGGACCGTCTGACTGGATTGATGCAGGACGCTTTGATTTTAGCGCGCCAGAATGATTTCGATGTCTTCAATGCTCTCAATCTGATGGACAATTCGCTGTTTATAGATGATTTGAAGTTTGGCCCGGGCGATGGATACTTACACTTTTATCTTTACAACTGGAGGTGTAGAGAAGTTGAAAGCAAGAAGGTCGGACTAGTTATGTTGTAATCAATCAACCAAAAAGACAAGCAATCTCAAAGTCATTATATACAATGGTGTCATTAGACAAATAGCAGAGAAGAAAAAAAAAAAAAAAAAGCCATTCGTATAACTTCGTCCGTAATACGAACAAACTTGTCATTTTAAATGGGTTTAAAATCAGCATTGTCTTAGAATTTTTTTTCCGACGTGTATTTGCTGGTCGAAATAAAAGACCGAAAACAAAATATATTGTGGTGCATGCAAATGTGATGACGGTAGCCAAGAAATGATACGGAAGGAAACTATTACGGAATGGGTACTTCAATGCTATTGTTTTCAATTAGCATCCACTGCCAAACTCTATCAATACATGAGCCTACAAAGTTTACCCATCAACAGCTCATGATATTAAATGGAAGCATTGTCTTGCTCCTTTCTCATTCCCTTATCGATGTTGTTTTCACTGGCCCTTGTTCCTTATCTTTCCATTAACCTTGTCTGCCTGCATGCTTCGTTCTTCATCTATTCACTTTGAGCCTTAAACCTTTTTTTTTAAAAAAAAAAAAAAAAAAAAAAAAAAAAAAGTTCGCTCGTTTACACTTTTTTCCGCTCTTTTCTATTTTTTATCGCCGCTTTTTCCTTTCTCTCGCTCTAAATATTGCCGTATGTAAAGTGTACTTTGACCGCGACGCAGTTGGAGCGGAAAGCATTACAAGAATTGGCCTTGCTCAGGCTGAGAACCAAGGGAGGTCTGCGAAGTACAAGTCTACAGAAGAGTCACCTGTCTTCTCGCCTTGTAAAGCGCATACGACATTGGACACGAATATTTGGGTGCCGGTTCTATTTATTTCCGTCTCCTATATCCTTCTACCTAATTTTCTGCCTGTGAATGTCTCAACTAACTTTAAAACCCTTACAGATCATCAGATAACTCTTTGTGCATTACAGCCTGGCCATTGACTTTCTGATGGTGGAATTGAGCCATGCAAGTAGCTTTAAAAAGATTTATTAACCATTTGAGAATCACTTGCCAGTCGTTATTGAATATGATATGCTGCTCAGAAAGTCATTGGCCGGGCGCTGTACATAACCTGTTGCCTTTCCGAACAGAAGCAGCAGAGTGTTGAGTTTTAACCGGATAATCTTTGGTTTACAAAAATGTATTACTGGCATTGCACATGAAACTTGGCTTCTCTTACGCCACCGATTCGCAGAACATCGTCATTATTTAACATGATGAAATATACCACATGTTCATATTCAAACCATCTTACAATCGAATGCTTACGGCATCCACTGAACCTTATCGCTCTAGTATGCACCCAAAACTCCAGATGGAGTTGAATTCAAAAAAAGTGTTCGTGGACGATAAAACCTGGCTGTGACCCTGCACTCAGTAGACGACCTTCCTCCTTACAGCTCGCACATATACCGTGAGATTGATTAGTTTTACAAAAAAAAAAAAAAAAACTTCCTTCCAATGAAGGTCTATTCGGGCTGGTTTAATAGGTTTTTGGTGTAGCACTCTTTAGGATAACTCATGGAGGTGTTTCCCTTCTCGCCATTATGAATTTGTTCAATATTATGAATCCGCCTTACAAAATCACCAAATACATCCCCATTTTATTTTTATTTTTAAATATTTCTGAGGTTATCGAATTTGTGCTCTATAGGACAACCACCTCCTCCTTTTAGTCAAGTCAACCAATGTGTTTGCTATAGGATGCAAAAATATAGAGATGGGAGGTGACGAATCCTTAATATTTATTTATTTTTATATGCAATATGTACTAAGGAGTGACCAAAACGCAATAAACTTAGATGCGTGGCCCAATATCCATCATTTGATTTGGCTTCTCAGACGCCCTTGTCTTGCCCTCCGGGTCAACGTCTGAATCGAATTCTTTAAATAGCTCGTAATTCAGCAACATTGCACTTTTAGCCTCTTCCACAATCTGTTTCTCTAACTCCTTGGGAACTTGAACGTTGTTCAGTTGCTTACGGAACATGTTTTTAAACATTTTTTGGTCTTGAATATGTTCAAACTCATAAAATTGAAGGCCTCTATGATTGTCGGCATCATCATCATTTGAGTAAAAGTTGGCATGTTGATGAAGATTATTTCGAATGATCTGACCACCGGATAGGTCTCCTAGGTACCGAACATAGGCATGAGCAATTAGGACTTCTGGAGAGGAAGCAGCCCAGTGCTCGATTCTGGAGCGGTAAGCTTGTTGTGCAGGAGTGATGGGAGGCATCATATCTCGCCATTGTGGGCCATAAAAGTATTCAAGGTCCTTAATGAGGGCTTGTTTACGACTGAGCTCCAAGGGGAAGTAAATGAGTGCAATCTGGGGGTTCTCTTTGTTATCTTCCAGAGCCTTTTCCATTGAGCTAATAGAATAAAATAAAATAAAATTAGGTTTTCAGAAAGAACATGACATGGTCCTTGTGCAACCTACAATTTCTAGCAAGTGGTCCTAGCGAAGTAAAATAGGTCTTACTCGTAAACATGGAAAAGGGAGAAGAGATAACGTCTATACACGTCCTGACTGACTTTACCGGCGCTGAGGCAACTGCGAATTGCAAAAACGTTTAACTCATTAGTAACTGTAGAAAACTTATTTACTAGGAGGGAGATTGAAAGAAAAAAAGATAGAAAAGAGAGAGACTTACTTTAGAAATTTGCTACGGTTTCTCTTACCGTGGACATCTTTGATGCTTTGCCAGAGGGAATCAGCGAGCAGAGTCATTTTGTCTAAAGACGTTGTAGCAAGCAAGTAACAAAAAGGCGGAGAGGATGATTTGTGGGGATCAATGGTCTTGCTTCGCAGAAGGTTGATCATATAGCGTCATTGTTTTTTATGCTCCTTACTTGGATGTATTTTTTCTTTTTTACTATAATAAGAAAGAGGAAAGCGAGGAAGGAATTGATGAGGCTAGAGGGTAACTGTTATTGTTATCGTTGTGTATGTACTTTTTTTTATGAAAGGAAAAGTAGAATGTTGGGCATGTAGGGGATGTAGAGGATGTTGATGAGAAAAAAAGAAAAAAAAAAGAAAAAGAAAAAAAAAGAAAGAAAAAAAAGTTACGGATGTCGAGCTTTTATACATTTTATACATCGATCCCAAGGTCTTCAGGAGTATTTCAGCTTATAATTTTTCTCTGTATTAAAATAAACCAATATCACTTTTCCCCTAGCAATGTCTCTCAATTTTATTAAAAATATTATATAATGTGGACACCTTTAGTTAATATATATTTATTACTGTCTTGAGACAAGCACTGTGACCAGCATGGAGGTGTTTGTCTGATTAAAGAAGTTCAAATAAAGTGCTGAATATGAGGAAAGAAGGCCTTCTTTCAAAAAGAGGAGACATGAAACCACCGTACTGATAATGTGGAACAAGTGTATGAGATGAGACCCACTATTTAAAGATTTATACGAGGTGGTTTACGCCTAGGAAGGCTTTTCGATAGATCGAGAATCTAAATCGAGATCATTGACCCAGTACCCGCGCAATGTAGCACACATATCCTCTAACTCGTTTGGTCAGTGATATATTTTCTATTCAAAAAACGATTGGTTTGGTGGCTGATTTTGACATTTCACCCCGTGACGAACTGGTGCTAAGGAATATAATTGGCTCCCAATTCAATCAAGATTATTCAAAAAATATATATTTAAGGGTCCGCTTCTTCCTATTGGCGTATTTAAGTTAATAGAAATCTACTGTGGTTGGCAAAGTTCTTCGTAGTCCATGTCATGCGTGACAAAAATGTATACGGAAGCCATATATCCCAACACCATCGAATCGGAAATTGTTCTTCTTTGTTGACATAAAGTGCAGAGACCTGAACTAGATCAGTCTCATGTCAATTACATACATGTTTTTACTTAGTAATGTCTATAATCCTTTCAATAGAATTTTTACCCGTCGAGTCAAAGAAGGAAAAAACCAGGTCCTTGGGTACGGATGATAAAACGAATGTGATTTTCGTAACCAAACGGAGTTGACAGTGCGCTCCTTGTCCATTAGTCATCTATAATAGCCCTTGGAGCTTCATGATGCTAGAGCCGAGTAAGGCGTTTTTGGTGAAGACACATATTATCTTTTCTCTTGCAGTAAGATATCGAGGATGTTGACATGGAAACAACGGTGTACAGCAAAGAGTAATATATACTAATAATGACGATACCAGTAACGAACTAACAACTTTATACTCCACTGATGATGTCTTTCTGAGTAAAAAACAATAAAATAAAAAAATGGGTATTAATGTTGGGTTATCTTGAGAGAGGAGCTATTAGGAAGATGTGCTCCTACTCGTTTAATCAGTGATTCTTATATTTTCTATTCAAAAAATGATGGTTGAATTGCTTTGGTAGCTGATTTCGATATTTCACCGCCCGCGACGAGGCATTCAAGGCTATTCAAAAAATATAAGAATCACTGACCAAATGGGCTGGACAATATATATTTAGCTCCTTACGTCTTGAAATGATAGTGCTGTCGTCTGTCATCCGGTTTTTGACCCCGGCTGCAAAGCCAGAGTAGATAAGACGGTCATGTGGAATTATATGAATTGAGGAACGATCATTCCTTTAAAATACCACCGGGGTGAAAAGTTGTTTTTTTCCAGTTATTTTCTCTGCTTTTCCCCCAACACCTGGATTTAATCGAAAGATCACAAAATGCTTCATAGGCCAGGTCCCCGCATTCTTATTTTTCGCTTACTATCGCTATTCTCTCCCATTACAAGAAAGCTAATTGGCTGCTGCAATACATTCAGAAAATATGGAATTGTGGCCGTTAAGTGTTTCATTGGTTTACTATAGACTTTTATAATGGAGATTTTGCCATTCATTTTTTTACATGGGTTTAGTAGTTCAAAATAATTCAGCATTTTTGCCAAACAAATCTAATGGTCTAAGAAATAGCGTCCTAAGTTAGTGTAGTTGGGATTAGGAATGTAAGAAAGTGTTACGTACCGAGACTTGGAGTACACCTCAGGGAACTTTCATTTTTATTCATAAGATCAGAACATTGTGTGGCGGTTAAGGCGGGACATTAATAAAAGGCCCCGTCCCATTTGGTCAGTGATTCATATATTTTTTGAATAATCTTGATTGAATTGGGAACCAATTATATTCCTTGGCACCAGTTCGTCACGGAGGGTGAAATGTCAAAATCAGCCACCAAATCAATTCAACCATCGTTTTTTGAATAGAAAATATATGAATCACTGACCAAACGAGTTGGAGGATATATCTCATAATAAAAACAACCTTTTGATCTCCCCGTGGTTTCAGAAAATACTTTAGAAAGGTTTGGTTGTAAATGGATAATAAATTTTCCTGGCGTGAACGCATATGCACGTGCTGATCTTTTTAGTGGCGCAAAATGTCAAACTGTCTATTTGTTTGGGCGTCGTATGGACTATTGAGTTTTTTCTTATTTTATATATTTCCTTGAATAACAGCCCTCCATTTGCATTACTTTGCCAATAAGGAGAGCAATAACCGCTGGTGGTGAAGTGTCAATTGGCACCAGTAGCTAATAGTGATTTATGACCATTGCTCAATCGCCCTTTCCTTTTGGTATATCTAATCAATTACATGTCGCTTATTTGATAAAATTCTTGTAATTGACTATTTCCTAAGCCACATATGACATGGATGGCCGCATTTGAATGAACATGTTGAAAGGATCATTCACAATGAAATCCAATTTTCAATACATCCACAGATTCTAGAGATCAAGCCCTTTTAACCTGGCTTAGGAATAGGGGGAGCCGTAAATAATAGAATTTTACTTAATTGGAGCTTTGAGTAAGAAAAGACGTTTTTTTTATAAAATTGCAACCAAAAATTATGTATATTAATATAAAAAAACCGGTTTGAGACCATTTTATGAGAATCGCTTCCAAAAGCAAGACTATTTTTAACATGAAAGGAGTACTGGTGCAATGGAAGCACTTGGACCAAGCAAGAGTGTGACACGGGAGCATGAATATGATTCGAATGTGAATATTCGTGTAACAACAAGAGACTGCCTTTCTCCCCCCAAAATAATTGCGCATTGCGCGGTCTTTCTAGAATAAACATTGAAGTTAGATCAATTGATGCATATAAATGTATAATAGAGGATTTTTTATTTATTTTGCAATATTCATGGATCAACCATTATCAGCTTTCGAGGATCGTTAAAACATCTATCAAGGAAATAACAGAGTATCAAAGTCGATTACATAAATCAGTGATCGGATCAACATGAATATGTGAATAATCACATCACGTTCTGCCAAGAAAGAAAGACACAGACACTTTTTTCTACCGAACATTTGAATGCATGTCAGGATAGAGTTGACTCCCTATTTTTTTTCCTGAACATGTTACTCCAATGATTTCTGCAGCGGACTGCGATTATTCAGGAGCAGAATGCACCAAAATAGGGAATTTTTTACTTGGGACAAGGGAGTAATAAAATCGACTGCGGGCGCCACTGCTCAGATAGCCTGCTCTCATCTTGACTCTGATGCAATTGACTTCGCAGCTCGTTTCAATTGGAGACAGAAGCAAACAGAAACACACTTGGCACTAAACAAAACAAACAAACAAAAAACGTTATCATAAAAAGACTTTTTTTTAACACATTGTCTTGTTATTCTCATGGGACAGCGTCATTTTTTTCCCTTTTTCAATTGACTACTATTGCCTCGCCATCGATTTTAAGCTTTTTACTTCCTTCTTTTCCAAAAGATTATAAATAAAAGCGATCTTTGCATCGTTTTCCTTCTCTTTTTCTCTCCAAACAAAAATCTCTCCCTCAATTATCGACAATCATTCCAGAGCAATTCGCGGTGTCAATTTTTATTATTATTATTATTATTATTAAATCGTTGATTCGTTTAATTTCTGCTCCCTTGACTCCCTTTACTGGGTCTGAGTTTGGGTTTTTTTCTGTAATACACTCATTCCTCATCTCGCATTCTCATTCATCTCTGTTCACTTGCTAAGAAAAAATAAATAAATAAAAGGACTTGCCCATCCTTTTCTCCTTACGCAAGCCACATTCCCTAATAGTCTTCTCCACTCTATATCCGACTCTTTTAAAATCTTTTCCTCAAGGACGTCCGTCTGCCATGGCATCAAACAATAATGCCCCTAGCAGTGGAGACGCAAAGTATGAAGCAATAGAACTGGAGAATGGGTCCGGTTCTCATGTTATAGACGTTGATCGCCACGATGTCACGGCCACTCCATCTACGGAGAATTTATCTGAAAAGGACAAAGGCTCGCCTGTGAATACTGATGCTGATGGCGGCAAGGACTCTTCTGATAAAAAAGCTGAGGCTGATCCCAAGGTTTCATATCTGCAACTCTACCGTTTTGCTTCCCCTTTTGACTGGTTCTGTGTCATGTATGTTGTACTAAAAAAGAGATCATGCATGTTGCGCAGCATATTAGGCATTCATACCTGAATTCCACATGTTATCTAACAAAGGTATCCTTTTAATTTTCTCTTTTCCACTTTTTTTTTACTTAGTCTCGGCACTCTCTGCTCCTTTACCAATGGTGTCGGTCAACCTTTTGTTGCTATCTTGATGGGCGATGTAATTAATACCATTGCCACTCAGTCCGTGCCTGATGCCGTGGCTGGTCTGCGCATCATCGTCATCAAGTTCACTGTTATTGGAGCCATCATGTTTGTTATGGCATACGGACAGATGTGTCTCTTCACTTTGGCGGCCGAATCTCAAACTAAGCGCATTCGCGAAAAATATCTCCATGCGATCCTTCGCCAAGACATTACTTGGCACGATGTTAGTAAAAAGAGCGAGTCCCTCAACTCGCGCCTTAGCGCAGATACGCAATTAGTCTTTGATGGCCTTGCTGACAAAGTCGGCCTGTGTCTGAGCAGTCTTGCTACCTTCGTTGCAGGCTTCGTAATTGCTTTTACTCACGGATGGAAAATGAGCTTGGTCCTTCTGACATCTGTTCCCTTGATGGCCGGTATGTGATCCAATTCTTAATTCGTTTCTCTGTATATCTCTCTTTGACAAAAATTGCTAATATCCTTCTTTTCTTTGTTTCTATAGCTGTCGGCGCTCTCATGGCCAAGTATACTATTAACTCAACTACAGATGGTCAAGATGCATATGCCAAGGCTGGCGGCCTAGCTGAACAGGCCATTGGCTCGATTCGCACTGTAGTGGCATTTGATGGACAGAACCGTGAGCTCAAGAAGTTCAATGAAGTGCTGGCTGATGCATACAAGTCTGGCATCAAGAAAGCCTATGCCACTGGCCTCGGAATGGGAGGATTCATGTTTGTCTTGTTTTGCAGCTATGCTCTTGCATTCTGGTATGGCGCGAGAGAAGTCAAAGCAGGAAACATGGACCCTGGTAATGTCTTGGTCGTGTTATTCGGTACTATCATTGGTGCATTCTCCATTGGAAATGTAGGGCCCAACCTTTCTTTGTTCGCTAAAGCGCAAGCTGCTGCTTACACAATTTTCAAGACTATTGATCGTGTTCCCGAAATCGACTCGTTTGACCCTTCTGGCCTCAAGCCTGAAAAGTTGACTGGCCATATTGTCGTCAAAGATGTTAATTTTTCCTACCCTAGTCGTCCTAATGTCCCTATTCTCAAGAACATGAACATTGAGGTCAAGCCTGGTCAGACTGTTGCTTTGGTTGGTCATTCCGGAAGTGGAAAATCCACAATCATTGGTCTTCTTGAGCGTTTCTACGACCCTACTTCCGGATCCATCACCATCGATGGTATCGCCCTGAAAGATATCAACGTTCGTCACCTCCGCGACACTATTGGCCTTGTCTCTCAAGAGCCCGTGCTGTTCAATGCTACGATCAAGCAAAACATTTTGTACGGAATTCGTCATGGTCAGAAAATGCCCACCGACAAGGAGATTGAGGATGCCTGTCGCCTGTCGAACGCACATGATTTTATTTCCAAGCTCCCCAATGGATACCATACCATGGTCGGTGAAAAGGGTGCCCTGTTGTCTGGGGGTCAGAAGCAACGCATTGCTATCGCCCGCGCCTTAATCAAAAACCCTGCTATCCTTCTGCTCGATGAGGCCACATCTGCTCTGGATACAGAGTCCGAGCGCATTGTTCAGGCTGCTCTGGACAATGCTGCCACTGGTCGCTCAACAGTTGTGATTGCCCACCGTTTATCCACAATCATGAATGCCGACTTGATTTATGTAATGGATCGTGGAGTTGTTTTGGAACATGGTACCCACGCATCTTTGATGGCTCTTGGCGGTATCTATACTGAATTTGTAGCCAAGCAGCAGCTGAAGACAGGAGGTGTTGATGTTGAGGCCCCCGTGACTGCAGCAGTTGAAAAGTCCGATAAACCTGCTACATCCAGTGCTAGTGGTCCTCATATTGCTATTGCTGACCCTGTTGCTCCTGAAGGTGCGCCACGCTCTGGTCGTAGGATGAGTCATCTTCTCCGCCGCAAATCGTCCCAACATTCCGTCACCCGCTCTGAGAAATCCGCTGATGGCTCTGTTGTTCTAAACATCCCAGAAGACAAAGAAGCATCACTCGCTCGCGAGAAAAAAGAGGCTTCTAGAAGGCTCAAAATGCAGAAGGCTCCCATTGCTCGCACTATCCGGTATATGAAAGATGATGCTGTTTATTTCGCTTTTGGCGTATTCTTTGCCATCATTCAAGGAGGATTGGTAAGCACAGCCTTTTATTATCAACGTTGTTAGTCTCTCAATTCTCTCAATGGCTTTATATTATTCATTTATTCATTCTAAAAAGAAATAATCCTATTATTTAGTTCCCTGCATTCGCTCAAATCTTCGCGAAAGCTCAAACGACACTTACTGAGTTTTATAAGCTTGGAGATGAATTCATCCCTAAAGCCAACATGTGGGCGCTCTGGTTCTTCATCTTGGCCATTATTGGTTTTACTGGCTTCTGTGGAGGCATGATCATGTTCTTGATTGTTGGCGAGCGTATGACCCGCCGTATGCGTTACCTGAGCTACAAATCGATCCTTAGTCAAGAGATGGCGTTCTTTGACCGCCCTGAAAATTCTACAGGTGCCCTTGCTAGTCGTCTTGCAACAGATTCTCAACAGATGTTTGATATGGTCTCACAAGTCATCCTCACCTCGGTCTCATCCTTGGCTACTATGGCAGTTGGTCTTGGTTTCGCATTCTCTTCTACCTGGGAAATGACTCTGATCATTCTTGCTGCTGTTCCCGTCATTGGTCTTGGACAGTACCTCGAAATTGCTGCCCTGAGTGGATTTGGCGAGAAGACTCGCAAGGCTTATGAAAAATCTGGCCAAGTCGCTGGCGAGGCTATCTCTAATATCCGTACTGTAGTTTCACTTGCAAAAGAGGAAACGTTCGAGGCTCGTTACTTTGAGGTCACTAAGGAGCCTCATAAGTACGCTCGCAACAAAGCTGTCTTTGCATCCTTTGGATTTGCTATGTCTCAAGCTGTCGCATACTGGTCCTATTCTATTGGCTTTTATGGTGGCTATCGCTTGATCGAGAATGGCATCATCACCTACGAGCAAATGTTCACATGCATGTTCTCGGTCGTCTTTACTGCCATGAGTCTGGGACATATCACATCTGAGCTACCCAAGTATGCCAAGGGCAAGCAGTCAGCCATCAATATCTATGAACTTCTCGACAAGGATACGACTATTGATGCTGACCGTGATGGCATCAAGCTCGATAGGATCAACGGCTCCTTGGGATTGGAAAAAGTTGACTTTACTTATCCCACACGCAAGAATATCCAAATCTTCAATCATGTTGATATCAACGTCAAACCCTCTCAGACTGTTGCTTTGGTTGGCCCTTCTGGATGTGGAAAATCTACCATTATCGCATTGTTGGAGCGCTGGTATGAAGCGGATGGTGGTAAGGTCATTATTGACAATCATGACATTCGCGACCTGCAATTGCACAATATTCGCAATCATATGGCTTTAGTTGGACAAGAGCCTGTTCTTTTTGATATGACGATCAAGGACAACATCTTGTATGGTCTTCCAGAGGGCGAAGGAACAATGGAGCAAGTGTATGAGGCAGCCAAGTTGGCCAACATCCACAACTTTGTCATGTCCCTGCCTAATGGCTACGATACCGGCGTTGGAGATAAGGGATCTCAGCTCTCTGGCGGCCAGAAGCAGCGTATTGCGATTGCACGTGCGCTGATCCGAAACCCTAAAGTGTTGCTTTTGGATGAGGCCACATCTGCATTGGACTCTGAATCTGAAAAGTTGGTGCAAGAGGCTTTGGATAAGGCACGGTATGGGCGCACGACCATTGTAATTGCACACCGTTTGAGCACTATCCAGGATGCGGACTTGATCCTTGTTGTGAAAGGCGGCACGATTGTGGAATCTGGACGACATTATGAATTGGTTGCTCTTGGTGGGGTTTATGCGGATCTCTGCCAAAAGCAAAACTTGTAAAGGATAGCAACGACAAACAAAGTTGTCAAGAGAACAAGAAAAGTAGCTCTTTCCTCTTTCCCACCATTTTAATACATATACCAAGCTGTTGCATATATATATACATGAAAGAAGAACAATTCTCATCTAGGCTGATCTAGCACAATTACACAATAAAAGCATTACTATAGTATAAGAATAATAATTATACGTTTGCGACTTCTGTTTATCCTTGCCTCCGGCTACGTGTCAAAGACTCACGCAGTCTTTGCGAGCCGAAAGTCGCGAGCTCTGTATTGACACGACCATCCAAACCCAGGTCTTGCATCAGTTCAGTATGCCTTGAGAGCGATTACTAATGTTTAGGTAGCACATCCATGTCGTCTTTTGGGATGCAGGCATCAGGAACACTAATTCGGAGCTTGTTGGGCCGTGCGGGTAAGGTAAGTTATATGTACTAAGCAGGGATCTTCTCAACGACAATGACTCTGTGCATGCATAAGATCTCCCTGTTTGGCACGGCCAACACATGTTAGAAAAGACATCAATGGCCTAAAGTATTGCTAGATAGAGAATAGGTAGTCATTTAGAACGGTCTAAAATATACCGAGCAGCTGTTCAGATTGCGTAGTTCAGCCATGGCAGGATACTATCATACACCTTTGGTAAAAATCATTATATGTAAATATATTAAGCAAAAAATTTGTAATTGACTTGAGTCTTAATCAAAAAAAAAAAAAAAAAGATTTAGCTTAAACCCCTGGTAGTTACTAAGTACAAAGTCTGAAATGAGTGTAGTTTTGGGCACGCTGTTCTATCCGGATTGTCGTAAGTAGGACTCTGAGATGGGATTGGGATCATTCAAGATGGTCAATAAGCAGCATACTATCGAAAGTGAAGAGCAAGGTGGGAAAAAGGGATAGTGCAAATGTCTTTTTGGATAAAGAAACGATATAGTCAGCACATCTTTGAACACCTATCTTTTTTTTTTTTTTTTTTTTTTTTAAAAAAAAAAAAAGAGTCGCTGCTCACTCGCAATAGAGGATGGTATAAAATATGTTTAATAAGCATGGGGCAAAAATAGGGCTTCTTTTACTTGGGTAGCCGATCTTCTCCAAAAAGTAGGGCAAATGATAGCATGTTTCGCTTTGCGTATTATGGAATGGCCCTATACATTCTAATACAAACTATGTTATAAGCACCCCAAACTTTGCTCGATGCAAAGCGTCTTGGATGGCTTCTCGGGCCAACAGCAACCTTGTTAAAAACAACTTTCTAGTCAACCGGCGCCTAAATAAATAAATAAAATAAACAGCTGCTCAAGGATTAATTGCCTAATATTAAAAACGTTTATCACTGTTTATTGAGAGCTTCTTGAGCCCAAACAACATATTTGTGTAGATATGCGATGTTTACTGAAGCAATGACGGGAGTCCTCACACAGTGCAAACAACGAGTAAGTAAATAAATCTATCCCAGGAAGAAGACTTTCATTTTTTTTTTTTATTACAAAAAAAAAAAAGAAGCGTTTTACTGAACTGTCACTATAATCAAAAAGACGTCGCGGATGAAATTCTTTCTCATGAAAAATGGGAGTTGTCATCAGCTTGTTGTTCTCATTATTGCTTTCGTTTTTTTTTTTATTATTATTTTGTAAGAAGTATTTGATATCCAAGAGATAGGGATAGAGATAATCCTGTAATGCAATTAATTGTTAAGAGCGCGGACCCTGGAAGAGGGAAATAAATAGGGCTGTTTCAACAGAGTCCTCTTGAGTTTTGATAAAAATCCGAAGCCACGATTGGCTTAGAGCAGAATTCAATTCAAATTTTTTATACTTTCTATTCAATAACTCTGGCCTATCAGCTCTCATTCACGTACGCTATGGATCCTTTTTGGTGAAAGGCATTCTTGTTTGACATATACGCCTAAAAAGGAAACTCTAAGCATCGTTTCATTTGACTCGTAAGCCACCTGCAAGAAAGTCGTCTTCTGGTCTTCAAATTTCCTAGGCTTGTCTAGGCTCGTCACCAGCCTGTGTGGCTTATGTGCATTGCACTAACGCTCACTGACAGGCTGGGACCAAACTTGAGAAGGGGGGGTCAACTTCTAGCGGCATATTTCGACTTAGAAAAAAAAAAGGGCCATTTCCCCGCCGTTTGTACGACTTAGAAGAAAAAATGTTAACCCTAAAATCTCAAGTTTGGTCCCAGCCTGTCAGCGTTAGTGCGATGCACATAAGCCACACAGGCTGGTGACGCCTACAAATTTCCACAGCAAAAAACAAAAAAATTGTTTTCCATTTTTTTTCTTTTTGATATTGAGAGTGAGTTTTGCTGTGAGGACGGACGGCGGAGGAATCGAGAAAAGACAGAGGTATATATAATATATATGATAGTATGTTGCCCAAGTCTTTTGAGTTCCTCAAAAAAAATTCGGAAAGATAGGTTTAGCTATCATATTCGCGCCACTTGAGCCCAGGTGGCTGAAAAAGATGTTTATTGGTTGGTTCTGTTCTAATTCGTCTATGAGCAGCTACTAGCTCTAGTCTTGTATGGCAACAAGTACCCAAGAGTCCATGACCAGAAGGTCGTATGGGCGATATAAATACAATGGACGTTTGTAATTCGAATCAATCGCTCTCTTGTTTACGCACCTACCCCTCGACTCTTTTCACAAATAGTACATATTCTGATCATGGCATCCATTCAGCCTTCTCAAAAATATCGATCGATCCAGCCTTCACCAGCTTCTAACAATGACAGAAACTTGACTATCAAAAAAAAATTGGAGATCCTAGAAGAATGGGATAAGCATGTTGCATGTTGCAACATGAGAATAGGAGGAGGGTCCCTATTCGAACCTGAGAAGAAAGTGTTCTGCGACTATCATAACATAACGCCAGGGATTCTCAATAATATATTGGCTAAAAGAGAAGTCCTTCAGAATATTCCTATCAGCCAATCCTCCATACGATATCGCCTTCCAAGTAGCACCAGATCATTTTATCCGGTAGAAGCGATCCTTTTCCGCACCATTGAGCATGTCAGACGCGATTTATTTCTACCCATCGACAGCTTTGGTGTACGAATTATGGCAGGCGCGATATATGAGCTCCTTGAGACTCGCGTGGGCGAGCTTGCCTTCGAGAAACCTAAATTCTCAAACGGTTGGCTGAATGGTTTCCAGCGCCGGTATGCCCTTCATAGGTACAATGCTACAGGAGAAGCGTCTTCAGTAGACATGGACAGCATCCGACCACAATTGGATTACATTAAAAATGTCCTTAAGCAGTTTAGTCTCGAGGACGTCTACAACTGCGACGAGACTGGTTTGTTCCTTCAGTCCATGTCCAACTGGACTCTGGACTGCAAGAAGGTCTCTGGCACTAAAGTGCGAACCACAAGGATTTCGATTCTTTTGTGCACCAACGCATTGGGGACGGATCGATGCAAGCCCTTCATGCTGAGCAAGTTTTTCATTATGTTCTATTCTATTTTATTTTATTTTATTGTATTTTATCTTTTTAAAAAAAAAGGAATACTGACTAATTGACTAATTTTTTCATGTTATTGTAGGTGAGTACTTGCCGAGGGGCTTCAAAACTAATCCATCAGTTCGCTCACAATTTGAGGTTTTGCCCTGGCAGGGATCGAACAAGCAGACTGTGGCAGATCTCTGTGGAAACTGGCAAAGAGAATTTAATCGGCTTCAGGAGGACCTTCAGGAGATGCTTCTAACGGCCTGGACTGGTAAAAGACCGGACTACATGAGAACCGTCGTCTTTGAAATTTGGCTGCTTCGATTCCAGTTGAGAATCGCAGCTCAAAACCCTAGCCGCCGAGTCGCTTTGTTGCTGGACCATGCGCCAAGTCACACACCGAGTGTGGATGTGCGTGCTCAACTTCAAAACGTGCAGCTTATATTCCTTCCGAAAAACTCGACAAGCATGACACAGCCCCTCGATGCTGGGATTATAGCTGTATTCAAGAAGAAATACAAAGCGGCATGCTTGGAAGCAAGCCTCTTAATGCGTCAGCATGCAAATCAAATCAACCCAAATGAGGGTACGGCTGTTACCAATATACGGGATGTTTGGATAGATAACCTTACAGGATGGAGGCTTGTTGCGAGTGCTTGGAATGGAATTAGGCACAGTCGATTCGGAATTGTTTTGCACATGTCAAGATATTCTGTAATGAACAGGAGTTGGAGCTAAGAGGATCAGAGGATCAGGCTCGGGCTCGGGATCCTGATGTGGCAGAAGCCATTAGGGGTATACGACAGAGTTTTCGGACAAGACTTATTGCCGAAGCCACAGAAAACTTTGACGCAGAAAGTGATTCTTTGCATGGCAGACAAGATCCAGCTCAGCGGTCCTTCGAAAATGACGACTCCGTACTGACGTTGTTCAAGTTCTTGGATGAGTCTAGGACGATTTGCAAGTACATTGATTCCCTACGGGAAGAAGACCAGTTCAAGGAATTCTTTATTTCTGAGGACGGTACTAATATGATAGCTGGGCAAGATCTTGAAGAAGAGAGCATGGATGGCGATGATTATGGACCCAGCGCTTCTTTGAACAGTCAGATCGTGGATGAATATGGGCATACACTGTCGCCAGTGAAGAGGTCTTTACAGACGCGAAGACGAAAGTACAGCTCATACAGAGTTGATCGTGTGGCATCACCAGAAGGAATGGATGGAGATGATGACAGTGTTGCCGAAGATATTGTGGAGCTGAATCCCAGCGTCGACATTCAGGATCCATATATACTCATGGATGCTGCGGCGGTGTTAAGACATCTTGGCCATGACAATGAGGGACGAAGGATGGAGATTATTTACGACTCCACAATTGATGAGGACATGGACTGTGTCAATGAAACCTACATCAAACATCGTCGGCGGGTGTATGAAGCTGAAGGAAAAAAGTTATGGGAGTCAGCATCTCAAAAAATTGACGATGACCAAAAGATTAGAAAGAAATTTCCAGAAATTAGAAACAGCATCTGTTTGCTGGGAAAATCCCACACAATCGCAAGCTTCATCATCAATGGCTTCAATCCCAGCCCCGCCCTTGTCCTCGTCCTCATGCTCATCTTCTTCGGCACTGCCACTAAATATGAGGCAGCGTGTTTTGGCCCCATCCCTACCCTCGTCCTCAATCCCTTCGTCCTTGTTCTCATCTTCTTCAACACAGCCACCAATTGTGAAGCAACGTATTTTGGCCCCATCCCTACCCTCGTCCCCCTCCTTGCTCTCTTTCTCAGTTCCCTCACCCTCGTTCCTATCCCCTTCGGCTCAGCCGCCAAATGTGAGGCATCGTGCGTTGGCCCCAGCCCTACCTTCGTCATCACAAGTCTTGCAAAGCCCTGAGCAATTTTTGTCGCCCAAGTCTGCATTATCACAAATGCTACCTTGGTCAGAACTGCCTTTGCCACATGGTGGTAAATTCCCCTTTGGTACCATTCCAACGCGACGCCCTGCAGACCCATGGCACAAGGCGTGATTATCGGCTCGATGCATCAAATGAAGGTATCTCCCGCTCGTCGCTCTTCAATCCATGTGTGACCTCTCAATGCATGGTATATATAGCTTTTTTCTAAAGCATTTGTCGTTGTTACGTACCAAGGCTTGGGAGTGCGCCACAGGGGCACTTTCTTATTCATAAAGTCAGAACACTGTATAAGGATCATGACAGGGCCTTAATAAAAAGTTCCATCTGGCAACAACAATAAATGCAGAAAATAATATTTTCCTCTCGAAAAACAATTCCAAAAAGATCATCAAGAGCCCACTAACAAAACAAAAACAATTCTTTATTCTTTTTTGCGTTTCTTTTTACTATTCACACAAATTGCGTTCCTTATTATTCACACAATTATCAAGGAGCCAAGCTAAACTGGTTAGAACTATTTTTGCTTGTGGTTTCCATTTGCTATTGTATAAAATCCCCATACCTCTAATAGGCAACTGTGATATTTTAAACACTGGCAAATGCGAAGAGTCTAGTCTGCACTCGGTGAAGTACCATATGGCTGCGTCAGATACAACACCATAGCAGATCTCAGGCTTAGCATCCTCAGCATCTCTTTTGCGTTTTCTAGAAAAGCGAAGTTTTTCTTGTTCATTCGTTAGCATTCCATGAAGAAGAACCATGTTCTGGGCTACGGCGTTTTCGAGATGCGACTCCGTGTCCACAGTCACTACTACTTTGCATGAGCTATGCTCAGACGACTTTGGCTCTATCAAGTAATGAGCTTCCCCCTGTCCTTGATGTGAATCGATTTTTATGCCGGATCGTATTCGGAGATGATCTGTGTAAAGTGAAACAGCATGATGGATATATGGTGCCACAAAGAGATGAGCGTCGTTCCCAACCGGAGAGGCTGTACATGTGCTGATTCTGCTGTCTAACTCTGTCACCAGATTGTTAAAGTAGGCTACACCCGTCTTTCGAGTTGACATTGGTTTGATTGGGCCCATGCTTTCGCATTGCTCTAAGCAATTGCTCGGGTCCAGTATCCCGTACCGCCTGGGAGCGAACCCAAAGATGGCGTTGGCCTCTTCTACGGGTAAGACGAGATGTGTTTTTCCAGAGCCAGACCAATGACCACATTGATGGCGCCATCCACAATAAGAGGGCTAAGCCTAGATTTTAGTTGCGGATCAGATTCAATAAGAGTTGGAATGGGAGTACTACTTTGGTTGTCGGTGCTTGGGTACAACATGATTCGAGGTGGGTTTGGTGTTCTTGGCATGTTGGGATATTCTTCGCAAATCGCATCAATAAGGATGGCTTGGGTGATAGTGCTTAAGAGACCGCTCCATTGGGGGTTTTTTTTTGGATCTGTTCTAAGAGTCATATTCAGACGTAAACTGGGTTCTAATGAAGTAAAAGGCAAAGTCAGAGAGGTTGGCCATCGCTGCTTTAAGTAATAAAGAACCCTTTTGCTTACCTGGTCTCACGATATCTACTAGGACGTGTATTAAATCCTCTGAGGAGTCTTGAGGGAATACCTCACCGAGCTCTGCCAGCAGATTCATTTTTATCTTAGTAGAGACGTTTTCAATGGAGACTTTGTTTCCGGATATTGGAATGCACAACCTCCAAAGTGCGCAGAGATTTGGGTCAATGTCGCATAATTCAGGCATCAACTGACGCAGTTCATTGCGGAGATCAAAGACGGTGCTTTCTGGAGAAATTATGACCGAGACAGTACAAGAAGCAGGGTTATTATTGAAAATGCAGGAAAGTGAAAGCATGGTGGAGAGTTGAGGTCAGCAAGGGTGGAGTTAATGAAGAAAGAAGAGACGCGTTCTTGATTTTTGTTTTTCCATACAATTTGAGCATTCCAGTCCTGATTGCACCGTTGCACGACTGAGATGTTTCTGTCTAATATTTAATTCACGCGCCGTAGTCAAAAAAAAAGAGCACCTTTCCTTAGTCCATCTTTTTGTGAAACCTGAAACCTCTTTTTTCCCACCCCCCCAAATGGCACAAAATCCTGATAGCTATCCTTCTCCATCTCCATCAATTACGCCAACCACTGGAGACATTCTCTGTGCTATCAATGGCAAAAAGATTGGCGATGCCCTTCAAGTCCAAGTGCTTTTGAATAATAGCCTGATGCTGTTTAAGAGAAATATTTGTGTTGCGCTCTCTCACTTCGGAGAAGATGATGGTGATCCAAACAGCATTGACCTCTGGTTCTGTCCCAAGTTGATGGATGGTCTCTCTTATGATGTGCCTGTTGTGTTGGAGGAACAGACCGAGGAAACACTAATGCGCCCTTTCGAACTGTTGAGATCCTACCTACCCGACCTCGAAGGCAGACCATCTATCGTCATTGCGAAGGCCCATCGGTGTAAGCTAAAGAAAGAAAAAAAACTGGGCCATACTCTGCCCCTCTAAAACTCTTTCATCACCTTGCTTACAAACGTTTTTAATTCTAGCTACTGTTACTTCTGGTCCGATAGTCTTTACGATCCTGATAAAGGGATGGATCAAGCAAGAAGTCCAGTGGACAGTCGAGATTGAGGATCAACTCTGCTGGCTTTTCAAACGCATCTTCGTAAAGCCAATGTCGAGGTTTGCGAGACGTCAACTATCTCCATCATTTCTGACGGCAACCCAGTAGAACCTGTCTCCTCTGATGTGTCTTTACGGTCAATCCTCTTAGAGCATACAAAGCAAGGTTGAAGTATCTCAACATAGATATTGGTGCACCAATGAGGCCCTTTTCTAAACTAGGTCGCCAAGATCTCTTGAAAAGGTTCGGCGAGGACTGTATCTCAGGCGCGGATAACATGATTTGCGTGCTGTCTTCATCAGAAAAACAAGATGCTGCGAGTGAAGCCCTTTCGATAGCTCTCAAGCCAATCGTTCAAACAATCGGAAGACCTGATAGCGAGCTAGGAGCCTCATTGTATGTAGGAGTGTTCCTTGCGCACGCCGCCGCTCTCTACGAGGGGCAAGTTCGTCTTGGCACACAGTTTCCACTCCAGAGCGTCCACGGAAACGGTGTCGTTGACTACATAATAGCAGAAGCCACCAAAGACGCCTTGTGTGGCATTGTGGAGGTCAAGCACACCGATGTAAGGGGGGGAGTATCACAGAATGCCTTCCAGCTTCATGCCGCGATCATGAAGCGCATCCGACAAGAGGGGACCCAGAACAGGACATCTTATACTATGTATGGTATTGTTACGAACTTGGCTGACTGGATCTTGGTCGAATGCACGGTTTTTGTGGGTGATGATAGCGCCGTTGAGAGGACGATGTTCAAGACCCAACGATTTCCCTCGGTCTTTGACTTGGATGATTGGGAAGTCTACTCAAAAAAAGTGCTCAGTTTCCTGCACTGGGCCCTCGGCAATATGGTCAGCGATAGCATTCATCAGGTGAAGAGGATTAAAACACACAACAACAATTCTGCAAGTAACCACATTTGTGCACCCTGAGAAGGGTGAAATAAGAGATGTCGTCTTGTGTCTGTCCATACCCAGTTTTCTTCCATCTCCGTATGTTCCTCATTTTGCATAGTTTCACAAAATCAATAAAGTGACAAAACATACATCAATGTATATCTGTTTTCACAATTGACACCTTCAATACGATACATCCGTTGCATGTCAAGAAGTACGCAGCATGCTCGCTTTTCAACGTGGTTATTCCCACCAAGGAGTTCGATGACCAATGTTGGCCTCTAACTACTAATGTATGGGCCCGAGCTTCGCAGCATTAGTATTATCCTATTTGCGTTTTAATTTGTCGCTTAACAAAGCCATACAAGTGCGCGCTTGTGGATTCTACTGCCCTTTAAAAGGAAAGAACATACAGATGTGAAAGAAGGTTGAAACCGCGGGTTGGTCGCCAATGACCCTTTTTCGAGCAAATATGAAGGACATAGGCCTTGGAAGCACACAGTTGTAATGATTTGTCTCTTCCAATATTTGAAGCTTACAGTGGCTGCTCTTCCGCCCTATATGGCCTAGCTATTAAAGCTCTATTCGTACAAAAATTAACCGAAAAAGCAGTGGTCGACGCGTTCTAGAAGAGGTTTTGACTTTTAGGCGCGCAGTCATAATCTGGTCGGACCATTTCTCCACAGAGCATTTTTTTTACGAAATTCATGTACATGCGCGCGTGCTGCAGGGCAATGTGGCTGTCTTATTTTAAATTTAAAAAAAATTGAAGTCGAACAAACCACAGGAGAATAGCTCTCTTTTTTCTAAGCCGCACACACCCCAGGGAATTGACCCTAATTCGCACGCCAAAGGACTTAAAATTTAAAACAGAGAGCCAATTCCGACTTAGAAAATCTGTTCTCCTGTGGTTTGTTCGACTTCAATTTTTTTTAAAATATAAAAAATAAGGAGAGCATGAATTTCGTCAGGCTGGTGACGAGCAAAGCGCTATGCCTTGCAGGTGGCTTACGAGTCAAATGAAACGATGCTTAGAGTTTCCTTTTTAGGCGTATATGTCAAACAAGAATGCCTTTCACCAAAAAGGATCCATAGCGTACGTGAATGAGAGCTGATAGGCCAGAGTTATTGAATAGAAAGTATAAAAAATTTGAATTGAATTCTGCTCTAAGCCAATCGTGGCTTCGGATTTTTATCAAAACTCAAGAGGACTCTGTTGAAACAGCCCTAACAGGGAGATAGTAAACACTTAAAACACGTTCAAACGTTCTTTCTTTCATGGGAATAATCGGGAAAAAAAGGTTTAAAGGGATATTGGAAGACAGTGCACTTTGCACTCCACTGTTGTACATACAAATGCATGTTATGAAAAAAACTGGTTTGCGTCAGTCCCACCAATAAATTATGCATATTATTTGTAATAAAATATTTGGCGGCTCTTTCAGGGTTGCATCAACATTCTTTCTTCGTCAAAAAAAAAAAAAAGATGGAGCCCAACTTTTTTAGTCGTTGACGTTTTGTAGCTTTTAAGGTCCTCATTTTTTCAAATCGAAACATTCTCTTTCTCTATTTCATGAGGAGTAACAAGAAGTACGAAAGGCTTGGTAGTCTTTCCGTTAGACTTAAAGTATTATAGACGAATCCACAAGAGAAAGAGCGACAGTGTCCTAGTTTTGTTGGCTAAAAAAAATACTTTGATATGCATAGTATATTTATACTAAAAGGGTTTAACAAAAGCGCTTTTATGTTCAGTGTATGGTTCGATAATATTAATACAGCTCTTAGCGGACTGAAGCTTAACCACTATTAAGTTATTAAGTAATTCGTACGCGTATAAAGTCTCCTTTGAATTTTTTTTTTTTTTTTTTTTTTTTTTTTTTAATCAGGAAAATGTCAACGTTTGTTTAAATGAGCGCCTACTTCGGCAATGTTTCTGATTCATCAAATTAATCCAATGCCTCTCCGAGCCAAAATTATAAAGTACGGTGACGCCTTGACGCATTTTTTTTTGTAATACATAATGCCCACTTTTTATCAAATACATGCCAACCCCCATACACAAACATAGTGTGAGCAAACACCAACAATGAGGTGCAGGATAAAGGCAAAAGCAGCCCCACATGCATACAAATGCTCATAGAACATGGCCATGTAATTAACGCCCTTTCTCCTTTTCCTTTTTTTTACTTAATTAGTGCCTATTCAGTGTATCGAATATAAGGACACGCTGCGAGCCGAAAACTTAACACTGCATAGGAACTATGCATCATTTGTGATCATGCCTCGATCTGAGAGACTTTTAATGCAAAATAAAGGAAAATGAACCACGCTAAAAAGTACAGTCTTCAATGCGGTCGAGCCCTCTCCATGTTCCGTTGTTCATTCTTCTATAACGGCACAACGGAATGTGGAGTGATATAAAGCTTGCATTATTTTCTTTCTTTTTTTATCTTAACTCTTCCCATCCTTCCCCTCCCTTACTGTACGCGCCTTTACCGCTTTTGTGCCCGTATTACTCTACAGGCACTATTTTCTGTCATGCTATTTATACGTGTCTCTTTACAATTACTATTAAAGACATTCACATTTCAAGATTTTAAATTTTTCTTTTACCATATTTTATTCTACATATTCATCCACAGCTCCTCCTTGCACGTTGGCTTTATTACCCCTTCTTTAGCCTGACTAGCTTTTCATATATCATTCACTCACTCCCCCTAAAATGACACAGCACCAGGTTATTAGACAAAAGCGCCTTAAAGCTGGCACAGCATGCATTCACTGCCGCAAAAAGAAGCTTCGATGCACAGGCACTCCTAATTGCGCCCGATGTGTCTCACATAAGCTCGAATGTATTGTAGATGAGGTATTATTCTTCAGATCGAATAATACGGGAGACTTGCCCAGATCCAAGTCTATGGCCTCGATACCATACTCTTCTCTCGGACCTAATATAATTCAGCAACAACGTTGTTACCTGACAGCCCATAAGGGCCATCACTATCAATGTACTCCTTCACCCGACTCTTGCTACAACCGACATTATCGTGCCCAGAGCCATCCCCATCATGTCGATACTCATTATTACCATTGTGATCACAGCACATCAGCATCTTATGTCTTCTCTTTCTCTGGCGACGAAGCAACTGACCAAAAGCAAGGCCGTTCGACAGATACCCCTCTATATCGCCGCCCATCTACAAGTAGCCTGACAAGTTATTCAAGTCAAAGCCCTAACCCTTCATCACCATACTCATTCCAACAGAGCCTTTACAGACCAACATCTGTTCCCCTTAGTCATGATGGTAGCCCATGTATCGCTACGAGCATGCCTCTACACTTTAACACGAAAGATGGCTCTTCCAATAAAAGAGCCCATTTGGACCCACCAATACCACTAGGAGCAGCTGAGACCCACAGCATAAGCCCTAGAAGTGAAGGATTCATGACTGCTGGCCAACCTGCGTTGGTCTCATCACCTATAATCCATGATAAATCCTCTCTATTCTCCGCCTCCTTGCCAGCCAGTTTACCACTTTCACCAACAAAGCTACAATCGGATGCACAGAGACAGACAGAGCTAAGCGATAGGGTAATAGGCTTGGAACGAAACATGAGTCCCTCACAAAATCAACAAGGGGTTAATTCAAGCCTGGCTACACCCTCCCCGGTTTTGAAGTCGCAGAGCTCTTTAAACGCCACAGAAAAGGAAGGCGAGTACAAGTCAATGCTCAGTACAATGAGCCTCGATGGTCATGGTCAGCAGTAAGTTGTTGTTTTTTTGTAAGGCTATGCTTGGCTACCAATTGTTTTAAAAAGCACCAATTCATTTCGCTAATATAACATAGCTTCCATGGAAGCAGTTCCGGCTTCTATGTCTGCCAATTAAGTAACCGGTACCGCCATGGGCTTTGTACGTGTCTTTGCATTTAAAATAACCTCACTGTAAAGCACTATTCCACACAAACTGATGTCATCTTTTTTTTTCTCTTTATAGATCCTATGCCTATAGTGCATTTGAATGACAGCGATATCTGGCTGCATTCGCTTCAAATGACAAGTGAACGCGAGCTGCCTTCTACTGTGGAGATGGAATATCTACTGGACCTGTATTTTCGGTATATGTACCCTGTTTTTCCAATATTCATACGTCAGACCTTTATGCAGGATCACCGCCAAAAGCGGCTCAACCTCGCACAGATCCTAGTCTTGAATGCCATCTTCTGTAATGCATGTTGTTTTTCGGACGCCACAGAAACCAAACAAGATTCCATAAAGTATTTCAATAGAGCTAAGCTCATCTTGGATGAGACCTACCACATCTCGAGTATCAGCACTGTGCAGGCATTGCTGTTGATGTCACACTATCAATATACCGCTGGCAATTATTCAGGAGGGTGGCTATACACGGGGATGGCGACGCGTGTTGCTCTTGTAAGTCCTTGGTGCTAATTCTGATGTAGCTACAGCCTATATCATAATAAGGTATCCTAAACAAATTCAATTGTGTGGGCGGCCCTAGGATATCGGGTTACATCGTAGAGATGCGCATCCTGAGGAACCAGAGCAAGCGGAAGCCAGAAAACGCACTTGGTGGATCCTTTATATAACAGATCGCATCGGTAGTGGCATCCTCGGACGCCCGATCGGCTTACGCGATGGAACTTTCAACGTTGAAATGCCCTCAGGTGACTGGGTCTATGAGATGTATGGCCAAGATATCGACGAGTATCCTTATGGGTCAGAGCATATGATCTCTTGCTGCTTCCTCTGGTCCGTCAAGTTATTGATGCAGATGGAGGATATCCTCAACGCAATGCACTGTATTGAGGCTGAGCTTAATAGCTCATTCTTGGCTGAAGCCTCAAGGACTCAACTGCCACAGCTTCATCACAAATTGATATCGTGGTTTGTCTCCTTGCCTAGCGAACTCGCCTACACGCCCTATACTACGATGCCAGGTTCCAATCTTCCACCTTCGCCTGCCATTGCCCTCATGCACATGTTTTATTATACATGCCTGACAATACTTCATCGGCCATATCTACGGCCTGTCAATTCTGCTTTACTCAACGCTAATTTTTTAGCTTCATCCCGTAATATCTGCATTACTGCTGCCACCAATATTTGCCACATTGCAGATTCGCTTATACTCCACGGACAACTCCGAGAAACCTGCTATTATGGCATAGAATGCCTCTTGGCTGCAGGGACGGTGCATGCTCATAATGCTATCACCCCAACGCTAAGCGCTCGAGAAGCAACTCATGCGGGGCTTTCAAAGATCATCAAGGCTGGTATTGATTTTGTAAAGACATTCCCAGCGGCAGAGTCATTGGTTGCTATTGCACTAGACGTCTTTGCTGGCCAGGCAAACCCACTTCCATCAGAGATGGCGGCACCAACCGATGTTTCAAGTCTTGCGGTACCTTTTATGGATATGTCTCATTTACAATCTATGACAGCCGGAAATATTTATGAAGCTGCCCAGATTGCAAAAATGGCAAAGGATGGCCCAACCGCTGCACCTTCGATCCAACTTCGCCATCCTTATGGTGGCTTCTCAATACCGCTTCCCGAAGTTACGAATGATCAGGACTCTGCCGGATTGAGTGCTCTATGGCAGACGCACATCGCAAGAGCAATAGCGCTAACAGCAATCACTTTCGGAGGATCCGTCCCGCAGCAAGGGCACGAGCAACAGCACCAACAAAAAATTTTTACGAATCCTTTGGATGTACCAGAGGCACTAAGACTGGACCCGATTGAGACTATAGTGCTATCGCAGGTCGATCCGATAGGAATACTTCACCGCCAGTCAGTTTAGTCAAGCACATTTGACGCTTGACAGCTATGTTTCCTGTACATGTCGCCAAGAAGGGTGCGAGGAAGTGGCCCAAATCTCAAATCTGTGTTCTCATTTCTTAACAATAAGGCAAAGACTTCACTTATGGCCATATAGAAAACCCTATTCATAACCCAAAGCAATAGATCGAAACCAATCAGAGACAACACATGTACCTTAGAGATAAATGCGCTCAACTCTTTTAAAGATGCTACAGATCCCATCAAAGCTGGTTGTGCTCCCATGGACTCGTAATTGTTCCGGCTGCTACCTCATTAGAAAGCCAAAGTATACTTCATTGAAATAATCCCCCTTGCTATCTTGCTATAGGATAAAGCACTGTGGGCGTCCTTACTAAATTTTCATTGGTTTGTTAATGATCAATTGAGCCTACTTTATGTAGTACACGTGTGATTTGTACGTGCTTTTAGAGCTCAGCCTCATGCAAGTAAAATTATTTGATCGACTGATGCACAGCCGGCTGTAGGTTGTCGGAGAAAGCTTCATGCCACCAAACCAAGATTTTATTACAGAGGCAACATCGCATTACATCCGCCTTTGAGTGTATTAGGAAGTGCTCTCTGCTTGAGAGGAAATGGTGGTAGGGTTTGAGAATGCACATAAAAAATCTTTCATTTCCATTAGCCCTTCCTACTACTCCTACACTTACACCTTCTCCTACTCTTTAATTCCTACCTCTCGCTCAATCTCCAGTTAGGGCTCATGCTATATAAATGTTCATTTGTTTAAAAATATACAAAAAAAAAAAAAAAAAGGATCAGGACTCTAGGCTTGGTGTTATTATTAAGGCTCTTGATAAATAGAAAAGCAAGTAGAAAATGAGTCATTCATACAAAGCCGACTAGAGTAGCGCAAGGCAGCAGAGATGTTTCCTATATGGTGTATCTGTAACATGCAGGATCTGATTGACAAGAGCACGCGACTTAATTAGACTTTTTTGCTTGTCAAATGACGTTTTCAGACATTAATTCGTCTATTGATTGAAGCCTTGTTTTTTTACGTCTTAAAGGCTTTTAATGGCATTCACATGAGGAAGCATGGCGTATTGAACGTGGTGGAGTAAGGCGTCAAGCTCTGGAGAAAAAGGGATGTTGGCTATTTATTATTCATAGACAGATTATTTACCTTGGTTAGAGTGTCACTCTTGTGCTGCTCGATCACTTGTGTGTAAATTAGCAAGGATTCTTCTGTTCCTTTATTATTCTATTATTATTACTTTAAAAGCAATAGCATTAGACTGAACTGTTTATCTTGTCTCTCTCTTTTTATTTTTATTTTCATTCTCTCATTTTCATTTTCATTCTCATATTCATTCTTCTCTGCTTTTTTTTTTTTTTTTTTTTTTTTTTTTTTTTTTTCTCCTTTCCTTCTTCTTTTCTTAGTCCTACTTCTCATTAGAGGTCCTCTTTTGCAAACTTTTTACATTTTTTTTAAACACTGACATCTGCATCATATTTCTTTTTTTATTAAAACATTTCCTTCATCTTGGTACATCCCATATCATACCACATTGCAGTTGGGACGCTTCGATACTATTATCATCACTATTTTTCTTCCTTACTAGTTATCTACATTACTACATTATCACCCAGGACTATTCTGTCGAAAAGAAGAAAAAAAAAATAACATAAAAGCATGTACTGGCGATTCGGGCATCAAAATGCATCTGTGATTGACCATCTACTTGAAAGTGGCAATGTCTCGCTGGAAGAGCTGCTCGAACAAGATGACTTGATCCAAGAATGCAAGGCACAAAATTCAAAACTCATTGAGTAGTAAGGTTTTTTTTTTTTTTGTTATTGTTCAAGAGCAAGCTGTATATCTATTGTTATTGAATAAGAATGATATAGGACTGTGTGATGTCTTGGCGATGTCAACTTGAAGTCAATCTTGGCTTTAAAATCATCATTTGGCTATGAAATTCATTACGGAATCCATGTTTTATACACGTCATTTCACATCCTTAATTGATGCCTCATTTCTTTTTCTTTTTTGTTATTTTTTTTTTGTTTGTGAACAAAAGTCTGCGTGATCCTGTGGTGCTACAACAGCTACTGAGTTATATCACGAGCGATGACTTGGAAGATCGTGCACGGTTCAAGTAAGTATATTTTTAAACAAGACTCATGCCAACCTCAACACCACCACAATCAATACTCGCAGTTAAAAGACGGGGATAGAGGGCTATCTTGCAGAAAGAAACCTTAATCGATCATGGGTTGAAAATAAAAAAGGATAAACTGCTCTGCAAATCAAAGGCATGGGACCATCATGACCAGGAAGAAAATTACCCGCATGAGTCAAAAATACATTACTTGTCTTTTTATCATCAAGGCTTTCTTTAAAATCTTACGGATTCAAGACAGACGAAGCATGCAATTGGAATGATGGAGAATGCACTCTACTGGAACCATACAATATGCGTGAAGAATGGATTCATCGGCAGCGTATCTTCCACTTAAATATATCTTTTTTAAAAAAAGACATTTCATGCATTTTATGTAATTTACCAACTCCTTTTTCTTTTTTCCTTTTAACATTTGTGTCTTCAGATATCCCTTTATTGCGTGCGAGGTGATTGCATGTGAAGTTTGGGGAATCTTCGAGTCTGCATTGTCCAATCCAGATATGCTTGTCAAGTTTTGGGAATTCTTGGATCGACCTCCACCCTTGAACCCTGTGCAAGCCAGCTACTTCTCCAAGGTCATTGGTGTATTCTTGATGAAAAGAACTAGCGAGGTGAGTGTGTACATATTTATATTCAAACATATTCATGGAAAAAGTAGTAACATTAGGATGTACAAGTCGTGAACCAAAATACTTTTGCCTCCTATTTCTCACAGTCGAGTACTCGCGCCCACACGCTTGCTCATCCTTCCAAACCAATAGATGTTGCAATTTATAAAATCGCAGCCAGAGGTTGTGCCCAAGTTGCTGTTGCATATGTCGACATCTGCGATCATGGATCTACTGCTTAAAATCATCAGCATGGAGGAATCACCAGAGGGCAAAGGAACTGTGCAGGTAAAGTAACACGATATTGGATATTGCTCTTTATTGTTTAATGTCGGTAGTGTACGCCAGAGTGATTGGTAATCAATGACCCTTCGCTTGAATTAGTGGCTGAGCGAGCAAGGACTGATGCCATGGCTTGTGAATCGTCTGGATCCAAATTATGACGCAGAAGTACATTCGATCGCTTCTCAAGTTTTACTCGACATCATCGCCATCTCGCAGTCTTCACATCCTGAGCAACCATCAATTGGGACGAACGTATTGATTGATGAGCTGAAAAGTGAAGTACTTGTCTCTCAGCTCGTAAGCTTCATGCTTGACAGGGACGCACCATTCTCCTCTTCGACTCTTATCAACGGCGTTACTATATTTATTGAGCTTATCCGCAGGAATAATAGGTACATCATTGGGTCACTTATTTAAAACTTCGACCTATTACTTAGCATTTGCATGGAGCCACTTAAAAAATTGATATTAACCCGGATGGTTCAACAAATTGGTTCAATACAGTGATTATGATGTTGAGCCCGCTCCTCCTGGTTCTACAGAGCCAGTACGTGAAGCAGTAGATCTCAGTGATTTACTCAAAGTGTTAGCATCAAGAATTGAGGATTTTAAAAACCTTCTTATAGTACCGCGATCAGTTGTAAGTAATCGGATGTACATAGGTTGATTTGGAAAGGCCCATCTCGTTACAATGAAGCAAATTCTTACTATAATGGCCGTTTCTTTCTCTCTCTTTCTTTCTTTCTTTCTTTCTTTCTTTTTTTTTGATTCATTACACACACAATACAGACAGGACCTATTGATACAGCTATCGGGAAGCAAACGCCTCTTGGTTTTGAGCGCCTAAAAATTTGTGAGATGTTTGCAGAGTTGCTTCATTGTTCCAATATGGCGGTGCTCAACTCTCGACCAATCATTACAGTTTCAACCGATGGAACTGTCAGTGTTCCTACTGTCTCCATGATTGGCCTTCACCATGACCATACAGAAGACGAGACAAAGACATCTGGAACCGGGAATGGTGTATTAAAGGGAGCGACAGACGATGTACAACATGCAAACAAGAATCAGGCACATTCTCCCAAAGCAGCTGATCTACAGAACGGAGTTCTCACACCTACTGAATCAATAGGAGATGAAGCTGAATCTTCAGCTATTCCTTTGCCTCTGCAAGCTTCATCATTCACTCTGAAGAGTCCCATCATTACTTCAATTTGTACGTCAAATCCTACAGGCGAGGATGTGCTCATCCCTGTCGGCGATTTTTTGAAGCTGCAATTCGTGGATCATCGAATTATTCCAACCTGCTTTGATTTATTTTTCCAATTCCCATGGAACAACTTCTTGCACACGGTTGTATACGACATGGTCCACCAGGTGTTCCATCGACCCATGGGTGACATTGGAAGGCCTGATATCGACGGCACCTATATACCACCAAAGTCGGACCACGATATCACTGAAGGATGGAATAGGCGGCTGACGGTCTCGATGTTCAGGGATGGACAATTGACAAAGCGCATTACGGATGCACAGCGACTCAATGATTATGAGTGGTACGTGGTCTAATCTTGAAATATCTAATAGTGGCTACCTGAAAGAGAGCTTTGTTTGTATATATCTGTATGTGTATACTCATTACTCCTGTACATTATTCGAATTTTATTAATTTTAGTGCGCAGCCAAAGGGCGTTCGTCTAGGATATATGGGACATTTGACATATATTGCAGATGAGACTGTAAAGTTACTTGAGCTTTACTCGCAGACATCACTTTTAAACACGCTCTATGAGTTTATCGATCTGGAAGATTGGTGGAACTATGTCTCGAAGATTTTGAAAGAGACCAAAGATCGTGATGCACAAGTGTTAGGAGGTACACGGCCTAATATGACTGAGAGCCTAAAGCCTGGGATGGATGATGGCAATGATGATGATTACTTGGACGATAATGACGATGAATATGGTGCTGGTGGTGACTTTTTGGGCAGTGTCAGTGGAGCGGGCCATGAAGGTGATGTGGCTAGTGATCAGTTTGCAAGATATTTGTGCCAACAAATCACCAATAACCTCCCAGATAAGTTTGGCTCATCTGATGAAGATGAGGACGATGAAGAAAGCAATTGGATTGGCGAGTACGGAGCAGAGAATGTGTTCGCAAATAGACTTCCAACCGACTTTGATAGTGATGATGAGGATGGTGTTGATGAGGAGACATGGAACGAACCTGTAAGTGTCTTTATGGCTTAGTTTTTTTTTTTTTTTTTTTTTTTTTTTGTATGCAATTACGTTCAAATCTGTACTTGATCTCTTGTCTATCCAGGTCTGCATCAACCGGTGAGACTAATCAATGTTTTTCCTCACTATCGTATCTCTTGCAAATAGTGGCAAAATACCACTTTTATTGGAGAGAAGTCTACAGATGGGTTAGGAATGAATTCTTCCGCACAGCCAGGCGCAACATTAACAAGCTCTAGTGAGTTACAAGATGACTTTGGTGAATTCAAGACAGCTGACGATACCTATTCTGCGGAATCAACCATTCAGGATGAGGCTAAACCCGAATCTGAGCACAAACAGGATAATGGGGCTTCTAACTCGGTTACTGTTCCTGCAACTGCGTCTTCCAACACTCCATCTGACTTTGCACATAACACCAGCGCCGCAGATGTCACTTTGACTGAACCTCGTTCGAAAGCATATTCGGGTACCCATGAACATGATGCCGTCAGAAAACAGAAGAATGAGGGCGAAATTGCAATTCATGTACCTGCATCTATAGTCTCAGTGCCACAAGCTCCAAACTCGAATGACGAAATGATGGGAAATGCAATGACCTCTACTGCTACAGCAACCACAACAGAGGTGCCCGTGGCGCTTGCACCCGTAGTTCAAGAGACGCCTCTGGTAGAAACTCAGAAAGAGAACATTCAGGAGAAGCAGCCCTCATCACCTAACCTTTCCATTGCATCGGGCCAAAGCAGCAACAGCACGAACTCAATATCATCATTGACCGTTGAGCCACCTTCCTCAGTACATTCAGTATCATCCTTGTCTTCCTTGCCATCAGTACAGGATAAAGAGCAAGCATCAACTACGCCAATGAATATAGAGATCATACCATTGTCAGATCCCAATGAACCAAAGCTCCATGCGACGACTGGTACATCAACTTTCGATAGCACCATTAACAACTCCGACTCGAATACCGTAAAGCATGATGCAGGGATGACAGATATGACTAAAAGAGTCGGAGGATTAGACTTGAAGCAAGGATAGAGGAACTTCAACCTTCAGTATTTTTTATTCCTTTTTTCATTTTTTCATTTTCATTTTAACAAGTGTATTTGTGGTTTGAATTGCTTTTTCGCTTCTTTTTTTTATTTTTATTTTTATTTTCTTTCACTTTTACTTTTTCGCTTTGTATTTTCGGTAGTCTTCTCACCCATGAACTACTTTTCTTCTTTCTTCCTTTTCAATCAACCAACCCATTTGCATTTTATCAAGAGAGTTAAGCGGAAAACATCTAGTTTAATCAAATACATTCTCCTCAAAAGGACTAAACATGAGCTCTCCATGTGTATTTTATTTTTCTGTGTGTATGCTATTGATCTGGTAAAATTAGCTTCAAATCTGATTGTAGCACGACAAATGGGGGTAGTTGTTTTGATTTGTAACAGTATGCCAGCTGACGTTTTAAAGGCTCCAGCAGTTCATGCGTTGTTGTAATGCTCGCTATTTTTGTAGGTGTTGCCGCTGTTGTTGATGATGCTTCAACCGAACCTTGGCTAAAGAATTCGCGTTCGATCACCTCCGTTACTCTCTGTTCTGAAATTAACACATCTGTGGATGCATAAAGAGAACAGGATCTTGCTGCTGTGGCTGTTGCCACTCTGTATTCCATAAAAGCACCATAATCGTCTACTCCATCCTCGGAATGCTCTAGTGCTTGATACGAGCTGGTCAACCCACCAGCGTCATCTTGACCGTCTCCGAAGCGATGAACGAAGGGGATGATCCACTTATTCTCAAACATTCCACCTCTGTCTCCTGGATTTAAATCTGTAGTTGACCCTTTATTTGACTCTAGATCCCTTGGTCCTCTTTCCCTTTCTTCTTGAATATTTTGACTATTTCGACATGAGAAATTAGAGGATTGATCATACTCCATGATTGATACTTGATAATAAAGATGAGGCGGGATACATCCATGAGGTGGAGATATGTCATGAGGGTAGCTGCCCCAAGGATGGGGCGTCCCCGTGAGTATAAACATCTTATCAGTTGTCAATTCTTCCCGCTGTTGATCGTCCTGATTATGACCTTTCCTCATACGCTGCTGCTGTTCCTTTCCCTGTTGGAAAGCCTGATTATTATTGAGCCCCCTATCGTCGAGCTCAGTGAGGCTTTTGTCTTCTTCCTCTTTTCCTTGCTGTTCTTGTAGCATTAAGCTGAGTCTAGGCCGAAAGGTTGCTATAAAATCCGGACATTGTTGCGAGTGCAAAGAAAATGTTGTTTCACTGGCATTGGCATTGGCATTAGCATTCTCTTTCATTTGCTTGTGTTCATGTTGAGCATGGACATGGTGTACATGGTTGCAATATGAAATCTGCTGCTCCTGACTTTGAGTCGATATCGTGTCTTTGACAAAGGATGGGCCATAGACGATGAATGCAGTTCCTTCAAAGTACCTCATACGAAAGTGAATTTGAGGTTCTTAAGTCTTGCTTTTTCAGCTGCCTTAGACCTCTTCCAAAACAAATAAGACGTCACTTTTAATGCCTATTACAACTGGAGCAGAACACGCGTTGTTTACATGGTTTTACCATATCCAACGTACTCTAAAAATGGAGATGCCTAAAGTGATCTCACTTCCGCGTCCTACACAATATTTACCATGAGCGATATACGGAGATAGTCCCTCACAAATACCATGGCAAGCACCAGCACTCTTCCAACATATATATCAGCGAGATCACGTCTTCTTTGGAAAAAAAAAGTACTTTTATTTTCTATTTTCTTCTTTCTTTATTCTACTGAATAATTCATTTATTTCGAGCCAGGGAAACCGAGCCAGTTGATATTGCCCTGGATAAAGCTCTGGTACTCCTCGCTTTCTCTCCAAGCCTTCAGAGAAGGGATCGAATCAACAGTCTCCTTGACCTTCAAGATAGCGGGAGTCTTCTCAGGCGAGATCAAACCTTCCTTTGCAGAGATATGTTCAAGAAGGGGGATCAAGTAAGCAGCTTTGATATCGGCCAAAGTCAGCTTGTTGCTGATGAAATGACCATTGGCTCCATTGTCCTGTAAATGGCGTTCATGGTGTTTAATCCAGTTGGAGATAGCGCCCTCGACTAATTGCTTCCTAATCTTCTCCTGAGCCTCTTTATCATCCTTAGCAGGATAGTACCTGGAATAGATCTGACTGGTCACATCGTTGGCTTGAGAGACATATGTGTTGATGATGGTCTCTTCTAATGCATTAGCACCATAGAGATCAAATTTGCGAGCCAAGTAACGTTCAATCGAATCGGACTCTGCAATCTGGATGAAAGTCTTTCCATCAGCTGAAGTCTCCTTGAGCAAAGGCATGAGGCCGAATGGAGTCTTGGCCTTGTCGCTTTCCCAATTATCACCAGGAAGGATATTAACAAACTTGGCGCCAGAGATAGCGAGGATGATACGGGTGGGTCCGCCCATACCGTGGAGATCAAAGTAGCGCACTTCAAAGGTGCTATCCTTCTTGAGACTGAGGGCCTGGAAATCAGCGGCTTTTGAAAGATCGAAGAACTCGTGGACCATTTTAAGAAAAAAGTTTGCTTGTTGTTATTAGGAGATAAAGATTTTTTTTTATGGGAGTTGTTGCTGTTGGAGCTTTAGAATGTTGTGTTGATGAGAATATAAAAAAAAAAAAAAAAAAAAAAAAAAAAGATGGGATACCCGTCTTTTATATTAGAAAATCTTGATGCTACAACCCTACAACAATCATAGAAAAAGAATTTCTTGATAGCCTGCGGCAATCGTACTCGTCTTCGATCTCTAAACTGTATTAATCAAACGCAGCTTATTGCAGTATGTATATGTACATTCATGCTTGCAAAAAAAGTTTTTCTTGAATTGAAGACTGCAAATAATTGATTAATAATCCCCTGACGTTGAAAAAAAAAAAAAAAAAAATCTGGTGGAGAGCGCTTGTGCAAGGGCGGCGTCTGTCACGTTTGTGTTACAATGAAGTATAACCGAATTAAGCACAACTGATCAAGGAAAACAAAAAGCAGGGTCGCGCAGCGTACTGTAGTACTGTAAATTGAAAAGTTGCATGTTTGCAAACTTTGTTCCGAATTAAGATCACAGAATGCATTTGTCAGCTTTGTATTATTTTACTCCAATGCTTCTATGACTTTCTGAAGTTTGACGCCGCTTAATCTCCTCACCACGTGCTATACTATTGGTGGCAAATAAGATCAACCATCCATTTAGCTATTAGAAAAGATTTAGGATCCTAACTGAGGGCGAGTCTTTTCCTTTTCTATCGAAGCAGCCAATGATCTCTCCAAGGAGAGAGGGGGAAAAGGGTGAGTGAAAGGGAAATAGAAAGAAAGAGATCAAAGACACCGAATAAGATTGATTTTGCTCTTGCGAGAGAGGGCAAAAGGCCATGCGTCCTCTTAGCTTAGTGTCTCCCTGTGACGTCTCTGAGAGACCTTCAGCCTCTTGGCATGTAACTGTTTGAAAAATGGTTTCTTTCCATGCCAGACTTTGTATAGTAACTAAAGGAGGTGCAATGCTTTAGGTTCAGCCTCTGAAGCTTCTTTCCTCTATTAGCACTACTAGCGAAAAAACCATTCTACTGCCCTTGTTGCTCCGGGCTCCTCACTTGCTCGCATTCAGATCACCTCTCATCGACTAAAGTTTATACAAGACTATGAGCCCCGTACATCAAAGTGTTAGTGTAATTGCACACTCCTAAAAGATGCCCGTCCTGATAAGGTTCGAATGATCTCGTTTGTCACATTGCTTCCCTTGAGGCCTAATTCCTCCAATACTGACAAGCGCGCTCTTCCGTACAAGCTTTGTGCCACTATTGTACTCAAGCCCGGATACCGTAAGCGAAGACTGATCATACCTGATGATGTCTTAGGCTGCAGCATTGCCAACTAGAAGAAACATACATAATGTCTAATAGTTATAACCGAATTTGGTAACGAGGGATTTACCGATGGATGGTAATGATGACACTCTAGGGAAGGTGGCAGTAGCTTCAGGATCGCCGCCACTAGAAGTCCATTTAAATTGCTGAAATACACCAGCAAGTACAAAAGTATAGGTGGCTCCATGTCTTTTAAATTCTCCAACAGCCACAATTGTCATTGGGGACCATATCAAGCTTTAAGCAAGTTACCTTGGTTGAGACTCGTCTGCTTAGAATGATTTGTGGGCTACAGGTAGTCCTCACTCTCAAGCCCCAAAGCTCTAGGGATTCACACGCAGCTTGAGGAGTCGAACCACCAAGAAGATCAAAAAGGGGTTTAGAAAGACCTATCTATCCATAGGAGTAAGCCTGGTATGTATCATACCAATAACACTAGGCCCTTGAAAGCATTCTTCAGATACCAAAGACGTTGGGGTACTGCAGTTTACTCATCAAGGAATCTACCATCCGAAAACTTTTCAGCTGTCTTGCATAATATGAAATAGTGCTTGAAAATGCTAACCAACTACGCATTCTCAAACAACAGCTTCCCATAACACTAAGAGTTAGATACTTAGAGCTTTTTTTATTTTTCTTTAAACCCACAGGCTAGTCCGAATGATCGCATCAAACCCCACAGCGAGAGGCCATATCAAATTAGCATCTAGCTCACCCAAGTCCTTCAGTGTAGGCCTAGCCCCAGAGAAACCGGTATCAGGAACGGTTGACACCAATGCTCCCCCTCCCAGCATTCAGCTATGGTGTCCCTTCAATGCCGTTTCCTACTTTCACTGTTAATTAAGGCGACGGAGAAGTGACATTAGTTTATTACAGTTCTTTAAAAGCATATTGCGATTGAATCCCTATTTTCTCTTTAAGTTCCTTGCTTCCCAAAGGAAATGTATTCTGGTTGGAAAATGTTGAATAATCAGGTACAATGTTCCTGGACACGTTGACGCTGTAGGGGCTATATATGGGTTCCTGAAAAGCGACGGACTTTTTAAACGGTCAATTGAGTATCATTCAAATGCCCTAAAAACCATATTAAAACAACAGCTTCTTTGCTTATCAATTATCAATAACTATCCTACTGGTTGGATATAAATGAACATGAATCTTACTGAAAGTAATTTAGGTCATAATACATCAAGCCTAAAAGGCCTACTAAACTGTGGCTCGTATAACCTGAAACCTATGGTAAGCAGAATTTTGTTTTTTGTTTTTTTTTTTTTCCTTGCCATCGATGATCGAAAATTGGTGGCCAAACCTTATTCATATCATCTGCAATCAATAGGCAGAACAGCAGCAGTAAGGTTGATGGTGGGTCACTTTCGCCTTTTATGTTTTTCCCAGAACCACAGCCTCTTTTGTTCTTGTCGCCGCCACCTACAACCCAGCTGAAGAACTCTTTGCACGGGTTGGAGTAGGACGTGACCTGGTTGTAATTTTCCTGTTTGACGGAAGAGAAGTCAAACCATAGAGCAGAGTATATATTAGCTTAAATGTATATGCAAACTTTAAGCTAAAAGGCAAAAAAGCTTCTTTTAGTTATTTATTTATTTATGCCTGTAACATCTATTTATCCTTTAAATCAATTAAACCTTGCGGGCCGCCAATGAGACCATCTCCATTATACTTAAAACATCAATAGTCTCCACTGTTTTTCCAACAAGAACTATACTATCGATGGGTCACTGTAGTTGTTTCTGAAGAGGGGTTTTTCTTCCTCCCATGGGCTCAACAGACGTCAACAAAAAAAAGTACATCTATAGATATACAATCTACTTTTGTTTTATTCAACAGTGTGAGAAAGCATTCCGAAAAAGTTTGTCTGAAGAGAAAGGACATGCATCGTTGATGGTTCAGCACTCAGCTTAAAAGGAAGCAATGTGTGGACACAAGATGGGAAGAATTAGGAGCTTTGGCCCTGTAGCGGCGTTGGTGGGCGGGCGGCTTACAAAGTAGGCATAAAGAGGAGTAAGCATAATAGCCTTTTTTTTTTTTTTTTTTTTTTTACTGATGACAAACTTCGGTTTAACAAGAGTCAATTGCGTTTCTGTGTCCATTTCACCCCTGGAAACAGGTCGCGTGATCCCCATTCGTTGGTTACACGTATATTTGGTAGAATGTACCTATCAGATGGATAATAATCAATGACCAAAGGGGGTTGTTCTTGTGGTTGTAATCATCGTTGTCAGCGTACCTGTTCGCATGACCTCAGTTTCCTCCTATTGTGGGATACCTCGATGGCCATTGCATCTTTTTTAGTGACATTCAAAGCTGAGATGTTAGTGATATCTGTATCTGTATAATTTGTGAAGCAAATCAAATTGAAGCGAGATGGCGGTTGTAACCCTCTGCTTTGCGCGTGAGAAAAGTCAAGTCTAATGTTTGGTACATTCGAAGGAATGAATAACAAAGGAAATGAGTGGAGATGAAAAACAAAGTATATAACAAGATTGGATCTAGATTACGGAAATGTCCGGTACACGTTCATGCGACAATACATGGCACCTTGCCTTTGATACCTACCTGTTTGCATCTCTGTTTACTCCTTTCACTCTATTGCATGTTGAGATTCCATGGATTGAATGGCAATATCTTATTTAAAAGTTACTCAGCTTTCCGATCCTAAAATGGATCCAAAATCCTCTATATGTACATACTTTGGAATGGATTCCCTTTTTGCACCCCTTTTTCTCTTGATTAGAAAGGCTTGAGTATTCCTTGCCCTAATGAATATCCCAAGTCCTTCTATCGCTCTTTCTCTTTTCAGAGGCGCGTGTATGTCTATGTCTCCTTTTTTTTTTTTTTTCTTTTTTTTTCTCGTGTGTGTCTGTGTGAGAGATTAGGAGTGCTTGAAGTGCTGAAGCATTATCATGCCCTATCAGCGATAGACAGCTGTTTCGTGCTCAATAACCATCCATGATTGCACCATCGCTACGCCTGACCATTCGGTACGGTAGCTTTGTGCCTACTCACACCCATATTGGTATTGATAAGAGACAGCAACAGAAGAAGTGAAATGATTGCTGGTGCGAGGATGTAGGATTATCTCATCTCGCTTCAAAAACTATTGAACAATGCCAAATTTACTCCCACAGAACACAGGACACAAGACAAAGGACACAGGACTTGGCAGGCTTGGCCAAAAAATCCTTGCCGCCATGATCGTAGAACTAGTCTCCCAAACTGAGTGTTTACGAAAAGAAAAGTATTTATAATTTTATTTAAATGCTTTAAACGCTTTAAATGCTTTGATTATTGTATTTTAAAAAAGACACTTCTGACTCACCTCATCCTTGCGCTTGTCTCTCTTCCTCCTTCTTTCACTTCCCAACATTCAACATTCACAAACGCAATCATTTACTAGCCACCTGTTCCTTTATTTCTTTATTATTTTATTTTCCATTTCCGAGTCTCTGTTTCTTTTCTTTTGCTTAATTGTATAACTACTTGCTACTTGTCCAATTATTCAAAAGTCATTTAGTGGGTGACTGACACTCACTCTTTCTCGTTTTCATTGATTAAACTTCAGTCAGTCACTCCAAAAAAAGAATTCACTCCACACTTTGTCGCCCTTTCCTAGTCAACAGTCTTTCATTTTATTCATTATCACCTTCATATTCATACATTCTTGCTTGTCATCCCTTCCTTCCTCTCTCTCTTTCTGCTTCAAAAACCTTCTTTATCCCTACTCTGTTCTTCCACAAAATAATAATAATAATAATAATAATAATAGTAAAATAAACCATGGATGGTGTTGACTGCGACTGGTGCCTGGTTTGCGACAAGCGCACGAGCAGTGGTGCAACCTATTGCTCTTCAGAATGTCGTTCCACAGACCTCATCTCATCTTCAGCATCTTCGGCCTCATCCGCCTCATCCGCCTCATCATCGAGTTTCATGACAGATTCAAATGGAGCACCGTTAGGTACTTCTGCCTCATCGTTTGGCAGTAACAATAGTTATGAACTGCCTCCATTCGTTCGCAAGCAACGGACGAGTATACCCAATATCTACGCACACTGTACATCAAACTCTAATCCACCAATGAGTAACTCGCTCCTCTTTGCTTCCAGTCAAGGAGGACACGGTCATGGATCAGCACTGAATCAGAACCTGTCAGAAAAGCAGCATTCTTCGACAGCCCCGTCATCCGTAACGCACCCGGTCCCAGGCTCGGCTGCCACACAATACCCGCTCTTTTACGCCACATTGAATGCACTCCGTCCTATCTCACCTTCTAGTCCGCAACAGGATCAGTAAGATGTTAGTCGGTCTTTAGGGACCCTCGAGGCAGTTTCTCTTCGAAGACGCGGAATAATGCCTTGAGGCACCTCTGTTACACTATACATTTCTTCTTTAACGGTTTTCCCCACCATATCTCTTGCTTTCTTCTCCTATCTTTTCATGTTTTTTCCTTTTTTTTTTTTTTTTTTTTTTTTTTTTTTTAATGTTGAGCGACGATTCATTACACAAGGACTCAGCCCGCATATTGCATGCTATAAATCTATTGGAACCACATGTTTGTCTCTCTTTTCACCGCCACTTCCCATCCAACAATTATTCTCAGGAACGCCACACCTTTCCTCAGTTCTTTAGCCTTGTCTTTTTTTGGGCAGGGTCTTCTTTTTTTAAGAAAAAGAAACCTAATGCCAATTTTATTTTCTTGGCTTGTTTTTTCCTCCCCAGCTGTTTTTTTTTTTTTTACGTGCCACAAGCACTTCTCAATTGTCGTGTCCCTTATTTGGTCATATTAAAGTTTAAGAGGAAAAAAATATCCTTGGAGGGAAATTCTCAATGTGCTTCTCCGGGAGGATGGATGGACTGGGATCCCAAGGTAGCCGAGGCGAAAAACTCAAAATGATGTATGTGGAGGAAAACGGGATAGAGTGCCGATGTCAGTCATAAAGGAAGACAACAACAACAAAAAAAAAAAAAAAATTGAGAGCCTACAGAAAGGTCCCTCCCGTAAGAGAGGGCTTCACAATCATGGCCTTGACACATCACAACCCCAAATGATTAATCTTTTTACGAAGCCTCGACCGGCGTTTGGCCTTCACAAGTCCATTTTTGCTTAGTACTCGTCAACCAACAACTCTTACCTTGAATCTAGTCTACGAACACAGATGCACATTCGCTCAAGAAAAAAGCCATGGCCAAGCAACTATCGCGACTGATTGGTCGAACGCGAAAATTGGATTAAAACTCAGCCAACGCCCATCAGTCTATTCTTACTTTCTCCTCCACATTCCTCACCCAAAGTTTGTTTGTAATGTGTATTTTGTTTGTCTCTTGTTGCTTGCTTTTTTATTTTATTTTATTTTTTTTCCCTTTCTTTGCTTTCTCTTTTTTTTTTTTTTCCTCCTTCCGTGTATAATCTTGTTTACAATCGTCGAGTTTCTTTTTTGATTTCTGTACAAAAACAAAACAAAAACAAAAAAATTATACCATCGGCTGCTTCTGCTAGTCTTTCTCTCCTTTGTTGTGTGCCAGTTTATGCAATGATTTTTCAGCATTGTAACTTTAGAAAAGAAAACGTAGTTAACAAAAAAAAACCTGTAATAAATAATCATAAAGTAATCATGCTTCCGTCTGCCATATCATTTACGCGCCAATGCGACTTTTTTTTTTTTTTTTTTTTTTTTTTTTTTTTTTTTGGGGGGGAGGATATGGATTGAATTGTAATATGCATTCCGATTTGTACAAACCTTGGTAACGGTTGAAAATTAGTCTGCTTCAAATGCCCAGTCTATACTTCAATTTCTTGTGTAGCACGCGATCAACTTGTAGTAACACCTCGAAAGATGAGTTTTTCTTTTTATTACTTCAAGCAGACTATAAAGGGTCCCAGTTATATTTTCCTAGATTGAGCTATACTATTGTTTCTTTGCTTTCCTAATCTTTATTATTACCTATTATTATTATATCATTATTTCTGGCTCAAATAAAAAAGAGGAGCTAAGTGGAGGCATCAACACCAACTTATCACAACAAGGCAAAAAAAAAAAAAAACGCTCAAATCACAATCACCATGACCCACTTTTCACTACCATTGCGTGACAAAAATCGCTCAGGATCATCCTTGTTTAACCGACGCCACATGATGCTCTTTATTCTATTGGCCATTACATCGCCCCTAGTACTCCAAACAGCTCTTGGTGTATCCTCTTTATCCTTTTCTTCTGTCTCGGATATTCCAACTGAGGGAGCTCTGGATCCACGCGATTACCATGGTATTGTCCACAAGATCCAACCAGGTTTACTTCAACTTCAAAGGGAAACGAATAAAATAGAGAAACAAGCAACGTCTCAAAAAGCCACGAGTCCACTTATTGATGCAACGAAATACCCAGAGAAGGATCAGATTCCTGATGTGAATCATCCTCAAGTGAAAGCCTGGGTAGCTCAAATTGATTGGTCAAAAGTCCCAAAGATCCCTGTCGCAGAAAGTTTGGCAGATGCACGCCATTTTCCTAAATGTCCTCCCAAGGATTTGGTGGACAAGGATTCGTGCTGGTGGTCCTGTGATGCATGCGAGGCTAAAGATGATATTGTGACTTGCCCAAACCCAGATGATTGGGGTCTGACCTATGATGATGGTCCTAGTGAAGCGAGTCGCAGTATGATGAAGCACTTGAAGGAAAAAGGGATAAGTGCGACATTTTTTATTGTCGGAAGTAGAGTATTGGAGTACCCTGAGATATTGAAGGAGCAGGTTGATCAGGGGCATCATATTGCCTTGCACAGTAAGTCTTTTTTAGTTCGATTATGGTCAGTGTAAAGATAGTATATGTATTTCATTAATAGCGATTTTTTTTTCTTTTCATTTCCTTCACATCCCGATAAGCCTGGTCTCATTGTGGGTTAACCACATTGACTAACGAGCAAATCGTTGCTGAGGTCCGCTGGGCAGAAAAGATCATCAAAGACATGACAGGAGTGACCACGAAATATATCCGTCCACCATTTGGTAAATGCTTAGTCCCCCCTTTTTTTAAAAAAAAGTTATTGTAGTGGATAATTACCTTGTTACTGAAATGTACTTCCTATGTAGGTGACACTGATAACCGTGTCCGCGAGATTCTTCGACAGATGGGATACACGATCGTGATCTGGACCCAAGGTTGGGATACAAACGACTGGCGGGTTGCACAGCGTCAGCTCATGGTCCCTGAGGTCGTTAAAACCTTTACGAATGCACTCAATAACCGAGCCTTGGTCCGTTCGCCTTTGGGAAAACTTGGAGGCCCCGTGACATTGGAGCATGATCTGACTGAGGATACCATTGAGTTATCAAAACAGATTATCCCTATGGGGATAGCCCGTGGATTGAAACCCATGAGTTTAGCACAATGCCTAGCAGATTCAGCGCCTTATCAAGGATCGACTGGTAAAACTTCTTCCAACAATAAGGACGGCAAAGGTGACAACGCCAGCAAGAATGGAGAGAGATCTTCGAGCAAAGGAACTGATATCACCGGCAAAGCGAATGAACATGCGTCTGATTCAGCAGGCGCTACGGGTCAGCGTGGGTCCAAGAGTGATGCTACTGTGGCCATTCGGAACGGCTTTCAGACTGCTGGATATGCAGTCATGGGCTTGGCCATTATTGGATCCTATATGCTGACATTGTAAAAAAGAAAAAGAATAATAAAGTAAACATCTAGACAAATTTGTAATTTCATGTACTTCAAACCCACAAGTGTGCGATTAGAAAGATCAATCACCCCCAACATCTTCCCCTTCCTCTTTCCTCAATTCTTTTCTTCAACGATGCAGTAAATAAAAAGACCGCTTATTATAAGGGCCTCTGCCTTTCGTCTTTTAACGCTTTCTATCTGTGTATTAGTAGTATTATTAACAATCTCAGCAGCAACTCTAGCAACTTTTTTTTTAAGTATATGATGTTAATATTCGCCTCGTATCCCAATTAGTCTAAGATGCAGTTTCCTTTAATCTATTTATAAGGTAAACTGAGCTCAAGGCCAACGAGGAAATGGACTACGGCGTTGTTACAGTTCGCCTTGCATACCAGGCGACTTTTCTCATTCATTTTACAGCGCAGGAGGCTCTACCGCGTGATTCTTCTATCACAATAGAACATTGGGTCGAGACCCACCCAACTCGTACGACTGCTTTCTATGGAAAATAAAATGTGCCAAGCTGTGGCCTTGCAAGGCGTAATGATGGGTGTGTAAAAGAGATATGTCTCAGATATTGCCAGCTTTACAATTCGACAAACATGGCTTTAGATCTTTGCATGCAATGAGTGGTATGATACTGGACTACTTGAAAGTGGAGAGAGAAGGGAAATAGAGATATTCATGATGCCATGTTCTGCCAACAAGGGAATTCCCTGCCTCTGGATGCATGGCATACCCAACTCATAAATCATTTACGGGTGTAAAAAAACGCGATAGTGACGGCGAGAAATGTTACGCCAGCCAGTAATTTTCTCCCATTTTACCAGTCCTATGAATACTATGGGGATTTTTTGTGTATTTTCTTTAAACAAGATCCAAGATCCAAAACCCAACAATGACTGTATATGCGAGGACTATAATTGAAGTAATCATGCCTCAGGATTTTCATTTTGTGCAGAGGATTTGTTTTCTAGTCTACGCATGAAATCCATGAAGGCCTGACGAGATGCATCGTAATTACTCGTATGATTGGATCCACTCAAAAGACAACTCAAATAGAACGTATGAGATGCATCGATAAGCTGAGTCTGCTGCAGAACCAATACTGTCAACTGCTTTAGACTTGATTTCTATTCAGGAGAACAAAAAAAAAATATTAGGTTTTTTTTTTTTTTTTTTTTTTTTCAGGGCGCTCCGTCTTGATCTTTTTTTTTTTTTTTTTACCAATTTCGTGACTTCGTCAGCAGATTTAAAAAATGCCTCTTTCCACGCGATAGCCTCCAGATAGGTTTGAATCTTGAGCACTTCTCGTTGAATCGTTTTGAAGAGGTCCACAAATTCTTTATGATGTTGTTGATGTAGAAGTAGATGTTCTGCTCGTGTAGGAGTGTCGAGGATATCAAGTAGCTGGACTCGGTTTTCAATCAGAAATTGAATCTGAGATGTAAACGATTCTAGACAACAAATACGAGGGTCTTTAAAAGCAGGAAAGGACAAAAGGAGAAATTATCAATTAGTCTTTGTTTTTTTTTTTTTTTTTTTTTTTTTTAAAAAAAAAAAAGAAGGAAGGAGAACGGCTTTACCAGCTGATAGGTTTTGGACGTCTTTGACCAACAATTGCTTCTCAATATTTCGCAACTGCGCGTCCAACTAGATTTTTGCCATCAAATGAACTCGTTAATATTTATCAAACGTTTTTATTATCTTATGTTGATATATCCCAAAATAATAATGAGAGTTCTTATTGCATATCTAGTTACCATTGCTAATTGCGCTTGGGATGCTTCAGCTTCAAGGATCATTTGGCCTACCCTGAAAGATTTGAGTAGAGGAAGCGATATTGTCGTACTATCAGTCGTCATCGTGTCTAAGGTGGTAGTACAGTTTGTTTGTGGAGGATTTGACTCTGATGCCATGGCAAGAATGGAATCCATTGCTTGAATTTGTGAGGAAAGATGGTTAGTTTCGGCCATTTCTGGTTTTTCTGTAAGTGTAATGAAGCAATGTTAATAATGAACAAACAAATGATCGATTGCATAATCTCTCGAGGTAATGTGAAGGGCTGAACGCTGCTCATAGCCTCATAAAAGTCTTCGCCCCCGACAAGACTATTAATTATCTATTACTTTAATACAATATCTAAAAGTCCTGAATGTCATGCTTTTTTATTGTTGGCGAAGCGCATACGGTTGAGCTCTTGGACATATTCGCTATGACGCCCATTATCTGTCTGCTCACGGTACTTGTCCTTCAGTTGAACTTGACTACGTGCTTTTAGTACATCACCATGAGCTGAATCGTACTGCTTCAGCTGGGCCCATTTGATTGTCCTCTTGCGCACCTTGATCTCCGATTCATCATACTTGAACATCTCAACTAGCTCCATCAACCGATCCACCTCCTCTTTAGTCCAATGCACTGTTGGCTTGCGGGTCTTTGGCTCTGGTATACTGTTACTGATGCTGGCTGAAGTGTCTTTGCGTATCAGTGTACTTTGGTCATCGACTTGATCATCTGTCTGTTCAGCATTGTGTCCTTGTATTGCAGCCTTATGCGTTGAGGAAGGAGATGATCCACTCTTCTCAGCAGAAAATCTGGATGAAGAAGTTTCTCTTTGCTTAGAGCGCATAGCCGTGCCATTCTTTTTAACCTTGCTTTCACTTATTGCACGCTTACGTCTCTTAAGTGGCGGCGAAGTACTTTCCTCTTCACTTTCTTCATATGATGAACTAGAGCTAGTTGTTGTTGGCGAGGTTTCCCCGTGTTCTTGGATAGCTTCTTGGTCTGGTGATGTTCTCCTTGTTGCCTTTGCTGTTGGTGACGACGTAGCTGCATGATGCATTGTATTTTTTGTTCGGATTGCTCGGATATTAACTAACCGTTGCTTGTTTACAGATCTACCCTTACTATTCATTGTCCCTTCTGCGCTTTCCTGAGGATCCACATAGGTTTCTCTCGTTTCCATAAATACGTCGGTATTCACATCTGCCTCCAGGTCTTCATCCTCGCTTACAATTGCATTTATGTCCTGTTCGATATCAGGCATTGATTGATCGGTGGATGAATCATCTGTTTTTGATTGAGTTAATTGTTTTGGTGACGGTAGCCGATTGATAAAATCCTCAAGATCACTCGAGGAACTATCTCTTTCTTCTTTTAGAGTATTTTTCAAGATTTTGTTTCGTTCTCGCAATGACATGGTAATGATGTCCTTCATATGCTTTTTGTCAATTGGTGCTAGGCTTTTCATCTGCAAAGTTAACTCGATTGCTATGCGCTTCAATATGTTGTCGTATAATGCCATTAGGTGTTTATCATCGTAATACACCCTCATCGCAAGATTAACAACTTTGACCTTGAATTTGAAGCATCGAAAGCACAAAATATATAGATTAAATATCAGCAGCCGCTAGTAGCCTTTAAAGGAAGGAAAAATAAAAAAAGTCTACTTTTTACCTCGTCCATATTCGAAACCATTTGCAGTTCTGGAATAGTTTTGTATGTACAAGATGTCTGCATATGCTCTTTGACATCATTCGGCGATAATAGTGCTGAAGATGGCGATACCTTTGTATGAAGGACCAAGATCTGTTGAAGAAAAATTTAGTATAGACAATGTGCGTGCGAGTATTTTTTTTTTTTTTTTTTTTTTTTTTTTTTAAAAAAAAAAAAAAAGAGAGCTGCTTACCACGGCAACCAATTGGGAAAATATGGTCAATAGACTTTGGTCCAGCATAGGGTTCTCTCCAACGAATAAATAGATGAGCCCATTGAGGCCGCTTTTCACGCGTTCCAGATCCAACGTGAGAGCAAACATGTCGTGCGCAAAAGTAGCGAGATTAACACGTCTAACAAGTGATTTCCTCAAGCCATGGCCTTCAATTTGCTCCTTTTGCAAGAAATGGATTGTGCCCTTAGAAACTAAGCTTTGCTTTCCTCCTGTTGCAAGTAAAGATATTTAGGCACATAGTTCTAAATCCTCTGTTATTTAATAGTGTATGCTTTCAAAAAAATAAAAAAAAAAGTAAACATCTAAATATTAATGTGCTTTTTACCCTTTCTGTCACATACGGTCAAGTAGCTTCCATTGCTTCTCAAGAATAGTGGACAATATCTCAATGTCCTGCAAAGGTCGATTCATGTTAGAGATTGAAAGTAAGTAGATCTGTGCTTGCGTCTCAATAGCATCTTGAAATAATACTCTGTCGTCGTCCATGTTGCTGAAGAATGTGAATACACTTCGGATTCAATGGTCTTATACCAAAGTGGCTTGGATTTTCTTTTTCTCTTCTCATTCCCACAAATATAACACGCCCATTATCTTGGTTCATTCAATCTTTCTCCTTTTCTATATGCGATGGACCCGTTACAGTCAGCTCAATCGCAGCAGACATCTGCTGCAACAGCGGCGGCGACAGAAACGAGGATAGAGACAGGGACAGCTGTAATAACAACAGTGCCGTTAGTACCGCCAATACCATCCATAGTAGCACCGTCAATAGGAGCAACACCAACAACCACCACAGCAGGGATATCTACCGGAACACAATCAACCCTTTCTACAATATCAACGTCTAACGCTCCATCCTCCTCTTCATCCCCTGCTACCACTATCAATCGAAAAAGATCTGCAAGTAGTCGTCACTCTGCTCTTGACTCATCGGGACATTCTAGCGGCAACATTAGTAATAATAACCCTTATGGGTTCATTTCATCCCAACAACATCAGCAACATCATGCATTGTCACCTCTTGCCAACATTGACCTTGCACTTGAAGGGGTTGTCAAGAATTTTATGCGTTCAGAAAAATATGCTCGGAAGATCAAATATATCGTTAGAGCTACCTCTGTCCCTGGAAGACAAAGTGAGTCCCTTTTTTTTCTTTTTCCTTTATAAGTTTCACCCTACAAACACGCTGATATGTACTTTTTCTTCTTCTTCTTCTCCTTGATATAGACTATAAGTTTGCACCGGCAACATCATTGACGCAGCAGGAGACCAGGTTTTGGAGAAATAATCTAATACAGGACGAAATAGCATCCAACAATCCTTTCTGGACTGCACGCTGGATGAGAGTCTTTGGGATTGCTCCCAAACTAGATGACAGTCTGCTCAAAGTCCCATGGATCAAATGTGAAAGGCATGTTTTAATATGATGCGGATTATTTTCAAAAAAAAAAAAAAAAAAAAAAAAAAAAAGTTTAAAGAACTCAGCAATCGCGCAGTCAGCCTTCAATCTGTGCGAGTCCGAATAATCACACAGTATTGACAAAAAAAAAAAAAATAGACCCGGCTCGAATGAGAGAGACTCAAGATCAAATGTACCGTTGCATCGAAAAGAAACATATCTGGATTTGCGTGATGATCAAAACAGAAACTGGGCAATGGACAGGTACATTCACTATCCTATTAATGCTTCTAATGCTGAAGTCTTTTTTTTTTTTTGTTATTTTATGCAAACGATTGACGTGCCTTTTTCTTATTATTTTCCTTGGTATTACACTATCGGTTGGATGTGTAGTTTTGCTGCAGGAATCGAATTCGCGCAAAAGGGACAATTGGACGACGCGATTAAAGCTTACAGTCAAGCAATCCAAATTGATGCCAAATATGTAGAGGCATATGTGGCACGTGGATGCTCGTAAGTGTTCTGACAGAAACAGCGCGCTTCAGCAATTGAGTATTTGCTCTTTAGCATTGATCTGTTTTCATTGATTAAGAAACCAAGAGATTTGACTTTTTATTTAATTTTTTTATGAAATCATTCGCTCATGCATATATAAAGGCTAACACATTTGAAAAAGTGGAGAGCTGCTATCATGGACTTTCGTGCTGCATTGTCGCTTGATCCATCGAACGATTCGGCTCGTCAGTACTTGGAATCAACTATAGCGCAGGAGGAGGAACATCGTCTTAATGTACGCCCGGTATATCGACTGTCTCTTTAAAAGAAATCCTTCAGTTTTTTTCCTTTTTTTTTTTTTTTTTTTTTTTTTTTTTCTTTTAAAGGCCCTTCTAATAGATATATATATTTCATATTTATAGCAAACACAAGAAGGCATTTCTCCTGCAATAGACACGCCATCGAATATTGATACATTCAACTCGAACGCAAACTTAGATAATATTAACGAGATCGTCCTTGACACAGAAGCTCTCACAAATGTAGGAGGAGACAACAAGGGTAACACTAATGAGCGGAAAAAGAAGAAGAAGAAGAATAAGAGGAAGAGGAATCGTCTTCGTGATGATCTAGATCATTATGATGGTAGCGAGCGTGCACGAGATATTCGGGAGCGTAATAGAGCTCGAGGTCGGAGTAGAGACCGTGGTAGAGACAGGAGCAGGGATAGAAGCAAAGACAGAAGTAGAGATAGGGACAGGAGCAGAGACAGAGATAGAGACAGAGACAGGAGCAGAGATAGAGACAGGGACCGTGACAGAGAGAGAGAGAGAGAAAGGGATAGGAATGGCGATAGATACTCATCCCGGCGTGACTCGCGCCATGCTGGATCCAGATCTCGATCACCACGATCCAGATCACAGTCTGTATCAACAAAATCCAGATCACGTTCTCGTCGCCGAACTAGATCTAGAAGTCCAGTGAGGAATCGTGATCGTCATCAATCATCATCTCAGCAAGGTAACAATAACGGCAGAAAGCGCTCGAGATCGCCAGCACGTTCGCGTTCACAGTCTCATCCCCATGCACAATCCCCATCGAAACGACAGGCACGTGGGTCTCACTACCGCCCTGACCAACGATCACGAAGGGATAGTAAGAGTAACAGGGATAATAATAGGGACAACAAGGATGGTAGAGGCGATAAAAATGATGTCATTGAAAAAGAGACTACGGATAACAAAGATATCAGAGATAACAGGAATGGAAATGAAAGTAAACGACCGAGATCAAGATCAAGGTCTGAATCAAGGGAAAGACAAAGGTCCAGGTCAACTTTGATGTCGAAGGGACAATCCAAAGAAGCAGAAAAAGGTTTTGCCCATAGTGAAAATGATTATAGAAGTCATGATGAATCATTAGAAGCCAAGATAGAGAAAGTAACCACTAATGGCGGAGAAGATGCACCTGTGGAGGGTATAAAAGGAGTGCAGAATCGGCCCGACAATCAAAAAGAGCATTCAAGCAGCGCAGAATTCAAAGATGACAGGGTTATTTCTGAGTCAGTAGTCATTACAGGTATTACCCCTACCAAGCCCAAGGACACTAATGACGAAAAGGATAATAAGGACAGAAAGACTAGTGGTTCAGAGAAGCTGCACTCTCCTTCCCAGAGCAATAGTCGGAAATTTCGTGAACGTGATACGTATATTGGACGTGGGCGCCATACCGATCGCTCAGGTAGCCCATCATCATCAGGCAAGAATAAATTTGACGATAATACGCCTATTAAGAGTTTTAAGAGTCGTTCACGGAGCAAAAGTCAAACTAGAACAAGTGGAGGGGACACACAAAACCGAAAACGTAGTCGGTCGAGATCAACTAGTCGGCGTCAACACGACAGAGATAGGGCTCGTAGTCGTTCCAGTGATCGCGATAGAGGCAGAGAAACAAGTGCAAGCAAAACTAGGATCAATGACAGCCGTGCACGAAGTCGATCTAAAAGTCTTAGCCATAATCTCAATCTTTCAAGCCAAAGTAGTCAACCGAAGGGTAGCAAAGATCAGCATGATGACGTGAGGGCACGTAGCCGTTCCAATAGCCGCAGTAGAGCTCAAAACAGCAATAATGTCAACAATACAGATAATGAGAAAGGAAGGAATCGTAGTCGGTCTACCAGTCATAACAGGCGAAGTAGGAACAGAGTACGTAGTAGGAGCAGATCACCATCCAAGAATCGAGATGGCACCTCTAACAACAGCAATAGTAGCAAGGGCAATAGTAACACTAACAACAACAATAATAACAACGGCCGTAGGGGCTCAGACCCTAAAGGTCAACAGCAGAATCGAAAGAGAGCAGGTTCAAGATCGCCTGTACGATCAGGAGCAAGTGGCAATGGAGGCGGAGGGGGTAAGGCTCGGCGATCAGGTGGTGGAGGTGGCAGCAGTAAGCTGTCAGAGGCCAATTCGATTGAAGTCTCGGAGGACTTCATGGAGCAGCGGAAACGTTTGCGCACGAGAAAAGGCAGTCAGTCTAGATCTCGTTCACGATAAAATTAAAAAAAAAAAAAAAAAAAAAAAAAAAATTACAATCCAACTTTACTAGAGATTCTCTATGAGTTGTTCAAGAGCATTATTTTACACGAAAAGCGAGTTAAAGTTTGGGATGATCAACTCGGATTTCAGTGATGAAGATTATGGGTTGATGACGCTCTTTGCCACGTAGGAAGTTACTTGAACTCTTTGATTTTTGTGTTCTCTTTCAGCTCTAAACTTTTCCGTCCAAAATTCTTAAACCGCAATGCTAGCAATGAGTTTTTCAAATGAGAGAATAAAAACTCCCCTTGAAGTCGTTTGGCCTACAAAGAGGGTAAAATCAAGTCATTTATTTTAGAAATACAAAAGAACATACTGGATCAGCTGCTTGAACTAATTTGGCCCACAAGTAATGAATTTAGATATACTTTGAGGCGTTGAATGTTGTGTTGCTGAAGGATGATAATGATATGTTGAATGTACCGATACAACTATATCTATCAGACGGAACCTTTCTGAGTGCCATCATGAAGTTGGCTATCATGCCTATTTCTGCCCAGCCCTAGGCTCCGTTATTATGTTTTTACTTCCGTGATTAACAGGCTCAATTCTAAGCAGGCATGGCAAAGCATGATATCGCATTTGTGATTAACATGAAATGTGAACGCCTGTTCTTCTAATTTTAGTCATTTTGATTGCGCCTTTACTGCTGGCCATGAATTATCGCCAATTTGCTTTGGTGATCAATCCTCCCAATAAGCTTTCTGAGCAACGCTCTCGGCGTCTAATAAATATTATAAAGTAGATCAGCACTTGAGGGTCGTAACATCATACTATGGAGAGCAGCATTTTCCCGCCTTAAATAACTTTATAATTGAGGCATTTAGTTTGGACGCGTCCATTCTTTCAATACATTGATCATTGGTTTCACTTCAATTGGTGCTCCTGACTCAAGTATGCGTCTCAGATTCTGCTATTCAGTATTCGCATTATCGGCCATCAAGATCGTTTTGCTCATGCCTTTGAGTTAAATCTCAAGTAGGGCCAAATGAGATAGTCATTTCATTCTTTGCGAAGAATGCATGGTAAGGCTCTGATGCTCTGGACTTCATTATATATAAGAGTCCTCTGTTATCGGTGGATACATAATCTGAAGAGGCAAAACCCAGCTTTCATTAAATCAGATACGTGGGAGTTTTTTTTTTTTTTTTTTTTTTTTTTTTTTTTGGAAGGGGAGGGGCCACCAATTTGTCTATCATTTGAAATGCTTTTTATCCAAGTATTGTGTGAGCAAGTTGGCGTCATATTCATTGCTTCCAGACAGGAATTAGAGTATCTTATAGAATCAAGTAGCACATGGGATGTGCCCCAGGATATTATTTTCTATCGGAAACTTTATTGTTATTTCTTGGATCTCTACAATATGATTGCAAGTTACTGGGTAGTATCGACATCATCGAGTTGGATAGATTCAACTATATGATTGCCACGCAGGTCCTGAAAAAGATCCTCCGGAATTTCAGCTACGAATGCCCTGATCAAGGTAAATTTCTCTATGATTTTGCCTCCCTTGGCCGCAATATCCTTAACGATCTCTTCGATATCAGATTCAGAGGCCTCGGACGTGAAAGTAATGGTGTAAGTTTTCATTATGGGTTTTTGAACGAATTATGCTTGTTATTTTGTTGAAAGATTTTTTTTTTTATGAAAAATGGTGTGGAAATCTGAGAATGGGATTGATAACAGGTATTTATGCTTCTTAAATGCACTAAAGCATGCATTAGAAACATTATCCTACTATTGGGCTTGATAGTCACACAGGAAAGCAAGCTACAGTGCTTCTTCTTTTCCACTCTTGTCACGGTCTTTTGTGCGTGTTCCCTTGGAGTTCTATCTTCATTGTAGCTGGAGATGGCCGGCTTCAAAGATCATCCCAAGTACCTCATTGTTGCGATTAGCAGTCATTTACATGGGTTTTTACTATAGCTAAGATTTTTACCCTTTTTATTTAACGGATCATAATAAACACATCTTTCTTTCGTTCTCGTTACTTATTATGATCCTGGCATATTTCACTCATTTCCATACGACTCGATCCTACCAAATTTCTCAAACAATGGATGGCTCTGTACATTTGTTTACAGTTTAAAATACACTTGGAGTCCTCGCCAAAAAGTCATAAACAAATATATTTTTCATGTTTTTAAATTGAATAGAATACTTCCTTTTTTAGACGGAAAAAACCGTACAAACCTAAAATTTTATTTTTTGCGATAGCGTTTTCGGTTGTCAATAAGACGCTCCTCCTCAGACTCGCTATCCTCTATCACAAACATGCTTCCAGTATCTGGCGTAAGATCTACTATGTCAGAACTCAGGATAACAGTCTCTGCCCGTTCTTAATTTACTATTCTATCGAGCTCTGTATCCCACTTACCGCTGGCGACATTGATAAAGTCACTAAGGTCCTCAACAGTCTCCTCTTGATTAAAGACCTCTTGATAAACCTCATTTCTTATTGAAAACCATAATTAAATTGATTTGGTGGCTACTGCATCTAATTCATTCTATCTATTCAAAAATATATGAAATTCTGATCTCGTACGTGAATTTTTCGCTTTCCGACCTTTAATTCAAATTGAGTATTTTAAAAATATATTTGTTTATGACTTTTTGGCGAGGACTCTACTTTTTAAATGAGATGATGCCACTTTTCTTCAAGTATGGTACGGTCAGGCTTGTCTCGGATATAGATTAAAGTAGCTGATAGAGCCAAGTTCTAAATAGGATGAACTCCAGAAGACTATATAGGATGATGTTTCTTTAAATGACATTTTATTGTTGTCTTTTTAATATAAAGGAATCTCTACGATCTGATTGCCCAAATGGTGATAGTCCCTGTAAAAATTACTGGTTGTCTTCATCTGGGAGTTCGATAGACTTAATATGTTCCTCAGCTTTCAGTCCTTCAAAAAGGCAACCTTACCTCCTTTGATCTCGAAATCCTTGATGACTTTCCAAAATGATCGCCAGAGGTCCTTCCCTGGTGAAAATAAAGAACGTACTTGTTCATGGTTTGAAGGAACCATATTCACTTTTACGATGAAAGGCGTTTTTTAAGATAATGTGGTAGATATGGAGCTTGGATGTTGAAGTTGATGAAAGGTATGCAATGAAAGCACTAGTTGTCTTTGTGACATTATGATGTAACAATAATGGCTTATCAGGTTCACCACTATACATAAAGTGATTTAGTGATTTGCACTTTTGTGCTAAACCATTGATCTAGTTTAGTGAAAAACTTACAGTTAAAGTTTGTAGATAAGGACCATGGCGTAAGTCCACACGCTATTCCGCGCTCGAGAGGTATTTATTTAAAAATGTGTCTACACGTCTGCCTATAGAGCAGTATGAATAACACATACAATAAGAAACTCGTTTTTGGGTTTGATTTGTCAGGGTGTTAGGACGCGTACCTTCGTGTATTGTGTGAAATATGCAACGTCGGCCATTTGTGCTGTGTGTTTATTTTGAAGGGTTTATATCAGAGGGTCAAGCTTGTCGCTCTTTTTGGCTAGACTCTTTCAAATATAAATGGTTTACTTAAGAAAATTCTTATAATTGAAAAGGACTAACCAAAAAGAGTGACAAGCTTGACTCTCTGGTTTATATGTCATCATAGTAGCTAGAAGTGGCCGGCTTCAAAAACCATTTTGACCAGATCAAAGTATCCGACAATGCGCAGTTCTGACGTTTTGACAGTAGCGATGGCAGATACATGTCTCGGTACAATTCCAATTTGTCTACAATTGGAAATACTCTTTTTAATGAATTAATGGCGCTTTTTTTTTTTTTTTTTTTTTTTTTTTGCAAGTATTGTACGAGCAAGTTAGACTAATGGTCATTGCCTCAGAAGACCGCAAATGATGACCTTTTTATAACGACAATTTATTGTTCTTTAATATAAACAAATGTACAATTTGGTTGCCAAATAGTGATAGTTCCTGTGAGAGGTTATCCTAAACGTCAGCTGGTTCGATACTTTGAACGCCTGGATAGTCCGCTACCGGCTCCATTTCAAAGCCTTCTGGTACTTCAATTTCAAATCCTGGGAGCGATTCAAATCTTCGTTTGATTTGGCCTCCGTTCTCCTCTATCTTCTTTGCAGCCTCATCGATAAAATCGTCAGAGGTCCCTGGTCTGAAAGCAACGATGTATTTGATCATGACGGATTTGGACGGAATTGGACGGATTTGGACGGATTTGAACGGATTATGTCTGTTTATAGGATGAAAGGTGTTTATAAGATGGATGGTGTGAAGTTTGGATGAAGGAATTGAGACGCCCTTTTATACTACTTTCTAAATGCACTAAAGTCCTTGTGTCATAGAAAGAGATTACGCCCTCAATTAACGTTCATAACATGAACTTGGTTCAGTTGAGTATGCATGGTAAGCAAAGCATATTTTTTTCACTTCCAGAGGCCTTTTCAAGACCGAATTGTATTGAGCGAATGCTAATTTCTATTGGTTGGGGAGTTGAGAGCGAATGCTATTTTTTTTTTAGGTTGCCCAATAGAAAAAGATGTAAACAAAAGAAAATGCAATACGGTATTCGATGGCACAATACGCAAAAGATGAGAATTGTGCCATCGAATGCTAGTCTGGCTTAAGGGTTGGCGTGAGATCCAAAAAAAATAGAATTCGATCCAAAAAAAATAGCATTCGATCCAAAAAAAATTAGCATTCGATGGCACAATTCTCATCTTTTGCGTATTGTGCCATCGAATACCGTATTGCATTTTCTTTTGTTTACATCTTTTTCTATTGGGCAACCTAAAAAAAAAATAGCATTCGCTCTCAACTCCCCAACCAATAGAAATTAGCATTCGCTCAATACAATTCGGTCTTGAAAAGGCCTCAGGATCTTTCTATGCAGTTTCGAGTATGGTGGGATATAAAAAGATGGGTGTCGAACATATCAAGGCATCGGGATGACGTAGCTACGTCATCTTTAAACTCAATTACCTTTCGTGAGAATCCCACCACTACCGATCAAACATACACATGTATGAAACCGTTATTTCATGAGCGTCTGACCACTAAAGAGAGAGTTACTCAAATTTATACATACAATACTTTGTATCTCTTCATTAGCTCTCTATGTTGTGAGAGATTCCCAAACGCGTCGTCATTGGTTTTATCAAGGTCTGATCTCTCGGAGACAAGCTTACAGCAGCAGTAAGTAAAAGAGGGAAATAGAAAAAAAAAAGACCTATTTGCTTGCTTGCTGCTTATCTTTAATTACTCATTTATTTCTCTCACTTTTTTTTGATTATTCTTTTGTTCATCGAGAACGAATGTATTGATGGTGCTTTTTACTGCCTGTTAGTTTTCACCGCGTTTGAAATATATCTCTGTTACATATTTACATGTCCATATGAGTACATAGCCGCAAGTACAATCTTTGAGTAGGAATTCTTTTTTTTTTTTTTGTTCCTCTAGAAACGTGCGTTTTGCCTGACATAATTGGTAGAACACCTCGCATCATGACACAGGCTGCTATTCGGGGATAGGGGCTAGCGGCAGCCTTTCAGAAAGTTCAAAGAGTTTTCCCAATCATTCGTATGTTTTATATTGTGTCATTCGAGGGTGGCTTTAGTCAGATAATATGTAGAGAATGAAGGCCTTACATATAATGAATGAACTCGGACTGAATGGCGTGGAGACAAATAGTGATGGGTGTCAAAGACCGAAGTAATTCCACGCCCAAGCCATACTTAATGAAGCTAAAGCCATGTCTGAGTCGTTGCCCATAAGATTATTCCCTTTCTTTCCAGAAAAAAATTTTTTGTCGCAAATTGGGCAAAGCAGACTTTTGTGACCATCTCACAAACTGTTCTTAAATGGGGGGTTTTTTTTACACAGTTTATTTTCATCATTATCTTCCCTATCTTTTCAACGGCTCACGCAAAGAAGAAGAAGAAGAAAAAACATCTCGTCATTATGGCAATCCCACTCTCGAAACGTCGTAAAGCTGAATTAATAGGTGCGTGTTTGTATGAATCCAGCAAGGCCTCATGAAATAAAAATGATATGGATATTGTATTCAACAAGAAATCCATTATGGTGCGGATGCTATCATTAGAACTTGCAACAAAGTTGGGCCTTGCCACTGATGGACGGCGTGAAGACATTGCTGATAGGATCAGGTGCGGACCACTGGAAGATAAACAACCGGAGTATTAAAAAAAAAAAAAAAAAAAAAAAAAATTCCTCTAACACTTTAATCAACAAAATATCGCGATAAATAAAATGGAATAAATGATAGAGATCATATTACAAAGCATGGATCGTCCGATCCTTCGCTCCATGAACTAACCCATGAAGGCAATCCAAAAGCCAACAGCCGTCGGTCGACTGAGAGCAACCGCTTGGCGAGCCTGTCATCTGCTAATGACCTTAGTGATGATACCTCTGAAGGGACTCAAACTTACTCTCGACGCTCTTCGCCAAGGAAAATAGCCACTACCAAGTAAGGCACTGACATCATATCGCACTTTTTTTCTGCAAAAAAAAAAGAACAAAATGGTAATATTTTTTCTTTATCTGCAATTTATTTTATAGACATGATTCAGATTCAGAGAGTTTAGAAGACCTATTGCCGGAGTATCAGGCGAGAGACTTTATGGGAAGCTTGCATTCAGAAGTCCAAGCAGCTGTAGAAAAGGCATACTCGCTAGAACATGCATTGCACGACAAGTTCCAATCAGGCAAGGCTCAGTTTCGGAGAGCATCTAAGGACTTGACCTCCACTATTTCTCATGCGGTCGATGGTGTCGTGGACGCAGTGAATAGTAGCGTTGGCAGAGGGTTTAATAGCAATGAACGGGATAGGGGTAAGGCTCGCCGTAACTCTCGTTACTATGATGACGATGCAAAAGATGGCGGCAGCCATCGCCGCTATGGACGCCGTCGCCACCGTGTTAACCTTGAAGACAAGAGCAAGAGCTACTTCGTGCGGATCTTTGAAAGGGTCAAGCACCACTTTGAGGAATATCCAGGAATCCATGGATTTTCCATCTGTATGTCCCGAGGCGTGCAGAGAGTGCATGATGTCGGTTCCACTAGCACAGGCTTTGTTTTTATTACTTTCCTGTTTGAATTTGCCGTGTATTTGTCTGCAGCTTTCTCTCACCAATGGCACAAGGTATTTTTTTTTTTTTTAAATAAAAAAAAAAAAAAAAAAAAAAAAAAAAAAAAAAAAAAAAGGCGGTGTTCATACTGACGCTTTATATTTTATTTGAAACGCTAGGATGAGGATGATCAGCCATCTTTCTTTGGGACCTTGATGAACTGGCCCGACTTCTTATTACCATTCTTTTGTTACTACAGCTCACTTTTCGTTCTCCCAACGCTGCTTTCACAACTGTTCAACGTTGATGTGGCCCGTAAAACGGACGCTGAGCTTGATGCTTCTCAGTATGCGATGACTGGCCTTTTGTCGCGTTCCACGACTTCAGGTCTCTCATACTTTGCCTTCAAGTTTGCATTAACATACTGCTTGAGCCAATATGGTTTACATCACCATCATGTCCATCATCAGTACCCGGCTGTGAATGTGACCTCGCGGTTGACAAATTTAGCCAAGGATGCAGCCGAGACAGTAGCGATGTATGCAGGAATGGGTGAACAACAGAACCATTATCTTTTTCATTGGATGGCTGTACCTCAATATGCTGCAGAGGTGTTCCGTTTCGTCCCTGCGAGTCTCAGTTTAGCCACGTCGGGGGTTGGAACGATCTTGGCCCTTGCAGAAATCGTTGTTAAAAGGCATATATGAGTTATTTTTCCTTTGATCTTATTTTATTTATTTTTTATGGATGCAGACGGCTCCTTTAATGGTCGATACTCCACCTTTAACAGATATAAATAAAGAATGGTTATACATATTTCCCGTATATTGAGGCATAGAGTATGGTCGTAATGATTTTAGTACAGTACACAGAGCGCTAGGGCATTCTAGTTCAGCCAGTGGCCTTTTAGAAAAAAAAAAGAAAAAGGCTTTTTCCCATGAACAGTCAAATACATAGCATTTTGGTACTCGAAGATACAAACAAATATCCACAAACAAGATTTCGCCCACAAACCTATGCTATTGCCCTACTCTTTGCAGTGTTATTCTCCTCCGTGTGATGATGACGACGGTGATGAGAGGTATACAATAAATAATAATGTAAATAGCAATTTCGTACCGAAAGAGTAGATTGGAATACAAGCGGAGGCTCCCGTCATCGAACAGTTGTACGATAGTGTTAATGCTATCGTGCTGGTGCTTGCGCCTGATGAAAAGGGCAAAATTACTTTTTTACGACTTTCCACTGCAACGGATAAACTAGATGAACATCTGTGCTTAACCTTCTCTCACATTCCAAAAATGGTTTATTTGGCGTTCTTTCAAACGCCGTTTTAACAGTCACTTTTCCCGTTTGTGGTTCCACTATTTTCTTATCTTCAAAGTGCTGTGCACTTTCTTTCTTTTTTCCTCTCCTTTTTTTTTTTTTTTTTTTTTTTTTTTTTTTTTTTCAATTTTCCTTTACAACTTTCATAATCCAACTTCGTTCGGAGCACAGGGTTCAGGAAACCAGGATTGATAGCATCAAGGCTGAACCATTACTGGAACTCACTCGATCCTGCCTGACACTTTACACTTTGAGACTTGGCAGTTGTTGACAGCTGGGGTTCGTTTCGATAGTTCAGTCTACCGGACAAATAGTCATATGCCATCTAGTATCAATAGTCTCTGTACTCATCATGAGGGATGGGTAAGTTACTATAGATATAGGATCAACAAAAATATATGTATATATATCTTCATATGTACCTTTGTTTTATTTTGTACGTATTGCCTATAGTCCTTACCATCCTAAATTCAATAAAATTATATACATACATAGGGCCCATTGAGCCCCACTCGATATGATTTGACACCATGCTTTGAGTACAGGTAATGGAGAATGGCGAAATTACAGAATGCAATTTCTTATCAAACCTGAATCAGATGTTTGTGGCGCTTATCCTTTATCTTATTTTTTGCCATAGTGTATTATTTGGCGCATTGTCATTACTCGCAGCATTGGGGTTCTTGTTGCGGATATATTATCTGAGAAAATATAGAGTTGGGCATCGCCTCGGACGCACTTTTTGGATCTATTGGCCCACACAGATATTCATGTTTATTTCTGCTGTTGTATCATGGATGCTTTACTGGAATCTTTCCGCCTCAGGGGACATTTCACCCGCTATTGCTTGGAGCTGTTTTTGCATGGGTACAGCATGGGTAACGTTTGTCTTTTTTTTTTTTTTTTTTTTTTTTTTTTTTAAATGTTACTTAAAATAATATAAGTATATAAGCATGTACCTGACGTCAACACCCTTCTTCTAGGTATTTGCAGTTGCATTAAACAAATATGAGCATGAGTACACGATCCGTTCTTCTAGCGCCATATATGCTTTCTATGTTGCCGCAATATCAGCGACACTTATCATTACCAAAACGACATTGGAGCTGGCTGAACCAACCGGACGCTCAACAATAAGTCTCCTCATAGCGCTAACTTTATTTTTGTCTGCAGGCTTTGTAGTGGAGGCGTGGCCACGGGGAAAGACTAGAGTACAGCGGATGAGTAGCGCTGGGCTGTACGCCAAGGCTAACCTTGGCTCTCGACTTTTTTTCACGTTTTATTTCCCGTTCATCAAGATCGGATTGAAGAGAACAATTACTCAAGACGATATTCTTGGTCAACTACCTCCTTGGATGGAGACAGAAGTAGCGTATGAAAAGTTGAGCAGCTTATGGGCGGACCGATTGCTGCGGCGTAAATCCCGCGGTGAACAACCATCATTGTTCCAAATTATCCTTCTTTCGAATTGGGAATTGCTGGTGCCAGTGCTCTTGAGCCGAGTTGCGATTGTCCTGTTTTCATATACGCTTCCAGTAATCCTGAACGAGTTGCTGAGCTATTTAGAGGATTATGAATCCAAGCCTCTGTCGTACGGTATCACTTTAGCCATAGGGATCTTTGTATCGTCCCTGTTCGCGTCTCTTGTCAACACATATAATCGATACCAAATGATTTTGATTGGAGTCCGAACCCGTGCTGCACTCATTGCGATGATATATCGCAAAGCTCTTAGGCTTTCAGCCAAAGCAAGGAGCGAGTCGACGAATGGCGAAATTACAAACCATATGTCTGTCGATGCGGACCAGTGGTGGGACATGTTCAGCTTTTTATCTATGTGGATCGTAAGTGTTTTTTTTTTTTTTTTTTTTTTTTTTTTCTCAAAGTTGTTGATGTATTTCTTATGCAATGGATACTTTGTTCTGTTTCTGTAGTCCATTCCACTTGAGATCGCAATTGCAATGAAATTGCTGTATGGGCTTTTAGGATGGACAATGCTTGCTGGAGTACTTACCATGCTGGCGATGCTGCCAGTGCAAACCTGGCAAGCAAAGTTTTTTAAGTCAATGCAGGCAGAGAAATTGAAAGCAATGGATCAACGAGTTCAGCTCACAACAGAGGTATTGAGTTCAATGAAGATCATCAAACTTTACGGCTGGAGTACTGCATTCATAAATCGTATCCTGGCAGTGCGAAGTAAGGAATTGAATATACTCAAGAGGATTGGCATTGTAGAGGCATTCATGTCCATTATCTTCATATCATCCTCACTCATCATCAGCCTGGTCACTTTCAGTGTCTATGCTCTCTGGGGTGGCCCCGGTTTCACCCCAGGGAAACTCACGCTACAGACTGTATTTGTATCTATGACGCTCTTTTCCATGCTTAAAAATCCTATCTCGAGTCTATCAGACGCAACAGCTTCAACTCTCAGTGTCTTGGTAGCTACTAAGCGCATTCAGCGATTCTTTTTGCTCGAAGAGATCGATGACAAGAACATCATGCGCTTTGATCTTTTGCCCCGAGACCCAGATGATCCGCTGATTTTGATCAAAGATGGGACATTCTCATGGATAGCACCGGTCGATGAGGGTTATGAGGACAATCGTGTTATAGATGAGAGAAGCGCCCTTCTACAGGATCATGGCTCCTCTGAACCTCAGCTGACATTGCCGCCTACACTGCGGTCTATCAACCTATCCTTTGGCAGAGGAAAACTCACTGCTATTGTTGGACGCGTGGGACAAGGCAAATCTTCATTACTCTCTGCCATGATTGGAGAACTTTATAAGTTACAGGGGAAGATTCAGATTTCAGGACATGTTGCATACGTTCCTCAACAAGCTTGGATCATCAACAAAACACTCAAGGATAACATTCTTTTTGGCAAGAGATATGACGAAGAAAGGTACAAGCAGGTTATCTTTGCTTGTGGATTGGAGCCAGATCTGGCTGTCCTGCCTGCAGGAGATATGACAGAGATTGGAGAGCGTGGGATAAATCTCTCAGGCGGTCAGAAACAAAGAGTTTCTCTTGCCCGAGCTGCCTACGACGATGCGGACATCTATTTGTTGGATGATCCACTCAGCGCAGTAGATGCACATGTTAGTCATCATCTTTGGAATCACCTCCTTGGATCAACTGGTTTGCTCCGCGACAAGACGCGTGTCTTGGTGACACATGGAATTCATCATCTCCGTGAAGTTGATCAAATTGTGGTCCTCCACGAAGGCATGGTTGCGGAGAATGGGCCATATAGCGAGCTAATGGCGAATAAGAAGATCTTCTATCGATTGATCAAAGAATATTCAAAGTTGGAAAGAAGATCGAGTTCAACACCGAAGGTGGCTAAAACAGGGATTAAAGGAGGTGATAAAACACGTATAAAACCAGGGAATGCGACTATCAGTACAAATATACCAAACGATGCCGATGACAGCGGCGAGGCTACTGAGGGAGACGAAAGTGGAGATATAAGCGATCAGAGCACATCCAACAACACTACAGTGGCTGCCAACAACCAGGAGTTCAAGGATGACAAGAAAGACACGAAGGCAGGAATTATTACGGTCGAGGCCATAAAGGAGGGTGCGGTCGGATATGGGGTGGGCATTCTCTACGCCAAAGCAGTGTAAGTTTCCCTTGATTGTTTTCATTTGTCAAAAAGTATTATTTTGAAAGATAGCTTTTTATTTATTTGTTTATTTATTCTATTTATTTCTTATATTTGAAGATCATACCTTGTTTCGACAATGGTAGTGCTACTGTTTGTCCTGGCACAGATTTGCCTGGTTTCGACAAGCCTGTGGCTTAAGCATTGGATCAATGAAAACAAAAGGAGAGATGAAAACAATCCACCATCGATTGTTCGTTTCCTCGGGGTGTATGCGCTGCTCACTCTGATATATGTGTTGCTCTACATGATCATCATGTGGCTAGCGCTTGCAGTCGGTCGAATCCGTGCCTCAGAGCGAATTCATTACGATTTCTTGAACAAGATTATGCACCTACCAATTGCTTTCTTTGACACGACGCCACTGGGAAGAATCATCAACCGGTTTTCGTCCGATGTTGGGACAGTAGATGTGAAACTTTCAAGCAAATTGATTGGTATTTTATTATTTGGTACCTCAGTCATGAGCACCTTGATTTTGGTCGTAAGCACAACCCCATCCTTTATCTTTGTTGCACCACTCTTTATGGCAGCTTACTATCTCGCTCTTATTTGCTTCCTGAGCGTGAACCAGATATTGGCTCGAATTTACGCAGCTTCAAAGTCACCCATCTACCAACACTTTAACGAATCTCTTGGAGGTGTGTCAACGCTGCGGGCAATGAAGATTCAAAGTCGGTTTGTCCGTGAAAATACGGATTTAACTGATAGAAATTCAAACAATTTCTTATCCAATATGGGTTCGAGGCGATGGATGGACGTGCAGCTTCGGCTTCTAAGCACCATTATCGTGTTTATTACAGCCCTTTTTGCAGTCCTTGAACGGGAGCGGATGGACCCTAGCATGGTGGGTTTGACCTTGAGCTTTGCACTGTCGATTACTGAGGAAGTTACTTCCTTAGTCCGCATGGCTTGCGATCTCCAGGTAAAAAGAGATGATAAAGTAATAATAATAATGATGGTAACATTTCAAAGAAAACTGGTGTTTAACTTTTTTTTTTTTTGTACTACAGTACCAACTGGTTTCACTGGAGCGCATCCTTGAATACACCAACCTCAAGACGGAGGCCCCTGACACCACAGATGTGCCGCTCCCAGATGGCTGGCCTTCAAAAGGACGCATCAACTTCAAGAACTACTCGACACGTTACCGCGAGGGACTGGACTTGGTCATAAAGAACGTGACGTTAGAAATTGCACCAACAGAGCGTGTCGGCATTGTTGGCCGAACAGGTGCAGGCAAATCCTCATTGACATTGGCTCTATTCCGAATTGTGGAGGCTGCTAATAGCTACTGGGCCAAGCAAAGTGACAATAGCATGACGCTTGCCTCTGATAGATCATTACCACATAATGCTAACGGCCAGGGAGGGTCACACTCAGAGGAAGAAGCAGCAACAGAAGAGGAAGATGGAGGTAGAATTGAAATAGATGGAGTCGATATTTCAACTGTGGGGCTTCAGGACTTGCGTCGCCATCTATCTATTATCCCTCAGGACCCGACGCTATTTGTGGGGACTGTTCGCGATAACCTTGATCCATTCCACGAAGTAGAGGACGCAGATCTCTGGAGGGCTCTGGAGCGATCTCATTTGAAGGACTATATCAGCACATTACCAGGAGGATTATCATTTGAGGTTGCACAGAATGGCGGGAATTTTTCCGTGGGCCAACGATCCTTGATCTGCCTTGCACGAGCATTGCTTCGAAAATCCAAGATCTTGATCATGGATGAGGCAACTGCGGCAGTGGATGTAGAGACAGATGAACTGATTCAAAAGACGATCCGGCAAGAGTTCAGAGACAGGACGGTTTTAACGATTGCACACCGTATCAAGACTGTAATGGACAGTGACAAGATTTTGGTGTTGGAGAGAGGAAGAGTCCTAGAGTTTGATACTCCAAGTCGACTACTCAAGAAGGAGGATTCGTTGTTTTACAAGTTAGCAGAGCAAGCTGGCGAGGTTTAGTAGACTTGATTAAATCACTTATTACCTATTCAACAGCCTGTGTCAAATCATATCAACTGAAAAAAAAAAAAAAAAAAAAAAAAAAGCACAAAGAATCTATTTAAATCAAACAAACAGCGGTGATAGTAAATAAAAATATATCCTTGAAGTTTATTATGGTAGAGTTGCTTATAAGAAGTGTATGAAGTAAATAGTGATGGCTAAAAAGACGAAATAATAATGAAATAATAATGATAGTAGTAATGATGATAGTATATTGAAAATGGGGACGTCATTCTGCGGTTGCATGGGGTGATCGTATATGTTATTGCTGTCCATGCGGTGATGGAATGAATACATTGATTATATCGGTTCTGCTATTGAGGGGCCTAGGTGCTACTGAGTATAATGCGATGTGTTGCTTTTAACTGGTCGTGGTGACAAGTTAGGTGGGGGTGGAAATGGTGCCTGTGATTCAGTATTGTCATTGCCTTGGGCATTCACAGGAGATGCGCTCGGTGTCGCCGTATGCGATGTGATGCCAGGCGTGAATGTGGCGGCAGACAGGTTAAAGACATTCTGCGGGACATAAGATTGATTGGAAACATAGGGTGCTGGTGGTGGGATAGGAGTGACAGAGCTATATGTAGGGGCATTGAAGTCGTGAGGTGATCCTGAGACAGAACCATTGAGCGTTCCAACATTCTGTGAAAGTCCAGATGGTGCAATGGAGTATGCTTGGTAAACATCGCCATTCGGGGTGGTTTGAGTTGGTGTGTAAGGCGTAGTGACGGTTGCTCCAGGAATAACAGTTGGATAAGAAGAATTAGGGATATAAATAACAGGTGTGTTAGATAGCTGTGAGTCAATAGGCGGCAGCAGGACGTTCTTGCTGGAAACAGTATATTGCTGATGATCGTAACTGGGAGACGAGAATACTGGCTGTGGGACTGAGGAAGAGAGCCTGTAGTCTGAAATACCCTGAGGATCGCGCGCAGATGTTTGTCTCAGGCCTAGTATTTGTGGATTCCTTGGCTGCGAATTGTCTAGTTTTTGGTGTGTCTCTGCTGGCTTTTCATTATTACTTGCATTTTGCTGCTCCGAAGCTTCATTGTACCGAACATGGCCCTGTCTACGCTTTAGATAAAAATAAACCAGACCAGACAGTGCAACTACGGAAAGAACTCCGAACGTGCCTCCAAGAATAGCCCCCAAATTGCTTCCTGATGACTTGGTGACTGGAGGAGGCGCGTCTGAGGGGATAGAACCTGGAGAGGACGAGCTACTGCTAGGATTGGTATCTTTCCGATAGTATGCTGGAGCAGTGTAAGTATTGACCCATTTGCGTTGGGCCAAGTCAAAGACTACGGGAGGGCCATCAAGTGTCTTGACGCCATCGGTTCCGCCCCACGCCAGGAATTGGTCTCCTATGATGATGCATGCCATATATAGCCTAACATCTCCATCTGGACCTCGGGTCCATCTACCAGTGGGAACATCCAGTGTGTAAAAAGTGTTTGTATAATTTGCAGGCGGAGCTATCCTTCCACCATAGACAACAATTGTATTTCCGTCTTCACTTGAGGCCATACAAAAGTCGGACCGTGCTACTGGTGGTTCACCCACAGTTGGCTAAAAAAGAAAAAAGTGAAATATGCTTTAGTGCCCAAAAAGAAAAAAAAAAAAAAAAAAAAAAAGAAAGAAAGAAAAAAAGAAAAACAAACGCGTTATTAGACCTACAAAGGTTCTCCAGGTATTTGTACCGATAGAATATTCAGTAACTTGCGTCGCCAGAGGATCGATAACGATACTTGCGTTGATCCCTCCAAAATACATGATAGATTTCCTCAGTGGATTGTAGACGGCGCCTGAGAACAGTCTTGACTTGAAGATATCTGCGGGCATAGGAGTGAGCGATATGGTCGAAGTGTTTGGATTAAAGATATCCAAGTTCTGAAAGGCAGCTATGTAGACGAGCCAATTTATCGGATCAATCACTGGCCTTATGCCATAGCGATAGTCCTGGTCAGGAGTCAGTGACAAGGGAGCGGCGCCCCAAGAATTGGTTTGGATATCATATTTTGGCATGATGATACTGCTGTTCTCGCCCCGGACGAACATGATAAGTGTTTTGTTATCAGGTGTAGCCACAGCATTGAAGAGATAAGTTGTGTGGCCAGGCTTCAACTCAGTCCAGGGAGGAGAAGTAACAGGCCAGCTTGTAGCGAGGTCGAGAGCGTAGTGCTGGTTAATAATGTCGGAACCGGTTCTACCGCCCTGAATATAAAGTTTTGATCCGGCACGTGCAAATGCACATTCCTGTGCAGGCCTGGGTTTGATACTCTGAGCGTATGCTGTGACAAGGAGTGAAAAGAGTAATGCGAGGGTGATGAACATGGAAGTCATGATGAATTTAATGGCCTTGGCCAAGAGGAATACGTAATTGTTGCCTCAGAAGGGGGAGAAACGAAGAAAAAGAGAGAAAGTGAGAAAAGAGTGCTGAGTTATAGAAGATGCAGAATTTGCCGAGTGATGCGATGTTGAGCGGTAAAAGTGTATATGCCTTTATAAGGCAAAAAGACATTGGTATCAATACAGAGCAGAGATCCCGTGGGTTTGGCGGAGGGAAGGAAGGAGCAGGCGCAGCGTATGCATTGTATGCACTGGCATTAGGGGTAAAGGATTGGTTTATTATCATGGGAGGTCTCCTGAATCTGTCTCATCCAACGGACATTTATCTTTATCCTTGAGCACCATACATGTACTCTTCTTATTTTCCTCTGAAAACATCTTATATATTATATAATACTCTCTGGTTTTTGGAAATTGCGAGCTCCACGGTAGCCTTCCAACAACCTGCTTTCCTTTTTATTTTGGCACTTTTGAAAGAACGCTAAATCTTCTGTCGTATTTCACTTGTCCTCTGCTGATCATTGCTCTGTTAGTGTTTTGGCTCACAAATTTAGGTGCAAAGCCCCTTCCCTCGATTGTTGATCGCGAATTTTTTTTGTTTTGTTTATTCGAGTACGTGACTAGATGCTCTCCAAGAAACTAACAACTTTATAGTCATGACTGCTACGCAAACCGTCCCGAAAAAACAGGCTGGAATCCAACGCAAATGGTTTTTACCTTGGTTTAGAATGAACGTCCTAGGACGATCAGTGCTATTACAACGTGGTGTCAGATGAGACGATGTATCCTGGAATCGCTAAATATTACACAAACTTCAAGATTTTATTTTGGTGTTAAAGGAAGCTGTGGGTATAAGAACTGAGCGTACGTAGGGCTGACCTTAGACACACTTTACTATTGATGCTTTGAGCCGAATCCTCACTCTACATCGCCACATGATGTGCCGAGAGTGAATTTGGTGTACGGCGGACATCCGAGTCTGAAAAGGTATCCAAAATACAAAAGATCGCGTTGCATCCAAAGTTACAGCAGCGTCTAAAGCTATTTAGAAGGTAAGGTACTGTTCCAGAAGCATGGTTAAAAAGATAAGACATAAATACACAACAAGAAGAAAATAGGTGTGAGTACAAGAACATTTTATTTTTACATTTGACTAAATTAACCCATGAACCCCAAGATGACCCATTTTGTTGGTTAAATTTGGCTTTCTAAACAAGAGAACACCTTGCACTCGACCCTTGCAATAGATCCAAGGTTGGGCTTTGTGCACAATGCCAGTGCATGCAGCTAACATCTAAGTCAGATAAAGCAGAACCATCTCGTTTGCTGGATTGGAATTCTGTAGATCAATATTTATGCTACATTTCTATCAAAATACTCTGTTTGTTCTACTGCAGGCTGGTGAGATTAGCCTTCATATTTGTAGGTCTGTTTTTAAAATGCGTGGTTAAATCCTTACGATATTTATTTGTATGATCAAACTTGTCATGGGCTCGGATGTCCGCCTACATCTTTGGGGACAAAGTGCTATGCTGTGGCAGGTATCGACAACTTTATGTTCCCTAAAAGTGTCCTCAAAACAAGCTCGTAAATCCAAATGGCCGCTGCCAATCGTCGTTGTTCGGATTCATAAGGTTCATATGGGACAGACACACTGTTTTAAATACAGTCAGCGTCCCATAGTGATACAGTGACTAGGCAAAATATGATCCGGACAACACACTGCACCCTACCAAGTTCCAATGACTGTTGTGTCTTCCAACTCAGGATGGCATTGGCTAAGTACTGTGGCTGTGATCCATTTTGTGCTTTAAATACACTTTAAAGAAACCTTGCCTTTAAAGTTTAAAAGAAATGATCACATGACCTTCAAATTAAAGTGCAGCGCACACTGAGAGAGAGGGGAATAAACCATTTGTAATTACATGCACATACATCGCATATAACACAGACATAAGAGACATCAACAAGGAACATAAAGGGGCATCTGACCACATCATATTGTTTTATATACCACAGAAATATAATTATATACATAAGCATCAATTTAGAAAACAAAAAAGATGTCAAAATTCCAGACATCGATTCATGAATACCTTGAAACACTTCCTCTACAGACTTTCAACCGCCTCTATCAGAAACCAGCAACATGCCTTGCTATCTTTCGGTATTTCTTCTTTCTTTTTCTCTTCGGCCTTATCCATTATCATCTGTCGGGGACCAAGGGCTCTTGTATCATCTAACGTGGTCATTATTTTGATTGTGAAGGCTGTTGCCACCATTAGGAAAACAGATCATCATGTCAAGTCTATACGTCGATACACCCATTCCAGTTACGGATATGAAGCTTTGGTTTAAAGAGAGCGCAGGACTAATGTAATACCACTATCCAAATTCCAAGATCAATGTTTATAACTGGCCTGATCTGCTCTGCTCTTTGTAGTTCTACTTGCTCAATGCATTCTGTTGATGTTGTATTATACATTACTAGGAAGCAAAAAGAGGCTATGCAGCGGTTAAAGGCCCTCCACATCTTTTCAGAGGAGCGAGGGAACTACGCGATGAACGCGACATTCCTGGAGCAGTTTAGGAATGCATTGACAGGAGGGTAAAGCAGAAATGAGTTTTTATCACTGAGAACTGTTTATTATGAGAAATTTTATGTCCTTGCTCCTAATCATATACAGAGTTTGATGTTTTTTTTTTTTTTTTTTTTTTTAGAGGAAATTCCCAGAGCTTTGGATTAGCGACATCAACACCAGATAAACATCATGTCGACATTGCATTTTTAGACGACTACGCCACCAAACAATGGGAAGCGATTTTACATTTTATGGTCGGCACTACAGAAGGACGTCCACCTTGCAAAGGAGTTCTCAACCTTCTAGGACGAAGCGGACTAATGACGGGCGGATCTGATGTTTCATCACACGCTGATAGCATGGATGCACGGGATTTTGCGAGTCAAATGGCCCGGCAAGATTTCGGTGTCCCTAAAATTACACACAAAGGGTTCCAATTTCTTTTGCAGGACATCAATACACAAGTTTGGGCTTTCTTGCTTCAATATTTGAACATGGCGGAAAGTCTGAACATGGATCTAGTTGAAGTGCTGACTTTCTTTTTCCAATTGGGATCTTTGGAATTGGGGAATGATTACTCCTCTGAGACGTTAACACCAACACAGACTCATTTACTGGAGGACTTGAAGGCATATGGGATTGTATACCAAAGGAAAAGAGGAAGCAGAAGATTTTATCCAACTCGATTGGCAACAACGCTGACCTCAGGAACTCCCGTTATGCTCGGGTCACATACTAATGCTACCAAGTTGGCTGCAGCCGCAGCGGTCAGGAAAGGAGAGGAGGAGGAAGGAGATGACCATGGATTTATTATCTTGGAAACCAATTACAGGCTTTACGCTTACACCGGTAAGTATACAAAAGCGATTTATCCAGCTATTTTAAAGCAATTCAGACCCAAAGATTATTAATTGCAGGGAGTTTTGTTACTTCCTATAGATTCACCCCTACAGATTGCAGTGTTAAACCTCTTTGTACATCTTCGGGATCGATTCCCCAACATGGTTACTGGCGTAATCACGCGCGATAGTATCCGACGTGCGCTTACTAAAGGAATTACAGCAGAGCAAATCATCACCTATCTCACAGCACATGCGCATGCGCAGATGCGGAAGCATACACCTGTCTTGCCACTTACTGTGGTGGATCAGATTCGCTTATGGGAGATTGAGAAGAACCGTCTCCGACCAGTTCAGTCATGGTTATATTCTGATTTCGGCCGACAGCAAGACTTTGAAAGCACATTAGAGTATGCAAGCGAGCTGGGTGTAGTACTATGGTCGAACCAGAAGAGAAGATTGATTTGTATAACGACAGAGGGTCACCAAGCCGTCGGTAGTTATGTCCGCAAGCTTATTATCCGGCAAAAAGAGCAGGCGCAACAGGCTCAACAGGCTCGACAACAACACCAGCAACAACATGTTCCGTCCATTGCCTCATAACATTTTGAGCTTTTTTCTTTTTTTCTTTTTTTTTTTTTTTTGTGCTCTTTTCATAAAACAAAATAAATTTTTTGGCCAACAGCCAATATAACATCTTCAAGCAAGGAAATTGAACAGAGCCATAGCACAATATAAAATGACCCAATTGACATACAATCTTATGAAAATCGGTGTTCTTATGTATCGAAATGGGCATAGTGGAGGTATCAACTGGTATAAACATAATCATTCATATTACAGTGATAAGCTGTTTCTATTGCTATTATAATATGTCTTTTTTCCATGATAACCATTTTGGATCCAATGTGGCTCGGCTGTTGTATTGCTTATTATTTCCTAAAAATAGCGATCGTCGTCTCGATGATGGTACTCTTCCGTTTTGATCGCTCTCATCGACACTTCGACATCTCTCTCTTAGTGATCCTTGATTTTGCTGTTGTAGCAGTAGCAGATTTTGTTGCTTCTGCTGGCGAGCCTGTTCACGGCGCGACAAAGTAGGCCCTAAAACAGTTAAAGGGGCGATACTTGGTCGGCCATGTGCACATTGAAATGGAAAGACACACTGGGAAAGGTTTTTGATAACTTGTTGACATTGAATAATTGTGAGCTCGTCGTTAAACATAATTGCGCTTCTGCAAGCCTTTGAGTTAACAATATCTAAGATCCCTCGAGGACATCTTCTGATGCATTGCAGCCAAGCGGTTGTATCTATAACGCACATGAAAAACAAAAAAATAAAAATAAAAATGAAAGTAAAACCAAAGCACATTTTAAAGCAGCAACCAAGTAAAAGAAGTCTATTTTACCATCAGACACAGAGTCAGCTTGCAAACGACCTTGTGCGATACTATATTGATGCTCTTCTGCCCAGCCAATGCAGTCCTTGATAAGATCTTGCGTTAAAGTTGTATCCACAACGCATCGATCTGCAACGACCCGAGGCAATACCGTCACATAGCCGGGGTTATGGTCATATTTCGCAACATGATAGGGATCGATCGTATCCCTACTCATCTCGGCTTGTTGATGCTGATGCCTCTGTTGCCATTGTGCCAAAGCCTCATCATTGTTTCCAGGGTCGCCATTGAGTCCTTCTTGAGTATCCTGGAAATGATGGGAAATCAGGGCGGCTTCACCCTGACCTTGCTCCATGCCGGGCTCTTGTCTTCCCATGTTCAGCATAGGGCTCTGGGAATTGGTCATACTTGGAAGTGAAGCGCTTTTGCCAAGAGCTATTCCCCAACGGTAGAGCCAATCCTTGTACCTGTCTGCCAACCTCCACTCTCTTCTACTCAGTGTAATTGGAAGAGGTGGGATCAAGGGCATGCTATCTAGGCGATGAATTGAAGCCTCGGAATCAGTCTGCTTATTGATCGGATATTCAAGGCTTGGGGTGAACGTCAGACTCGAGCAGACACACATCTCCTTCATCAGTCGCTCCACACGCACACGTTCATCTGCTGCATGCTGGTCAACCACTACCAGGCTCTTCGCCCTATTATTTTTATCAAATTCTGGTTTTGTGGCCGGATCAGGGACATCCATTGTACACAAAATAAATTTTCGATCCAACTGAGCAACAACCTGCGCTTGTTGTAAACAGCTCTTGGAGAGCTGAAGGCTTTTGATCTCAGGACGGCTCGATTGATCCGTGTGAGTGCTAAAATACCTACTCATGCTCTTTTTAGTATCTCCTTGACCGACATTGAGTTTTAGCGTTTGTAATGATGGGATATGACTAGGAGGCGTGGAAAACACCGGATTAGCCCATTTGCGAAGTGCATCCTGCGCCCATATCCCAGAAGTCCTTGTGTTGTTTGATCTCGACTGTGGACCTGTTACATGAGGGAGTGAGATCCTGTAAAAAGTGGAGGCCAGATTTGCTGTAAGTGTAAGAGCATATCAAGAGACGGCTGTATCTCATTCTAAATATCTTCAGCACATACCTAGTAGAACAGGGTCTTTTGCTCATAGGCTCAGGCAACATTATGCTGCTGCCGCTTCGTCTACTATATTCCATTTCGCTCATCTCAAAGTCATCCTAGAAATATAAAAATGAATGAAAAAAATAAATAGATAAATATAATTAAGACGGGAAAATACACAATTGAATATCAGTGAATACATATCATCTGCAATTTCCTTATATCCTACATTGAGCATGTCAGCTATCCGTTCGGAATCTAGTTCGAATTCAATTTCATCCTCTACATCAATCTCCTGGCTCCTGGCAGTGTCGCTAACCCCTTCAAGGCCTTCTAAAGCAGCCCTTTGGTAAGTCCTGGTAGTCCGGACTGGACGTGACGATTTGGCATGAGAGAAATGCTCTATTGGGGCTAAAGTTTCCCCTACTAAACCCTTTGCGCGCGATTTCCGTTTTCTTGTAGTTGTTTGGCTTCGAAGCGTCGCTGCTGTCGATCTAGATAAGAGATGCTGTCGCTCCAAAAAGCTTATGATGGTGTCTCTAACTAAGTAAAGCACTCTTTCTTCATCCTAGGATATCAAAAGAGGTAAATTGAGTTTTTTATCTTTATCTTAGATGACTCAATATTGCGTGGTTATGAAAAATATATTGTCATATGCATACCTCAAATTCTACCATGCTTTTCGCAGGATCCACACAAATGTCGTATTCACTTGTAGGACAAACCAATGAGAGTACATATACAGGATATCGCTCCCTGGAACGTCTCACATCCGCATCGTGATGTTGGAGACTGTCTTTTGAGAACGATGATTGCTGAAAGAGCTGTGTGACTGTCTTTTGCAGGCTCTCGCATTGAATAGGTCGATTGTTCAGAAAAAAAAACTGAAACAGTCTATTATAATGTCCCACAGTCGAGATATATCCAGTGAAGCTATAAGTTTGGTCTTCGGCATTGGATCGCACAAATGTGAGTGATGAGGATAAAGCCTGACCAAATACAGCCGTGATCCTGTGGAGCCTTGAATCAGCCTTTCGACAGTTTAAAATCTTGTTGCCCCGCATCATGTCCACAACTATAAACGATATCTTTGGGTTGGCTAAGGCTAGTGCTTCGATTGAGCGCTTGACTTTTTCTAGCTCTAAATCCAGTTTGGAGATCGAGGCTTCTGACCAGTATCTCTGTCTGACAGGGAACTGAGTGAAGTCAACAATGATAAAGTTCTAAGTAGCTTGCATCTCGGGTCTGTAGCACTCTTCTAGTGCCTTTAATATCGTATTAAAATACGCTGGTCATTACCTTGTAGAAAAGATCCCTCACAGAAATCGTTGTCCCATGAATATACCGTGGGGATTTGCTGGATGGTCCACAAAACAACTTTTCTCCTCCCTAAAATGATCAACAAGAGAAAGGGAAAAAAATGTTAATGGTGGTGGCTATAATCTGTTGGATCTTGACCGTGATTTAGAAAAGCTTTATACCTTGAATATTGTTGAAAACACTTGATTTTGCTCCCTTGGCCGGGAGACGATGTCCAAAAGTGACATTTCAGCTATGGCAGCAACAGCTAAATACGATTTATTTTATTATTATAATTATTCACAAGACGAGTATAAGAATGCGGAAGAAAAAAAAAAAAAAGGAAGGGTTTTGCATGAGTTGCATCATCGTCTTTATACCTTCTCCACGAAAACCATAGGTCGAAACACATTTGAGATCTTGAAGGCTAGAACACTTGGAGGTAGCGTAACGTGTTCCGATGCGTGCCATATCTGCTGAAGTGATTCCATCCCCATTATCCGAGACTTGAAGGCTGTGACCAGCGATATCGACCTTGACTTCAATCGTCGATGCATTGGCATCAATGCCTTTGATCCAATGATATGTGACAGTAGTATATGGTTTTGATGAGACTCAAAGTAATATGTATTTATTGTATCCAATCTGCATCGTACACTAAATAACGTACTGTTTTGTACAAGCTCCGCAGCACACTGTTCGAGCGAATGCACTACTAAAGAGGCACGTAGTTCGTCTGCAACACCCGAAGCCAGTGTATGAATCGAGGCCATTCCATTGTATGTTTTTCAAATTGTAAGGAATGAGAGAGAGGTGAACAAGGGTGATTTGGTGGCAAAATAATATTATCGTCATGGGATGGCCACGGATCGTGTGCCTTAACGTCAATCCTAAATAGGTTAACTGAATCGTGTGGACTACTCCTTCACTGAACAACTCAATCGGAAAAAAAAAAAAAAAAAAAAAGTTGCATGTCACACACATGCTCCATCGAGTCTTGAGTTGCTTATGTAAACGCCTCCACATCCCACATCCCTCAACAGGCATTTCTTGTTTTGATAAACTGCGCCTGTGGACAAACTTTGTTCCGAATAAAGTTTCATCTGCAGCAATACTCGCAATAATGCACTGACAATAAAACCTTTAATGGCTTTTTAAATTGTCAATTACATATTTCATCTTTGACCCTCTGTAATGCCCCCTTCGGGACACCTGTTGCCTCGTCCTTGGATGGATGCACATGCACAATTTAAAATTCAACCCCATTCCCATGTAAGAATCTATTTATTCACTCTCCTGCTCTTTATTGCATCTCAACATTATGCCATTACGACCGTGTCACGAACAGCAAGCAATGTCTAGCTCATGAATTGATGAATGACTTTTGTCTGATTCGAATCTGAAAAAGATCACGTGTGCTTGATTAATTTGTTCCGCTCATTTCCTTCACTCATTCCTCCATGCATAGTTTGCCTGTCAAGCCAAGTCGCGTCTCCTAGTTTTCTAGCTCCGTGAATAGCTCCAAGGATTCTAGAAGAGCTATAAACCAATAACCAAGGCTTATAGTGCCAAGGAACCTTGAAATAAGATTGCACCAGATATCTTCCTCGGATCCTGTGTATTAAGTTAACTCAACACTTGAAGTTCCGCATATGGTAAAAGTCCTTAGGAAATATTTGAGTAAGCTTTATTTAGAGTTCTTGAAGCGCGTCTCCGCTTCAGTCAAACAAGTATAAATATGATAGATTTGTAACATAGTAAACCTCAGTCTGCAATAAAACTATTCGTGAATCCATTCTAGTTCTCAGCTCATTATCATTCTTGTTATTCATTCACTTACCTTTCCTTGCAAACCCTTTGTCAGTCCTTGACAGACCGCAACAACTGCAACAACTGCAACAACTGCAACAACTACAACGTTCCCAAAAATAATCTTTTCGCTCCTTGAAAAAAGAGATATCCCTACAGCCACAACAACCGCCCCCCGCCTATTGACTGCCTCTGTTCGAGGGCATCAGCTGCCATAATTGCACCCGCATCCACAAACTCTACCAATACGCAGCCTACATCATATTCTCCTCCTCCTGGCTACCCTCCATTTCCTCAGCGGTGCAAGAGATGTTCACTCAACAACACACTGGGCCTGACATGTTTTAAAAACACCCAATGTGTCCCTACTTCCTTACTCTGTGGGGCACCGACACCAACAGTAACAAATATGACCATCTCCTCTAATAATAACAGTAGCACTTCTGACGTAAACTCCTGTATGGACATTACAGATCCCGGATCTACAAAGGATCCTATCAGTTGCCAAGGTCAGCTCTGTTATGTCAGTGACTTCCTCCATTTGCCTGCACCAGGGGTCGGCAAAATCAACCGAAACAGTAGCTCCAACTGTTTAATAGGAGACCACTTCTCGCTCTTTGGGCCATCACTTCCCAGTGGTGATAGCAGTGGCAACACAAACGAATATGGAGATGGGCTCAGATATACCCAATCTTGTGTTGCTCAATTCCCAGGCCTACGAAAATCATCAACGACATGTAAAAAGTGGGAGTATGCTATCCAAGGATCGTGTTTCCTTCACACATGTGGACCCGGCATGGACTGTCAGTCCCCCTATGTTTGTCGGAAAACAAAAGCTGCATCTACTAATCCCATCCTCTACGGCCTATGTATGAACCCACGCTCGCAAGTGGACCCTGGTGATAATGAAGGTAATGTAGATGATGATAGAAACAATGCCCACGCTTGGGGGAAACGAGATGATTTACTCATCGGACTTTTAGTCGGGATCTCTGTTGATACTGGATGTTGGCAATTCAGAAAGAGGCGGCTCCAACAGCTGACTCTTTTGAATGGCGAAACAGATCATCGGACATTGTCCCAAAAGATTACGTTTTGGACAGAAACACGTTGCTTGTTTACCTACTGCTGTTTCTGCTCCAGACGCGTGGTTCTGATGCTATAGCATCGACAGCTGTAGATACACAAGCCACAGCAACAGCGTCAGCAGACATGAGGGGCTTTCAAGACTTGAATGCAATAATACCGGTGTAATCAGAAACTTCAGAGGGCTTTGTGATCACAGATCATCCTTTCCAATCGACTTTAATATTTGCGCGACGATGGCGCTGGGGCGCAAGTCAACGTACAGGTATGGGCCCAAGTTCAAGGATGGGTGTAACAGTGGATGGGGTGTCTGTCATCCGAGAAACTGACCCTCCTCCACTTTACCATCGAGGGTCAGATCTCCCCTCCAACGCTGACAGGAGTCCCGCTATCATGCTTACACCAGTTCCCAGGCCTGAGACTCCAGACCATTCAGGAGAAGTAGAGCGCGCAAATCCAACGATACCAAAATGAGTACCCAAACGATTCAGGAAAAAAAAAAATAATAATAATAAAAAATAAAGACCAAGCAAATGCAATTTACTATTGATCAAAATCACTCTCCCTCAGCTAATGTCCAATGTGTCTAATCTTGGTTTTTGTGTCACTTTGCAGCCATCTCATTGTTTTGAATAGGGTCTGTCTTTTTTATTTTTATTTTTTATTTTTTTGCAATGACTATTGATAAATGCTATTGCTACATTCATTAGACATTTAGTACGCCCTAGCCTCGATCGCGTCCCTTAGCACTGTAAAGTACTTTGAACCATCGCTTCGTGTCCTCAAAGGCATGATACTCCCCCATTTGTCGAAATCAGGTTCTTGGGCGATATCTATGCTTCTCTGTGTGGTAAAGAAAGAGGTATGGTCGAAATTGATGGTCATCTGGATCATAGCGACCTTCACCTCGACCTCAAGGCCTCGATTTTCTTTGAAGAGACCTGTTTGGCGCAATTTCTTCAAGTAATTGAGCAAGTAATTGTTGTAGGCTATCTTTGTCAACCGGATTGGGTGTAGACCCATATCTGTAACGATATTATTGACCTCTTGACCGTCCTCTTTGTTGATAGACAGGACGCACTCGACTTCATAGAAGGCCCCATCTTCTGTGATCTTGTGATTACCGGAGAAGAGGGGATCACCAGTGGTGATGTCAAAGTAATATAAAGTACCCTTGTCCATCTTGACTTTCTTTTTTAAGAGCAGAAAGGTTGAAGAGAAATGTGGGCAGAACAAAGTCAAGGAGGCACGTATGATGTGATTTATAAGAAGTATGTAGAAACAAAATGATTGCGCATTCCTTGAGGAAGAAGAAGAGGGGTGTATCTAGAGAGAAGCAACCAGATGGTTTACAACATTCTTAAAGTGTTCACAAATATTTATACTGTTCTTGACTGACCATACCACCCTACAGGGTATATTTAGTGAGTATGTGGTTACACAGACATTAATGTACATCTCTTCTGGTACACAGAGTAAAAGGGAAGAAGAAAGAAATAAAAATGAGGGGGGGCAGAGGTTTATGGAACATAGTTATAGCCTTGTTCGCCTTTGAGGTTTCCACAAAGATTCGACTCTGGTTTGGAGCATAAAAAGACCCCATTTTGTCCTTCTCTCTTTTCCTCCGTTTAGTTTCCTTTTCTTCCGATATTCCCTTGCGACCTTTTTCTTTTTTTTTTTTTTTTTTTTTTTTCTTTGTTTTTTTTTTTCCACATTTCCTTGCGATCGAAAAGATAAGGAAGAGATCCAAAACAAAAATACTTCCGCACCTGGTTTAAAGTTTAGAAATAGCGATGTGAAAAGGAATGCCATTTCCACACTTTTTTTCTTTTTTTTTTTTTTAAAAAAAAAAAAAAAAAAAAAGACCCTGCATTTGCACGCGTATACACTCCATTTATTTATTTATTTCTGACCTCTTTATTTTCTATTTATTTCATTGGCTTTTTTTTTTTTTTTTTTTTTTTTTTGATCTTTTCACTTCCTTCACTTCTTCGGCCTTTTGTCGCCTCCGCCCTCATTTGTGAGTTCAGTCTTCTCATAACAGGTCTATCTTTATCTGCGTTTGATATCGGCCGCATATTCTAATTGGTTCCTCAAGATCATCACCTAGATCAAAGTAAATCAGATTCAGATGGATAGAAAGATCTATCGACTCCTTGAAAATGTGGAAATGGTTTCTGGTGTGCGACAATGCGAGATTAAGCGAATATTTTCACAACTCGAGAAAAATGGCTAAGAAGAGCTACCACATGCCAAAGAGTTCAAAGTGATGCTGATATGACATTCATCAAAATCGAATTGTGGTACTATTAGGATATGGCGAAGAAACTTTTTTTTTTTACTCAAAAAGAAAAGAAAAGAAAGAAAGGAGTGTAGATTGAGAGGTAGTAAGTAGTCAGGAACAGATTAATGCTTTAATACTGGCCTGAAACATGTAGTACAAGGTTGGGCTTAGCATGAAGTTAATCATGTGACAATGCTACAAAATAGCAGCTAGAGCCCAAAACTTTGGCAATTGATTACCAGCTTTCAAGTTTTGGTGCCAAGAGACCAGCAATGAAGCCAAGGTGCTTCTCAACATTGCCATACTGCTTCCGGAAAGGCCACTTATGGGCGATGGGGCATTGTCTTTTTTGATTATCATTAATTATAGACTCCTTGTTGCATCCTTAGTCAATTCTTCCTTGACGACATCAGGTTCTTGCGGGAATCGCACGCCTGAAAAAGGACCTGCGCGCCTATTGGAATGATGCCTACCTAGCGAATGAGATTGAGAAGTGAGATAGTAAGAGTAATGGGGACAATTAGTGGTGCGCTAGTACTTGAGGTAACTGGTTCCAGCAGTGGAATGTTCGAATATACCTTGAACTTTGGCTTACATTATTTGAAGCTGAAGCCCCGCAGGCTGAGGGAGATGAAGAGGTGAACGTTGGTAAAATTTATATACACCAATATACGTCACTCCGAATATGACCCTTTTAGTTCACCAAATCAAACAATACGAGGAGCCGCAACTCGACACAGGTGCCATATGAGCCATGAAAATCCGCAGAAGCTTTCGTAACTGGCAGGAAAGTAGCCGTCCGCATCCTGATAACATAATATTTATTAGGCACGCAGCTTTGGAATCGGCTCAGTTCAGCTTAATGGGGTCTTCGCTTCAGTATGCATAGTATCTTTAAGAGAGTTACCTGCTCTGACAGCTCTCAGAGAACTACGCCCATCTTTGAATTGTATTCAAAGAAGCGGTTTATATCAATGTGGGCTCCAAGGACACTGAGTATGCTATGCATACTATGTTTTTTTTTTTTTTTTTTTTTTTTTTTTTATTCTTTGAAGTAGCAACTCTTTGAGGTTTGAATACGCGCGGAGCAAATTATGGAAACTTCCTTTGCTGTGAGGCTTGTCCAGCATGTTCTTTATTTTTCTATACTTCATAATAGGTTACAAGTATATCCTTTATTCCAACAACATATGACTGTTGATGATTGCGAATGCATTGAATTCATGTATATTTTCTCTTTATTTGTGTACAATAGATGCAAATATATATACAATGTAGGTGGATACGGTAAAGAAGATACAATAATAAACACATAAATCTATTCACTTCTCTCTCTCTTTTCTCGCCTTCGCGGTTCCCCTTTAGATCTGGACTTTACCAATCTCGAACACTTCATAGTCTTTAGGGTATACGCCCTTAGTCAACTTCCTCTGAGAAGCAACAACAATTCTATAGACACCAGCAGGTAGTTTGACAGGTACCGTTGAGGTCTTGGACTCCATAACCTGGCCTTCCCATATTCTCGACGTAAAGACAAGATTACCTTGATCATCTACCATCTTGTGCCTACCCAAGGGGCCGTAAGCTGTACCAGTCTTTGAGCTAAGGTACCCTCTGAAGACATTCTGGGAGTCATAAATACGGATCTCCCCTGAAGGCGTATGCGAGCCCAGACGAGTCAAGACCACAGGCTTCATGGATGTGAGGTCAAAGAGATAATCGCCTTTTTTCGAGACATCGGTCAGGTTACCAGTCGCGACATCCAAAGCACTCAAGGCCGGGAACCCAAGGCTAGTATCCATGATTGGGACCTGAGAAACATCTCCTTTGAGGCCGATATAAGGAATGCTGATAGGAATACCGTCCTTGGACGTAGGGGTCGCAGTGAGGTAACCAGAGTACAATGGGAATTGAGAGCTCTTCCCGGCAGCAGGCTCGCGGAATCGAATAGTGACGGTTGCAGACCTGCCTGCTGGAATCCTGACCGACGTGGTCGAAAATGTGACGGATGCATAGTCAGCCTCAAGGACTGGCTGTAGCAGAGGGAATGTATTGTTTCCTGGGTACGAGTTGAGGGCATCAGCTGGTACATGCGATAAGGTGTAAGTCTCTGTACCCTTGCCATGGTTGCTAAGAGTAATCTGGACTGTTCTTTGGAGATGGCTTGTGTCCAGAAGGTCTATGTGATCTGGTGTAATGGAGGATGTGGCAGTAAGGGCATTAAATACATTGAGCAGACCAGCACCTTGCTTTGCAGCCGAAGTGTAAGTGTTTGTGATCGGATCCTTGAAGAAAGTAGCTGTGTTCTTGAAGACCTTGCGAACATCATCACCACGTGGTTTGGTTTTCTTTGCTTGGATGTAGAGAGCATGTGCGCCGGCGAAGTAAGGTGCAGCCATAGAGGTACCAGACATGACTTTGTATCCCCCCAATTTGAGAGGGAAAGCCGATAAGATGTTCCCACCAGGAGCCGAAACATCGGGCTTGGATCGTAGATCACCATCCACACCAAGGGAAGAGAAGCTTGATGGTCGACCGCCGCCCTCGACCCAGAAGCTGGCTGGTGTCTTACTCCAAGTGAGCCTGTGTTGAGAGTCTTGTTTGTAAGCGGCGATCAGCTCTGTGCCGGTCTTGTATTCAATGGATGCCATAGGGAACTCCGGGATGCCACCGACGCCTCCCAAGCCAAAAGGGATGGTCTGAATCAGAATGCCAGCTGCACCAGCCTCTTTGGCGATCGTACCGCGGTCACCAGACTTGCAGCGGGCGAGATCTCCGAGGACGAGGACAACCTTCCCCTTGACATTTAAGCCTCCGTATGCGTCCGCGTTGCATCCGTCCGCAAGTGTACCGTTCTGATGGAGCACAGGGACTAAAGTGGCAGAAATAGGGAGGTTGATGGCCTTGCCATAGGCATCTGAAGGCACATAAGAGTATCTACCTCCAGCGTATGTGAAGTAAGCATAAGTACCAACAATGTTATCAAAGGAGCCCACAGAAGTAGAGAGATCACCAAGGCTTGAGTCTGAGACCATCCAGACACCATGTTCTCCATCGTTACCAGCTGCTACAATAATGGCCATCCCTCTAGCAATCAGTTTATCGCCAAGCACAGCTGGTGGATTACTTTTGAAAGCCGATCCTCCGCCTAAGGACATATTGATCAGCTATGATATGACAAAAAAAAAAAAAGGTTTGTTTGTATTTGTTTGTATTTGTTTGTGTCACAAAAATGTATGCAGTCTTTTTTTTTTCCAACTTACATCCATACCGTCGTGGTATGCGCGCTCCATTGCAGCCATGATTAGATCATCTGTGGTACTACCTGTACACCCAAAGACACGATACGCGCCCAAAGTCACCTCAGGTGCCACGCCTACAAATGGCTGTGGAGGCTTAAGGCTGGACTTGATGTTCAGAGCATCCGCTCCGATAATACCTGCAACATGTGTGCCATGGCCTTGGCAGTCCATAGGATTTGGCCCAGGCGTGGGCTCGTTGCCACCATTGTACTCATCCCCTGCAAAATCCCATCCATACGCAATACGGCAGTTCTTCCCAAAGCACCCCTTGGTGGCACCACGGGCTGCGAAGGCTGGGTGGTTGTAATCGATGCCAGAATCGATCACCCCAATTTTGACGCCTCTACCTGTCAACTTCAGCTTACGGTGGACAATATCAACGCCTGTCATAGAGTGGTAGGAGGCTGCTGCTGGGTCCGTAGCATTGATGGCAGAAGGGCGAGGCTTTGGAATTGAGTATAAACGGATCGGCCAGACATTTTTGATAGTGGGGATGACTGCTAAATCGTTGCCATCATGGGCTGAGAGGACAGAAATAGCTACACCATTGAAGATGCCATACTCATTCCTGACCTTATAGGAAACTTGATGATCATCCAAGGATGAGTAGGCGTTAGAGTGCATGACTCCATCCTCATACTCAATGATGAAGCCGCGAGCAACGGTTGTGTCTAATGGTGATGACATAGGATCAAAGCCGTGATATGTCCCAGCAGAGACGAGAGCCGCAGCTGTGAGCACCGAGACAATAGTGTTGAGGGTTTTCATTTTTCCAGGCTAAGTAATATCTGGATTGATGATTGGGTGGCGAAATGTGTGCACTAAAAATAACGGCCTCTCTAATGAGGTCTTCTCTAATGATAAAGGTAAAGGGTAAAGTGATTATAAAGGGGTCAATAGCGGTAATTGAATAGATGACGAAGTTAGGACAAGAATATGAAGATCAGAAACAAGTCGATCGGAGTAGAAAGAAATGATAAGTTGAATGAAAATATGAGAGAAACAAGGTCCTTTTTATATCTGATCTGTGGGTGCGTGCGCGAGTGGCTGTGTAACAAACCAGAACTCCGAATCTAAAAAAAAAAATGCATTCGAAAGACGAGGCGCAAATCATGCTGCATCCAACGGACTACCGAAAATCAGAATTCTAAACGTTAAACATTACATTTTCGAGGCCAGGTACATCAACTTATGGCATTCCATTTATTCTGAGTACTGGTTTCATTTGTTGGGCGTGTTTCATTTCATTAGACACACTACAGGGCTTGGTATTCCCAAGGAAGAAATGATTAGGGCAATAAGCAGCCTATAATTAATGATGACCGAAATGAACAACATCCTGTCATTTATAAGGTCTTTACCATTGACAGTGTGGGTTTTTTTTGTTGTTGCCCTCATGGAACCGTATTTGAATTGGTAGGCTAATAAAGCTCAAATGCAGCTACGTACATCCCAAGCCCCATATAAGCGCCCATGCTCCGCCCAAGCTCATAGTAAGTTTTTGATGTTTTGGATGTACCAGTTATTGTGAGCTTGATAAGTACCATTGTTCCCTTCATGAAGCCCACTGCAATGCTTTCCCCTCAGCCTTTTATCTTACAATGAGAACTACCTTTGAACAGAGCCTCTATTTAATTTCTGCCATTGAAACTCTTGTTGCTGTTATTTCATACCTGCTTTAGAATTCTTATATGGTTCACCGCTAGGTATTTACTTCCTTGCCTTCGTCACGTCTAAATTAACTAAAAGATACCTTTCTCCTTAGTTTATCGCTCATTTTGCCTTCTGCTGATGAAAATACTGCTGAGCTTGGAAGATGATCCTCTCTATACTGAACCTGATGCTTTACTATACCTTTATTCGCTTTAAAAGACGCGATGCAGTCCTGCCTTTCATGAGCGAAAAACATAGGAGTTCTTTTTATTTATTATCCATCTCTATTTTCCGTGGTGCTGGAGAAAGTAAGCGCTAGAGGGGCCGACTTTCTCGATAACTGTGTATTAATTAAGATGCTTGAGACAGCATCAATGGCATTCGAGTTCAGAACCTATTCCAAGTAAGGCAGGCTTTGGCCATGAAATCTACAAACTGGTTTCTAGAAAGTGAGCTAACCAAATAGATATTAGTTCGATTGCAGCGTGTGCAACGAACGCTGTAAGCACGTTTTTAACATCTTAAGCACGAAAACACTTCTTCTAGCGCACCGGGTTAGAACTATCTTTTTTAGCTAGGAACACATTGGGCTGGGGACTTTAGTTGGAGAGATCTGATTTGGCGCAAGGTTCAGATCTTTCTGTACAAATGTGCGTGCAAATGTCCACAGATGGTCCACAGGATAATATGTCTATGAAATTTATATACATTGCCACTGAGAGACATTCCAGCACAGAAGCAAGATCTCCAAAAGGTGGCAGTGCGAACTCTAAATTGTTTTCACCAAAAGTGCGAGACGAGTGGCTGCAAAGCTTTGTTTGGAGACAAGAATAGAAATTGAGTTTTGAATGTTAATTACAAATAAAAACTCGTGATATTTGCATTGTACTGAATAAACAAAACATGCGAACTCCAGGGCACTCCATTTTAAATGTCTTGGTGAAGATAATGGCCGCAGAGTCCATGTCTGGCCTCTTCACTGCCACAACCCATCAGAAAGGTTTTCTTTTTTGCTGAATCTTTGATGACAGAGTCAACGCACTTTTCTACCAACGCTTTTTGTTTTGATTTCCGCTGTTTTGGGATTAAGGTACCAAATAAGGAAGCCAATGACGATCGGTCACAGCACTGCCATCTACACTCTTTCATATTAGTACAGCTCGTATTCTACCTTCTTTGATTTTCGCCATCAGTATTCTACAAGGGCTGCTCAGCTACTCACTTACCACTTCTCCTCTTACCTTTATTTATTACGAAAACATTCTTTATATGCCCCTATTCCTATTAAATCTCCATTCTGAAAAAGTCTAAACGCATAATCATGGTTGTTCTATCACTCCGCAACCTGATCCTGTCAGTATCCCTGGCTATGTTCGCTACTCTGACACCATTTTCTAATGCTGCACCTACGCCTCCAATACCTCAAGTGGATGCCTGTGGGGTGCTTGGTTCTAAGAACAGCTCATCAATCACTTACGACGATGTCTCTGCTTGTTATAAAGCCATTCCATATGATCCAGTGGTGGCAAGTGCGACCTTGAAGACACTTCATGCCTTCTTCAATGATTACTATGTCTTCCGTGATTCAGCATTGACCCCAGATCTGAAGGCACCCTTCTCCTGCCCCCCTGTGGACATTGCCAAGGAGTTTGAGCGGATTGGACAGACAAAGTACACTAGTGACTACAGCTTTCACTCAGATGTCTCTAGGGCTATTAATGGACTCTATGATGCCCACGCTAGTTATAACAGTAAGCTCTCAAAAAAAAAAAAAAAAAAAAAAAAAGATAACATTTGTACGAGCTAGGATCAAGACTCTAACTAGAAATTATTTTCTGATGTCAATTTGCACAAAAAAAGTTGACTGTTACACTGCATACGCATTTGGACAACCTTTTGCACTCTATGCCCCTGTGGTTCAAGGGAGACAGGTAAAGAAAAACCGAAGCAGTTTGCATCGTCCTTTCCCCCCCCATTTGCTCACAGTTTCCCTCTCCTTCTCTTCTAGTCCATTCGTATTTACCGAGACTTTACCAGACGTGGCTACGATGACTGTGAGGTGGTCACGATCGATGGTGAGGATGCATTGACGCACCTCATCAAATTTGCCGATACCCTCAACTTCTCCAAAGACCGCGGTGTCCGTTTAAATCAAGCTCTTGCTAGTGAGACCTTTGACGAGAAGAGGGGTGTATTCACCACCTCCTCAGGCCAATATTCCGAACGCCTTGATCTACCTGATAAGGCACGAGTTAATTACGAACTCAAGTGCACTAACAATCCTACTTCGATTCGTCTAAGTGAAGAGTGGAGAGTCTTTGCTCTGAATGAGGCTCAGTTTACAGACGTAAAAAGCTATGTTACCAGCGTCTGTTTGCCCCTTACTCAGAGACACCAGGACCTCCCTTCAACAAAACATCTTCAGAGACGTGAACTCGAGACTGTGCGCGAACATGAGGTCCGTAAGAGACAATTATATCCAGTTCCCAAGAAGAGTATATTCCTCGATGCTGTCCCCTCTGCTCCTTCAGAAGATCCTACAGGAGGAGATACCGATCTGCCTACGGCTCAACAATTGGTGGCTGGTAATGGCACAGTATTCTACCAACTCCAGAGCCAGCCCGATGTCGGCGTCATCGTCGTCCACACACATGGAGTTGAAAGCGAAGGAGAGTTGCAAGTGGCTGCTGATGGCTTGGCGGCGTTTCACGCTCGCAATATCACGAAGATTCTATTTGATTTCCAGGGCAACGGTGGCGGTTCTGTAAACTTTGCTTCATTCCTTGTTCAGTTAATCTTCCCTAACCGGGGCGACCTTGACAAGTCTCTCCGGTCAGATTTGAGGATCACCCCCTCGATTCAAGATTTAAGCGCCGCTGTCTTCAACGCCTCAGAAGGACATCTCTATAATGCTGGCATCTACCTTGGCCTTACGACTCAAGCTCCTTACCAGAACAACGATCTCTTCCTTCACCCGGTAACTTTGACACGCAATGGACGCCCGGCTCTTTATTCGAACTCCACCACCTTAGATCCCGTAACTCTAGGTGGGGGCGACATGGCAGGCTATCCTTGGACTAATAACCCTGCTAACGTTCGATTTTTGACCGATGGTCGCTGCGGGTCTGCTTGTGCACTCTCAGCCCATTCATTGCACAAGCTCTACAACGTTACTTCGTATGGCGTTGGTGGTGTAAGTGGTGAGGGTCTGTCTATGTTCTCGTTCGCTGGAGGCGCAGTCAGCTCCTTGAACGATGTCAATAAGGTTTATGCGTTCGGCAAGGTGACTAGTCCTCTTGAGCCTTTGCCATATAAAGGCGATGTCAACTTGCCTATTTTGGAGGTATATGCCAATGGCAGCGACATCCCTCTCGAGTATGATGCTGACCAGCACCCTGTCAATTACCGCCTCGCATTTGACCCCGTCAATGCTAGAAAGCGTAATGTCATGTGGGCACAGGTTACTGCTCATGCCTGGGGTCAAAAGAGTGCCTAAAACTAGCCTGCTTGGCAACAATTTAATGTAGCGCAGAGTCATTGCAACTTTGTATGTATTTAGTTACAATGTTTATATTCCCATTCAGCATTCCTCGTAGAGTAAATACCTTTCCTCATCCTTGTAGATTATATAAATATACTTTATTAAATAAGAAAAGAAAAGAAAAAGAAAAAGAAAAAATAACTGAATTAGCAAATTTCTACCCAGGGTCGTTGTTTTCTCAACCAGCTAATATGTTCGAACTCTTCCTCCGGCCTTCGGGCCCAAGCCTTATTCCTATCCACAAATGGAACCCTGTAAACTTCATCCCACTCATCATATTGGTCCTGCTCTTCGGCCATCAGCGCATCTCGTTTCTGTTCCAACAGACCTCTGATCCTTCGTATCCTAGGCCAGTGCTCATTCATCCATTCCACTTCTGCTTGCCTTACAAAGATTTTATGGATACGAAAGATATCCAACTCTTCAAGCTGTTTCAAATCCCTCAGGAGTTCAAGCCCGCCTTCGAGCGAAAAATCTAACCGCAGGGGACCTCGTATACGGCTATTATATAGTTCGCTGTCTTTCATAGAGAGCCATCCAAGCCTCAATTTCCTTAAATCTTTCAGTGCCCCCAGCTGTTCATATACCAGCTCTAGTGGCGTTTGATTTGTCCAAACCCTTTCAAAATGTCGATTATCTGTTATATAGATCTCCAGTTCTTGTAGACCAAGACAGACCCAAAACTTGGTTCTGAAATCACTCAACAACAACCCACCTCGATTGATGTAGTCCCTAGCCTGCGTTGGTGGGTCGACATAAGGGATCCTATGCACCAATCGCCTCAAGCTAGGACATCTCGTGAGAATGTTCAAGAGACCAGGAGCGTGAAATCTCACATCCTGTCCGAATTCAAGATCTTGTAAGGTATTGCACCAAAGATCGAGTATAGTGGCGACAAAAAATGTGCGACATGTAAAATCTCCGCCCAAATGAAAGGTTTTAAGCTTGGTGCTTAATGGATCGATATGGCGGAGCATAGGGTGCAAAACATCCGCCTGTTGGGTGATCTCAAGGCTTTGGAGTCCAACACAGTATCGGGACAGATCCATGAACAGGAACCTCATGTCATAGTCGAACAGCTCCAAGACACAACATTCTTGTAAGTTAGGGCAGCGTCTCAGGAGGCCACTGAAGACATTATTAGTATATCTATGTCCACGAATGGAAATGACAAGCCTTCGAAGCTGCTCATAGGGATATTCTTGTCCACCATTCTGACTATAGCTGCTCCAAAATATCGCATTCGCTCGAAAATCCAAAGCCTCGAGTCTTTTTGGTAGGCTCCAAAATAGCATTTGCACGGTTGAAAGTGGTATTTGTATCGAAGTAAGAGTAAGGAACCTGATGTTCAAGCAATGATTGTTCAGCGTGGACAGAAGGCGCTTATAAAAAAAGTAACTCCGTGCTGTAGAGAGACTTTGAAAAGAAAAGGACTGAAGGTTCGGATTCTGTGCAATTAAGGTCGCGTATTTGTGGAGCTCCTCGGAGATATTGTCCGAATCTCCAGAGCCATCAATAGGAACACTGGCATCGCCAGAATCATATTCACACACAGGCGCATTGAAGGTTCTGCAGTGAAGTCGTTTCAAGTGAACGCATTTGGACCCCTCCCTAGTAAGTAAAGTAGCGAGCTCGAAACTTTGAAGACTCAAGACTTGAAATCGATGCTCGTTTTCTAGAATAGTGTTTCTTAAATACTGTAGATATGAGGTATTGGGTTGAATTAATCCTGTAGATTGTTCATTCTCTTGCTCCTGCCTTGGTTCCTTGAATTCACTCCACAGCGAATGTTTGAAGGCCTGGCGCCATTGCCAGCAGACGCGCGAGCAGGCCGCAAGCTCTGTTGTTAGCAGGTACGAGGCAATCACTTCAATCACTTCTGGTGGAAAATATTCGACGGGATCAAACATGGAAACCATGGAATTTCAAAAAAAAAAAAAAAAAAAAAGTAAATCAAAATGATGAATGTGAAATGGATTGTAATTATGAATGCAATGTTGGGGGTTTTTTTTATTATTGTTGTGATGGCTTTAGTGGCACTGTTTTACCAGTTTCTAGGCATCGATTGTGGGTCGCGAAACGATGGATTTGTAGGTACAAACAATGAAGAGTGTACTATTGGCAACTGTCCTTGTTGCTGCGGCAGCCATTGTCGTTGTTGCTCTGATGGCATTCCTGTCAGGTAGGTTTGTGGGCTATGGTAATTCAATGATGGACCAAGCAATATCTGATGCTGTTGAATCAGGGCTTGTTGTTCTCTGATAGCCAGCATTAGCTTCTGCTTTTCTCTCTCACGCTCCTCTATTTGCTGCATTGAGAGAGATGTATTATCCATAGTTGAATCCTCATGCTGATTTTCACCCCATTCACGAGACGCGGCTGCCTTAGGAAGAACTTCTTGGGGAGAGCGTTGAACCTGGGATTGACACTGTGGGTTGCGAGCTAGAACATCTCTTTCGTGGCCCTTTTTTCCCACGGTCATTCCTTTGCAGTTATTATTTTTCAGTTTTTTCTGCTTTTGGGACAAGAATATCAAGGCTGCAGCCATGGCTGCGAGGACGATTACTACTGCGCACGACGCTCCAATGATAATGGGTTTTGCTGAGGTAGAAGAGTCTAACCCGGATCCTGACGTCGGGGATCCAGGAGTGGGCTTCCGGTGATTCACCACGGAAGGTGGAGGCGAATAGGCATTGATGTATTTGTGGGTCAATACATCAAATAGCACCAGTGTCCCATTGACTATGCTTACGCCATCGTACCCTATACCAATATATCCATTGATTCAAATCAGAGGATGGTTTTTATTTTTTTTTTCTCTTGTTGATGAGAATATGTCTTTTTGTCATTCATATTGACTGTCTCGAGAAAAAAAGTATTTTTTTTACCTCCCCAACTTATGAATGTATTTCCGACAATAGTACAGGCAGTGCAAAGTCGTAAGGAACCATACTGGGGACCCTTGATCCAAGTCGATGAGGGGATGTCCAGTATCCAAATGTCATCAGCAATAGTATGGGTATCCTCTTGTCCTCCGAATACTACAATTTTTGAGCCATCCTCTGCTATTTATCAAAGGCGCGGGATGATGATGACAATACGTTCAGCTCATTCATTTTTTTGGATTAAAGTACATGATCGATATTTACTTCAAGAGAGCAAGACAAAATGTTCGCCTTACAAACCGCCATGCATGTATTGGTTCGATGACTTGGCCCAGAGTTAGATGTGCTCTAAAAAAAAAAAAAAAAAAAAAAAAGATCGATGGCACATAAATCAGTTCCATGACGTCTCTTTTGTCCTCACATTGCTCTCTTTATTACTCACCAAGGAAGACCATGAACTGTTCGAGGGTACAAACTCTGTGACTATCCCGGGGCTTCCAAGGACATGTTGTTTGCTGTTTGAGTTGCCTCCAAAGTACAGGATGCTTTTTCGCATATTGCTATAGACACCTGCATAATATGATCGGTCGGTCATAATGCCCTGTGGGATTGTCAAGGTTGTAATGATGTTATCGGATTTAAAATCATAGACTACCATGCCTGTATTATCACCCTCCTGAAATCCCCCTGCATAATATGCCAGACCTGTTGTCGGATCAACAACACCCATTGCAGAGTTTCGTTGTGGGGCTGATACTCTGGCCTTGGATGGTTTCCAGGTCTTGTCTACAATGTTATAAAGGTAACCGAAAGTAGACATCCCGCCTACGATCAATAGATATTGTTCGTCTGGAGAGACGACAGCGCTTGCAAGGGCGGTCTCGGGCCCGCCTGCTCCTCCTCCTCTTGCCTGATCAAGTTGGATCCAGATGGGTGCATCCGCTGTCCAAGAAGATGCCAAGTCCAGAGCATAAAACTGACTACTTGCATTACTGTTGACGTTGTTGATGATTTCGATCCCCCCTTGAATATAAAATTTTGTCCAGGACCGACAAAAGGCCGCACAGACTTTGACATTAGGAGATAGCCTGGCCTGTCCATCCACATGGGCATGGTATGGATAAAGAAATACCTGTAGTATCAAAAGAGAGATCGGTCGTAATAGCATGACTTTTTTTCTTGTTTGTATGTTTGTCGACTTTACTACAAAAGAAAGTCCAGAATGTAATGAATGTAGTGAAAACTATGTATTGCAACTGGAAGGGTTATTTTTTGTTGAAGCAATTCGATCGTCGTTCATAGAAGTGTGTTGAAGAGACGAAAAAGAATGGCCTAAAATAAATAAAGCAGGCTTTTTATACCTAATGCAAGCAACTGCACATGCTCAGGTGCTATTATCTAACATCCACACAAAGACAGACAAATGGTATAAAAGACAAAACAAACATGCACTGCCAGCAACAACAACAACAAAAAAAAAAAACCATCCATTGTGTAACGGAAGTAGATATTTTTGGCACAAAAATGATTTGGTCCCTGACTTATTTCTTATCACTCAAAAGGCATGCTGTGGAGAAGAAAAAAGATGGCCATCATTACGTGAAATAGCTCACTCAGGTTGTAATTGATCACGTCGTAATTGTCCCCCTATGACTATTTTAATGCTGCGAGGAACCATGTAAAATCTCACAAAGAAGATTGAGGATAAAAAGCGAAAAGGGAGTATCTTCTTTACTTTCACTGAAGATTTAGACGGACTGTTAAGGCGCCGAAAAAGCGCCGATGGAAGCTTTCGATCTTAATTGGTGATGTCTCAAAGAGGGATGCATGGACCAAGTGAATTAAAGTTAACGTAAAGGCAATAACCTAAAAACACTTGATACTCCACGGATGATAGTTACATATTTGCATACGGCCTTGTTGACCCCAAGCTCGAAAAATCAGTCTTTTTTAATAATAAAGCAGGAAGGGATCTCATAGAAGAAGTTGCATCTTTGGATTGTTTGTGAACATTCCTAGCAGGAACCTATAGCCACACCACTTAAATATTTGGCAGGCAGAGTCTTTTATCTTTACAGATTAAGCACTCTCTGCTCCAAGCAATCCTCGCAGCTTATCGCTTTGCTAGCAATTCTAACTAGGTTGTGATCACGCCGAGGGCGCACTGGCCAGGGGAAGGATTCCGAAAAAGGGGAAAGTAATTACATATATTAATTCTGGTCAATGAATGAAAGAAGGTCTTCCCCCCTGGTGCAACGCCACTGCGGTTCATGTATGACATGTATGATGTACATAGCTCTCATCAGGGGGGAATGAAATAGGTCACGGGCAAGGAACCTGAAGGCTGTTAGCATATGAGGGGACAGGGAATAGGGGACAGGGGATACAGGGGGAGCTCATGGCATCTCTCTTCCCTTGCCTCCACTCTTCCACACTTTTCTTCTTTCAAAAATACTTTCCACTACCACACTTTCTTTATTTAAAAAACAACAAATAATAGCGTAATAAGCTCTTCCTTTTTGCTTTCCTCTCTTTCTCTTTTCCCATTTTCTTTTTCTCTTAGTTCTGTCTCTTTCTTTCTGATATCACAACGCAATACCCACATTCACGGTTCCTAATTGAGATACCCTTTAATCTCTTCAAAAAAAAAAAAAAATCATATCATCAACCCATTACTACTTGGCATAGACGTGCCTTGTGGGAAATATCATAATCTTCATAAATAAAGAGCCATGTCAAATCTCAAAACGATCCTGGAAAGACTTGTGCAAGAGAACTTGCACGGTCCCATTGACCATGGGAACCAGAACAGGCTCAAGAGCCAGGTCATGCGCCAGACACAAATACAGACACAAACAGCATCGGCAGGGAACCATCAGGATCCCCATTCACATCTACATCACTCCAAGAAATCACAAGAAATAACCCACAATGATGGAAAAGAAGAAGATCTGGACAGTCAAGATCCAAGATGGCGACAGTTGTTTTATGATTTCTTTTTATCAGAACATTCCGATGACAGGAACGACGATTTATTGTTTTTTGTCCAGAGAGTTCCACTTCAAGCTGAGAATGGAGGGCTAGGTGTTGATCCTGTTTTTGTGAAACGAAATGTGCACAAGGGAGGTCATGCCCAGAGTCATGGAGAAGCACAACATTCGATCCTGACTCCAGAACAAGAGGAAGTAGTGCTTTGGAAAGATACATTTTTCTTGAACGTTATTGTCCAGGTAAATCGGAATGTCATGGGAAGGATCTATTGAAAGACCACTTTTTCTGTCTTTCTCGCTACTGACTTTTTTTTTTTTTTTTTTTTTTTACATGTATCCAAAGCTGCCTTGCAAGTTGACTGTAGCGGTATGTTCACGCGTGGCAGAGACAAATCCTATCACCGGTGTCACAAAGACCAGTATGACTTGTACAAAGAAACATGTGTCAAAACGAGTATATGCTCTTCCCACAAAAGCTCGTGTGGATGTCAAAGAAGCAACAGTAGAGTGTTCTTGGCCATTGATTTATTATGTGATCGATGATTACGAGGACACATTTGAGCAACTTATGGTTCAGGACAATGAATACCTCTGTGTAGAATTGGCAGTGACCCTTCCTTCTTCAGGACCAGTGGCAACAGCAACAGCAACAGCAGCAACAGCAACAGCAACAGCAACAGCAACAACAATAACAGCGTCAACGGGAGGGCTTTCATCTCCAACAGCAGCATTTAGTCGACATCATCCTCAAAAATCAAGGCCAGGAATACCTCATGAAACGTTATGGAATCAACCACCGTCTGCAAATGATGGGGTACAGATCGGAAAACCTTTTCCTAATACGTCAGGCCGTGGTGGGTTTGGGGGCGGGAACAAGATCACATTGTTTCAAGGCGCTGCAGGCTTCCAGAACTTGCTCGGAATTTATCAGCAAAAGGCCTCTACAAAAGTAGGAAAGCGGTTCAAATTTGGTCCGCACACTGTGCCCACGGAATTTGTCATGATGCGCGGACCAGGTGGTCGTGGACATGCTCAGGTACTTCTATATATATATGAAGATCTAACTTGATTTTGTTTTTAGTATGAATTGCATTAGCATACTGACTGTATAAACACCATAACTAATTCGCATTCCTTGTTAGGTCGCAATCACCGCGTCCAATATTGGAGATGATTCATCACCACTCAACACCAACGCCCATGCTTCAGCCCCTACCTCGCCCGTCCAGGCTCCTGTCTCAGCATCATTCTCAACACATAATCCGAAACTATCGACAACAGAAAAGAGTTTGCCACCTATTCCTGGTTCTGGTGGACATTATTCAAACTCGAGCACGAACATGAAGGAGAATGGATACTCAAATAATCAACCCGAGGTAGAAAACCCGAACGTATCTCCTTCGTCACCCACTCAAGCCAACTCTGCAAAATCCATACCAGTGCCTCCGAATACTTCTTCATCATCAAAATCATTTTCTGCGGGATCATTTTTTCAATCGCTGCGCAGGTTATCCATGGCAACATTGGCACAGGCAGTAGCACATGCGCCCACCTCCCCAACTTCCACAAACATCAATCCTCTCAACACCGCAGGCAACAATCCCCATCCAAACTCCTCTATACCATCGTCACAAGTAGGCAAACGCCATTCAATTCCTTCATACGACAACAGAAATGGAAGTGGGATCAGTACTTCTGGAGTAGGATCAAGACAGGAGATTGAAGCCTTGGTAAAACAGCCTCCGAGTTTAAGGTGCTGTATGACGTTTGTCAATGTTCCTTGGACTGGTATTGCATCACTCCTCATGGATCATGCCTATAATCATCAGTCAACAATTCAGGAACAATAAGATACCCCTTTTTTTTTTTTTTTTTTTTTTTTTTTTTTTAAGTATTCCTATGCTACCATTAGAAAAAATAAAATAAAAAAAACATAGAAAAAATAAAAGGACTATAGACAAGCTATTTAATCAAATTAATATTTATACATTTAGGAGTTCTATGAATTACAAGATCTATGCGTCGTTGGAATCTTTTCTAGTCCTTGGTAGTCGTTTGTTTTTCGCTTCTGAATCTCTTACAGATACACCATCCCCTAGTTCCTCGCCATCATACTCCTCTGTAAAATGGCCACTCTTTTGAATGAATAAGGCGGCTTTTTCATCTCCCGTAGACATGCTTGTACCAAACGCTTCATTTCCTTCTACTTTCACTTCAACATCACCATCATCTCCTCTCCTGAGTAATATATCGCGCTCCACACGTGAACGACTCCATCCAACAGTGAACATCATCCAGCCTACAATAATGAGCCACCATGTACCAATCCCTGTCCAGACTACACTGGGACCATAGAGCTCTGCAGTCATCAAGACAGAACAGCATCGGAATACCCAGATCCCAAAGATAAGACATCGAATGTACCATGTCCGATGGTAAGGTCTTAAACGATGAGGATTGGAGGGTGAATACAGATAGCCAGAAGGTGTGGCGCATAATGTCAGATAATACAGAAAGATGACGAGATCATAAGTTACGGTCCAGATCGTACTCATCCAAGTATCTGCCATTGGGATCCAAGTGCCTCCAGTACTGTCATATTGGGGTGTCGAAGACAGGTTCGACGATGATGAAGAAGCATATGATGACATAAGTCGTCCCTTTGTAATAGAAGAAATTGCACCAGACAAAACCCTCAAAGGCTCATGGACTCTTTCAGGTCCTGCACGGTCCAAACTAGCTGCTCCAAGGCCTCCCCCCAAATGTCCACCAGCATGAGGCAAATAGATGCCCTGTAAATAAAAATATCCCTGTCCCTGTTCGCCTGCTGCAGGCACAAAGTTGCCCCAAAAATGTGGTACCGTCACCAACATAAGTGTAAATATCAGGGTTGTGTAGAACAATATTGGCTGAGTTGAGAAGTGCACAAAACGAAGGACGTGTGCATGGATAGTATGGTTGACAAAACGATTCCAAAATCGATGACCGGTAGAGTTTGACGATAATGTTGAAGACAGACGATATAGATGACGGCGCTTTTGATCTAGCCATGCATCATATCTATTCTTGAACTGAGGCTGATCCTGCAATGCAGAATAATCTGAGGACATATCGATGGCAGTCTTTGGCTGTGGTTGTTGGGGTGGAGGAGATGTCTGGAGATAAAGCGAATACAGCTTTGGTAGGATCAGCAGAACGAGGGTCACTGAAAGATAGCCAGTAGTGAAGAGAGCCTTGATCTATGTAAACAGAAGTATAAAATTGCTTAGTATGACATCCTCAACTGTCATAATGCAGTATATTTATATAATCATTCAAATACAGTAATAATAATAATAAAAAAAATCAGTTGCATGATGTGCATTAATACCCACCAATAATGCAATATTCGCCCACATAATCCATTCTCCAAAACCTCCCTTCATGTCCGAACGTTCTCCATCAACTCTAAACAAAGTGTTGCTACTTCCAACACGGCCGAATCGATCCATAATCTTAATCTCAAGTCTATGGTCTTCTCCATCATTGTATCTCTGTGGGTCCCATTCGGAGACATAGAGTGGAAGGAAATCGTTGTCTGCGCTTTTGTCCTCAGCCCTTGTTCCTGCAAATCTTGCTGGATTCTCATGAATCTTTCCATCTATCAAGATTTCAATCTTGATATCCTTACGTATATATTCATGATCACCGTCAGGAACTTGATTATCTGTCCATACCAAAAACCGGATATGCGTACTAGTTGCAATCCTATTGACGGGCTCGTGTTTTGGAATCAAGTACCGGGAATCCTTGGGATTGGAAACAACGACTACGGGATTAGTGGGCAACCTAGGTCCTAGAGCAGGTCGAATCTTTTCTTTATCTTCTTCTCCAGTCTGGTCCTGCGACTCGGCTCTATTAATATTATCGGGTTCGACTGCGATACCCCCATTTGGACTGGGAATGAGAGCGGGTGGAATGGTAGTCATAGACATCGAAACATCCGTAAATGAAATCATGTCATGATCGACAACCATGATCCTGTACATCCCACTCTGCTTCATATCTCCAACTTCTAATTCCAAGAAATGTGTGGGCTGGTAGGTCTGAAGAGCATCACCAAGACCTAAGAATGATAATCATAAAAGTTTTGAAGCTATGAGTGCTTGAAACAATTGAAACACGTTTCTTACCAGGCAATACCCTTATTTATATGTTATTTTCTTACCCCATTTGAGCTTGTGTAAATGGCCACACATATACACACTGAAGGCCTTGGACAAATCTGCAAAGCTTTCCCCAGTAGAGGTCTCACCAAACATGGTCGTTGTTACTGGGTAGTGTGAAAACTAAAAAAAGATCTAAATATTAGCAAAATATGCTGACACGATTGTAGTCACTTTGAGAGCGCAATAAAGTAGATGAGATAACTTACTACAAAGGTATGGTTGTTGCCCTTGCTTAAATCCAATCGCTGCTTTAAGTTGTCCATATCTGGTGTCTCGAATAGACCGAAAAAGTTGTAGGGCCTTGCAGGGCCAGGCTTTGGACATGCGTCAATTCCAATGAAACCATATTTACCATACCCAGTTTTGACGTCAAACATGAACCCAGGAGCTCTGGTAGCGCTCATGTCTGCAAACATATTCTGTTTGCTGTCCCAGCTAGGAACATCGAAGCAGTCATGGTTTCCACGGAGATCATGCCAAAAAGTGCCATTCCTTTTGTTCAAGACACCAGACTGTTCAAGTGCATCTCTATAGGTGATCCATTCGTCCATGTACTGCATAGATCCCACAAGATGCTTATCTTTAGCATCTGTCAAATCTCCAGTGACAACTACAAAAGCAGGTTCGACCAATGGTAGTGCAGTGGAGAGGAAGGTATAGAAATTGGTAGTGCTTGCCTTTCTGAATCGACTAATATGAAGGTCCGAGACCTAGAAAAATGCAGTAGCAAGCAGTAGGAAAAAAAAAAAAAAAAAAAAAAAAAAAGATCAAGGCGGTTCAATATATCGATCACAGGTTATGAATGAGACTAGCCACATTTATGGTCATCTCCATTTCCCCCCTTTTTTTTTTTTTTTTTTTTTTGTTTAAACATAAAAAAATCATCTAAGAATATGGATTCTGTTATACCTGAACGAAATAAAAGATATTGTCTTTAGAATCACCAATAACAGTGCCATCTTGATTAGAAGTTGACGGCGCTGTAGAAGATGACTGGGACTGCTCAATCCGTGAACTAGACTTTATGTCGCTGGCGATATTCTTCTTTGCACGGACCATGGATTGATTGGCAAGTCTATCGAGATGAAAGGCATACAGCCATGCTCCTGTGACCAATGCGAGGAAGGGAAAGAAGGCGAAAATAGTCTTGATCCATGATCTCTTTTGTGGGGCCTGGGACTGTTGTGCTGCGCCTTGGACTGTGGCTGTGCCAAAAGTCCTCCGTGACATGATATGGTCTTTGGTCGCAAAGACTTTATAAAATGTAATGCAGTCGAGACCAGGGAAATACTGCAAAAGAATCAAGATGAGTGGAAAGTAGTGAAATAGAGAGATGTGGGGATGAATTCAAAAAAAGATGGAAAAGGAGTTGTGCCACGGGCGATGCTACAAAAGGGAAAAAGTCGAAGGTTCAGTTACTACGTGGCTTATCATACGCCTGTGCTACCTGTCGATTTGTCACAGACCACATTCCAAAAACTGTCTTTGCATTCATTACATTCAACTTGTTCTGTGCAACATGTCGAAAAAAAAGTCGAAACTCCCTGATTTCTCTGATGAAGATTACCCCGGGGCAAGAGAATTCATAAAGCTATCAGGAACTGACCCTAGCAACGTCTTTGTAAATAGTGAAGGCAGTCTGATAGTCAATGGTGGTTGGGTCCGTAATGATAATGTAGATATTGGCCCCGACTATATGGCTGCCAGAAAGCCCAAAAATGCCTCTCCTTCAACGAGCCCTAAAGCCAAATCTTCTAAGCACACCAATCATCCTTCTCTCTTTGGCTCTGACGTCCACTCTGCCCCAGAACAAGGGGAAGAGGAAATGATGGAAATGTTTCGAAAGAATCCAGAAATGGCTCAGGACTTTATGATGAACTATTTCCATGCAGCAGATAGGCATAAGGACAAGCAGCAGACAGATTATATAACTATCACGCCTGATGCAGGATTTGTAGTTTTGATACAACTTGCCAAGGAAGCCAAAGTAGGCCATTTGCTTGAAACTAACAAATCCACTTTTCCAAAGGGCACCAAGGTCTTTGTCAACATGTGCTCATCAGACAAGATTACCAAACCAACGGATGTACCCGAATATGAGATCCAGAAGACTTTGAACGGTCAACCATCTGTGTATGAGGTGCCTGTCCATATAGGCGAGCCACGTAAATACACATCTAAAGGTGATTCCTATTCAGCAAAGTATATCCTTAGAAATATGGGGTTTAATATCAACATTTTAATTGACAGGAAATTGCAAATTCATCAATGTTTGTAGATGAACCAGGGTATCTTGTCATTGATGGCTGTGTGCACGCAGATGTATTGACGAGAGCAAAAAAGGATCACCCCTATGGAATGTATATCATAGAGGTGGTCTTTCATTGGATTGAAGAGAAATGTCGTCTAGTGCTCGACAGAGGTAACCCACTCCTCCATATTTTCGAATGTAGTTATAAATGGGAACGCCACTGGAGATTTGATAATTGGAGTATCTAAGGTTTATATAAAAAATGATACCTATTCTGCTGTGATTAAAAGATACCATTGGGATGTTGCCAATTCGATCCAAGGATAAAATCCCCAGTCGGCCTATCAAATTGATACCACAGCCTAAAGCTCCAATCTTGGAGGTCCCTGCTGAGGAGAAGACCAGCAAGGCTCCTAAACTAGCAAAGTCCCAAGAGCCTTTGAACAAGTCCGACGTCCCAGTAGCAGGAAAGGATGACATTATACTCGATCATCGGACCTTATCATGCCCCAATGGCACTGGAGGGAGCATAATTGAGATCCCATTCCCTAATCATGTAAGCGAATCGACAGAGATTATGTTTTTCTTCATATCTGCTTTCACTCTTTATCCTGACCAAGGTCTGGAGGTGGAGTTTTTTTTTTTTTTTTTTTCCTTAGGACTGAATATAAAGGTTTGGACTGTAGGCTAACTTTTTTTACCCTTTGAATAACAAACAAAAAAAAAAAAAAAAAAAAAAAAAAAAAAAGGTGAATTCCTCTGATATCACTGTTGATATTGTCTTGCGGAACAAACTTGTGGTTCATGCCAAGAGCCAAGGAAAGAAAGTGGATGGAGGTAAAGATTACCATCTTGAGGTCGATCTTCCAAATAGGCCTGTTGGTTTGGAAACATTGGATGCAGAGTTCAACAAACAAACGCGCACTTTGCGTGTCTACACTCTTGGGTCAAAAGCATGAGTTCAAATGAGCAATTGGACTATAGGGAAATTAATAGGGGATGGTCATTTGACACACCATCTCATTTCAGAAACATTCATTCTATTCACTTAAGTAGTAGTAGTACTCAAAAATAAACAAAGGTAGATTGCGAATACATGAATCTCTTGCTCGACAATCATCCACGCCGTCTTTTTAAGGTTTGATTTAGTGGCAAATTTCTTTTCTTTGTAAACGTTTTTTTTTTCTTTTTTTTTTTTTTTTTCAAGTTCTTTCAGTTCTCAGCTCTTCAATTCAAAAAAAAAAAAAAAAAAAAAAAAAAAAAATGTTCGGTCCATTTGACTTCCCACCAGAAATCTTCGTTCTTATCTGCAATCATCTAGAACAGCCTGATCTGAAAGCTTGCTCCGAAGTCTGCAAGAGTTGGAATAATCTAACGAAGCCACTACTTTGGAGAGACTTGGTTGAGTCACGGCCAATGCTACAGAATGAGGAATACCTAAAGCCATTAATCGAAAATGGGCACCGTATCCGTCACCTACAATACCACGGCACCAAACTTGCACAGGTTCTTGCTCGACCAGAGGTCAATTGCACAAAACTCAAGTCGTTATTTTACACTTTGCCCTGCAGCTACAGTGACTCCAACTTCCTAAAGCCAGAACAAGAAGTTGATTTGGATGCCTTTCTGGTCCTCCTAGGGCGCAACCCATCTATACGTTACCTCAAAATATCGCTCAGGAACAAGAATCTTACGGAGGCAATTTCAATACGTCTACTCATCCAGCTTAAACGCCATTCACAACTACGATATTTGAGCATCACCGGCTTATGCAGCCTCGTAGGCCATTTTTTTTATGGCGCACTACGCCTTCTTCCAAAGGCACTAACGGAGCTTGAGATTGAAGCCATGTCATACTACTCAAGTCCGAATGCAGCTCCTGGAACTGCGGATGATACGCTTCTTCCCAAATCATTTCCTAATCTCTATAAGGTCCAGCTTGGAGGAACATTCTTTTCTTCACGAGAAAACTTGATCTTCAAGCTTCTCAAACGGTGTCCTAACCTCCAAGAGCTATCGGTTCCACATATAAAACTTAGTGCCCATGGCGACTTGGTTGATTTCTTGCCCGTATGGCACCCCAAACTCAAGGGCTTAGTCATAAATGATCACGGAGCCCCAAGCGCCATACAGGCACTGATGAAACCTGGTCAGCTGCAGCTCAGGAAGCTTCATCTTCAAGACCCTCCTGAGAGCATTCAAAATATGTTGAGCTCGTGGGCTGATACTCTACAGGATCTGGAATTCGGCGCTTCAACCTGTCTTTCAAGTCAGGATATTCAGTCGATCATAATGACATGTGCAAGTCTTAGAAGATTGGTCTTTAAAACCGAATCAACACTCTATTTTAGGTGCCCTGAATCGGGACTATTCTTGAGTGATATGGCAGATATGAAATGGGCATGTGAGAGTAGCTTGCGGGAACTCGCACTGACAGTAATAGACGACCGTACTATTAAGGAGCCTGAATCACAGACGCCGCTCTTGGTCTGGTACCAACAACTAGCGCGTTTAAAAAACATTCGGGCCCTGCATCTTGGATGGGTACCGAGGCCGGCGGGGAGGTCCAAAGATTACCCAGTACACCCCATGCGCCCCTATTTGACAATAGAAAGCGGTCTGGACCTTTGGAAAGATTTGAAAGACCTACAAATATTAAACATACGAGATATCGATAAGGTATTGATGGGTCAAGCGGAGATGGAGTGGATTGTGAAGCACTGGCCAAACTTGACAGCGCTTTTGGGCCTCGGTCTATATAAATACAAAAATGATGCACAGCTCTGGGGTGAAGATGATCCAGTTTGGGACAAGGTGTTCAAGAGGCCATATTTGGATCACAATGGATTTTGGAACAAAAAGGACGATTTTAGTTTTATCACCTGGATGCGCACTCAAAAGCCTCGATTAGTTTTGGACTAAATAAAGCAACTATTTCCTTTTATTACAGCAATCAAAGTGGCTCAAGAGATCTATTGTTTACTCCATGTCTGGTGAACTCCTTCGATTGATATCGGGTCCTTGATGTCGTATACCCTTGGAGGATGGAACAAAGATCAGCAATAGGCTGGAATATGTGATTGAAGTGAAGATTAAAAACCATTACATAAAAGGGCATAGTTAGTCTCCCTTCTCTCACTCCCTTTTAGTACATTTATTTATGTATTCCTCGCCAATGCAAACTCTATAACGGCTCGCGTCCCGCACTATTGTCTTCACTCTTTGAAGTTATCCGGTGTGGAGGTAGAACCTAGACCTGTGGATCATACTGAATACATCTTTTCTTTTTTTCGTTCTTGCTACTTACTATGGCCCCATGCATACCTCAGTAAGGCTCAAGGTGTGTGGTTTATAGCAGCATTGACCAAAATTTAGCCCCCAGTAAAGCCTTTGGAGCATGGAGTAGTTCTTTGCTCTATATATTTTCCTATAATTCCATCGCTTTTTATTCATTAAATCCTGTCAGCACTTTAACCAATTATACATTCAATTCAAGTGCTCTTCCACTATGATTCAAATTTGCCCACAGTTTATGAAATAGAATCATTCATGGGTTTAATTTCACACACTCATTACAACACTCAATTGACATAGACCATTAATACATCTGCTTCATTAATTTTCCTCAATTTTTGTTTTTAGAATGCCAAAGCGTCTTGCTACACCCCAGATCACCATTGAGGATGGCGTTAAACGGGATGCAGGCGACATTAAACGCAATGAATACTGCATGCTGGTTCATGTCTACCGTCAAATGCTGACATTGCCCAAAGAAGTCCGAGAGACCTTTGGACCGGGGATCCGTAGCCAGCTAGCAAATATTACAGGTGTAGGTGATACGACTGCACAAAAGGCCATCACCTTTTCCAAGAAGGGCCTAGTTCCTCAATTCAGTAGTACTTCCAATGCTGGACGACCTGTCAAGGTTCTAGACGACGATTATGCAGCAAAAGTACGAGAGATTGTGGCGCGGAAACTACCAGAGGGCCAGACCCATATGACCATCCAAATGATTCAACAGACACTCTTGAACGAGCATGGTATTAGGAAGACTACTCAGACCCTAAGACGCGATATGCTGAAATTGGATCTTCGATGGACGGGAGGTAATAATATGAAAAAGCGTTTTTTATTTCTTTTTTTTGCATGCAAAGGTGGTATGCTTAATACTTTTTTTTTTTTTTTTTTTTTTTGTCATATAGAGCGCTTTGTGCAAGGACGTGGCAAGAAAGCCAATCCAAAGCCTCCATCGGCTTGGCCGAAGCGTAAAAGAATAAAAAAGTCTTCAACTGAAGCACCCAAAGCCGACACAGTGACGGTGATGGACCAGCAGGCGCAAGGTCAAATCCAAGTCCAAATCCAGGAACATGGACAAGACCAAATTTTGGCCCAGATGGATGTAGTGGCGATGGCTGAAGTACCACAGCAACAGCATCAACCTTCACAAATTGATCCTCAAGTCGAGGCACAGGTTGTAGCAGCATTGGAGGCACCTGTTGTTGTCTCTGCAGAACAAGCTGAGTCGGCTGCTCAGGCACAAGCGGAGATCGCAGCTCAAGTTCAGGCTTTGCTTCAAGGTCGAGCATAAAGGAACGAGCATAAAGGAACAAACATTTCAATTTTTTTTTTTTTTTTTTTAGTCTTTTGAATCTGTACAGTACAATAAAACATCCACAAACGACCAAAACTTATCAACTTCCAATGCTTGATGGAAAGGCATTGCGCCTTGCCTGTGAATAATTGTTCGTGTGACACATACGCTTGTTTTGCTCTATCAATTAAGATGTATTTTTTGGCTCACTTACCGAAGTTCCACTCAACATCGTTTATACATTCCACTTTTGAAGCCTTCATCCGACTTTTTTTAATTCAATGTCATCTCCGATGATTCAAACTCCTCTAAGTCCTCTCGACCTTGATGAAATTAGAACCTGCATCGGCTCATTCCTCTCACCAGGAGACATTTCTCGCTGTATTCGTGTCTCCAAGGCCTGGCATGCCTCCTTCAGTCGACTGCTTTGGTACCATATCATACTTCATGGAGTCCGTAACCACAAACTACCTAGTCTAGATCAGCTTCAAGCCCATGCTTCTCTTATTCGGACCATCGAGTTTAAAGGTCATATCCTAAATGATTATTTCCTTTTGAATGGTTGTTCTCGTCTGGTCTCCCTCACATTCGAACATACTCGGTTTTGTGCACCACCTCCGAGTCTCTTGGACGACTTTATCCGTAATCATGCTGCAACATTACAACATATTCAGTTCCGTATTAGTGCGCCTATTCTTTCCGGCAGAGTCATCTACAGCGGAATCGAAACATGTCAACGTCTAAAGACTTTAAAGTTGATAGATGTTACCATGTCCAACGACGGACTTCAAGCGTTTTTACAAGCCTGTGCCCGTGTCAATGGAAGTGGACGTGAGCGTGAGGATGTGCGCGAAGATGAATATGAGGATGAAAGTCAAGGTCAAAGCGAGAACGCACAGGCCTCTGGAATAATCTCACTAAGTCTAATTGACTGGACTCTTCCAGGGCTGGATGGCACAGATACACAATGGATCTCACGACTAGAACCATTGAGATCTCTTAGACATATACAAATGGAAGGTGTAAGAGGCATGAAATTTGATGATCAACTGGAACTACTCAAGTTATGTCCAAACATCCGCTCTATACTCTGGAGAGGAATCCGATTCAAGGCTTACTTTGGGGTGGAGCAATTTCGGGATGGTATCATTGCTGGAAGATGGCCCCACCTGAATGCGCTCGATGTCATTGGTAATGAATTTGATGATGAGGGATTGGCAGGCATTGTAGGCGGCCTCAGGACAAGTCTTGATAAATTGTTGGTCAAGGCGACGGGGTTTGGACCTCAAACATTGGAAGCCTTGATGATGGCCACGATGGCTACGACGGCAATGGACCATCAACAGCCACAGCCACAGTTACAAATACAACGACACCAACACTACCTTCACATTCGTGAGCTTGAAATCTATGCATGCCCCGCTGTGACAAGTGACATGATTCAACGCATATTGGTGAACATGCCTTCGTTGGAGTACTTTTCTGGAGACCGATTGTGTGTGGCTGATATGTTGGGGAAACCTTCGTCAAATTTTCCTGATAATGGACAAATTTGGGGTTGTGATAAACGGCTTCGAGTGTTGAAATTGTGCATCGACATGGATATTCATGCAGACCCCACGACACCAGAATATCGTGCTCAACAGGAACGAGTCTATCAGCAGTTGGGAGCTCTGCATCAGCTGGAGACATTGGAAGTAACTCGGTTTTTGGTCAATATGCCTCCGTCGTTCAAGACACGCAAGTTGGATCATCGATTGAGTGCAGGGTTGAGTCATTTGGCGTCATTAAGGCGGTTAAAAAAGTTTTTGTTTATAGCTGGACAGGAATTGGGAGTGGCTGAGATTGAATGGATGACCAAGTCGTGGCGAAGGTTGGAAGCAATATCAAGATATCTGCATCCAAATGATCTCACCAATACTTCTTTAACAAACTATTTAACTCGGTGTGGGGTAAAAGTTCTCTGATTAAAAAAAAAAAAAAAAAAAAAAAAAAAAAATGCTACGAAATACATGAACAAGTGGCGATGTTATTAAGGTTATTAGACTAGTTATTTTTATCCTGTCGATGCATTATGGGTTTGATTGAGATAACAGACGATCTCTTGCGCCGACTTGAGGATTTCCAGGCGGTCGTTGACTTCTCAATTGAGTGCTGCTTCCCTCAGAAGAGGTGTCATGAAAGGATGTTGCAGAATTAATTCGGCTGGGCGTCCGAGAAGGCGGAGGGCTCGTGGTGATCACATCAGTTGCTATCATAATATGTGAAGGTGCTGGTGATGAAATGGATTGGTAGGGATGGGGCGCGTAACTTGGCAGAGGTGATGATGGTGAGGCTCCATGATATTGACCTACTGCGATAGGGACTTCTGTACTGTGGGTATATGGATTGTTGATTGCTACATAGGGGTCACTAGCTGTGGAAGGTGCCACGCCAAAAAATATTGGAGGTTGATAGGAGTAAGAAGGTGGGAGATACGGTGAGTGTTGCTGTTGCTGTTGCTGTTGTTGTTGTTGTTGTTGCTGTTGCTGTTGCTGCTGTTGCTGTGGATCTTGTTGTAATAGCAATAGCCTACGATGCAGTTCCAATTCTTCTTGCTGATTCTGAAGCCTCACACGAAGATCCCTCAACTCTTGTTCATTTCTGGCCCCCTCCGCATGCGCACCCGATGTTGGGTTACCATCTGGATCTTCATCATCTTTCGTATTGACGAGCTTTGCACCATGTGTACGATGTTGTCTTCGTCGTAAGAATACAAACAAAAGGATAGTGGCCGCGACTACTGCAATGCCGCCAATAACTCCTCCAGCGATAGCGCCTGTGTGAGAGGAGGAAGAAGATTCGTTGCTGTTGTCAGGATAACCGTAGTCAGGCCCCACTGATCCTGGTTTTTCTGGAGAGGTCTGATTTTTGTTATTATAAGATGAGGGAGGGATGTAGTTTTTCACCCATTGATCGCGCTCCAAATCGTAAATTAGGACGTCCTGGTCAACAATATCTTTGTCATTAACACGTCCCCCCCAGACAAGAAGCTGGTTTCCAGCAATGGTACATGCTGCGTAAGCCCTGATTGGCCCTGTTGTACCACAGCGCCATGTCTGGGTCACAATATCAAGGATATAAATATCACCAGCGTAGCCCCTCGTGCTCGACAGTCGACCACCATACACGACCATAAGAGTACCGTCGTCATCTTGATCCAAATGTAATCAATTAAAAAAAATAAAAAAAATGTTAGCTCTTTTTTTTCTTTTTTGATTGAGAACATATTTAGCCATTGATCCTCTATGACTTTACTCATATTAAACATATGTACATACTTGTCGCCATACAATGGTCGGCACGCATGGGTGGTGGAACACCTGTCGTGCTCTAGTATTGTATGTTTTGTTAATAAATAAGATATTTGTTAGTAAAGTAAATTAATCAATCCATTATTTGCTTCAAGAAAGTGCTTGTTTTGATTGTTTGGTTGACTTACCAACGTTTGCCAGAGTCCCGAAGTAGGGACATACTCAGTCACTACATTATCCTGGGGCAAAGCTTTTAAAGCAGTGTCATAGCCCCCAAAGTATAAGATACTGTTTCTATGTTTCGACCACACGTTTCCATAATATGCGCGCGCCTTGAAGAGCGTATTCTCTTGTGGAAGTGGGTTTGGTGATGAGCTGATGGCATCTTTTTTAAAGTTGTAAACGCTCATCTGTGACCTCATGGCAGTATATCCTGCTGCCATATAGACAAGTCCTGTGGATAGATCAGTGACTGCACCTACACCTTGTAAAACCCCAAATTCGGCAACAGTTTTGGAAGGGTACCATGTATCAGAGTCAACATTATATCGCATTGCAAAGGTGGATCCACTGTGAAAGGTGATCATTGTTTTCTGATCTGCAGAGAAAACTGCAGGGAACAAATGTTGTCTCGGACCATCTGCTAGTCGTTGCCAAGCTGGCGTGGAAGCATTCCAAGGGACAGCAAGATCCAAGGAAAAGAATTGAGAATAGACAAGGTTGCCGGTGATGCCTCCAACGATGTAGAGCTTTGTAGCAGTTCTAGCATATGCAGCACTGTTGACAGGAAAGGGTGCTACAGGAGGTGAAGCAGCAAGAGGCGAAGTAACAGGAGAAGATGTTGCCGGCGATGGTGACTGGGCAAGTGAGCGTGAACAGAGGAGCGTCAATAATATGCATGATGATAAGAGGTGTTTCAGGAACAATTGACCAGAGAATAATTCTGTGCCTGGCTTTCTGTTTTTGTGTGGATAACCAATACAATCGCTACCCCTCCTCCCTCTTGATCCCTGGTTCGTCATTGTTTTTGTCGTTGTGGACATTATGGTTGTCATGGGTGGTACTGACAGCATGTCATGAGATCAAATTAAACAAGGGCTGAAAATGAATGTCAAGAGCGATGAGAAGTTGGATGAAGATTTGTTTTAAAAAAAACCTGTCTTCTAAGTTTATTTTTATGTCCCTAAAATATCGAAAGGATTTTCCTCTTGTTTTCTATGCTGACAAGTGCAAAACTAAAGACTGTGAAAGTAAGATATGGTTTCTGATCAAGAATGGAGATCCAAAGGACGGGGCTTGGGCATTTTTGTGCCACGCCTTGTGCTCTTTTTTTTATTTTTTTTTATTTTATTTTATTTTTTTGGATCTATTGGTCCAATGCAAGAGTTTATCCCGCAAGGGAAGGGAAAAAAAAAGGCCTTTACAAGTACATGTACATCAAAATATGGAATATCAATGAGAAACCATGAAAGGTGTAATTCATAACGTGAATCCTGGTGTCTTTGTATTTAAAAAAGCTGTGAACAACGTCTGTGCTGCGAGTTGTGAATGACAGCATTCCGATTGCGTTCATAACTTTTTATGACCAATCGTTGAGACTTGTTTATGTGCAAAGGCGATGCAATAGGCAATTAAGCACATTATCCAGAGTAAAAAATAGATCCGAAACCGTGATACATTCTTCATCAATATCCTTCTGAACAGAAATCCACACTTTATACTTCAAAGCATAGCCAAAAGATAGCCACGCACTTCAAAACACTTCGAAGCATAAGACTTGTCTGGGCTGTCTAGGCTGGTTGGATTAACTGGTTGCTTGGTGGCTTCATAAAGGCATGTGATGTCATTCACATTAGCTTTGAAAAAGAAAGAAGCTCTTCGCTGGGGGTCATAATAAACTTATCCTCCTTCTGTTCACAAAAGATCCATTCTATGTAATGAAGATGAGGGCATGCAAAATTCAAGAAGTAGCTTCAGTGCTTGAAAGGACACTCAAACAGTTGGTCGCATTGCAAGACCCTCAGCTCATGGAACGCTCGGGCGCTATGCTTTCAGCAGAAGAACTTGACAATACCATCAACAAAACTCTTGAGTTTTCAAGAGAACTCTTCGATATGCTCTTCACTTCGTTACATGGTACTCACAAAGCGGAATAAAATGAGACAACTAGGGGGAACAACTCAACCGAAAAAGTTATATTACAGACAATATATAGATTAAGTCAATCCCTTTTCGCGTCATAGGTCGACTCGAGCTTTTCAGCCATGAAATAGCTCTGTCTCCACAGTTAGAATTAGTATGCAATGTCATGCAGGCGGCCTACCACAGATTGCCTTCGAAGGACACTACCCATTCCGCCAAGAACAGGACATTTGATTACTTGGTCATCGAGCCATTAATAACTCATCTTTTTACACCAATCTATCAAGCTTTGGGAGGAATTCACCAGCAACGCATCTCGTTACATGGTCTAGATCGGCTCTCATTCCGTCAGCTCCTTCTCTCATGTGGGTCAACTGAGCCCCAAGTTGCGAAAAGAATTTGTGGTATTATTAAGGTTAATTTTTTCCCTTCTATTAAACTTTTTTGACATTAAATCACAGATGAGGAAGCTTTAGCTTCCATTCTTACTATTTTATACACGCTTCTGGAAAGCGAAGACGACTTCACATCACCCGTGTTCAAAGACCTTATATGTTTAGTTCTACGGATTTATGAACATTACCTTCTGCCATGGCATTTGGTAGGTAAGAGGTTTTGAATCAGAGCTACTACATACACATATATATTCACGACTTGCTCTCTCTCTCTTTTTTTTTTTTAAAAAAAAAAGTTACCAGGATGCACTAATGAAATCATCCAATTAATAACCGGTCTGGAGTTGTTACTGCAGCATCTGAAAAAACTCCATACCGACCCTTGGATCCAACGAACTGCAATAGAATTCGTTAACGGCCTTTGTAAATCCTTGCTTTTGTCCAATTAAATCCAGTTACTTTTATTATATATATACTTTTCAACTTGTCACGTTGCAATTGGTGTTTATCTAATAGGTATTAACAATTTATACATTTGTAGATAAATATGATCTGCTTGTTCACGCACTGAGATGCTCTAGAACCACAGCTACTGCGCTGGATAGCGCCATTTGTAGAGCCTTGGTTACTACGATCACTGAATATGGGAATATCTTTATTGGTACACACGACAGCGGCACTTCTTTTCGCCAAGGCGATAGGTTCCCATCACCAGATGCCCTCATGGCAATTAATAGTAAGGCTTTTCAGCTTCTCCAATTCGACAAAGCATTAAAGCGAATTGGCTACTTATGGTTCTCTTTCTGATGCACTGCCCAGGTGATAGCTTGGCATCGTTCATTTGCAAAGATAGCTTCGCGAATTTATCTCAGGAGTTGTTCCAGGAATGCCAACGATGGGCGGTAGCTATAATTTATCTACGCTACAAAAGATGCAGACCTTCCGGGTAAATTCTTGCAGTCATAGCAGAGTCTTAAGCATCTATTCACTTGTAACTAACCTTGTTTGACAACACTGTGCTCGAAAATAGAGATATAAAGCATTTTCATGAGTCTATTTTGAAATTGGTCGCGAAAGAGAAAAGACTCGAACATTTTTATGGCTCGAGTTGGATACAATTAACATGGATATATATTGTAAGCCTTCAATAGATTGAGCACATTGAAGATATCTCTAGTATGCCTTCGCCCTCAACGTTACTTTTTACTGCGCCATCATAGAGGACGGAAAGTAAGCTGGAGCCAAAAGGTGTCGAAACTAGGCCTTTCACCTTCCTAAGGATCATGAGCGGTATTAGACAATCAATATGCGGCCCAGAAGGGGGATTCTGCAAAAGAGTGATTGAAGACTGCCTACAGGATATTTTGCCTTGGATTTGGAGACACAACTGGAATCGTGGCAGGCACGGGCCGCACCCTTCAGATGAGACATTTCAGGAATTGGTACACGTCAATCTCTAAATAAGTTATTGGGCCTGATTTCACTCGGGTGATTGTGGAGCTAATTAGTGGCTCTATAACCATAGATGTTGATATGGCTGCTCAAGCATTTTCCTGTTGAGCCTGTCAGACAGATGAAACTCATGGAATCTAGCATGGTACAGTACATTTCACTTATGATCCTGGGTTATCCAAGCGCTCTCTGCTCCATGAAGGTAAGTTATGAGCAAAAAATGATGTTACAAAGAGCTTAGATGGCTTCTCATTTTCAAGCACTTGGATGGTATTGCTTGCATAGGATTTATTCAAACTGGCATGCCATGTGGCTGAATCTAAAGATGTTGAGTGCGACGACCTTAAAACACGACATATCCTTTATGTACTATGCAGCATCGTCAGGATGACAGCTGTTAGCATTGAGGGACACTACGATGCCTTCGAACAGACTCCAAAGCTGGCTCTCGAGCCTATTGCCAGCTGGATATGTACCCAGCTTTCCAGCGCAGAAATTATGCCTGAGGGTATGTTAGGATTTGATACCTAAATTGGGCTATCGTATAACCATCTTATCACTAATAATGATAGCTGGATCAGTGATGAGCTACTTCTGGCAGGTGTTCGATTCGATTGTGCCTTTACTAAACGCTCCTGAAGGCCAGGATCCTCTACTTAAATGGGAAATAATCATGACAGAGCCCTCTGCAGGTAAAATGCCGAAGCATTTCTCAGCAGTTTCCTCAGTTATGTCTATAGGATGCTCTATATTGTGTATCAAGCTAACGTTCAAATATTTGAAAAGGTATTGAACGCCTCCTGCTTTACATTGAAACCATCCAGAACGAAATGGTTGAAGATGAAGACGTATTTTACTGCGCATTCGGTTCTACGCTAAAACTACTCATATTTTTTAGCGAGCACTGCAGAGGTAAAGACATACCTAGTCTTAGAGGACTATGTCTCATTATACATATGACTTCTCAGTCATTTATTAAAGGATTTTCATTTTCTCTTCCTTTCATAGAAAGCATCTTTGATGACGACCCACAAGCTCTACCATCGCTCTGGGTTGTCATCCAGGAAATAATAGAAGAAAGTCTAGAGCAAACCAACAAGAATATACATTATTTGCAGCAGCCACCATCTACAACGCAATACACCAAGGTCCATATCGCAATTCTTGGAACTTTTTTGTTAGTCAAGACACATTTGTGTCGCCCTCACACTTTTTGGATTTCAGCTGATGATCTTGCAGTCATAATATGGTTTGCAATCGCCATAAACAAATTCCTCAACGAAAGTGATGAGTCACAGGGATATGTTCTTGCAAAGCTAGTAACTAGCCTTATAGAGTTAATTATTCGTCGATTACACAATATACGAGGACAGGATATGGAATGCGCTACACCAGCTGAGACAAGGGACGAACTGCTTAGCTACCTTGATTTGCTTGTTGACACTCTAACTGATATTCTCATTGGTTCTGTAAGAGCAGACGTAATATGGATTATGCCCATATCTTTTTTTATTATTATTATAATGTAAGGGTTCCAAAGGATATGTTGATTAAATAATTTTGAATCCCCTAATAGGCAGATAGTAGGACTGTTTGGAGGCTGCTGGTTGGTGTCTATGCCAATAGCCATGAGGAACTTTTCATTAATCGACTGGTGAAGCATGCGGGGCCTGTACTTGCGCAACAGCTCTTACAGCGATGGATTTTAGAAGCGACACTGTTGCAACAACAGTGGAGAAGAGCGGTCATAAGTAAAAAAGTTCTACCAGACCCTGCTAGTATTGTCCCGCCTGAGGAGGTTAATGATACATGCGAATATGATAGTGTTTGTGGTCCTGACGAAAATGAAACAGGTAGTCCGACAACATTGATGTACCTTTTAATTGAAAAAATGGCCTGTAACGCTGTCAACATTCTTACTATCATAAAATTGGTATGTATTCCAGCGTCTACATAAATCTTGTGGTACATGAATGGCCTTTAAAAAAAAAGTTGATTTTTGTAGATGATAGAAGCAGATCTTGATGGCAGGCTAGTAGGCTTTATGAATGGCGGCCTGGTAAATCTGATAGCAGGCGTTTCCAATTTACTTCATGAGTTTAACAAGCAGATACAACGGCCACAGCTAGGACGACACCGTTGCCCATCTTTAATAGCTGCATGCAATCTTATCAAGTGGATACAGCACCTGCAAAGCTGTGCATGAGGAGAGCGGCCATGATCGACAATACAGCTTCATAATTCATCAAAAGAGAAAAGAGTAAGCACTCTGGGTGAACATAATAGGAGATCAATCTTGGGTTTATGTACAATGCGCAGGAGGATATATGATTAAAATATAAATAATACAGACGTAAATAAATTAAATATGCAGTGAGGTGATGGATGGTGAATATTACAAGGCTTTGCGAAGAACAGATCCTGCCCACCCGATGACAAACACAGCTGGTGGCACTGCCTTTTGCTCTTCTACCACCTGTGCTAAGGTGGAAAGGGTTGCATCCATCACTCTCTCCTCTGGACAATGAGCATTCTCAACCACAACCACGGGAATATTGGCTGGCCAGCTCAGTTTTGGTGACTGCATCAGATCCGAGATCTCCTTAGCCTTGCCTACACCCATCAGAATGACAACAGTCCTCTTGCTATCATATGTAGGGAAGTTATCTGGTAGAACACCTCCTTTAGCTTGTGCTGTGGTGATAACTACTTGATCTGCGGACCCTCGGTGAGTCAAGGGGATGTTGGCTGTCAAGGGTGCAGACAATGCAGACGAGATTCCAGGGACAACCTCGGCTTCAAACCCCTTTTCACGGAAGAACAAGATTTCTTCGGCACCACGTCCAAAAATGAAGGGATCACCTTGCTTTAGTCGAACAACAGTTTTACCCTCACGCAAACCTTGTAGACACCATTCATTAAGCTGGTCCTGGATATAATCTGAAGACCTTGACTTTGGTAGAACCGAGTCTTGGTCGCTATCGGAGCAAACAGTGCTGACGGAGCTGACGGAGCTGTCTGAGCTATCGTAACCAGTTGGGATTTGCTCACGCTTTTCTTGTTCAATAGCAAGGATGGTACGTTTCTTGGGTGCGATACGTACCTCACCTCGAGCAAGATCAAGTACATCCAATGGAATCAGTCTGTCAGCAACAACGAGCTCAGCCTCCTCCAACAGACGAACAGCTTTTCGAGTCAGTAATTCAGGATCGCCTGGACCAGCACCGACAAGAATTAATCTGCCACTTTGCGATTGAGCGCTCACGTTGTGTTTATGTTCCTCTTGTTCTTGTTTCTGTTCCACAAAAGCAGCGGTCACATCAATTTTACGATCAGCCAATGACAATGATGATGACTCCAGAAGGCGCAACTTTTGCAAGACTTCATCATATGAATAGACCTTGTCATCACGAAAGCCTGATAAGATGACCTGCATACTCTTCTCCTCCAATTCTGCTAGGTCCTCCATTTTCCACTGCTCACAAACACGACTCATCCACTGCATTCGTTTAGGCCCTACTTCAGGACCAGGGGCCATTTTTCTTAGTTTAGCACGAAGGACGCCAACTTGCTCGATCGCATCTCCAACTCTGTACGGCAAATGATCTGCAATATGCCTTCGAACCAAGTTGGCTAGTTTAGGGCCTTTACCGGAAGTAGAGACAGCCACCTGTAAGGCTTTGTCACGATGAGTTGAACAAAAGTAGAAATCGCATTGTGGAGGCACATCTGCGATGTTTACAGGGATTCGAAGACGTTTTGCAAGGTGATAGATATGGGTTGAAAGTGGGATATCATCGATTGCAGAGAGAACCATATCAACAGCAGGTTCGAGATCACCATTCAAGTTGTTATCTGTATCGATAGAATGTTGGTTTTGTGTTGTTGCTGTTACTGTGGCAACTGTTGTTGTATGTTCACCGAACCGAGTTGTGAGGTCTGAATCCTGAAAGGGCCTATCAACAAGACGAGTAGTCTCTGGATGGTCTTGTAAATGTTGGCGTACAGTTTCTGACAATTCTTCGTTCTCTGGACAGATCAAAGTGACTCTTGCGTCTGCTTCCAAGACATTCACAAGGCCTAAAAGTGATTAATAAAAAAAAAAGGGAGGAGTATTGTCAATGCACAGACCAAAACAAAACAATTCATTATAATATTCAACATTTGGAGCTACAAAAGATTGAAAAGAGGGCTGCACGGGCTAGGATCGACCACCGGAAGAAGAGCAATACGTACGTCCAGCAGCGACAAAACCGCCTCCGATAATGACAACATGTTTATGTTTGATCTGCCAGGCGAGAATCAGGGATGCTCCAGGACGGATGGGATCGATTGCTGAACGGACCATGACGACCTTTTTGTGTTTGTTTGGATTGTTTGAGAGAGAATTATATAAAGAGGAAGAATAAAAGGAAAAGAAAGAAAAGAAAAGCAAAAGTTGTGTAAAGATACAGAGCTGATTAAAAATGAAGAGGAAAGAAGAGACAAGAATTGATAATGAGATTCTTCTGCAAACGCAAGAACAAGAGGGAAAAAAAAAAAGACGATGAATACAGAAGTGATATAGGAGACTATGGTTACTAATTGGTCAATGGGCGAGGCACAGACAAAAAAAGATTGGGTTGGATGGCGTGACCGCGATGTCGATGGCACCATCACGTCGAGCAATTATCTACTGTGGCTGATGGCCAATGAGAACCTCGGAATGTTTTTTGTTTTGACTTTTTTTTTTTTTTTTTTTTTTTTTGACTTTGGGTGAGTGAAGGATTTTTGGTGGCGTCCTGTTGGTTAGGTCTTTTTAAACTTGTGCAACGAATCTTTGCTTTACGGATTTGTTCAAATCTGTTTAAGAGACCCATATCAATTTGGTCATGATCTTGACAATTATTATTTCTTGGTTTGGAATCTAGATTTTTCATCACCCTCCTCCATTTCTTTATTATTCGTGCTTTTTTCTCCTACAATAGTCTATCTATCTGTTGCTAAGGATGGATATATATATTTATATAAATGTGTATTATTATTATTCTGGAATATGACCATGCTGCATTTTGTTCAATTCGGATCTTGGATCTGGAGAAACTTTAAAGATCACATAGTCATGCTACTCCAACGATTGCAATGGATACCATCACGTGGCTCAAGCAGTATTTCTGCTTGGCTGATTCAATTGTTACGCTGGAAACAGATAGATCGGTTACAAACGCGTGCACCATTTGAACTTGCATATCTCCACTCGTCTAGGGTACAAAAAAAAAAAAAAAAAAAAAAAGAAAGAAAAAAGTAAGGGGGAGTAAACGAAGCGTTGTTGTCCTTTTTCTTTTATTTGTCTTTTCCGCTTTTTATTTTTTATTTTTTTTTATAATTTTTTGTCTCTCATTCGCCTCATTCATCTTGCAGGCTGACATTCTAGTTCTCCTCCTTCCCATTCTCATTTCTTCATTTCACTACTGTTTCCTCTCCTGATAGGGACAGTTGGTTAAAGACTGATCGGTCCTGCCTTCCCTTTATCCGTACAATAGTAATAGCTCAAATTTCAAAACAAATGGAGTATTCATCTTACCAGCACTCCCGGCAACAGCAACGGCGACAGCAGCGAGGAAAGGAAGTTACTGTCGATATACCTATAATAGAATCGGATCCGCCGCTCAGTAAAAGTAGTGATACAAACATGAAGAAGGATGTCAGCAAACAAGATATTACTCCGCATTCATTAGGCTTTAAAAACATTGTGATCTATGTGCTTCTTTTTGTAAACTTTGTTCTTTTGACAAAGTTGGCCTCGACTTTCTCACGACAACAACACCGACAACAACACCAACAACAAGTCTTCGCTCTTTGTAAAGATTCAGAGTTTAAATCATTTGCGCTTGCCTCAAAGCAGGAATATGAACCCGAACATGGAGAAGGCGATGTAACGTCTCTTGAATTTTGGCTAAAGATGGCGTTGATTGTCTTTTTGGTCATGCTCGGAGGCATCTTCGCAGGTAGGTTCAGTTTTTTTTTTTTTTTTTTTTTGTTCTCCGCTGAAGTTGTATCCAAAAAAAGTCCACAAGTAAACAGTTGGACATGTTTCTTTCCTATTTTTGAGGAAATGTTATTGGTGCTGTGCTCCACTCTATTTGAAAGGGTTCTTGTTCTCACTGTAAGCATGCTGCTATTTCATGTTGTCTCAAGGTTTGACAATTGGACTGATGGGCTTGGACGAAACCAATCTGCATGTACTTATGGCTTCTGGAAGTCCTAAAGAGCAAATCCATGCCGAAATCGTCTATGGCTTACTCTCGAGAGGGAAGCACTGGGTTTTAGGTAAAGATGAATATTCCTTCACTTTCATTGGCCCACGAGCTTTTTAGTCTCAATTTCATCAAGTTCGGAATATTTTTATTTAATGGACCATTTATGTTACGCACGATGAAATCACAGTGACTTTGCTCTTAGGAAACGTTATCGTGAACGAGACGCTGCCCGTTGTTTTAGATTCTGAATTAGGAGGGGGGATCGTCGCTATTTTAATCTCAACAATGTTGATTGTAGTCTTTGGAGAGTAAGCAAACCAGCATGATCGATGTGATTGAATAAGCTGGCGTGTTCCATTTTGTATTTGTTAATTCCGTTACTATATTTTTAATGAATCCAAGCATGCACCAACAATTCGTACCTCTAGGATCATCCCTCAAGCAATCTGTGCGCGCTATGGCCTTGCTATTGGAGCTCACTGTGCTAAACCAATGATGGTTTTTATGTACATCATGTCGCCTATCGCCTATCCAATTGCCATGATCCTGGATTCATGGCTCGGAGTCCATCACGGAACGACTTATCGTAGGACCGAACTCAAGACGCTTGTTTCGTTGCACCAAGTCGATGGGATTGGCGAATTGACAGATGATGAAGTGACGATTATTGCTTCTGTCCTGGATCTGAAGGAAAAATCCGTTTCTCAGGTGATGACGCCACTAGAAGACGTGTTCACATTGAGTGAAGATGCTATCCTTGATGAAGATTTGATGGAAGAAATTGTTTCTGCTGGTTATTCGCGTATCCCGATCTACCGCCACGACGATCCAAGTAACTTTATTGGGATGTTGTTGGTCAAGCGACTCATTACCTATGATCCTCAGGACCATATTCCAGTACGACAATTTACGATCAACTCGTTGCCAGAAGCTGCTCCTAACACCAGTTGCTTGGACATTCTCAACTTTTTCCAGGAGGGACGATCTCATATGGCTATGGTGACATCGGAACCAGGTGGATTTGGAGCTCCTGTAGGAGTAATCACATTGGAGGACGTAATCGAGGAGTTGCTGGGCGAAGAGATTGTGGATGAATCGGATGTATATGTGGATGTTCACAACAAGATCAAGGTTATTCGGAAACCAACTAGAAATGTCAACATGATCAAGAACCTGAAGAACTTTCTCCAGTCTCCAGCGCCGACACCACTTCTAGTGCCTAATAATGCCCCTGTGAACAGCTCAAGCACTAAAGAACAGTCTACAGGCGAGCCCAATCTGACGGGGCACTCGGTGGAGAACCCGAAGCATTACATGTCTACAGGAAAGACCATTTTACTATCAAGGAATACATCTACAGAGGCTTTAGGCAGGGAGAACCAGCCCTTGTTGAATGAAGATCACGAATGCGCGTTCAGGACAGGATCGATCAAGAGTAGTCGTATTTCTACGCCAAAGATATCTTCTCATGATCCGGCTACCAAAGCGCCTCCAGAGCGCCGCCATCCACAGTCGATTGCTGAAGACTTGAGCGGGCAAGGAAGTTTGATGGAAAATGCCAAACAAAAGAGGCAGCGTCCCTATCAAGTACAGCAGTATTCATCTCATCTAAGTGATTTGAAAGTGATTCCCGAGATAGCATCAGCAGCGACAGAAGAGATGGATGAACAAGGAGGGAAGCATTCGGTCAAGAAATCAATAGAGTCCACAGGATCGGTGGCCTCTATAGCAACGTCTACAACGGCGACGATGAAAGAGCCTCTGACACCGACTACGGTGTTTGAAAATACGACAGCAGAAAGTCCTTCGGATGATATGATTGATAGCATGGATTCCTCGCCAGCGCCTTCAGCCACAGGATCGAAGAAAAAGAAGAAAAAGAACAAGAAGTAGATTGTTTGCTCTTTCAATATGACATATGACATGTACATTCTACCGTTTTTTCAACTGCATTTTATATTTTCAATACGTGCATAAATAATAAAATCATTCCTGCTCTGATATTCATGGCTAATTGATGACCGTCAAATCCCACATGGAAACAAAGTTCATGTATTTTTTTTAAAAAAAAGGGGGAAAAGGAATATCCGTCTATTTATCTGTCATTCTCCGTCGGATTTGACAGACTGAAGCTGTGCTTTCAATGGTTCATTGGTCCGTACTCTGTCATGTCATTTGAGTTCACTATAATTAAATTCGCATTAGGTCATGCATATTGACGGCTTTGTTCTTTCAATGCCCCAGTTTCTGCATAACTAGCATCTGCTCGCCATTAAAAGCATGTATATATATATATATATATATACATATAACATAGTATATACTTTCTTCTGGTGTTGTTATTTTTGTATATACAAATGTTTTATAAAAATGTAAATGTGTATGTATGATCTCGAAGATTTCGATGGTGACGACAGACGATCAACTGAGTTACAAAGAGATGGTGATTGTTGTCCGGGTGGACAAATAGTTTCAGGATGGATCCATCAAACGTTTCACCAAAATTAACAAAAAATGTAGCAGAGAATGTGGATGCACAACGGGAAGAGAAAAGAGAGGCGGTCATTCCAAACACACAGCCTTTATCGTTAGAGATGAAAAATGGAGATTGAAGAAAAGCCCTCACTTTCTCTCCCCCTCTCTTTTCCTGATTAAAATGTCTCTGCTCATACTCTTTTTACGTCTTATTACTCTTATTAAACAAAGGAGCTGCGCTGAAGGTGGCGTTGGGCTGTCTTTTTTTTTTTTTTTTTTTTTCCATGAAGGAATGAAGGAAAAGTGATTCATCAATTTCCTTGGAGTGTGTTTTTTGCTTGAGTGGAGGAAGCACTCGCATCCAGTGCTCTTTTTGGTTGGTTGGTTTTTTGTTATAAGCAAGCCTAGCTCAAACCGGTATCTCAATTCAATTTCACTCTCCCACCCAATTCTGGCACTGAACGTATTTTTCTCTCTTATTCATTGACTTTATTGGCAACAAAAAATAATTGTCAGCTTCACAGGAAGACGGGGATCGCTGCACAATTGTTGATCTCTCCTCTCCTCTCCTCTTTCCCTCTGTACCTTTCTTATTATTCACCTATAGCTGGACTCTCTTTCTTCTTCCTCCTTATCTTCTATCTCTTTACTTCATCATTCTCATCTTAACTATTCAACTCCTTTTCTGTCTTATTTTATCCCACAAAGTGCTTCATATAAAACACTCTTTTGTAAAAAAGCACTTTAATTTTTTTTTTTTTTTTTTTTTTTTTTACGACTCCAAAAATACATTCAAAAAAAAATATACACAATTCCTTCTCTCCTTCTCCTTCTTCTTTCATTCACTCCATCCTGTGGCATTCCATTCTACTAGCCATTCAGCGACAGCACAGTACATCTAATCAGGAGAGAAGCGGGATCTCTGCTACCAGGGGCGTGTGAAGCTTGAAGCCAGAACAATGTCGTATTACAAGTCCCGGTTCATTGTACCGACATTCGACGGTCTGGTTGCTCAGATTGGACTCAGTGCTGGTGTCAGTGTCGTCTGCATCGGAGTGTTCGAATGGAATAGACGCAAAAAGACTCTTCAATACTTGTACTCACCTCGATGTCGACTTAAAATGTAATTTTTTTTTTTTTTTTTTTTTTTTTTTTTTATTAAAACCTCCTTGTCTCAGGAACCAACATTATTTCGCACCTCACACCTCCACATTCCTCCCACACCTTCGGTCTTTTTATTTTATATTTTATATTTTATACTTTATTTTACTTTTGAACAGAATAAGATGTCGATTTTTGATACAGCAGGGTCTAACGGTGCAAAACTATCTTAATTTTTAATTTCATCTTCTTTGCCCTAAAAAAAAAAAACCAACATGCAGGAACCCTTCGCCACCCTTGTCAATGAAATTCTTGGGCTGGATCTTACCAACAATTCGATTATCGGAGGAATTTTACATTGCGAACGTTGGTCTGGATGCAGTCATGTTTTTACGGTTCCTTCGAATGTGTCTCCAGTTCTGTGTGTTCAACGCAATTGTGGTTGGCATAATCCTCTTTCCAATTCATTATTATGGAGATGGTAATAAAACAGAAGTACCTCGATTGAGTATCGCCAACCTCGCGGATAGCTCAGATGTGTTGTGGGCTCATGTTATTCTCACCTACGTTGTCACGATCAGCTGGATGTTCTTGCTCTTCAAGAACTATTGGCAGTGGATGGACCTGAGAAGGGAGTATACACTCCAACGGATTCGTCAAGGAGAGATTGCAGAGCGTTCCATCTTTCTTAGTCGATTACCCTCAAACCTACGTTCGGACGCAGCATTGAAACAGTATTTCGAATCGCTCAAAATGGGCCCTGTCGAGTCTGCAACTGTAGTTCAACATTGTGGTCGACTCAATCAAAAGCTCGACAGGAGAGAGAGCGTGTTAAATATGCTGGAAAAGGCTCATATAGAGCTTGCTCAGGAAGTGTTAGAGAGTATCAGGCAGGGTAAATTCAGAGTCCAGCCATCGCCCCTGTCAAGTTCGATCACTCAGGACCAACCCCTTCTCCAACCATCGTCACAGCCGCAGTCCCCATATCACCATCAACGTCAACAAAAGCACAATAAGAGTAATTCAACCACAGCTCAGAGCATGGATATGATAACGTTAGAGAGGATGGCTCAGGACCTTCATTTGGATAATAAGCAGTATCGTAAAGTTCGCAAATCCATTTTCGTACATAGACGAGAAGGACATAAACGATCTAATTCACAACAGCAACAACAGCCCCAGCTCAATATACCACTCTCTGCACTCTCTCAACATTCGGATTTGATTGATGTCTATGTCCATGGCAAGGCAGAAAATGGAGAAGATGAGGATAATGATTATAATAAAGAGTTACATCGACATGACCAAGGCAGCGTTAGTGATAATAATACGGTCTGGAATGCACTTGCAGCCTTGGATCGCCAGATACTCGACAATTTTCAACCCACCCGTCAGGTCCATCGATTTAAGAAAGGAGGAGATCGTGTCAATTCGATTGATTATTTGGTTCGCAAGTACAACAAATTGGATCGAAAAGTAGGCGAGCTGCGGGATGGATCTTTGAGATACAAGTCGACATCCTTTGGATTTGTCACGTTCAAACATCATTTATCTGCACAATTGTGTGCTCAAGCCAAGATCGATTCCAGACCTCAGGGTCTGAATGTGAGACTAGCTATGGAGCCAAGAGATGTGCTCTGGAGTAATTTGACTTCTAGCTTTCGCAATCGCTTCTCACGATCTATTGTGGTCAACCTGAGTATTTGGTGGGTCCTTTTTTTAAAAAAAAAACAAGTAACCGAACTAAAATATTAATATCTAACCTTGTTTTTTTCTTAACTTATATTGGTCGCCTCCTCATCCTGGAACCCGATAATGAATGGAATCTTCATTCTCATCCATCCTCATGCTCTTACATCATTTGTTTCCATAGGGTGCTGACTATTTTTTGGATCTTCCCGACCTCGTCTTTCTTGCTGCTGACCTCTGCAGATGCTTTGTCTGAAAAATTCAAGTTCCTAGCACCGATCCTCAAGGCATCGCCTTTGATTCAGTCATTAATACAGAATGTGCTTCCCATTGTTTTTGTCACCATCTTTTTGGCCCTTGCTCCTGTCATCATCCTAGGTCAGACAAGCGACTTTTTTTTTTTTTTTTTTTTAACGAAGAATATTCATGTCCATACACAACACCAAACACTAAAAATGAACCACACATGTTTGTTACACAAACAACTTTTTTTTTTTTTTTTTTTTTTTTTTCTGTGAATAGAAATCACAAAGCAAGAGTTACCAGTGTCCTATTCAGCCCTAGAAGGCAGAGTCTTTCGACGTTACTATCACTTCCTGATCTTCAACGTTCTGTTCGTCTTCATGATCGGAACTGCCATATTGAAAACTATTCTCACATTGATTCAACAACCGACCAACATTTTCACTCTTCTTGCCGATAGTTTGCCTCTCGGAGCAACTTTTTTTGTCTTTTACATTGTCTTCAACACCTGCACGCATGCACTGGAACTTGTCCAGGTTTGGTCTCAATTGATCGTTCATGCATTTGCCACCGCTCGAAAATTGACACAGACACCTCGATCGCTTCAGCGAGCTTCTACGCCGTGGGCATTCCAATATTATTACTATTATCCGCAAAACATTCTCTCTATCGTCATCACCTTTATCTATTCACTCATTAATCCATTAATCCTCGTGGCTGCTGTAGTATATTTCGCTTTTGCGCTCCTGGTCTTCAAGCATCAGCTGGCATACTGTTACATCCGCAAATACGAAAACAGTGGCAAATTCTTCCGACATGTTTTCCAGTACACAACTGATGGCCTTATCATCTTTCAGATCATGATGGTCGGAATCCTTTGGTCAAAGAAGGCTCTCGTTGCAGGTTTCTTTTGTGTTACCCTGATCGGATTTACAGCTTATTTCAAGATTCTCTGTCACGATCTATTCAGATCAAGGACAAAGTTTTTGCCGCTGGACACCGGTTTGCGAAATTTTGATGATGATTCATCCTACACGATGAATGAGATCCCTATGCTGGCAAAAGCTGAGCTAGCATGTTCGAGTGCCATCGTGAGGCCTCAAAGTTTGCGTAGAAGGAAGGTTGGTCAGAGCGATGAAGGTGTTGACATGGATGATGGTGGCTCTTCTGGTGCTGTCAACGATGATGGTGTTGTGAATGGGTGCAATGTAGCTACTTTAGGCAAGTCTCAGCCTGCCGAGGCGAATGGACATCAGAAAGTCGCAAGAAATAGCCATGACTCTGAAAAAATAGAAATGGCTGGCACTTCACCGGTCATGAGCAGCTCTTCCTCAACCAAGATGTCAGGTAACCGATCAGAAAAGAGAACATCGAATGCAAGCGGATATTACATGGGTGCGGAAAACTTGGGCCTCAGTATGTCTGGCATGATGGAAGATCTTCAAGATGTGGAAGCACCACAAAAAAGCAGTTCTCGGAACTCGCTGGGGCTCAAGATCCATACTAAGGATATCCTGGACTCATCTTCACAGCTCTCCTCGAAACAAGGCTCGACTCGTGAGATCAAATTGTTCACAGTGGGAGATGACCCGAGGGATGGACCTCAAACTGAGATCCCATCGTCATTGATGGATGAGAAAGACAATAATGGCCATTATCACCATCACCATCGCCATCACCATCACCACCCCACAGGATTCTTGGATGAATATGGCTTCTACGTAGAAAATTACGAATTCCATAATTTAGGCATGGGATCACACCTGGCTTCACATTTCGACCATACGCCTTCCAAGATTGTTTATCAGGATCAGACCTCAGATTTTGAGACATATGTCCATCCAGCACTGCTTAAGCCCTTGAATCGCAAGCTCTGGTTGCCCAGAAATCCTCTCTACCGATATTGGGATCTGGATGATACAGTCGAGGTGGGCTTTGCTCTGAACAGTTCTGCAACTGCAGGAAAATTGGAATTCCGAGTTGAAGGCAAGGAGAATGAGCACCTGTTGACTCCTCATATCATGGATAAGGTACATCAGCAACATATGCATTACCATCAGCATCACTATCAACTAGCTCAGCGTAGAAACACCATTGCATCCAGCCTTGAGAATGGTAAGAGTATTTCCCTTCCATCACCATCCAACTGGCAAGGCTGTTTCACAGATTCGTCGCCCAACACCCCAGCGCCTACTACAGGACTACCTGGATCATCACAATGGGATAGATATGACGAGAAGAGGTCCTTCCAGGATGATAGATCGGGCATGCGTTCTATTGTAGCAGCGATAGATGGTCCAGCCGTAAAAGTCCATGCTCATTCACGTAATAACAGTAGGTCAGATGATGGTGTCCGTAGTGGCAGCGAGCACATCTCTAGTAGTGGATTCTTGGCGACATCACCACCAAGAGCCATGATTATGGGTGACTCGATGAACCATTCGAATTTCATGCCCAACCTGCGCAAGTTTTCTCCATCTGCACCTCGCTCATCAACGCTGCAACCTCCACCAATACCTCACCTCATAGGTGGCCATGGAGCATCTATTAGCAATAACACGCGTTGTAGACGCAGTGCTTCTATGCCTCCAGTACCACTTCTTCCTGAAGAATGCTGTGTGGGCTTCACTACTAATACTACTGCTGCTGCTCCTACTGCGCCATTTTCTGCAGCTATGGACAATATCGTCATGGGCGACAAAGGATCTAATATTGTGGCCTCGCCACAATCGGCTACTTTCCCTTCACCATTCTTGAGTGTTCGTCATCCCTACCAAACAGGCCCATCTGGGCCAGCTCATCACAGCAGTACTGCTCTGCAAAATTCGCTACAGCAACCTGGCTCTGCAAATCAGAGTCCACGAGTGGCTTTTGTCAAAGATACAACAACGACTCCTTCAACATCTGGATCGACGGTGATGCCCTTGACTGTTCGCTCAACTATGTTTTCAGGACCATCATTGCATCGTCATACGGTCAGTCATGGACAAGGTAATAACATTCGCCATCAACTAAGCCGAGACTTCAGCCCCAACAGTGGTAACAACAGTGCCGCTGGGGCACCATCTTCTACCATTAATCCTGTGACAGGGGGGACAGGATCCATGGGCGTCGTTTCTGGGGCTTTAGCGATAAATGGTCCTAGCCGCAAAGGTACGGCCACCACCACCAATGTCCGTGAAACTGCAGGAGCATTCTTTAGCATGATTTTTGGAGACCCTGAAGATGATGTTCTGGAGGCAAATGAGAATCCTCGTTTTGGATATGAGACTGGGGGGATATGGCGACGTCGTCGTGCCCATGATGATGACGATGATGACGACGACGACGACGACGACGATGACGATGATGATGGGAAGGATAGCTCCAGCACACGATGTCTTCAACAGACTCAGGGACGGTCACAAACAACTATTAATATGGCTGATGTAGGTCTTGGCGGATCTATCAATTCGCTCACTTCGAATTTGATGATCCAGGGTCAAGGCGAAAGCGCTGATAGAATGCCTGGGCTAGGAGAGCTAGCTCTGGCACATCCATCACACCTGGACCTTTCAGAGACGGTCAAGTCGACGACGACGACAACGACAACGATAAATGCTGCCAAGTAACGTTGTTTCGACAGAGCTAATTACGTTCCCGCAACCAAACGGCCTTTAACAGCAATATGGTTGTTGAGTGTTGATTGGTTTTCTTTTTTTATTTTTTTCACTCCTACCCTCGTTGTTTTTTAATACCATTCTTTCTCCAGACTTCCCCAATTTTCATTTCATAATACTTGTACATTACGATTCAAAAAAAAAAAAAAAAAAAAAAAGACAACATCCCAAAAATGTAGTCTATAGAGCAATAAAATGCATACCCACTATGGTTTCCAGAAAGGCAATTTGTTGTTTCCTGGCTCTCTGCGCAGTCGATATCATTCTTTCATCTTGTGATTTTGAATAAACATCTACCATGTTGTGTTAAACAAACGGCTAGATGAGTGTGGACAGCAAAACTCATGTATTTTAGCGAGCAGCTAGAAAGAAGGGAGATTTTGGCCCAACATGCAAGTAAAGTTCAGGTGCATGGAGCTAATTCATTAGAAGTCTGTATTCGTATACCAATAGGATGATTTTTTATTCAATATCAAGAGACTGACTATGTACAATGCACGCTTGCGGGATGCTCATATCCTTTGAGAATATTGGAAAGAAGAAAGCTAACTGCAGTCCCGGTCTAATCGTAATCAGAATAGTCGTAGTCGGGTTCATCGCTGGATATGCTTACTGAATTTGCCGATTCGGAACCAGAGTCTGAAGAGTTATATCGATGGTCTCTTGAGCTTCCTTCAGAAGTCGACTCGCAGTCTTCAACTTCAGACGCAGATGGGGAACTTAGATTTTCCCGAAATCGAATGTGTACTCTGCGGTCCAATGACACGTCATCCTGATCTTCTTCTTCTTCCTCTTCCTCTTCCTCTTCCTCTTCCTCTTCCAGTCGTAGGCGTTCCTCCTCCTCCTCCTCTTCCAGTCGAAGACGCTCTTCTTCCTCTTCCTCCTCTTGTCGGAGACGCTCTTCTTCTTCTTCTTCCTCTTGTCGAAGGCGCTCTTCCTCCTCTTCCTCCTCTTGTCGTAGGCGTTCTTCTTCCTCTTGCTCTTCCAGTCGAAGACGCTCTTCTTCCTCTTCCTCCTCTTGTCGGAGGCGCTCTTCTTCTTCTTCTTCCTCTTGTCGAAGGCGCTCTTCCTCCTCTTCCTCCTCTTGTCGGAGGCGCTCTTCTTCCTCTTCCTCCTCTTGTCGGAGGCGCTCTTCTTCTTCTTCCTCCTCTTGTCGGAGACGCTCTTCTTCTTCATCTTCCTCTTCCAATCGAAGGCGTTCTTCTTCCTCCTCCTCTTCCAGTCGAAGGCGCTCTTCTTCCTCTTCTTCTTGTCGAAGGTGTTCTTCTTCAGAATCGTCTGTGTGAACTTCGCTTGCGGTTCTGTAGCTCCCATATCCCCAATAGCGTCCATAGCCTCCATAGCCTCTATATCCACCGTCATCGCTGCCATACTCGTCACTCGACTCATCGTCGTAACCAGAATAATATGAATGTGTTCGATCATCATCATCGGACCCCCAATGTCCTTCGCTCATTGGACTATCATTCATCTCACTATGGTCCTCCTCGCCACTAGTATTATAGGCATCTTCTTCCCCTGTAGGCCCCCAACCGGCTCCCGTAGCCTGAATTTGACGATTTGTCGGCGAATATAATTCAAGCTTGAGCCCTGTATTGATCTCCAGCAGGGTATCCAAAAGACTTTGATCAACACTACCCTCGTCAATCTGAAGCTTACGAAGGCTCCGGAGCCACGTCACTATCCAAATGATTTCCTTACGGGTAAGGGGCACTTGAAAATTTATAAGTCGCAGTGTTTCCAACTCTTTGAGAGATTCTAGAGTCCTGCGCCCTAAAGAGAATAGCTTTGGGTCTATCCACATGCCGCCAATAGTAAGCTCTCGAAGTTTGGTGAGTCGGCCAAGTTGTTGGTATATCAGCAAAGGTATAGTCTCTTGAGCTATAGCGTAGGAAGTGGAACCTTTATCCGGCACACCATTCTGATGTGGCAAGACTTTCTGGTGAATATAAACCATCGAAAGTGTTTTGAGTTGTGCACATGCCCATGCTGGTTCCTTGAAAATATTAACCCTTACATATGGGCAATGCGAAAAATCGAGGTCAATCAAGTTTTCACAAAGCTCTAAAATGAATCGAATGCCACAGCTTGTGACGTCAACGCAGTGTGTGATTGATAGAGCCTTTAGTTTCGCAGCACGCTCTGGTGGTGTTGAAAGCTTGAATAAAACCTGATCATTAGTCGCTGTCCGAGCTAATTTGACATATTTAAGCTGCAACGACGCCTCAATCAGAGCCTCAATGCCGATTGGTTCAATGAGTTGACAGCCTTCTAAATTCAATCGCGTAATTGTCTTGCAGTGCGTTGCAAATTCGGCTAATCCAGCTGACCCGATATTGAGGTTTCTGACGATACTCAGATGTTGCAGGTTTGGGACATTCTGTCCAAGCTCGCCCAGTGCAACATCGCCGAAAAGCTCAATGTCTGTTCCTTCCAATGAACCTCCTGGTGAAGTATGGCCTGCCTTTATGCTGTAGAGCCCTGTGCCCATCCGATGCTGTGAGTTTCCAATTGATTTGAGGACTGAGGACGAGGCACAACGTACAAGCTCAATCGTCTTGATAGATGTAAGCGATGGGAAAAAAATTTGGGCATCTTCTTCACGAATCAAGCCAATGCCCAGAGCGATGCCTGTAAGCTGTGGTGCCACCAAGCACATTATCGTCCTCAATAAGGAGGAAGTAGTCTCTAGTAGCTCTCCATGTGACAAGTATAGTCCAAGATACTTTATTCGTGGTGTTGCTTGCAAGATACGGGTCAGCTCCATTGGCACAATCGAATGACATCTGTTGTCAGTGTCTAGGACTAGCTCCGCATACTTCACGTGGCAGCCATTTGTCTTTAACTGAGTGTAGAATGATGGCGTAAGTTTAGGCTGTATCAATGCCCTCCAGAGTATAGGCACTGCAGCCTGGTGCCACACACGTGCGACGCGACATGCTGCAAGTACCGTCTCCTTATCAAGAAATGAAAAGGTGATGGATAGGATTTCAGGGATAGCTGTCGGTAGTGACCTTGAATTCAAGGTTGCACTTGTCTCCACTGCTTCCATTGGTGACACTTGATCGGACTCCATCTTCTTGAGCGAATGTTGGCAGGGACAAGAAAAAGGTCTTGATGGGGATGGTTGGTTGTGACTGCTAAGTAGATAATACTTTTTATTTCTTTTTTTTTTGACAGGTCTTGCCACCAAAAATGTCAAAAATGTCAAAGCAAAATTTAGAAAAAAGCAAGCTGTGTTGTTTCCTTCTCTTTTCCTTTACACCCCATCCTCACTCGTTTGACCTCTCGTCCTGCATTCGCTGGCAGACAGACATCGCTTTCCATTCTTTCTTCAACATCACTCTTTCTCATTACACAAGCTAATGCCTCCCAAAAAGGCTACTCCAACTGCCTCCGTGGCCTCAGGCAGAGTCACTCGCTCTACAAGACAGACTCGTGCTGCCGCTGCTGCTGTTGCCTCTAATTCAATGAGCTCTACTTCGGCCTCAGAGGCAAGTAGGGCCAGTTCAGGGTCCTCCACTCCCAATACAAGTTTTTCACTATCAAATTTAAATATTGACGATGATGATAAGGATGATAAGAAGCAGGCCAAGGAAAATAGTGATGATGAGGACGATTTCCTTCCATCAACAGTTGTAACTCCAAGCGCTGTCGCCCTAGGGAAGAGGAGAAAGATCGAGGACCCATCCTCGAATCAGTTGATTGCTGATCCTCGCTCTCTCAAGCGCACCAGAAGTTCGGGCTCGATGGACCTGAGTAGACGGCTCAAAATTGAATCCGACGATGATGATGACTCGGATCTTCTCAAGAGCGAGGATTTGAGCGAAATAGCTGATAGTCCACCTCCCTCCAAGTCCACGGTCTCTAAGAGGCCTACACGTTCCAAAGCTGCGGCTGTCAAGCTTGAAGCTTCCACCTCTAAATCCGTGCCGTCATCGTCATCTTCATCTTCTACACATATAAGGACAAAGCCCTCACGTATTGCCTCTGTAAAAGCTGCTGCAGCAGTTTCAGCTCAAATCAAGGACGACAGCGATAATATCAACGAGGAATCTGATGATGATGATGATGATGATGATGATGATGCTTCTTCCTCTGATTCAAGTGAGGGGTCAGTAGCCAGACCTATTTCTCGTGCGAGAGATCGAACTAGAGGGACTATGACATGGGTAAGGCAAAAGCCGTCCGTACTTTGACTAGAAAATACCCATATCCTCAATTTTAGAAAGCTACTAAATCATTCATCTTAACTAGGCGGAGAAAGTCAACAAGAGACTTTTAGAGTTTCATCCCGAACTTGCAACTGTCTGGGATGATCTTGAAAAGGTTGGCATTCAAGCACCTGAGGCTGCAGAGCAGCCGGAAGGCTTAAAACTCAAACTCTTACCTTTCCAACGTGAAGGATTAGGCTGGATGCGTAAACAAGAGAAATCTATGGTAACTTGATAACGCTTTCTCCTATCTACTTGTCATCGATCAGATTTTCTCTATATATTTCTCCAACCATGTGCTCCGTTTTACTAATCTGTAGTTTATACAATAATTTCATTCAATTATAGTTCAAGGGCGGAATTCTAGCTGTAAGACAAATGAAATTTGTGTCTGTCCCTGTCTTCTCCACGAAAACAATGCATACTAATTTTTTTTTTTTTTTTTTTTTTTTTTTTAAAAAAAAAAACATAGGATGAAATGGGTATGGGGAAGACTATCCAGATGATATCGCTACTTTTGTCAGAGTCTGGGAAACCCAATCTGATCGTTGCCCCAACTGTTGCCATTCTGCAGTGGGTCAGTGAGATCACCAATCATGCCCCATCCCTTAAGGCCCTGGTATTTCATGGTCCAAATCGTACTGAAAGCATGAAGGAGCTTTTGAGCCATGATGTCGTCGTAACCACCTGTAAGCGGTAAATTTAGTTAATAACGGTGAACATGCATTTGTTTCTGTCGTTGATCTAACTTTTTTTTTTATACTTTGAAGACTCTATCATCGAATCGGCGTTCAGAAAGCAGAAGTATGGTTTTAGACGAGGAAATACAACTGTTAAAGAATATTCGTTATTGCACCGTATCAAGTGGTATCGTATCATTCTGGACGAAGCCCATAATATCAAGGAGCGTTCGTGTAATACAGCAAGATCTGCAGTAAGTTTGAAAGGCTGGAATTGTATATGAATGGGGCAGCTGCTCCGAATACGATATCTTTATTGATCTTATTGTTCCTTAGTTTGCACTTGAAGCTGATAGAAAGTGGTGCTTATCTGGAACACCTATGCAGAATCGAGTTGGAGAATTATACTCTCTTATTCGCTTCATGCAAGCCGATCCATATGGGTAAAAGCCCCAGTACAACTGCTCATTCTCGTTGAGATTTTGATTAGTATTGTTTACTTAATTACTTCGGTGCTGATGCGACTCTTCACTATCTTTTAGATATTACTTTTGCAAAAAGTGCTCATGCAAGTCGCTTCACTGGAAGTATAGCAACATGAAAGATTGTGATGACTGTGGACACAGACCCATGGAGTAAGTATATCATATTAAATTGTAAGAATTTCATCGCGTAATTTGTTGATGCCGCTGCTAACTGAGCTCTTCCACTTCATTGATGCTTGAAGTCATGTCTGTTGGTGGAATAATGAAATCCTGAAACCAATTCAGACTTTTGCTGCGGAAGGGTCTGGAGAAGAAGCGTTTGCGAAGCTCCGTAAATTGCTCGATCGGATAATGTTGCGCCGAACTAAAGTGGAGCGAGCAGATGACTTAGGGCTGCCTCCACGGAAGATGATCGTCAGCCGATATCTGTTTAACGAAGAGGAGGAGGACCTATATGAGTCACTTTTCTCAGATACAAAACGCAAGTTCTCAACATATGTCGAACAGGGTACTGTGCTCAACAACTATGCAAATATCTTTGAGCTTCTCACAAAGATGAGGCAGATGGTTGACCATCCAGACCTTGTCTTGAAGAAGGTCAAGCCAGGTGACGTCGGCCTCCCTGAGACTCTAGTCTGCTGTATTTGTCAAGAAGAGGTAATAGACTTTTACGAGAAATGATTTGATCTCTTAAAAGTGCCTAATTTAATCTAATACTATTTTTTTTACTTCTTGTCATGGCCATATTAGGCGGAGGACCCCATTGTCAGCAAGTGCCACCATCTTTTCTGTCGTGAAGATGCAGAACAGTATATCACATCATCGGCTGTCGAGGCACCCGAGTGCCCGGTTTGTCATATCCCTCTTTCGATCGATCTCCAACAGCCCACTTATATGAAAGAGGAGCCAGATTATGAAGCAGAAGTTAAACACCGAAACTTTGCCCGTACCTCGATTGTGAATCGCATTAACATGGACACATGGCGGAGCTCGACAAAAATTGAAGCTTTAGTAGAGCAACTTTATAATCTACAGCGTCAGGATCGATCTACGAAGAGTATTTGTTTTTCACAGTATGTAACCTTCTTAGATCTGATTAAGTGGCGCCTCGAGAAAGCCGGTTTTAAGTGCGTTAAGCTAGATGGCCACATGACGCCCGCACAACGCGACGCTTCAATCAGGAAATTTAGTGACGATCCAACAGTAACGGTATTCCTGATTTCGTTAAAAGCAGGAGGCGTCGCATTGAACTTGACAGCAGCTAGTCGAGTATTTATCTGTGATCCATGGTGGAATCCTGCAGCAGAATTGCAGGCAATGGATCGTATCCACCGTATTGGGCAATACCGGCCCATCCTTATTACACGACTCATTATTGAGAATTCGATTGAGAGTCGTATTCTACAGCTTCAAGAGAAGAAGCAGGCAATGGTGGATAGCACAATTGGCAAAGATCCCGCAGCCTTGGCGCGTTTGACGCCTGAGGATCTGCGATTCTTGTTTGTCAATTAAAGTAAAACCATGAGCTATTAATTTAAAAATGTTGCACCTGATCACACATCTGTCATGGTTGCACAATAGAATAGTTTGACCAAAATATCGTTTCTGAATTTTTTTCTGATGTTTCTGGTCCTCGTTTGTGCTTCCTCTTCTTTTACACATTCACTAAATACATTCTTCATCACATCTTTTCCAATAAACCATCAAGAGCCCAAGTACAATCATGTCAAACCATCAATCTTCTAATAGTCAGTATGAGATGTCCTCTTCCAAAAAAGGAGTCAGATTTAAGGATATATATGACAAACTCCCACCTGAGATTCTTGACCAGATCCTCATCTATCTCGATCATGCTTCACTCTTGAACTGCGCCTTGATTTCGAAGAGATGGTCCCAACGAGTGATCCCACAGCTGTGGCATTCACCCTTCATGCTGTATTATGTCTCATGGATGAAGCTCCTCAAAACCATCGCCAACACTGCAATTCTGCAACATCAGCAACATGGAAGGTTGCTGCCAAATGACTTACAAAGTGCAAACATGAGTACTTCGAATGTTCACGATTCAACAAGCAGTACTATAAAGGAATGTATCCTGTTACCCTCATCATCTTCATCACTATCATCTCCACCACCACTGTTATCACCTTTTGCTCCTTATCACTCCAATGTGGTATCAAAAAAAAGGCCTAGCGCTGAACAGCAACAGCTTATACAACCAAAAGCCAAATTGAACGAGTATGAAAACGACGATATCATCTCGTGCCCTCTTCTGCAGTTGGCTGAAAATCAAGAAAAGGATAAAGTCCGAGTGGGATGGGGAGGCAGCTGTACTAGCGAGCGAGATATCTCTGAGGATGAGCAGCTATTGTTCTTCAACGCCAGAGAAATCTTTTCACCTTCTACATCACCAAGAGCCTCACCGACCACTGCTGAAACCGGTACGAGCCCGAAGCTAGGGACAGAGACAGAAACAGAGACACAGACAGAACAGCTGAGCCTTTCAGAACAACATGGCTCTGCAAACGATAACAATCACACACAATGTGGCATCGTGGGATCAATACTCAACAATGCTTCCACACAACAAACATATTTGGGCTCAACAAGCACAGACCACAAGACCCAAAACAATCACAAAAACAGTGGAATCAGCAGCGGCAGCAATGGCCACGACAATAACTGCGTCCTCAGCAGCATCAGTGATCATAACATCTCATCGCTTCCATTATCATTATCATTACCGCCGTCATCATCATCATTGTCATCATCTCCTCCATCGTCACAATCAGCTTCTCCGTTTATCCATCCTCAATATGGCTTATTTATCCGTGTCCTTGACTTTTCAGACCTTTACTACATTGTCTCAGACCCTTTCCTAGCTCATTTATTACCTCGAACGCCATCGCTTCATGCACTCTTGATCCGAGCTCCAAAACAATTCTCAGATGCTTCATTATCTGTCTTGGCTAATTCCTGTCCAAAACTGAAAACATTGGAGCTAATGGATTGTCCAGGGATTACGCAAAAGGGATTATCGGAAATCTTGAACCGTTGTCTTGAAGTATCAACATTGAATTTCGCAGGATGTAAACAACAGGGTCGAGATGGTTTGGTTACAGATAAGGTCCTTTCACAACTAGCTAATACGCCTTCAATTGCAAAATCATTACGCATCCTAAATTTGTCCAAGACAGGCGCCGGTGGTCATATTAGTAATACAAGCCGTAGTAGTACTAAAGTTCATTACCATCTTGAAACCCCAGAAACCCCACAGGAGCAGGAACAGACATGTACTACTACAACAGGCTTAGAAAAAGTATTGGGCTCTTGTTATAACTTGGTTTCCCTCAACCTCGCTCATTGTTTTGAAGCAGTGACGGATTCAACGCTTCAATGTTTATCTACCCTTTTCCCATCATCATTGCAGACTTTGAACATTGCATACTGTTCAGAAGTCACAGATGAGGGAATCTATTTCATTGCAAAACATTGCTTAGAACTCAGAGTATTGGACATCCAAGGTCTTGATAAAGTAACCTATCGAGGAATCTGGGAGATCCGTCGACACTGTCCTCAGTTTCAAAAGCTGATCATGCAATATGGACAACAGTCAGTCAGAGATGGCGAAGTGCCAGTTCTGAGGGTGAGAGGCTGGACTCGTGTGAGATACTCGCGAACTTTTTGAAATAGTCTATTATTAGTTTCAAAATACTATAATTACTCTTGACTTTCCTTTTCTTTTATTACTGCAACTCTGCAACTAAAAAAAAAAAACAAAAACAAAAACAAAAAAGACTTTTTTAAACAAAACTATGGAAGTCTCCTACAACCCGCAATCTAAAATACACATTAATATACACATGTACACAACAAAGTTGCTGGTTGTGGTAGAGTAAAAAGTACAAGGGAGGAAAAGAGCCCCCAAAAAAGCTTGCTTAGATGCCCACGATATCAATCTCTGCGTCATCTTCACCCATCTCCATCTCATTGCCTTGAAGGTCATGCTTGACTGCGCACAAGACTAGCGTCTCCTCTGAGTTAAGGCTTCGTGCTGTTTGCTGGATCTGCATCTGAGTCTCTTGCGACCTGCGACCCGCGCTAGTGTTGGAGCGTTTCCTGCGAGGCTTATAAGGATGATGGGCTGCTGATGCCACTACATTCCAGAGTGCATCCTGTAGCTCAGTTACAGTAGAATCATGGTGAGACAACGATGACACTACGCCATTGCGTTTCCTATTACTGTGGCAACTATGGCTTGACCGGCGACTTCTAGGAGATACTGGATGGGATGATGGGTGAGAAGGAGAAGGAGAGCTGGATAACGAGGATGAGGATGAAGGATCACAAGATAGCTCGGGAGTCCTCTCTGCAGAGCATTGCTTCTGTTTCTCCAATGCTGCTCGCTCACGTTGTTCTGCAGCAAGAATCGATGCCATGGTCTGCATACAGCACGACTCAACGTACTGATATACTTCAACCAACGTGGCCTCATCCAGAGATGACAGATCAACTTCCATTTCTTCTACTTCATCTGCCTCTTCTTCTTCATGACCACCCTTCAAGATTCTGAAAAGGCCAGACATATGTTCAGGTCCTAGATCATTACTAATGCGGGTAACTAGATCTTCCTCCATGCGACGTTTATTAGGGTCCCGGGAGGCGACGGGTACTGACAAGTTAGCCAGTTGTTGTGGATTTTCTTTGCAGGCGACAGCAATAGGGATTACATCATCTGCAATGATCGTTTCAGTAGTGAGCATAGGAAAATTCACAGAGCTGATGGATGCATCGCACGATGTAGCTATTGCGGACTTCTCCACTTCCTCGTCATCTTCAGGGTCCTTAGAATCATCATTATCAGATTCTGAACTAGACTCCGAACCGGACTCATAATCGAAGGCAGTATCTTCGTTGAATCCATAGTAATTGGCCAGTGCAAGATCGTGGTAGGTGCTGTCATTTTGCAAATCTAACTCACGAGGAGATACAGATGCTGATACATCCATCGAACTAGACCCCACAATCAAGTCTGCGACATTCACAGTCGCAGGAGTATCGAAGGTAGATGGAGCCAGATCGAACACAAACTCATCATAAGCTTGGTCATCAGGGATGTCACTATTGGTCTCCCATCCGAGAGATACATTTCCAAGCAAGCTATCCAAGCCATTGTCAAGCTGAAAGGGGTCTGAAGAGAGGGTCTGTGGGTCAAACGCACTTCTTTTTGTTGATTGATAACATGTGAAATGACCCAATGTTTCGAAGGGACGAACAGTGTTGTATAAGAAAAGACAAATTGAGCGTTGGAGGGTAGAGGTATGAGGAAAAGATGAGTGAATGTCCCTTACTCGCAAACAAAGCGAGCTTTTTTTTTTTTTTTTTTTTTTTTTTTTTTTGACAGATCGCGCAAGCACTCGACTTTTTTAATAAGATTAGACTTACGAGAACTCATCGGCCACCTGCCAGTCTTCCCACACTTTGGTCTGCAGTGCAGGTACCAAGAAGTCAGAGATGGAAAACGTTGGGCCACCATCCCCACTAGCTCCTGCTCCAATCGCGGAAGTATTCGAATGTTCAGCTGTAGACCCTGCAAAGCCGCTAAGCAGATTCAGCTGGTCTTTGAGTATCGCAGCATTGCAGAGACCATTGGGGAGCATAAAACTCCCCTCCGGATCATCGGGGGGGTTGTCAGCCAATGTTATTCTAGAGACACCACAATGGAATGAGAGCAGCATATTTCACATGAGCAAGAGATATTTCTTTAAGAGGGAATGACAGAGAGGAATAAGAAAGCCATCGATGCAAAGTGATGGGAATATGAAATGAACCCAAATCAAATAAGTAAAATACACACGAATGCGTGGGAATTACACGGCCATCAAAGTGGGATCGTAGTGTGGTGTGGTAATTCTCTCACTTAGCTAGGATAGACTACAAGTCCATGATGCTCGGGTGACAAAATGAGAAGGTAGACTCCAATTGACGAAGAATGCACTCGACAAAGAGGTTAGCGTATATTCCCTTCTTTTCTGCTCCCTTGTTTCCCTTCAATCCTATTACGCACTAGTGCATGCAGATAGTCTCTACAGAGACAATCTATTAAGCATCCCGTTGTTTGCAACACAAGACAAATAAATTGCACCACTCGACCCGAATCTGTCCCAGCCAACCAAATACAAAAGACAGCCAGCCCAGAGAGCATTTTTCTGCATCCACCTTGCATGAGCGCTACCATTGCTGCTACACGCAAAAGAATTATCAGGCGGACAAGCAAAAAATTAAGCACACTCTTGTCAAGTGAGCAAGGGCTTGTGGAACAGATGAAAATTTTTTCTAAATGTCAACAAATGCTCTTTTTCATCCTTTGCCCAAAGTAATGGCGTTTTAAAAGGATGTAGAAGGGATTAAGGGGACCCAACTACGTGTTTTCGTGGATATTAGGCCACAACGCCGACTTACCCTCCCATGGTTGAATGAACGAATCTTGGAAATAATGAAGTTCAGCGTGTAATCCCAAGCAAAAAGACAAAGAAATCGACTCAAGATATTGCTATCAGTAGCGTAAAGGGCAACGGGTAGAGGTATCGGAGGTATGGTCTTGAGGAATCCAACTTGATAAAGAGATGAATATTCGATAAACAAGAGTTGAGTCAGCTCACAACGAAGGGTGAGTCGACTCGAAAACGCGGTGAGGATGGAAGTGGATGTTGCTCCAAGTACAATATTGAGAAGCCTTTGCAAGGTAGCTTTGCGATTTCGGACGAGATCAGACTACTGAGCAAGAGGTAAATGAATGGATCAGAGTAGACAACGGAATGGGTTTGTCGCGGATGAAGTAGAATTCAGACAAACAAATAGTCTTTGCTTTGATTCTCAAGAGAGAAGACAGAAGTAAAGAGTTGGAAGGGGAGATGAAAGAGGTTAAAGAGGAACGGTGAGGATAAAAAGAAAGAAAATAAAGAATGAGAAAAAAGCTTGTCTCCTTTTTTAAAAGTCAAAATTTGTTTTGTTCTCCGATAGAAAAAGAAGAACAGAGCCCTCAACAAAGGGTGTAGATGTCGATCATGATGTCCTGTCTTAGGTAAACGCCAAGCATAACCATTGGTTCCCTTATGTGTTTTATCATTTAATCGTGCTTTTTTCTTTATTATAATTATGATTGTCGTCTGGCTGCCCATCGCGCTATCAGAGTGGGGCAATCGCGATGTTTGAGTACAATGTCTGCGATTTGGCTCGAGTCAAGCATCACTTGCATCATCCGATATTCTTTCGGACCCTTGCCAGAGGCATCTGCTGGTCGTAGTAGCTCTGTTTCCACCAAGTGTTCAAATGCCTGGAAACGAAACCTTAGTTACTAGTATTGTTATTATTATTTCCATGATTCCAATCGACCTCATTTGCTCACCTTTAATGCGACGGCCTTCTTGTAGAGGCGCAATGATACACTATCAGTAGATCCAATTGATCCTCCACTGCCTAAGGTTAAAGAGCTGGAGCCAGAGGCTCCCTTCAAAACTGCCATATCCATAAACTCCTTGTATTCATCATAAACCATCTCGAAGTTGAATGAGACAATCTCTCTCTCCACAAGGTGCTTGATCGCAATCAATAATGAAAGCTCAAGTAAAGATATGCCTTTCAACAACTCTGTCTTGTTGTCAACACGCTGTTGTAGGCCAGACTCGTAAAATTGTGGAGGTCGCAAATAGGGGTTTGTCTCTGAGAGGCTTGCCACTGGTCCAAACTAAAAGACACGAGATATCATCAGTCTATGTTTTATCGAAACCTTCTAATGCCAAAAAAAGGAAAAGAAAAAATAGACCCTTTTTGATCTCAAGACGTACACACAAACGAAAGAACCCACGGATATCCTTCATCAGATCAAATATTCTCTGCATGATCTTGGAAAAGCCACTGTCATCAAAGAGCATCTATTGAGGTAACTGTTTTTCAGTTCAACGTTTTTTGTTGTTGTAAGCATGTGACTGATCGCCAGAGATTTGTTTTGGTTGTACCTTAACATGATCATTAAACTCGTTTATGAAAGCTTCTTTTTCGTTTACATCTTCGCCCACGTAGACACCATCCTCGAGCTCAATGTTCATATCTTCTAGGGAAAGCAATAGCATATTCTGGCAAATTTCTATAAAATCATAGTAGCTCTCTGGAGGGAATGTATAATATTGTCGGTGCGAGAATCTTGATTTAACACGCTTCTCCAGCAGCTCTAACGCATCCTAAATATGTCGAGTAAGTAGTAGCCATTAATTTTTTATACTACTGAGTTTTTTGGTTATTTTTTTTTCTTTGTTCCTGGAAACCAATCCTACCATACGGCATGATACCCCGATGACAGCAATTGGCCACTCTGCACTTTGTGCAATATCGAATAGATTGTATAAAAGGGATTGCTTTGTGTGTTGAGCAAACAGATCAAATTCTTCCATAACAAAAATGATTGGATATTGATCCCTGGTTCCACTTTTCAAGAATGAGAGTAGTGAGGGAAGAGAATCTGCAAAGGATACCTAATTGTGTATACGAGACAATTAGAAGGCGAATCGAATCGGCCAATTTCGTGGCTTTCAGAAATTACTCTAAAACTAAGAATTGACCAGGCAACACAGTAGACTTTTTTTTTTGTTTTACATTGCTGTTAGCCATTCCAGACTCCCCTTCTCGTGATAGCTGACGCATGATTTCTTTTAAAGCCATCCTGTCATCTGTCTGTACAAGCCCATTGAGACGGATCACCATAAAGTCTTTGCGAGCCTCATTATCAACAGCCATATCCTGGTCTGTCTCTTCTGTTATCCGTGCAGCTCCAAATAGATTCTCCATTTCATTCAATGCCTTGCGAACAAGCTATTACAATAACAATGTGGACATCAATATTAAATCACACAAGAATCTGAGAAAGAAGCAATAGGGATAAGGAGTCTCAGAGACAGCTTTCTCATATCAAGATCTTCTTGAAAGATGAACATGGTCCCCTACCATAGTCTTTCCGGTTCCACGGGGACCAAGAATCAGACACGAGTTACTCTCACCCATTTCTATTGTCTGCCGCATCAGATCAGCAATTTTTCTGACAGGGCATAGCAATTTCTTCACTGTGAGGATTGGTATAGAGCTATAAAGTTTTACAGAGAAATGAACCTCTTTTATCAAATAACATCTCCTTACTTGTATTGCTCTTCCAAACCCACTAACGATGGAGGGAGTGTTCGCTCAGAGAGTCGTGCCAAGATGGCACATTTAGCCATTTCAACCCAGTTGTTCAAGCTCATGAATGTGATGGAGTTCAGTGTTTCTTTTGAATCTCGTCAGGATTTCGATTAGGATTTGGATTTGAAATGCCTTTGAATGTGAAGGTGTAGAAACGCGAATTAGTATTGCCGCCATTTTTTTTTTTGGATGTTTGTGCCCTAGTTCTTTATTTGATTTCGCAGTCACATACTTGAGTTTCTACAAGCGGGCGAAGCAATTAAATCAAACGGAAGATTGTTACTTGTTTCTTTGGGATCAAAGAGCGAGAATATCATCTGCTATTGGCCCTTCCTACCATCGAATTTTAATTGAACTTGGTGATCAAGCCATGTCCTGAATTTACAAATAAATCTAGTCTATTAATCACAATTGAGGATGGGAAAAGGAGGTTAACGATCAATGAACTCTGGAAATATAGATGTCAGCAAGACAAAGATTTAATACAGGTCTTTTTTGGTAACACCTTCTTCAATTGTCAATAACTCAGTTCCGTGTGTCGGGTAACCTCTTGATTGTAAATAAAATAAAATATTAATAAAAATGAGTCTCCGCTTGAATGATTACGCTCACAGGAATTCATGCAGAAACATTCAGGTTTGGATCCGAGACTGGAAGTGCCTGATTTGGAAGCGACTGCTTTAGGTTATGACCATGAAGTCCGCCTTGGTAGTAAATAGTCTGTAGTCTGGTTGTCATCGTCATTGCAATGCCTCGATGGGATGATTGTGTTGAATCAATAGACTGTTGAATCGTGACAGCTCTATTATATTTGCCTGATGTTTAGTTTCATGTTTTACGAATGTTGAAGTAAGTTTGTTTTTCTCAGCCGAGTTCGCCTCCCAGACATCCTGAACACAAACGGCTCTTTTTTTTTTTTTTTTTTTTTTCTTTTTCTTTTTCTTTATAACCTATTCCTTCAAATACACAACCCCATTTGCTATTCTCTTCCGCTCCATTCACAGTATTTCTCAGCTTTTTTTACCACTCTTGCACACTTCATTTTATAACTTTACAACCACTCCTCCGACATTCAATTCCGATCAATTCAATGGCTAATAACAACAATCAGGACATCAATAACTCTATATCCTTGTCTTCGTCATCCTCTTCCTCTTTATCTAACGAATTATCGTCTCCGTTGCCCACATCTTCTCTCTCAAGTTCTCCTTTACCTTCATTCACTGGCTCTCCAAGGAACTCCACTACAACTTCAGTTACTTTGACTTTTCCTTCAGACTGCGATGATAAAACTCCCAAGTCTGAGGCTCTATCTAAACAAAGGTCCAAAAATGGTTACATTGCGCGAGTTGGCTTTGATACCCTGGATTGCGAGGATACTGTTCAATATGCACTGACACTTCAAGCCAGGACAGATAAATGGAAACGGGCTAAGAACACCCGAACTTTTTTGGTGTGCACTGACCTGAGCGATTATAGTTCTCATGCATTACAGTGGGTCATGGAAAATATGGTCGAGGATGGTGATGAGGTAAGGTTATAAATGAAAAGGATGTATGCACGGTGCTTGAACTCCCTTTTCATCTTCTTTCCAGAGGAATCGGCCATCACAATGGCACTGGACTTGTGGGACAAATGTATTTTCGTACCATGATTGGAAATCGAACTAGCAAAAGAAAAAAAAAGAAAAAATGGACTACATTTGGAAAGCTCTGATTGGATTGAAGTCACAAACATCGAGTATCTGTGGGGCCTTTTTGCTGTGCTTGTGTCCCCAGACCAAATTGTGATATACCAACTTCCGTTTCACAGCCGTGCTTGCGCAAGATAAAGAAAAAATGCACCCTTTGATTCCCGCCCCTCTCTTTTTTTTTTTTTTTTTTTTTTTTTTTCTTTGGACCCATCCCCAGGAGAGCCAAACCTTGTCGCGGGATTGTAATTATAATCATATTAGTCCATCGATGGTTTTTATTTAATCGTCCTTTTTTTTTTTTTTTTTTTTTTTTTTGATGCCTGTATTGCAATTAATAGATCGTTGCGTTGCGTGTTGTGCCAATGGAGTTACGGGACTCTTGTAAGTGTAACTTAGTTTACTTTTTATTTTGTTTTAGTGGTTCACTAAAGAAATAACAAGGACAGTCTAATATAGAGTTCGAAGGCTGAATCGGGGGCACAACAGTCAACTGGATTGGCCACCAATGGACACTTAAAACAACAGATCTGGTGACACACGGGCCACAACTTGACACCAATCAGGGATGCTCTTGTAAATTTGATCATGCAACAACAGAAAGTACCCAGGACTTTTTCTTTTTTTTTTTTTTTTTTTTTTTCCTTTTTTCCAACTGGAATGGAATGGCGCCTGAGGACATGGAGTTGAGTTGTACAAATGACGTTGATAGACAGCAAAGAAGACGAAGATTAATCAGGATGTCTGATTTACGTATAAGATACAGGGTTAGAACTTCACGATTGGCACACATTCATTATTTTTGTCTCCTAAATAATTTAAACAATTCTTGTACTATGACGTCTAGTTGCCAAAAATGGAGTCCCATCATTTCACGGACAAGAATTCGCTGCCCGGGAAGAAGCAACCAAAATTATGGAAATGATTAGAGAAAGAAACAAATCCAAAGAGATCAATATAGTTGTAGAGTGTCTGGTTGGCTTTGTACGCGATACGATTCAGCACATGGTAATGTGAATCATAGGAGAAATGGTGATACTATACAGGACATTCAATGGGTTGCGATTGAGAGAAGATCAAAGATTTGAACTAACATATTTCTTTGCTAATTTTTTTTATAAAAAAAACTTCAGATCAAAATGTATGAGCCAACAATGTTGGTTGTAGGGACCCGAGGGCATAGCAAAGTAAAAGGGTTTCTTTTGGGGAGCATATCGCGTTATTGTCTCCACTATTCACCTATTCCTGTCATAGTGGTTCGCCCTGCTAGCAAACTGGTCAAGTCTAAGAATAAATCTAAAGGCATTTTTCGACGGCGCACTTCTTTTCAAGTGGATGCAGAGGAGATTAGAGATACACAACCACAACTATTTTATTCTAGTCCAGTGTCCCGTCAGACGTCTCGGAGCTCATCAGACACAAATGATACTATCTCCAAAGTCACCATGGAAGAGTTGGGACGTAAGGACTCCAGGAGCCCTGAGCCATCATATCCCTATCATCAGCACCATCGACATTCATTAACGGCTGCTGAGAAGGCATCAGCTGCGAAAAAGGGATCCATGCCCTCTATCTTTTCTATCAATCCGACATCCACTTTGACACCACCTACTCCTTCTGATTCTATTAGTTCTTCTTTGAGCTATGCATCTGCCATGTTATCATCCTCGCCTCCTGCCAACAAACCATCACCGCCTCCAGAGGGGTTCATCAAGATGAGGAAAAGTGTAACATCTGATGGAATCTCAGGGTCCTATTGGTCAGACAAGGAAAAGAATGCAGACAGGGAAAAGAAATCAGGTAATCGAGGAGTATTCGCCAAGCTCTCGGGGTCAATTTTTTCAGGGCCAAGGACTCGAGCTTAGAATCCTAATGGGATGTAAGGAAGCGCAAACCTATTTGTATAATAGAAATATATCAGATACCAGCTCATTTCCATCAAATAAATGTGAACTTTTTTTTTTTTTTTTTTTTGTCGTATCATTTCTTCCTTGAGAAAATAGGGTAATAAGAACTTAGTTCAATCAAATATCTTTATTAGACTTTTCTATGCTACGACCTACACAAGAGACTGTCTCAAAATTTTAACTGCCTCTCGGCGACCGGACATGAGTGCGCCTTGGATGCTAGCAAAGTGACTAGAGGATGTATGTTCGCCTGCAAAGAAGACTCTCCCCAACTCTGGATCATTTACAGCTATTAACTTATTTGAAGCTGGAACATTATCCGTGCCCTCCTCAATGGTATCAGTAGTGCTCATACTATCGCGTCTGACCCCAACAGGAACTTGAAAGGCTTCAATGTCTTGAGGTGTAGCGCCTATAGGGATACTTGAGTAAGACCCACGGGCAAAGGGATCTTGATTCCATCTTGACATGAATGAGATTTTTGGCCAGACGGCTTCACCTCCATTAGTCCTGTCATTATCAATGGTCATGATATCGTAGTAATGAGCTAAATGACACATGTAAACGTATCGGGCTTCGTCATCTGTTAAACATTCCATCAATTCTGCAGCGCGATTGGTGGCATATCCAATCAGGATTGGCATGTTGTAGACTGGCATCAGGGACGAGTAATTAGCTAGATCCCGCATCAACACTGTCAGAGCTTCGATTTGTCTGCTATTCAAACAAAAACGAGCTATTAAATTAGAAGAAGGAGATTTAGTAAATTCTTCCGAGGGGAGACAGTTGATGAAATGCACATTGGGAGACCAAAAACACGTTGGGAAGAAGAGGAAGATTTTAAACATGGTTCCAAAGCCAAGGTTTCGAATTGCATTTTGCTTAGAAATAGGTAAAGGGGGGTTAAAAAATGGAGTGCTAGTAGCTGCTGTTGATGCTTCTGTTCTTGTCTGGAGGGTTTTGAGGACGCCGAGGGGAAGGGTGACCAGGATTTGGTCCGCAGTGAAGGAACCATGATTTGTTGTGACGTCGACTTGAAATTCTATTCATGTGAGTGATTGGGAATAGATACGCACAAGATATTCAGGCTAAATGGTTACAAATTGATGAATTGATATATTAAAACCGCACAGAGAAACTATGTAACATTTCTTTTACCATTGTATTCGATGCCTTCGACAACGTGCTCCAGTAACGCAGTAAGGTTCTCCTTTTCCTTCTCCTCCAGCTGAACCTTCAGTACATTAACCACACGGTCAAGTCCATTGGTGACCAGACAATGTTCACCAGGAAAGATCTTTTCAGCATCCATGTATTTCATAGACACTCGCTCTAGGGGAATGGCGTTTTCGTCCGCCCAATACATGGCCAACCCTGGTATCACTCTCTTCATAATAGGGCTCATGTATGTTTTCTCGTCATTCGGATCCTCGCTCTGGTACTTTTTGATATAATCTGTCAGCCATTGACGTAAAGAAAGGTTCTCTGGGATCTGATCACGACAGGTTCTTGCAAACTCTTGCCCTTCATCCAAAATATCCCAAACAATTTTCCAATAATGATTACTCTCCTCTTCAGGCAGATGTATTATACCAGGACCAGGTTGACTAAACATGATATCGCTGTCTGTATGAATGTACTTGACTTTGGCTTGGTTGAGAAGGGAGTAGAGTGGATTCGAAGGGTCGACACCATGAATCCAGGAAGCACCAAAATCAAAGGCGAGAGAAGAGGAACCAGTGGGTACAAGAGCTGATGCCTCGAACGAGGGAGAGATCAGGCTATGGTGAGTGGCAATCCGACCGCCCAGACGATTCCGAGCTTCCAAAAGAGTGACTCTGATATTGGGGTCCTTAGTCAGCTCCAGCGCTGAAATAATAAAATAGCAGATGTTAGCTGCTAATAGCTTTTTATCCTTTTAATATATTGATTTTATTTTATTTTTTTACCTGCGCTCAAACCAGCCATCCCTCCACCAACGACAATGACATGCTTGCACTGAATGGTCATAGCAATAAGAATGAAGGAATGAATAAGAATGATTAGGATGCTTTGGATGTTTTTTTTTTTTTTTTTTTTTTTTTTCTTTATTTTACTCCGATATCCTAGAGCCAAAAAACTCAAATATGCTTTTTTAATTGAAACCATGAATGTCTGCGCAAATTGTATTCGCCAAAACGTTAGCAATCCTTGATGTAACTTGTCAACCCATCACTATATTTTATTCCAGTGGCATGATGCGTGAAATATAACTTTCTCACAGGGATAGGAATTTACAGATTCACCATTTGGGACGCAATCCTTTTTCTGTGTCCTGCTGTGTTTAGCTTTACTTTCTTCACCACCTCATAGCGATAGCGCTTCTTCAATAATGAGTGGTCTTATGTAAGAGCTGTATCAGCAGAATTCTACTTTCATTCACCATGCGCTCAAAGTGGTCAGCATACACACTCTCAGTCAAAATCTATTTTTGATAAAGTAACCTGTATGCTGATCCTCGATTATTCATGGATTTTTGTTGATAAAGAGTATAAAAGACATTGGATAGCCCTCCTCGTCCTCGTAATCGCTAATATATAGCATAAAGTCATATAAAGCAGTGTCAGTTTACCGAGGGTAATAAAAAAAATTTCCTATCTATTACCTGTCAGTTGTCACGTGAAAATCAGTGTATCCACAACTTCTATCTAATACGGATACGTACATATCAAACCTTCACACCACTTTTATATGAAATACTAGAATAGAAATCAATTAAAAGAAAGGAGAGAGCAGAATTGGCACATAATATGCGACTACAGAAAACTACTCCATGTTCCTTGGTTCCTTGGTTCTTGGACCATTGCGCCATTTTTGTCGAATGAAAGGGAGGTTGGTTGTTACAAGGGCATAATTGTGGTTTCTCATTCCTTCATTCCTCACATTAACCAATTTTTAACATTTTTTCGAGTTACAACACTCTGTCCAGCCCTTCCGCTACAACTTCCACCAGACAGTTGACTTTAGATATTAGATGCGTCAATGCTTGAACTGATATGCGCTTTAATTCTATAATTCTAACCGAAGGTTGCACTATAATCCTAACTATGAAGATCGTTGTAATACTTATTCAAAGACGAGGATACCAAGAGCTGCTCAACTTCATTTAAAGCAACTCTCTCTCGATCACGTAATTCACCTTCCATGGTGAGCATCCTATCGAGAATCGAATATATCACGTCTTTCTTAAACTTGTATCGTCTAGCCGAATTGGAAGCCCTCCAAGACCCGCCTTTGAACTTATTAAGCCGCCAGATAGAAGGATAGTCATTGTGCCCATAAAACCATTCATTCCAATGCTCTCGGAGAGAATGTTTTTGATGGAGCATGTCATATTTATCAATAGTGACCTCCATTTGAGGCGTTGCAAGCGAGTTTTCAAGGTTTTGTATTTCTTTAATTCTGCTATCCGTCCAAAGCTTCTTGAACCGCTTTTGTACTAATGGGATATCCTGGCCCACTTCATCCTGCTGTTTCTGCCCTGGCTCTTGCTGAGCCTGTTCTTGTTGCTGATTCAATTCTTGAATGTTCTGACCTTGCTCGTAGTTTTGATCTTGATCTTGATCTTGATTATTGTCCTGATTCATCTGTTGTTGTTCTAACCCTTGTCCATGTTGTTCCTGGGCCTGCCGCTGGGTGGGCTTCTGCTTCTGAAGTCGAGATTGATTGGACGCCAACCCCAATCCCTTTGCAGGTTGCATGTTAGAAGTTAGGCCCAGTGACACACTCTCTTCCGCCACAGAAACTTGAAGTTGCTGTGCCACTTGCTTCATGATATTTAGCATACTAGCGGCAAAACGATTGAATTCACCTGAAACTGCCAATGCAGTCGCTTCCGACTGTCGATGCCTTTCATCGATAAAGTCTCCTTTAAGAGTTCGCGTGTTTGAGGAAATTTCGTCTGCCCTTTGAGTTAAATTGTCAATAGACGCCTGTACATGCTGAAGGTCATGACCAAGCTTCGTACTGACTCCTCGGAGTTCATTCACGATAGCAGGTGAGTTAGCATTAAGGCTATCCAAGTACGGGGATGTAGCGTTTGCCATAGCATCCTTGAGCGCCAATCGATACGAGTGGAATTGCGGATCTTGAAACACTTTGTGTCTAAATATTCCGTGAAGTGAGTAATTGGACAAGTGGTTTTCACTAGAGATATCCATGAGAACGACCGCATCCTGGAGTATGACCTTCCGTAAGTGAGCCAGGAGGCTCAAAATGTTGATGGCGGGGACATCCATGTGACTGACTGAAAGACGTGTATGTTCGGGTCGCCCGTAACAGATTTCTCTATCCTCCATGATGTTCTGTATGCGTTTCTTCCAATCAGGATGACCATCAAAGTACGACTCGATAAAAGGGAAGATCTTTATCTGAAGTTCATTCGGAGGAAGCAGAACGTTACGCACATACCATGGGCGTTCATTAAAAGAGGTGAAGCCAGACATTTTAAAGGCAACGGTACTGATCGCGAGGTCCAAATAATGCGTCATGAGGCGGTTCATGCTCCAGTGCGCATGCTTTTCAATGTCCTGAATCTCACACCCATTTTGATGCGCAAAGCGAGCTCCAGCACCGCGGTGATAGTGGGTTGGCTTGTTAATGGGGATGTTAGCCCCATCAAACAAATGAGACTGACCCATGTAGTGCGCTGCTTGGGAAAGCTCAGTTTTTTGACTTGGATCGGATGTGCTCACCCAAAGATATCGGTTGTACCAATCCTCTTCGTCTGCAAAATTAGGCACTGTGACATCAGAGCACTACAAAAATAAGAAGCATCTTCGGTGTTATTAATATAGTCAAAATGGCACTTATTCTAATACTAAAGTAGCTATTGATCGCTTACCTGCCAAAGCTCAAAGAGATAAAACCCAAGGGCGCCAATTGGGCATACCTCCACATTTTTATTCCTAATGATTGCTGTCATACACTCTTTGCCATCACGGTTTACTTTTCCTTGCAGCATTGTAAGGACGATGCCGAGCACAAATTGGCCATTATTGGTCTCCTTGCGTCCAAAATTGATGGCCTGTATGTCTGCCAATGTAGCCTTCCTCATATTCTCCCCTCGAGTCATCATAAAAAAAGACCATGCTGCAATGCCTCGGTCTCGTAGCCCTTTAACTTTGTGATTATTGGATTTCCCAAGCGACGAGTAGTTATGTCTCCAGCCTTGTCTCATCACCTCCTTTAAGTGGTAAATCTCCTCACCCTGATCAACACAAAATGTTCTCATTTTCTTTGCTGTTTTGGTCTGCCCTAATCTGCGTTTATAGCCTTCCATGAGAGTGATAATTGAATGAGTTCTAGGATGTTGCTCATGCATCATATCTGGACGATTCCTCTGGCTGTTGTAAAGATCTATAACAGCCTTGATATATGCGTCTGCTGTTTCGAATGACACTGGCTCTGCCTCCAAGTATTTCATAAGCTCGAAAGAAGTTACAGAGCCCTTCAACTTGGCATTGACACGAAGCGGAAGCACAGCATCTCGATGGTTAATATCGTTGTCCGGTATAAATGGTTTTTCTTCCAAATTCTCTTTCATGTACATTAGGAACTTGTTTGCCCTGACGCTGAAATCGCTTCCATATCCTTTTCGAGTACACCAGGCCTTGAGAATAGGAGAATAGGAAAGGAATCGCAGAGCGAATCAGAATAAGCACATGCTTTAACTCTATCTCATTTTATAATTGAAAAACGTGCGTGCGATCTTTACCTCCCAATGCTGCTGGTATCGGATGTAAGTCTTCTTAGTGCTATCTGCAAGCTGATGGCGACGCTGTTCTTCAGTGTTTACTTGGGCTTCAAACTCCTTGACTCTCAAGACATTTAGTCTCTGGATTTGTTCCTCGCTTTGTAAATGGGGAGTGACTACTTGAGAAGAGCTTGTTCCTGAGTATGAAACTACTGTATCAGCTTGAGCCTTTCGTTTCCGTGGCCGGCTCTGTGTAGCCTGTCGCGAAGCTGGTAATGAAGCTGGTAATGAAGCTGGTAATGAAGCTGGTAATGAAGATGGTAATGAGGCTGGTAATAATAGTGCTTGCTAATGATAAAAAAGAAAATGAAATTTCTTCAGAATGAGGTTGATCAATGGACATGGAGATTCATTTACCTCGAATTAACTTAAGTGTTTTACTTGGGCAAAGGCTTCCCGCGGAGGGAGCTGAAGAATAGCTTTCAGACGAGTCCGCAAGAATACCACTGTCTCTCCTTTCGGCAGCGCTCATGAAGGTAGAATGAAGAATGGTGGTAAGGTAAGGTGTTTTGGGCGAATTTTTTTTTTTTAAGTTCTTTCGAATGGCTTAGGGACAGTATTTTTGTAGGAAATTGCCAGTCATGCCCGGGTAATTTTTTTCATATCGATAAATATATTTCTTATTCATTTCAATTCAATCGGCGGACTTTATATAATTTTTTTTACCAACTTTTAGAAAACACCTTCACAGTATTGAAGCCTGAATGACGTTGCATTGCGCTGTTTTCTTGTGTCCTGTAATTTGATAAAGAGAAGTGAGATCTGCGACTCAATTTTTAGCCGTTGAATTGGAATGTCGCTGTGCCGCCAAATTTGAAAAACCAGAGAGAGCGTTTAATAAAGGCACACATGGTTCATGTTCTGACATTTTACTTCTCACACTTCTTTTTTCGTTTGGAGGGGGAGTGTATGCATGGCTCATTAAACTCTACATGTTCGTCATATTTCTTTGGGGTTCAACTAGAGTCTTTTTTTTTATTCTTTCATTCTTTCATTCCTCAGCTCCATTGATTCATTCATTCCCAACTCTTTGTTTTCATATTACCCTAATCATGCCAGACATTACTCAATCTGACCAACAAATGATACCTTCTAATGTCCCTCAGGACCATTTAGAGATGTCTCCTATTATCTATGGCACTTCTGCATTTGCGCAGCTCTATAACCCAATCAAGGCTCATTGGCCAGCAGAAGCATGTAAACGAGCCATCGATCGAGGCATCAACACCTTTGATACTTCCCCCTATTATGGGAACTCTGAACATGTTCTCGGCAAATCTCTCCTCAGCATCTCAGACACTCATCCTCGATCTACCTATTATCTATCAACAAAAGTGGGACGATATGGATTAAAGAAGACCGAATTTGATTACTCAAAAGAGAGGGTTAGAGCATCGGTAGAGGAGAGTATGAGGAGAATGCATACAGATTATCTGGACATTGTGTTTGCACACGATGTTGAGTTTGTCTCTGTGGACAAGGCAGTTGAAGCAGTTGAAGAGTTGTTCAGACTGAAGGTAAATTTTTTTTTTTTTTTTTTTTTGTGAAACAAAAAACGTTGGAGCAAGTCAGGTCCGATCTGATATCTTTTTTAAACCCCTCAAATAGGCTGAAGGTAAAATCAAGTGCGTTGGCATCAGTGGTAAGTTGAAGTTGATAAAGATGAATGTTATTTGGGAAAAGGAAAAAAAAACTGAGCTCTTCCCGATTTATCCCATTAATCCCATTAATCCCATTAATTCTTTTTTTTTTTTTTTTTTTTTTTTGGGCGCAGGCTATCCACTTCCTTATTTACTGGCATTGATCCCAGTGATCCACGAACGAATGGGACAAACACTTGACATCTTGATGACATATTGCCATTATAACCTACACAACACATTGTTGATGGACTACATTGGTCAATTCCGGGAATTGGGGATCAAAACGATTTGGAGTGCTTCTCCGGTCTCAATGGGCTTACTTCGTTCCAATACACCAGCACCAGACTGGCACCCAGCACCAAAGAAGCTTCGAGCTGCTGCACAAGATTGTATCCAGATCGTTGAACAGGCCTGTCCAGGTAAAGATTTAGCAGAGGTCGCGGTTAAATTTGGAATGAAGAAGCAAGGACGACAACATGGTGGATATGATGGGTTAGTCCTGGGGATGTCGAATGCGGACGAGGTGGAGCAAAATGTTCAGTGGTGGAAAGAAGTCCGAGAGATGAACCATGTAAACGGTGGCAAAAACAGCAAAGATGATCAGCAAAGAATCGAGGATGCAGTGAGGAAACGTTTACAGGAATTTGAGAAGATGGAATGGGCTTCACCACCTATTGACGACTGTTAATGTTAAACATTTAGTCTAGCGGAAATGGTTTCACTTCAAATAAACATCATCACCACCTCACTTACAAAAGGCATGCTCCGTGGGCCTAATTGACGTCCAACTTTGATACTTGCTTGAATGGCAAAAAAAATTTACCAGAGAGAGTTCCTGCATGGTATTGTCAACAGAAAATGACATGCACAAATCTTTTTCTTCCCGCCTACTTTTTACCCCTTTTCTTTCTTTTCTTATTGTCTGTCTGTCCTGTTCACTTTTTCATAAATTCATTCATCAGCCCTCATTCATCTCACATTCAACCGCAACTCATCTCGCCCTCTTTCTTTCTTCCTTCTCTTCTCATTTCTTTGACTGAGAAACGTCTCGTCATGGTGTCTGCATCTGCATCTGCATCTGAAAAGACAGCGCACCTAGACGAGGAGTACGACGTCGAGATCCCCGCTGGCATCGCTCCTGATGCTTACTACGATTCACAACTTACACCTCTACGTGCAGCTCTCCGTCGTTTCCTCTTGCCTTATGTTCGCAAAGAAACTTCTATTCTGCATTCAATGCAGGTAAAAAAGAGAGGCACTCAATGATGTTTTTCTCATCTGATTTTTTTTGCAGCAAAAACCTGATTCTTTTCTTTTTTTTTTTTGTGATCAGCTTAAAGTACGACATCCAGTGCTCGATGTATATTTCACAACGACAGCCTTCTCTGGTAACCATACCTTCTTCATGATCGCCTTGCCAGTACTCTTCTGGTTTGGCTTTTCTGAGATTGCTCGCGGGTAATGTTAACTCCTTTCTGCTCAACAAGTTTTTTTTTCTTCTATCTTCTTTTAAACGACCTGTCATACTATTAATTGCAATTGGGTACAAAAAAAACTTGAGAGCTATCTTTTTCTAACTGAAAACCTATTTTCTATTGTTTATGTCTCTCGTGTCTTTTAATTAGATTCACATTGATTGCTGCGATGGGTGTTTATTGGGCAGGATTTTTCAAGGTATGCCGTTCAAACAAGCTTTTTTCATCATGGAGAAACAGAAATAGGGAGCATGGCGATGACAGCGACAAACATGATCAGGATGCTTTTCTTGAAAACCAAATGATATATTTGTTCCAATTGATCGGAGATTATAAAGGACAGTAAAGGAAGTAGAGGAAGTAAAGGAAATGGGGGCTGTAACCATCACAGTGTACAATACAGCATAACTACATGGTCTTATTGTTTTAAAGCGCAACTGGTATAAAATCAGACTTCATTGGACATTGGTTTACTTGGAGAGTTGAAGGCTGTGGTGACGAATGGTTGACACATAAATGACACAGGAAAACACATCTAGTCTGACACATAAATGACACAGGAAAACATCTAGTTTGACACACTAGGCGGAGTCTAGCATCCAAGTAGTTCAATAGTTGCATTGATCAATCACGCAAACTCCATCTATTTTCTTGCTATCCAAAGGACCAGCGCAAACAAGGGCTCTCAATTGCCATGTGTACGGCGCATTTTTGCTGTGTGTGGAGCCTTGGATCCCCTCTTTCTCTTTCTGAGCACGACAGAGGATGCTCTCAAGCTTTGGCGCGTGGAGATATTTTTATTTAGGCGGTTTCATTAATTCCTGTTGATTCATCTGGCTATTTAGGACTACCTCTGTTTGCCTCGCCCACTATCACCTCCAATCGTTCGCCTCTCCCGCTCAAAATCGACCTGTCTAGAATATGGCTTCCCAAGTTCACATTCCACCAACGCTGTTTCGGTTGCTCTCTTCCTCTATTGCCATCTTCTTACTACAGATCCTGCATCATGGAGTCCCTACACCCGTGAACTCGCAATTCTAGGTCTGATCATCTATGCTGTATCAATCGTTTATGGCCGTCTCTACTGCGGAATGCATTCAATCACGGATTGTGTAGGAGGATCATTGATCGGAATCTCAATCTGGGCAGTGCAATGGACGTTCCGCCACACCATTGAATACTACATGGTTAGTCCCGTCTGGTGGGTTCCGCCAGTGGTAATTGGAACTGGTATCCTCTTGGTCTCAATCGTTCCAGATCCCGTAGATGACTGCCCTTGCTTTGACGATTGTGTCGCGTTTATTGCTGTGATCATGGGATTGATCCCCGCTAGCATTCACTTTGCATCGACCCCATATTCATCCAACTACCCTGTGCCAGCCACGATCCCTTATAGTAGTGAGCTTGGCGTCATTAAGAGTGTATTAAGGCTTGTGTTGGGAGTTACGATCCTGTTTGTTTGGCGATTGATGGCAAAGAAATTGCTCTACGTGGTGTTACCTCCAATCTACAAGCTCTTCAATTTGCCCTACCGCCCCCATTTCATCCCTGCAAGCACCTATAATACACTCTCAACATATCCAATTGGAAAGGTTCCATCTGTAATTGATCTTCCAAATATGTCTGGAAATGCAGAGATGGTGGGACTACAGTCCGCTATGGACGTGCATGAGAAATATTCACAAGCAGCAGCAGCAAAAGCAAAGGCTCAAGAGCAGGATGGTATTACCACGGGGTTAAGGGCGCGTAAAGGTCAGGGTGCTGTGGATCAAGAGATGAGCGTCGGAGAGAGGAGTACACTTTTGGAAAACAATCATCATCATCAGCGCGATAGTTCAGCTCTCAGCAGTACGACGACTGTGTGTGATGGTGAAGATTCGCAAGAGAAGAGCGGAACCGGACATAGTCGTTTTGAGGATGAAGCAGAAGCATTGATGAGAGTGGAAAGAATGCACCCACCTAAGAGTCGCTTCGATGTTGATATTGTCCAAAAGCTTGTGGTATATGCAGGTATTGGTGCGTTGGCTGTAGATGGAATCCCAATTTTGTTTGATCTCATGGGTCTCGCAGCTGCTCCGATACGTGTTTAAAGATATTCCTAGATAATAGCAGATAGAAGATGGTAATTTTTATCATATTGAAATATAGTCCGTCCCATTAAAAAACGAGACATTCCATCTATTGTAAAAAGAAGAAATGTATTAGAACACAGAAATAAATAAATAAATAAATTAACCAAGAAAAAAAAGTACTATCAAGCCAATACTTACAATTTTTTTAAGACGAAGGCCTTTCTGGACCTAGTCATGTTTGTAGTAGATTGTGTCCTACTGTTGTTGCCGGCTTGTCTCTCCCCCTCCTCCTGGACCCAGCAAAGGTCCTTTCGGTGGTCTTGATCCCCCTACTCCTCCTCCTCCTTCATCTGAAAATTTCCTTTTTGTGGGTCTGCTACTACCACCACCACTGCCACCACTGCCACCACTGCCACCACTGCCACCACTGCCACCACTGCCACCACTACCTCCACCGTCGCCACTACCGCTAGAAGCTTGGCCTTGAGTTCCTCCGTCCGGCGGCATATACTTTGCAGGTCGTTTTTGCTCTCTTGTCTGCGACTCACAGACCCTTGCGATGTTCTCAGCACCAACAGCATCTCGATCAAAGTATGCTTTACAATTTCGACAGTACTTGGATCGAAAAGGAACATTCTCCAATATACTGTCGCAGTGAGGCCGTGGACACTTGGCAGATGTGTAGTATTCATGACAACCTGCAATGGGGTAGTCTAGAGATTTTGCCTGTTCGAGCCAGATTTAATACTCGTTAAAAAAAAGACTCAAAAATTAAATGTCATTGATCAAAGGATTTTTTTTTTACCTTTTCAACAAGCTTCTTCATCAATATCCCATGCTTCGATACTTGTCCTCGGTTTGTCTTGAATGATCCTAGTCCAATACAGATCATCGCATTCGTATTGGCATCTCTTCTTCTTCCATTGCTTCCGCCCGCAAGCTTCAGAATTGCCTTGATCACATAATCAACCCATCCGTTCTGTGCTTTTCTATTATCCCAGCTATTCCGAACAAACCACCCGTCATTATAGAAATCGACAAGCGCCCTATATATAGTCTCCTTATTGTCGTCACTGGTCCCATGCTGCCTGGGTGTCATATTTAACTTCTACATTCTCGAGGAGACGGGATCTCTGCTTCCAGTTGATCTCACGCCGGGGACTGGGACTCGCCGGGGACAGTGGATTTGTGCTCGATGTACCTTCTTCAGCTGCTTCTTCTCCCTCATTGCCATCTAAGAATGGTTCATCAACTTCCAGCAAGTCAATATCGCTGATACCCAGCAAGATATCGTCATCTTCATTTCCGTCGTCGTCTCCATCATCACCACCATCGCCTGCACCATGGCCTGAAGACGAGGATCCCTGCTGAGCACTTGAAGAAGCCTGGACTGCTTGAGATCTTTGAGTATCCGAAGGTTGGGCAGCTTGCGAACCTCTTCCTCTTTTTTGCTTCGATGTGTCATAGGCAAGAAGTGTTAGGGTAAGGCCGTTTGTAAAGAACGATGTCCGTAGTTTCCTTCTAGGGCCATCATCAGATTGCAGTCCAACGTCCTTGTATCCTTTCAAGGAAAACAGCTCCTGCAACAATATCCCCTTGTGGTTAAGGATCTTGTCCTCTGCAGCCCCCTTGGTACTCATGTTTAGTTCCAACAATTGGACTATTTCCTCTCGAACTGTTGGGTTAGACCATAATACTCACGAAGACTTTCGCATGACTCCATTGTCCGCTTGGGGGGCCTCATTGTATCGTTTATTGATTGATTGATGTGATATAGTGATGATAATATTCGTCGTATGATTGAGGCAATCTGAGTTGATTCGTTCTACAGCCTGACTAACTTGATCTTTTTCTGTACAGCTCGACGAGACTTGATTTGTCGCATCATTTGCCTACTCGTCTTCTTGCGTTCCCTTGATGTATTTGGGTTGATAAACACTGCTAATAGAGTTTGTTGGGCCTGTTGAAACCAGAGGGAACCACAGCAACATATCATACCCAAGGTGATACAAATATCTCTGTTGGAGTGAGTGGTGAACTGTGTGTGGTTCAGATGTAGTGGACATAAACGGCGAAAGAATGCATCGAAAGGATGTGAGCGGTTATGAGAGCAAGGAAGAAGGGGTTGGTATGCCTGTTCAAGTCCTTGGCAAGAGAGCATGAGTAGCACATGCATAAACACATTTTGCTAAAACACAAGCAGAAGAAATGAACAAACTTTATTTTGGCGATCACTCCATAATCAAAAATACTCCTAGGAGAGGATCAAACGCATCGGTATTAATCTCGCTTCTGCTCTCCCTCCTTCCACAAGGCGCTGCACAATATCACCATTAACAGGGCGTCGTCTAGTAAGGAAGGGTACTAAGATAGTTCTTACTACAAGCAATAAGCGCATGCAACTACATCACTCCTATCTCCACCAATGATGCCGGAACCCGAGAGCCAACGAATATCTCTGCTTTAACGCAAAAGTGCTGGAGCTGTTGGAGCAAAGAGCATCATATGAGGCCATTCTCTGATAAAAAGAAGAAAGAAGACTTCTTTTCTTTTGTTGTTACCTTTGACAAGGATGTAGCCACTTGTTTCAAATCAGTTCCTACAGACCGAGTCAAATCTACCCATGTATTCACCACAGGAGCACAAAGATATAACTTTGTGTAGAGTATCCTCATGCATATTCTGCAGTCGATTGCTCTCTATTAAAGCTCTCTATTTTTTTATTGTTCGATGAGCTTTTCTTGCCAGAGAACAATGGAGTGAAAAAAAAAAAAAAAAAAAAAAAAAAAACAGACTTCCTTACGTCCCCCCTCGGTATGTGTATCTGTCTGAACACGTTCTAACTGACATCCTCTCGACAATCCTCCCAAGGCTGCAGTGTTTGAATGTGTACAGGGAACAAAAGAGGTCTAGATACAGGCTCTCTTTGTGACATTGAAGGAGATCGCATGTTTCATGGCTATCGAGACAAGGTACCCCTACAGGCACAAGACAAAGGTATAACTCGGTTCAAACTCAAAGGGACGATTTTACCAATGGCCTTGTTCTGAATCCACTTGCCTATGGCACAATCCAGACGAAGAGACAGCAGCAGTCTGACGTAGATGAAGAAGATCTCAGCCAGGGATTGAAACTTTCACAAGGGTTCCTTAACACGGCGTGTTTTAAAGGCAGCCGGTGAAGACCTGACTGATGAAGACTACGCAAACATAAACTGGAAGAGGAGCCCCAAACTTCTTGAAAACGTTGGACTCATATCCCATGAGCTAGGGCGATGCTCCATAGCTTGAGCTTTATCGGCAATTCTCTTTGATGTCCTCCTTGCCTGTGGTTCTTTGGGCTTGCTTCCTTCTCCCTCATCCTCCACAGCTCGAGTCAATTCTGACTTCTTGAGGGACTCCCTTGCACTTTCAAGGAAGTTCAACAAGCTAATATTGAGTACGTCGTTTCTATTCGTTTGTCTTTGATGGCAGGAACTTCTTTGACTTTAGCTAGCGAATAATCACCCTGTTCGTGATAAGGCAACATGATAAGTAAGGCCTAAACAACAGCAACAAGGATATGCCATTCGAGCAAAAGCCGAGAGAAGACGGTGATGAGAGGTGTTCTTTGATGCAATTATGGCAAGTTGTATTGTGGGCATCCTTAATTCTTGACCTTATCGCCGATTTTTGACTGTACGGAACCAGGATAATATTTACCCTCCGATTCTAATACAAAGACGATATCTGGTCCAGATGGGTTCTCTTTTGGAAACAAAACAAAAAAAAAAAAGCGAGATTAACTTGGATTCATGTATGGAGTCTTTGTTACAGTGAGTATCTAAGAATTCGTTCATTGTTATAATTCTGGAAGATTGAAATTAAACAAAGCGGGACTGAAATACTCAAAATGTGTGCCCTTTGTGCGAGACGTAGGGGCGTCTAGCAACACACTATTAACCAATTTAACCAATCAAGGGTCATCCACTTCAAACAAGTTAATTGCTGCTATAAATGATATTGGCTCAACGATAATTGTAAACTCCTTCTTCCTTTGATTAACGACAATTCAAGCAAACGAAACCTCGACCGGAACAGGCTCATTGTACTCCAATATCAAGTCTTTACTATATAGTAATCTATTCATTCTTTACGGCTCGACCGAAGGTTTCCCTGATGTCGACACTGGTTTTAATTCCTGCATCCCCTTTGTTAATACGCTTCAGAATTCTAGATTACTCATGGCATAGGTTACCAGATTCTTTATATCCCGGATCAGTGAGCGACCACACCAGGCCCTCGATTTCTTGCTTCCAAAGGCCTGCATCGGCATGTCCAATGACGCTCTCTATTATAGTGATCATTGGACGGAGACGACCACAGGACCAAGCATATAGCATCTCGATTGCTTGATCATTAAAATGGCCTCTCCGCTTTGATGCAGAGCTTGAGTAACTTTATTTCTCCAAATATCGCACAAGTGTCTTGAAGTATGTCCGGACTTTTGCTTGATTATCCCATCTAGGAAACGATACTGCACTCTTGAACCTCGAGTCATCGAGAACTTCCCGATATTCCTTGAAGCTTTGCCAGTTCTCTTAACCCAAGCAGGATCATAAATACAAAAGCCTATCCCGCAAGGAACTATGCAAATTCGTGGTAAATCCTCTGATAAGCCCTCCAATCCATGAAAGAATGCTGATAATATTGGTCGCATAGTGTCGTCGTTATTAATAAACTGGTATTTAGCCTCCCCTCCCCATATCCTGCGCCTCGTTAAAAACAACCAAAAACATAGAGTTACTTTGATGTCGCTCCGAAAGGACCCTGATTAGATTGTCGAACCAATCTTACAGGAGCTTGTCAAGGCAATTAAAGCCAACTCCACCAAGTAATTCTGCTACTTTTGTGAAGAGCGCTAGGAATAAATCTGTCCTGGATGGAACCGAGTTTCCTCAATGGACCTCTCCAAGGACCTGTGGACACACTTGCAATAGCATCCATTGGCTAGGCGTCATTCTACCTTCGGACAAGTAAAAAGGGTAAATTGATGAGTATCAAATATAAAACATAAAGGCATTTTTGCTTACGTTCTTCAAGGGGTATACGAAAACCAAACTGCGATTAACCGCCTATGAACGCAAGACACAGAACATTTGGTGAGATTATAAACAAGCGTGGATATCCCAGACATCAAGGACCTTTTCCTCCTAATCTTTCATCCGTCTAGCATGAATTGATGTGAGAGGGGATGATTCTGGCGAGATTGATGCCCTCAGCAGCAGCATGTAGCATTAATATACCGAGAACTATTAATATACTGACGACACAATCCAATATTGTATCACATTTTACCGGTCAAGCGCGTGGCAGCCTTGGTCAAATTCTTGATGTTTTTTTATTCCATGTCCCTGGACGCCTAGAGATTCAAGACGCGCCGCCTTCACATACTGACACTGAATTGGCCGAACATACAACTAATATGATCTCATTGGCCACAGGTTGCCATCCCGTGCACGCGCACCATGGGACATTTATGTCTTTAGAGTGGAGCTATCATCCTAGCTCCCGGTAAACGTTTTGGCGCCCTGGATGATGATAATTAATAGGTCTTCCGTAAGTGGCAAGCATCCAGATGACAAAGCATACGAGAAAGGATAATTTCCTATGCCAGCTGTCCTGGTGATAATAATATGATTTTGGGTCTCATCATCAGACTCTCACTGGGTTCTCCACAGGATTCTTCATCTCTATCCGTTTTTACAAAACTCTTTGATAATAGTATCACAAAATCCTGCCTTTTCTTGCACACAAGATCGCACAATGATCACAGCTTTATAAAGTTCTAAATGCCCCAGTAGAAGGGAGGACGGATTAAACCGCTCTATCTATTCGTCTAGAAGGTAAGTGAATAATGATGGCTTCATTCATAAAGAATGAACCATTGTAAAAATTTCTCAAGGAACGGGTATAATGCTTTTTTTAAATAAAGACAAAATTTCATCCACTTGATTGCTATTCGATTTAATTCTTCAGATTCGTACCGGCTGCTCCTCCTGAATATGCAGCTTCGATGTCGATTTTTATGACACGCTGACTTACATGTTTTAAGCATTTATATGGCTTCTGGACGACCGTATTTCTGGTGGTAAGAAAGTTTTGAACTTTAAAATCGTCATATACGCCTCCTGGCACCACAAAATAGAGGAAAATATCATCACTTCCCTTCGACTTTGATTGCTCTCCCTTCGACTTTGATTGGTCTCCCTTCAAGCAGGGTCCAGTAATACAATCAATTATCTCCTTGAATGGTGCTTGCTTGATCGCATGCTCCTCTGATACTGTGACCTGAAATAGCTTGTTGGGTCCCAATGCAAAATCAATGCACGGAAATTTAGAATATTCTGCTACAAATAACTTGCCAGCTGCTTGAGTGAGCCTTGATAATTCCTCTGAAGTCCGGATAAACACCTCTTCTGGATTTGCTGGAAAATCAAGAAATCCTGTTTCGCCTGACTGGAGATCCCTAAAGGGAAATCTAATATCACCACGTCGAAATAAGTGATGAGCATAGATTTCAAACAGTGGGCCTTTATCTATATCCTCTCCGCCTGTGACAAGTTTCGCCAACACATCGACCCAAGTGTTATCTTTTATTTTGTCCATAATCTGTGATTCGACCCAACGAGATGCCCACACCAGGTAGAAGTCGAGATGGTCAGAAGTGGGGACTCTATGGAGTAAACGACCACTAAATCCACTCGCATCTTTTCCTCGTGCAAAGAGGCTTAGAAGATCTGCTGGTTTCTCGAGTGTTCTAATGGCATCATTGACGCGGAATAACGCAGCTTCTTTGGCACGCTTAGTATGTTTTTGATTTTTGGATAGTACATCGGCTGGACACTGTAGAACCTGTCTTGGCACGCCCCCCAAGTCGTAAAAAAGCTCCTCCAAAAATGCTTCACTCACTACATGAAAAAACTTTACATTGGCTCTACATTCCTTAAGCTCATCCAGACTCCAGAGTGACATGTGATAATAGCTATTTGGTGTATTTTCCTTGGTGAGTTCATCGTAATGCCCATAGAGAGTTCTTGGTGATGCTGAAAATATCGTCCTGGCTTTACCTGGTTGAGGCTTTTCACCACTATCAACTAAATACCACGTTTCACGTTGGTTAAGGAAATCTTCGAACATCGTTATATTCCCTTTACGTTGGCAAGTTGTTCCTCCATAAACATAACAATTGGTATGCTGCTTCTCTTGGAAAATAATAATCGGTGGATTTTCCTCATCGTGTTCGGCAAGGAGGCGGATGGCAAAATAGACCAAAAAGGCTGACTTCCCAATTCCAGGCGTTCCAGTGACAAAGAGTCGGTTCAAACGAGGTACTTCATGAGGGGTACTTAATTCGGATGTAATATGGTCATAAAGCTCTTTATATTCATGTCTGATATAAAGATGCCTTGTTCCGGCAACAGGGAAGATACAACCCTCAGGGGCAGTCAATATTTTGGAATCCTTGATACCACCAGAATTTCGGAGCTCGCGAGCCACGCTAATAATGCTGTAGTAAATACTATCTCCTGATAACCCCTCCCCCATGTACGAAAGCAGCTTGACCCTCTCTTTCGAGTTTAGACGCGAGATGGCAGGGTCACCATTCACTATCCCTTTCGTTACAAGCCCTGCTTCTGTAATCGCGTCCATAAGAGCATCTCCATTCATGCTTGGACGGTCTTTTTTAGAGGGTGACTCTGATAAAGGAGATAGAGTGATCAAAGTCAATATTTTTGATTTATTGCACTGCACATCACTCTGAATTGATCAATAACCAGGTTCTCAGCCAAAAGCACTCACCAGAATCTCCATCTTGTTTTCTTTTCTGAGCTAAGTATCAAAAGCGAATAATGAGAAAGAACGTTGAGTTATCAAGACACAAATCAAATGGCGATATCATGCACATGGCCGCTTAAGATACAAACCAAGCTTCATCAGCTGAAAATATCAACAATCAGTCCATCAAGAGCCAAGGATATACCTCGCTGTGGTGGCTTGACAAAAACATGGATAGTTTCCTTTGGAAGTTCAGAGTTGAATATGTCCCCAAGCTCCCTTGATGCGACTGTAAGAGCCTCTTTTGACTCGATTTCTGACTCAAAGATGGCCGCGCCTTTGTCAGGGATGGAGACCTTGTAGAGGGTGAGATCTTTGGACTTAATGCTTGGATCCACAGTAATATTGGGGTAGATTGCTTGCTTGAGCATCCCGACCGATTTATCGCAGAAAATCTCTACTGGGAACGACGTTGCTTCTCCCTCGACAACGCAGTTCAGCAGTAGCAGTGGGATGACGCGCTTTTTTCGTTGTGGGCGCTGGTTTACTCTTTTCGTTTATTGAGTGTGGAGGCATCCTCAGGCTTATTTGCAGTCATTTTTTTTTGTGCTTGGCTCTCTATGGAATCATTTGCAGCCATGTTTTTTTGTGTTGAGCTCCTTGTGGTGGCCATTGAAAATTAAGATGAGTGGGACTGAGTGTGGTTGAAATGCAGGGAGAATGATGGTTAAATAGGCAGAGGTATATTCTATACTCTTTCACACTCGTGGTCGCTGTATGAAAACAATAATGAAAAATGTGTAAGGCAAAAAAAATAAAAAAGAAGGAAAGGAAAAGAAAGGCAATAAATGAAGGCTTGGAATGAATAAAAGAGGTAAGTGGTGAAATATGAAAAAAGTGGTGGCGAAAATGAAGTGGAGCAAAGGAAAGAAAGGAGCGACAACTGATAAATTTGTTCCTTTATTTCAAGGTTAGGCTTTGCGTGAGAAAATATTTTTTTCAAATCAGCCACGTGCCATTTTCTGGATCATTGTGACGTGACAATCTTTAGTGCGCAAAGAGCTCATTTCTCAGTCTCGTCACCAGCCTGAGGACGAAGCTCGTGCACAAGCACAGGCTGGGACCAAACTTGACATTTTGGCTGGAGGTCTCTTTTTTTAAATTTGAAAAAGCTTCTAAGTCAAGTTCACCGCTAGGAAAGGGATCGCGACCAAATGGAACGGGCTGTACTTCTACAAATAAGCACCACTCTATTCTTGCCAAATATGAGGTCAATCTTCCAACTAAAAGCTGAGGAAGCTACATGGCTAGTAAAGCAAGGCCTTTCTACTCGTAGGCTGTCGGTCCCATGCGAGTACTTCCAAAACCTGTCTTGAAAAACAAATAAAACAAAGACGATCGCCCAGAAAAAACCTATACAGGAGCTCTAGACTATCCGATGGATGTAGGGTTATGGAGTCTAGGCTGATAGCCTTTACTAAGTTTGGAATGGCGCGTCAGAGAGGATAAAAACACTTTCAGCCCAAAGGATAATCGATGCCAGGAATGATATCGTGTGGTCGTTTACGTCATGGTGTGTACCTGACTACACCTCTTTGATTAACGACAGTTTGACCCTGCAGTTGTATGTTAAGATACTACAAGGAGGCCTATGGATATCTATCGAAGAGTGAGCATGGTAAAGGAAGAGCTCGCTTTTCGATATAATAATGACCCTAAACATCCTACAGAGGAAAATAGGGCTTATCTGGGATCGACTAATATAACAGAGACAGTAGAAATACCACAGTGTTGGTCTGCGGAATCTTTGGATTTGTACCCAATTAAGCGTATACGGCCATACCCAGAAAGAATTTCCATATTCAGAAAGCTTGCTATGCGAGAGATTATCTGTGGGATAGTATGAGTTTCCACTAAGTACATACCTTGGCTCAGTTTGGCGCATGCTTAGGAAACTCTCTGCTGTCCAAATGCTGAATAGCAATCTAAAATCGCTTTTCTTTGATGTATGTCTCAAAATTGGCTGGATGACTTTTTTCAGCTTAGACCGATAACGTTACAAAAAACAATGCACTTAAATGAATCAATTTTTCAGTTCACAGGAAATTGAGCTATGAAGAAAGCTATTGTGAGGTGAAAGTGAACTGAAAAGCAATCCACGTTTTACATCATTCTCTCTTTTACATTCGGCATGCCTCCATTGCCAAATGGATATTTCAGTCTCTTATATAATCTAAATCGAAGTCGAAAGCGATACGGAACATTACTATTATTGTTTTTATTGAAATAACCATAGTAAGTTGTCTTCCATGGTATCAACAAAAAGCTTCGAACAAATGTTGCAGCCATCGAAGTGTACAAAGGACCTTGAAGTGAAAATTCCTTGGAGACAGAGCTGACGGAGAGGGATTTGGTCAAGGGGCTCAAACGCTGTTCCTTCCATTAGTGGGGCACATGACGAAGAGTTGCCACCAAAAAAAAAAAAAAAAAAAAAAAAAAAAAGTGACTGCCGCCCAGACAAGAAATATTTTTATTCCATTATGACCACAACGCGACTAGAGATCTGGTCGAATGAAATGAGACAGACAACACCTCAGCAAAGATCGATTCTCGAGATCTACATCGGTACATTTGATGAATTTCGTCTTGCAGGCAAATATGCAGCAATAGCAACAGCTACTCATTAGATCGACATATCACCTTGTGACACTGCTCTAGAGCGAGCGTGCGACCCATCGCGATATGCGCCAGATCTGACTCTCAATCTTGAGATCTGCGATGTTATCAATGAAAAACAAAAGAATACGTATGTATAGTGCGAACTCTATTTTTTTTTTTTTTTTTTTTTCATCGCCAACGTGTTCTATAATTGATGTGCTACTGAAAGCCTGACTAATATGGTCGACCATTGACTTGCCAATTCTTATATTCCCTCTTGATAGACCCAGAGAGGCGGCTATTTACATTGTGCGTCTTGTTAACCACAAGAATGTGCACGTCGGAATGCTAGCACTAGCTGTAAGTGAGCTCTGATTCCGGGGCTTATTGTTATTTATTTGAATGACCAGCGAAATACATCCTTATGTTTTACGCGTGGTTGCTTTCACCATGGCTCGATTTAACCAAATGACTATTTCATAGCTTCTGGATAACTGTGTCAAGAGTTGTGGCTATCCCTTTCATCTGCAAATTGCCACTAAAGAGTTTCTTAATGCCCTTGTCCGCAAGTTCCCAGAACGCCCTCTTACAGTCCCTACACCGGTTCAATCTCGTATTTTGGAGCTTATACAGGAGTGGTACATGACGCTCTGCAAAACCTCACGATATAAAGAGGATCTAGTTCATATCCGTGACATGCACAGACTGTTGTCCTTCAAGGGCTACCGCTTCCCCCAGGCTAGGAAGACAACAATGAGTCCTGTTGAAGTAAGTATATTCAAGCCAATAGAAATTTTATTTATTTTTTTTACTATTTTTATTTTTTTTTTCTTAAGTAACGTTTTAATGAGGATTAAATTTTTTTTACTTAAAAAAAATTCTCCGTTGTTGTAGATACTGAAATCACCATCAGAACTTAAAGCAGAAAATCGCATCGCGCAAGCAGCTGTAAGGATTCTGCATTCTCGCATTTATTTTACAATAAAAAAGGATCATAGTGCGGATTTTTTTAAAATATAATGACTATACCGGCCAATATAGAGGCTACAGGAACTAATTCGGCGAGGACGGCCTGAAGACGTACGGGCTGCAAATGAGCTTGTTAAAAAAATGACTGGATATGTAAGAAATACTATTAATCAATCTTAAAATACAATATTCGCGACTTGTAGGCTTATCTGAGTTCTATGCCTAACCTTTGTATAATTCTACGTAAACAGGAGCGAGAGGATGAAGATTACGTGACACAAGCATCTGAAGGACTGAACAAGGTCATGCAAAAAGCGATGCTGTTGATAGAGATGCTGAATGATGTAAAGCCCGATGGAATCATTGAACAAGTCGACATTTCTAAAGTAAGTCGGGTTTGATACCTGAGGCTTGACCGCCAAAAACGATATTGCTTTATTCAGCCTTCCTTAACCCGCTTCTATATCTCATCATAGGATCTGTATGAGACTTGTAGGTCAGCTCTTCGAAAGGTTCAAAAGTTCATTAAAGATGGCGAAAATCATGATATAATGGGTAAGATTAAGTGTACAAGGCTAATTGTATAAACCTGAAAAATAGCTTATCGCGCGCTCAACCTGACATTTTCATTACAACGTAGAAACTTTACTTAAGCTGGAGCACATTCTCATCAGTGCAATTGATCAATATGACCAAGCTAAGAATGGAAGTGTTGTCAAAGTGGCACTGACGTATCCTGAAAATAGTGGAGATTGTATCCAAAATACTAGCACCAGTGATGAGAAACACGAACACGCAAGAGCAACTTCAAAGCCAACGCAGTCTTCAGTCATTGACCTTCTTGTCTGTGGTGATGGGCCTTCGAATGAGTCATCGTCCACAACTTCAACGAAGAATACTGGTAAATAGTTCAAATATATACTTATGTGCCATGACTATTTCTGACTTGATAGCTTATATCGATTGGTATGACGCATCCTTAATTTTATTATTTTGGAACATTAGATAGTCTAATAGATGATCTTATGGACCTCAACTTCCACGATACGCCTCCGCCACTCTCATGGAGGCTAACAGGAAGCATCAACCTTGACCAATCTAGTAATATACTGACAACGGATGTTTCGCCTACATCGATTGATGACAGTATGGTTTTGTTTCTTAATAGCATGCATTATGCTTTGGTTTAGTTAAAGTTTCTACCATTGAATGGTTTGCCAGCTTGTAAATCAAGTTTCTTAATTTATCTTCATCGTGCGTTTCTATTGTTGGCTTGTCATAGATGTTACTCGGTCAGCATTCCCAATGCCAGTTTTGGGGACACATGCTGCTCCACTGGATGATCTTGAGTTTATCTCTAATACTGTTTCTAAGAACTCAGGCTCTATTGATGGTAATCAGCATAGCAAACTATATGAACCCCACATAATGGTCCACTTACGAGATGATTAACTTGCAGAGTTTACAATTCTTCATTGCGTGCATAGTATTGTTGCTAAATAAGAGTGGTCTTCAAATCGAACTCGAAATTGAGAAGCAGCATGCGCAACAATCGGACATAGCTTACAACATCAAAGCGTATTTTTCTAACCTCCAAAGTAGTCCGATCTCAGCTCTAACTTTCCGCGTCGCAGTCCCCAAGAACCTTCAACTTTCATTGCATCCTCAGTCTTCACAAGTTGTTGCACCTTTCTCCAAAAGGAGCGTGACACAAGACATGATGATTCGTGTACCACATAGTGTTGTGATGACAAGATCAGCAGTGAGAATGAGATATCATGTCTCCTGTACGATGTCTGAAATGGCGATGGAGGAACAAGGCGAATTTAACCAGTTTCCATAAGCAGCAAGTCTGCAGGTTATTTTATTAAAGAATGAGGATATGACTCTTTGTTTCTGTGATTGAAGGAGTTGCCTAGTGAAACAAGCACAATAAGGCAATCCTGTGCAGTTCGTGGATCATGAGCTTTAAATCCGGACTTTGCAAATCTTGATCAATATTGGGACAGGATCTTTTGGGCAATCACTTTGACCACAGGGAGTTGGAGTCTAAATTTATTTTGAAAAACATTCTTTTCTCATGACTTGCGTTTTATGTAAAGAATGAGCCTGAATATTTTATGAGAGCAATGAAAGATGGTCAATCGGCGAAATCACCAGAGCCAAACATGCGTCTGGTCAGGAGCAAGACACGTATTAATGAGTAAGATATGTCCTGGTCATCACTGGAAGAAATTGTAAAGTGTCTTTATTTCGAGCGCGGGCTTCAATAGTCTGTCTGTGCACATATTCTTTACTTTTTGTCCGTCACTATAAATATTCCTCACTAGAATAAGAACTTCAGCAACGAGTAACAATAATACAAATATGAAATAGTAAGACGTGAAATCATGCAAAAATAAATACTCACAATGCTGTATGCAGGGTTTCTTGCGCATGTTGCTGGGCATCTTTCTGACCCTTTAATCCCATATGACAAATCGAACACCGGAGCGTGAATGTTGCTAAGTCAGTATATTTGTGCTCCTATTACAAATTGTTAATTAATCGACTTGCTTCATGGAGTATGGCGAGGGCTTTTGTGTATGATGATAATGTCGCTCGTACCCTGCAATTCTGTACCTTCTTCAGCTTTGCGGCAAGTTGAATGCCTGCAGTAATAATATCCTCGAGCTTGACATCGAATTGCGTCTGGTCGCACTCTGTAGGGGCACCCAATTCTGGAGTGAGAGCAAGTGCATCGTAATCTAAGCAACCAAAGCAATTATGATTCAGCAACAACTTTTTTTTTTTTTTTTTTTTTTTTTTTTTTTTTCCACTTGCGTTTACATTATATATTTACTTACGGATGCCGCTTGTGTTTAAGTAGCAAGCAGAAAGAGAAGGCGATAAAATATTTAGAGCTACAATTCTTATCATATGGCTTTTTACTTAGAAAACGTAAAGACCAGAGTCCTATTTCGGTCATTACACACACACCTATACATCACCAGTGCTCTTTGGCTATAATGTCCCTCACCAAAGCGATCAACTCGATTTGTTGATACATCAATGCTATCGATTTCTGCAAGATTCATAATGGGAAAGGATATTAGCATATTAAACATTCATTAACGCAATTGAGACGTTTTTTTTTTGTGATTTAATTTATATCATACCAATCTTATAGTACTCAGAAAAGATCGACAGTTCTAAAAGAGTATACATAAGAACACCACCGCGTTTATCAGTTTTGTCAAATTAAACAGTGCGAGTGAGATACAGGATCTCACCGACGATTGAAATAAAATCTCGATGTCTAGCATTGCCTTTTGACAAAAAATGGATTCTCACCAATAGCACCACCCCAGCTGTTATCCCTTTGAATCCAATCACAATATTCCTTCCGTGGACGCCTGAGGACAGTGGTGTTAGTAGAACAAGCTTATGCACGGAGAGCTGACAAAATATGCACATCACTTTAATCATACCCTAGAATAGCTTCGGAATATGTATCCGAATTCGCCTCTATAGCGTCTGAAACAACCTGGCGGAGAGCCTTGATATTGTTCTTCTTGTCAGGATCAAGAATATATGCAACTGCATTAAAAAGACAGCTATTATCATCCTCCACTTGCTGTTTAATAGTATTGCAGGACAAAATGTTAATTTGAAAAGTATCATAAGAAAGTAACTGTCACTAAAGGATGAAAGCCGAACTCTCATATTTACTCTCACAACAAGTAAGCCTTGATCTCTCACGGGAACTGAATGGGCACCAGTGTTTGGAGTCGTCAGAGGTAGCATAGAAGCTACAGTTGAACCAAAAGTTCTATCAAGGGTGTTGCTTTGAGTACTGAGGTGGTTGGTTGAGAGAGGAGCATGGAACGCCGATCCTTGGAGAACAGGGAACGAGCCAAAAGCGGAGCCCCCTTCCATCGATGCTATGGGCGCAGCGAGCCCACGCTCGTTTGAGTTACTGCCAGAGGTGCTCAATGAGCTTACCAAAGTAGTTGCTACACCTCTATTTCCATTAGGTACCGTTAATGAAATCGGTGGTTCATGGATGGCTGACTCGAAATTATAAGGGGATGTTGTTCCTTGAGAGCGTTCTGAAATTAATATTTGCTCTCCATCTCTGATTCCCAGGCTCTCAAGTGAGGAGTGCGCATTTGCGTCGTTGATCACCAATAGGTGAGGAGGATATCCAACCTTTACTGTAAGGGTTAAAGTGGCCATTGAACGATGTATATTAGCATGAGTTATAGCAGCACATCTCCCACCATGACTGGAATAAAAGATAAATGGCTAAGCAGAAAGACATACGCTCCAGGTGGTCGACAGGCGCCTTGATCTTCTTTGCCACCTCGTACTATTTTAATTGAAGATTTGAATATTATGATAAACTTCTATATTTTTTAAAAAAAAAAAAAAAAAAAAAAAAAAAGCCTGAATAATGTAAGCTCCTTACATGTAACTGCAGCAGAGTAGATTGTGCGGTGAGAGAGGTCAATGTCGTGATACCCTCCTTGTGTCTGATCCGGAGCCTCATTGGAAGCTTGCTTTGTGATGGTTTCCATCTTGCTGAGAGTCTTTTGGCTACATCATAATCATGTCACGTGGTATACCCTTAATGAAAGGCCGCGAAAAAGTCGCGATTCCTATGATTCCTGTAGGCTCGTCACCAGCCTGAGTAAGAAGCTTCGGCAAGAGCGGCAATTCCGCCTTGCAGCACGTTCATTCGCTGCACGTAGCTTCGACCTCAGGCTGGTGACGAGCCTACGATTCCTGCTAGTCCAATCCCATACTTCTGCGACCACTCTTGCTAACTCAACCACTACAGCCATTTATGCTTCTATCACACAATCAACAACCACACTCTACAAATATCAAAAGAACAAAGCATAGCCAGAGCCTCCTAATCACCGCGGCTTTCCTTCTGCCTTCCTCGTCTCCATTGCATCGACAAAATGTCGTGCCGGTACGAGTTGCTTTCAGGCTGAAATAAGTGGGCCGTTGACACAGACACTGCTGCCTATGTTAGCACTAGCCCTTCATTTCGTTCTAGAAATGCTCACAATTCTGTTGTTATGAGAGCTTCCTGCTATGCAAAGCACAGGTTTACCGGCCATCAAAGAGTCATTGTATCTAAAGGGCGGGGCATACCCCTTCACGTAAGGGTTACATTGTGCAGCCCCTGGACAACTTCTCGACAGCTCCTATCTCGAGCAATGGAATCTTTTTCTGTTTACTTTGAGAGTCCTCGGTACTTAAGTCAGTGCCTTGCTCTTTTAGTACTACAGCCCGACTCATGTGGTGGGCTGATAGTTTTACCATGATTTGTACTCCACCTGTCAACAATATTACTATATTTTTGGCGTGAATTGTCGCATGTTGTTTATTTTTTATTTTTTCTCTCCACGCCTAATGGGGTGAAAATAATGTGAGAGTATTCCCCGATTTCCTCTCTTTTCAGGGACATCCTCATTGTATTAAAAAACAGTGCCAAATCACATCTTAATTTAAAAGGGGTGACATTTCTGGAACATGCCCATGGTGACGCAAACTTTGGTGTTGATCTTCCTCCATCTTTAATACTCATCATTATATCTTATCAAATCATGCCCAACATACCGCCTCAGTCGGGTTCTCCATCAAAAAATCATAATTGTTGGCGCAGGAATAGCTGGTATCTTTCTGGTATTCTACTCGAACCTTTTGAGATTTTTGAGCGTGCAAACACTGTAAAGCAACTCGGTATGATCAGAGAGGTGCATACGGAGCATTAAAAAAAAGTGACTGAACCGATCTCGACAACCATTAACTTACATATTATTCTTATTATTCATGTTCCTGTAACTGCGAGTATAGGCGCAGCTATGTCCTTGAATGTGAACATCCTGCCTGTATTTGAGCAGCTAGGTCTTTACCAGGAGCTCTTGGGATATTAGTTTCACCAGTCCTGGCATGAATGTTTACAATGAGGATATGTCAAAAGTAGCCTATCGAGGCAATGAGGGTATCAAAGAGACGTACGACCGCAGTATTAAGCTAGGATCATTTGCGCATAAATCGTTCATAGTCATCTCATTCACTCACTCATCCATCCTTTCACACTCATACATTTATAAATATCATCCTATTGCAGTGTTGGATACGACTACGTCGTGTTCTCACGCCCCAAACTGTATGACCTACTTCGCTCAAGGCTTCCTCCTAACAAAGTGCATTTCGGCAAAAAGGTCATCTCATTTAAGCACCTGAAGGATGGCATGGTACGATTGAATGCGCTGACGGCTCATCATATCATGGAGACATCCTTGTTGGTGCCGATGGTGCATACAGTGCCGTGCGTCAAAGCATGTACAAGACCCTAAATGAAGAGGGTAAGTTACCCTATACCGACACTCAAGGACTCAAGATTGGCTACATGACCATGGTGGGAACCGCTGAGCCCTTGGATGAAGACACCTATGAGCACTTGAAGGATAATTTCACGCACTTTTCATTCGTTATTGGCAAGGATAAACCTTATACCGTAAGGATCACGATCGCTCATAGCTACATAACAATACCAATAACAATCAAGTTAATGATATAATGCTCATACTCATAACTGTCATTTGTCTCGTCCCACTAGTGGAGCACATTTACAGTTCCAGGGAAACGCATTTGTTGGGGTGTTCAAATGCAGCTGAATGCTGTTAACCTTGATGGTTCATTCATTAGGAATATAGAATGGGGCCCTGAAGGGAACGAGAACATGATTAAGGAGATTTACGACTATGCGACACCATACGGCCCACTAGGTCAGTTCATTGATAAAACGCCCCGAGATCAGATCTCGAGAGTCTTTTTAGAGGAAAAGATGTTTGAGACCTGGTATTACAAACGCACTGTCTTAATTGGAGACGGTAAGGGAAACATACAGGCAGTAAAGGACGAAAGAAAAAATTGCCGAAATGCCTGTATTGCTATTCTAATATCCGTTACCATTTCCTTTGGATGACCATGTTTCTTAAAGCCGCTCATAAGGTAATAGTATACTATCTTGAAAGAGGTTTCACTGCATCTGGCGCCTAAAACCCTTTCGGCAAACGACACTGAACTAACATCTTTATAAATCCTTAGATGCTCCCAAGTGCTGGACAGGGCGCCGTCAATGCCATGCAGGATGCCGTCATTCTAGCAAATTGCCTTTATGACATTGCATATAACGCAACTGAACAAAACATCACCACTGCGTTCATGGATTTTAAGGCCCAGAGATACCCAAATGTTCAACATCAGTTTAGCGCCAGCAAAACTATGGCCAGAGTTATATATGGACAGGTATGTAGAAAGCATAACGAAGTTTATGATGAACTAGTTGCGTTGGATTACACAAGAAAATGAAAAAGAAATATGAGTCTGCCTAGAATCTTTACTGACACAATGAATAATTTGGGATGTTTCCAGAAATGGAGTGAAAGACTTTTGCGTTTTATTGTTTTTAGACTTCTCCCTCAGTCCATACTTCACAAGAACACTATCAAAGATGGAGCATATCGGCCTCAGTGTATGTTCCTGCCCCTTGCACCCAATCGTGGTACGAGCCCAGTACTTCCTCAAAAGCCATCTAAGCGCTACCAGGAGGGACTGGAGGCAGCAACTGTGTAGAAGTGTGTTTGTTTGTGTAGGTCATGGCATTTGGTAATAAAACGAGGTAATAAAAAAAAGAAAAGAAAGAAAAAAAGAGAAGGAAAAAAAACGTGCTTTTTACTGTAGGTTTTAGAAAGTTATTCATACCAGCCTCTGATGAACGGATTTCTGCCGGAAGGACCAGCAAAAACGCCATGAAGTATCTTCATATTGCAATCTTCACCACTTGTCCTCACTCATTCTGCTATCATTCGTTTTTTTTTTTGTTAAAATACTCACATGCTTTGCAATATCTTGGTCTACACTCTGCTTACCTGTTTTCCTTTCATTGGATTGGCTCTTCCATGCGCTTCAGACCCATGATTGACAACCAATCCACCCTCATTATCCCAAACTGTACTTTGGCGCTCACCACCTCCAAGTGGGACGGGTCCAACTGGACTCGAAATGTGCGCCTTCATCTAGAGTATTAAGGATACCAACATACCTTTTCATTTTCGTAGACACATGTGCATATCTTAACGAAATAAATAACAACTATCAAATGCCATAATTAAGCAGAGTTTAAGAATCGATATTTATTTCCTCCAGGCTAAAGATTTTTGACAAGATGTGTTTCCTTTGTCGCCGCAGCAAATTAGAATAATTATTATCCCTGTGTTTTAAGAGCACAGCTTAGAGCTCTTTTATCAAATTCTCAGCTAAAGAGACAGACAGCCCGGTGTTGTTAGGCTATTTGACAATAGAAGGTGAGAAATATGAGCAATGGAAACAAGCATCAGTCCAAACTATTGAGACGCATATACATCAAATTTCCATTTACCTCCACAAACAACTTTGTAATTCTACCGTTCTAGAAAATAAAAAATATAAAATATAAAAAACGTAAACAACATTTAAACTAAGCCAACAGAATACAATTCTCTAATGATTATTCAATATATTCCATAATACTCACCTCCAAGATCATTGCAAACCGCTTGGAGCGGCGTCCACCAAGGGCAGCTGAAAAATGGGAGACAAATAAATAAATCAATAAAATCATTTTGAAATATTCACCTTCTTCCAACATATTAATAAACTCTCACCAGAGGCATCAAAGTCTAGTCCAAGTCCCTTGACAAAGTTGCCTTGAGGATCGGCCAACATTGTGATTTTATCCCCGACCTCCAGATGCTTACTCCAGGCATTTAGGACATATGAGTCATTCACGGAAACGCAGCCAATGAGATCTACACCCTTATTTTTTAGCTCATCATAATACTTCAAATAGCCAGGAACGTGGGTCTACTAGTAGCATTGACAAGGACATGTTCGGTTAAAAATGCAAACAGCTGGTTTATAAAATACAGTTACCATAAAGCTATTTAATCAGCATTTCCAGCACGAGTACCTTTGAGCACCCTAATGAAATAAACAAAAATAACCATCTGTCATTAGCTCTATGAAATATTTCACAAGATGATCTGTTCAGCACTTGACCTTTTATTCCTCAGAAAAGGAAAAAAAAAAAAAAAAAAAAAAAGTACCAGGAGTAAAAGCTCCAGGAATACCAATAAGGACAGCCTTTTTAACAGGCTCAAATAACTCAGCAGGGTTGACAGCATCAGCAGGGCTTGATCGATGAAGGAGAGTAGTTGAGTCAAGACTCTTATGAACCAGGGTTCCGGAGGACTAACGTTTAATCAAGTACGCGAATGTTTCGGTTTGTTTAATGAAAAGGATGCATAGAATAGAATAGCTAACGTATCACTTACCAACAAGACGCGTGTGGCTCTTAACATTATGAACGAATGACTTTCAAATTAAAAAATATTTATGATGGTGTAAATGAAGGAATGAACGTCTACAAAGCTAAGAGAAACCAATTCTGAAGTAATAGAAAGTCACTGTGCTTGTGCCGTGTTGCCACCAATTTTTATTGGTAGATAAATCCACGTGATAAATCTATTTTTTTGGTCATTTGAGCTTGAATCCTTCCTTTTTTCCATTGCAATCAAGAACCTTGTCATTGTATATTTTATATTTATATTTTTACTTGTTTTCGTTAATATACTTCCACAATTACAATCCCAGTTCTAATCCCATTCCAACCACACATCATGGCCACTGCCACTGTCCCAGCAGATTCACTCCAGCAGACCGTCGCAGCCTTAAACGCGCTCTATAATGCGCCCAGCAATAGCGCAAAAAAAGAAGCCAATTTGTGGCTCGAGGATTTTCAAGCCAAAGTATGGTGGATGAAAAATGACAAATAATCCATCGCTTACTAGCTGGCCATGCATGACTGATACCTGTATTTTTCATTCGGCATTCTTTTTTTTTTTTTTTTTTTTTTTTTTTTGACATTCCATTGGCTTGCGTATTAGCCTGAAGCATGGCAAACAGCGGTAATCTTATTAACTACTGATAGTATTGGAAAAGAGGCACAGGTTTTTGGTGCCCAAACCATGCGACGCAAGGTAAGAAGCATAACTTTGACCTATTTTTTGAGCAACGAATTTTATAAAAAAATAAAAAAAAAAAAAAAAAAAACTATTGACGTAGCCAATCTTTTTTTTGGCATGTTTACCAGATTGTTGATGATTTTCAGGATCTCGATGCAGCACACAGAGCTTCACTCCGGGAGTCGCTCCTGAATCTGTCAATGCAACACAAGACTTCGCCAAAAATTATTAGAACTCAATTGTGCCTTGCATTGGCAGCATTGTCGCTCAGGATGCTAGAATGGGAGCAGCCAGTCAACCACATGATAAGCCTCTATGGATCGTCTCCTACAGATCTTTCGTATCTCTTGGAGTTCTTGACAGTGTTGCCAGAAGAAGTTAACGACAGCCGGTGCCCGAGTTTGACGGTAGGATAAATCAATCGATACAGAACAAAAAAAAAAAGAAAAAAAAAGAGCGACGACATCCACTCCATCTCTCCCATGGAGTCGTCTGGATTGTACTGCAGATGATTCACCTCTAGGAACGACGCTCACAACGTATTGGAGACGCATCACTGCAGCCGACACATCTTTGCACCCACACTGAACTGATCAGGAATGCACTCGCGCCCTCTTTACCACTACCCCATCCACCATGGCAGGATGACGAATATAGAGCACGCTCCGATGAACTATTGACCCAGAATGCCAACCAGATTCTCAAGATGTTGATTGTATGCATGGAAAACTCAGGTAAGCTATAAAAAAAAGAAAAAGAAAATAAAATAAAATAAATAAATAAATATATGGAAATGTATTACTTTCAGTCCATTTTTTGTCTGCTTTGTCCTACTTCAGTCTTATCGATACTTTCTTTTTCTTTTCTTTTTCTTCCTAGGTGACGATGCAAGACTACAGGAAGCAGTATTCAGGTGTTTTCTTTCTTGGCTTCGATCAGGGGATATTGCTACCAGTAGTTTATCCAACAACCCACTCCTTGCCTTTTCTTTCAAGGCTCTTCAAATGCCGGAGCTTTTTGACATTGCTGTGGATGTTGTCTGTGAACTGATATACCAGACCAAAGACATTGATGAGTCAATGCCTGTAATTGAAGAAATCTATCCTAATTTGTTACCGCTGCGTCAAGAGATTGCCAAAAATATCAAAGACGAGAATGAAGATAACATTCGCGGCTATTGCAAAATTTTCGTCGAGGCTGGAGAGTGCTACCTTTCGTTGGTAGTTAAGCACACAGATCACTTCCGAGGTATCGTCGAGGGCATTGCTGAATGTACCTCCTTTCATGATCTTGATATTGTTCCTATGACATTCAGATTCTGGTATCAATTGGCAGACGAGTTGCGTAAGAATGAGGAAGCAAGGCTTAAATATCAAGACGTGTACCAGAAATTGGTCGATGTTATGATTAAGCATCTTCATTATCCCGATGACTTGGACTCCTGGAGTGCCAAAGAGAGAGATGATTTCAAGGATTTCCGACATGTTATGGGTGATGTCCTTAAAGACTGCTGCTTGATTCTTGGATCCAGAGTCCCGCTTGGAAAAGCGTACATGCTTATTACCCAAGCTGCGAGTAAGACACCACCAAAGTGGCAAGAGGTTGAGGCTCCACTGATGGCCCTCCGCTCGATGGGTGCACAGGTTGAGCCAGAGGAGAACGAAGTTTTGCCCGAAATCATGAAGCTTCTCTCCCAATTACCCGACCACCCAAAGATCAAGTATGCAGCTACCCTGGTTATTGCGCGCTATGGAAGTTGGACCGACAAGCATCCTGAGTTCATCGAGTACCAGCTCAGTTTTATCTCTTCTGGATTTGAGAATGAGGACGTTGTTGCGGCATCTGCCCTTGCAATGAAGCTGCTCTGCAAAGAGTGCAGCACTGTAAGCTCGTTATGATCTATTTGTTGATCGCATGCGTCACAATGATTTGCCCGCCTTATCTGATTTTTTTTTTTTTTTTTTTTTTTTTTTTCATGGCTGTAGCATCTGTTGAACTATTTGAACCAATTGCATGGATTCTTTGTAGGAGTCTCAAAGAAACTCAAGGGCGTAGACCTTCTCGAAGTGACAGAAGCCGTGGCTCATGTTGTAGCTGCTGTTCCTAATGCAGAGTTGGCGCAAGTCTTCCAAATGTTTTGCTTGCCCATTGCTCAACAGCTAGCAGGACTTGCATCTAAGGAACAGGGAACCCTCGAAGATGATGTCCCTTTGATTGTTGATAACTTGACGCAACTTAAGATCTTTTTTAAAACTGTGAACCCGCAGGTTCCTCCTGCAGAAGCTCATCCTTGCATCCCTATAGTGCAAGAGCTATGGCCTATCATGGATTCATTAGCAGATCGCGTTGGACGCATTGATGATGTAGCACGGACATTGGCCGGATGCTGGCGCTCAATTATTATTAGCTATGCAACCCATTATGCACCACTATTGCCCATGACCATGACGCGTCTTATCAAGAGCTTTGAACAGAGTGGCTTAGGCCAATATCTTTGGGTTGGTTCTAGAGTGGTGCGTGAGTTTGGGGAAACAAACCCGATCCCCACTCTTCGCTTCGTGGAGGGCCTGAGTGTCCCAATGTGGCAAATCTTTCAGAAGTATGCTGGTCAGTTTAATGAGATTCCGGACGGTAAGGAAAAACTGCAGTAAAGACACATAAAAAGGCCTGCATTTCCTTTTGGAGACTAATGAATTGGTCTTTTTTTTTTCTTGAAACTGTGAATACATGATACTAGTTATCGAAGACTACTTCAATCTGGTTTCTGACACGATGCTTTCATGCCCGAGAGAATATATCCAAAGTACTCTCTTCCCTACAGTATTCAAAGCCATGCTCGCCTCGCTCTCGCTCAAGGAACAACACTCATTAATTTCAGTCTTTAGGCACTGCAGGATCATCCTCGACCATGTGAACGATCTGCAACGCCCTCGATCTTCATCTTCGTCGCAATCCAACAATCCTCGCATTTCGTCTAATGAAGCAGCACTAGTCAAAGCACAGTTTGTAGAGAATGACATGTTTATATCCCATATGCTTCAAGGAGTCATCTATACTTTTCCACCTGAAGTCCAAGGCGACGCGACAGGCGTAATCAAGGATTTGACTATGTTCTGCCCACAAGAGAGTGTTCTTTGGTATGGCAAGGCTATTTCTGCCCTTGATTTGTCTCCTCCTGAGATGCAAAAGGCCGTAGCTGATTTTACAGCGTAAGTTGTTGCCGTTAGTGGCACATACTCTAGATTTCTTTGTATGCTTTAGTGAACTGTTGTAACTGATTGTGTTGCCGTTGGTTCGTCCCTAATAGTATTGCTTCGGAAGGAAACTGGAGCAGGATCAAATCTTTGGTTCAGGACTTTACTAATGTCTACAGACGCAAGAATGTTCTGCCTCGAAGCCGCGGCAGGAAGTAGATGGATGTAGTGATATAAATTTATTTCTTTGCGAACTTTTTGTCAGTCATTTGGAAAAGACATCAAATTGGAAAACAAAAAAAAAAAAAAAAAAAAAAAAAAACATTGACAATAAACCTGGGCATGCTCTCAAATCGACGAGTCTCATTTTTGACTTTTATATTTACAAGCATTTTTTTTCTCCTTTCGCAGAATCTTTGCCCAGAAAACCCAGATAAAATTCTCAAGTATGCATGTCCCCTATCTGAGAAAGAGTACAACAAATTTCATAATGTCTAGATGATGCCAGCGTGTGCTGCCAGATCTTGAGCTTGTTCTGAAAGATATTGGCGGATGTAGGTTGAACTGATCTTGCGACTGACCTCGTCCACTTGGATCTCTGTTGGTGAAATGACATTGATGACTTCAATGTTGAGTGGGCTTAGATTGCGCTTGCTTCGCTCCTCATTTACTTTAAGATAAAGAGAGAAAAAAATCAGGTCAGAGGCTCCGGACCTGATAGTGACAATAAAGATTGAGATGAGGTCAATTTTATAATACCTGCTGCCCCTCCTTTTAATGTTTCCTTCGAGACCATGAGTGCCTGCAACTTATTATCCGTTATAGTTGGTCCGTATATGTCATGAATCGGAACCACCTGTAAGAAAAGGCTAGCATTAATTTCCTTGAATTTGAATCTGAATTTGAAAACAGTATAGATCAGACATTGATCAGTAGTAGAGAGCTATGATACCTCTAGCACCAGTTTACGCTTGAATGTATGTAAAAACCTTTCTACAGCCTTAATTCTGTCATCCAATGGCTCCATAAATTCTTTGAACTTCTTTGTCTTGAGCATAGAATCATCTAAAAAAAAAAAAAAAAAAAAAAAAAAAAGTGTCAGGCGAGAAAACTCTACAAGCAGAAGGGAAAAAATGGACGTAGCTTACCTGTAACACCGCAAACAACTCGGTGGTTAGTAATCCAAGCCGTCATGGAGAGTAGAATCTTATGTCCTGCGTGCAGATGATCAAAGGTTCCGCCAAGAGCCACATCCTGATATTCACCCATCTTTGCGACTGTATGGTGATGGTGATCCAGACTTGAGTCAATGGCGCCAATTAGATGAGTGTGCATTGCCTCTTTAGATGATAGATCAAGTGTGATCAGAGGTAATATCGTCTGCCCAACTCTTTCTCGTTTCTCATTGAGTTCCTGTAAAGATCTTGTAGCTGAGGACATTGACACATGACAGATGGCAATAGTTTGAGAAAAAGAAAAGAAAAGAAAAAAAAATCGCAATTTTATCGTTGCCATGACTTTTTCACCCAACACATACCATCAGGTAAGCCAATAAAAATATCGAAAGGTACCAGATCTGCAACACCTGTGCCAATTGGATACCCACAAATGTCTTCAATGACGATATCGAGCTCTGCAAGAGGCTTCTTCATGGCCATAGCCTCTTTAGTAAAGCTAACATATAATGCGGACAAAAGCCTTTGCACATTATGAAATGATGCTGAAGGCACCGCTGAGGAAGGAGCTGGGGAAGAAGAAGACGATAAAGAACATGTTTTAGTCTCGTTCCGCTGTTTATCCGTGACGAGATGGCGTATCTTTTTCAATAGCATGACTCAGTTTAGAAAAACTACTGCTATTTTCCTTACTATTATCATTGATGGTATCAGCAATGTTATCATTATTATGAGGATCTTTGGAGTTCCCTGCTGAGGGTATCACTGAGATCACTATTGTGAGTCGATGGACAAGTACCAGTGCCCGTTGAATGGCATGGAATGCATCCCCGAGTGGAGAATCGAATCCGGAAATCATGAGCAACAACAGTCCGTGAGACATTTCTGATTGTGCAACGACAGGATCAAAATTGGTCATGTTTTCCTTTTTGTTCTTTTTAAAAGATGTTTCTGATTAAATCGGCTCCCTGCAAGCTGATGGATTAATAAAAAATGAATGAATGAATAAAAAGGTGTTGAATAGAATGTATTCAGGACGACAAGAATAAGTGGAAGTCAAGATATACTTTTTTCATTTCGGCTGTTTCATGTGCCGTCCCAATGAGACTCATGTCATCACTATCATAGTCATATGAAATTTCGCTAAACTCTTTATTTGTATTTCTCCTTCGCAAGCGCGTCTTCCAATGATCCTGCAAGGATTGACTCCAGGATCTTGGTCAAACACACTACAGATGCATTTTTATGCACACTATGTACAATAAAATCAACGAAAATGTCTTTTACTTCAGCTCGACCTTGGGGTCCGTCAGCCATTCACGAAGATTATCGGCCTTGCCCACTCTGGTGATAGCATAGAGCGCAGCTTGCGACATCTGTTTCAATGCTCGCTTGCTCACGTTTTCCAACGTGTCACAGCTATTGAGACGATGTAAAATGAAGAGTTCAAAAAGGAAGTTTAAACAAAAGTTACCCATGAAAATGCTCTTTTTTTTTTTTTCTTTTTTTTTTTTTACCTCTGATGGTAACAAGGATCGAGGGGCGCATTAGCGAACCCGCCGAAAAGCTTGCGTTGCTCCATCGATTTTTTCTCGCCTGCCCCTGTGAGAATACCGCCGGAAGGGATACCTCCCAAGAGGAAGGGCAAGAAATCACTGCCTGCTACCATATCCGTGTATTCATACGGCTCCTTCTTGTAATCAAAATACTCGATAAACAAGTGGTCAATCTTGGCAGATGGCTCAACTAGTCCTTTGGGAGCCGTCTTTCCATCGTGAATCTAGACCAAAACATGTATAGAAACAATTTGTTCACCATTTTGTTTTTTTTTTTTAAAAAAAAAAAAAAAAAAAAAAAAATCTTCTCCAATAGCTTACATATGGAACGTAGTTGGGACTGGCCAACATGTCAAAGTTCATGTTCATAGCAACTTTAGCCTTTCTCTTGGAGTCCTTGCTCAGCTCTCGAACATAGTGTCTTGAACCCAGTAATCCAATCTCCTCAGCACCCCACCATGAAAAGACGATCTTGTTCTCCAAATCATAATCAGCTTTAGCTAGAACCAATGCAATCTCAAGTAATGAGCTTGCGCCAGATCCATTGTCGACCATACCAGGACCTTCAGGGACCGAGTCCAGATGCGCACCCAACACGATCGTGTCGTCATCATCACCCTTCTTAGTAGTACAAAGGACATTGATCGTGGACTCAACAGTCAACCTGTTGTTGGTTTTCAAGTTAAGCAGAACAGTTTCCTGGTTTTGGATCAGAGTTTTTCCAAGGGATCTGGTGGCTGCAAGTACAGGGATGGACATCAGAGGGTCACCTTCCTTCCATTCAGTGATGCGGATACGGGAGTAAAGCAAGACAGTGCGGTTGGGACGATTATAGAAGATAACAGCAGATGCGCCGGCCTGTTACGAAAAGAAAAGTATGTTCGTATGAAATAGAAAAAGAGGTTTGTAAGAGGCACACTATGGCTTACTCGATGACATTTATCTGTCTTGTGGACAATGCAATTAAAAAAAAAAAAAAAAAAAAAAAAAAAAAAAATAGTACTTTCTCGGCCAGATGGGCAGCATCCCAGAGCTCGCAGGGACCGCCTTCTTCAATCACTGCGACTCGGTCCTTGACTTTCCTGTGATCATCAGCGCGGCAGCCATGAGCAGACACTTCCTGAATATGCTGCTTTGTAAGAGTAGCAGAGCGGCCACCATATCTCATGTCTGCAATAAAAAGACGCGAGATTATGTTATCGGTCACGTTTTTACTCAGGACCGACAGGTTACTCCGCTTGCCCGGTAACCTGTTAGTCCATTTAGTTTATCATGTCTGTATGACGCGTCGATTTTTTTTTTTTTTTTTTTTTTTTTTTTTTTGAATGTACTAACTTACTCTTAAAATCAACCTTGTTCTGGTAACGAATCTCTTCTTTTCCAGACCCAATACCTGTGCTACTCATTTCAGGGACCTCGATCTCAGACCAAACAGGGACCTTGAATTCTTGAGTCGAAACGTCACAGTACTTTTTAGCATTGGTTATGAGCTGGGCCTGGACATACTCTGCTGAGGCCAAATAACCATTTGTGATTGAGCGCGAGTTGTTATGCTGCTGAGCAATCGAATACAACTCTTCTAAATGGTGAAAGATGGCAGATGTCTCCAATTTGTCCGACAGAGGCGATTTCTTGGAATCAGAGTCATCTGGTGATAAAATAAGAAGCAGACGTTAACACATTCATAAGAGAACTACAAATTGATTGTCGCACCGAATGAAATACGGAGTTACTGTTTTTTTTCCTATCGCTTAATAACTTACCCTCGTGTGGTTTGACAAGGACGATCAAGAGGATGGTACTGATACCAATGAAGAGCAATGCAACCAACGCGTAAGGAAGGACTTTGCGCAATCTTGAGCGGTCCCTGTTTTGGGTACCTATGAAAAGAAAAAATGCAGTAGTGGGAAATCGAGGCAGCGTGAGATCACTTCAAACTTTCCAAGGGAGCTTTTGCTCTAGCTCTATTAAAGTGAGATGAACATGAAATATACTGCACTGCTTACCGTTGGGGTTTAAAAGAGGCTGCGACTCTCGTGTACTGTCTGCCATCTCTGAAGAAAGTAATGAAATGAAGCACTTGAATGAATTTTAATTCCAAATGGCAAAAGGAGATTGGGAGAGAAAAGAGAGAAATATGTGTTGGTGAAGTCGTGAGAGTGACAAAAAAAAAACTTCTGTCCCCACAGCGAACGGGATTTTTTTGCATGAAATCTAATTCCTTGCCTTGTGTCATCTCAGTTACAGACACGACTAAAAAAGGAATAATACAAACAAAAAAGATCCATTAGTTTCAAAAAAAAAAAAAAAAAAAAAAAAAAAAAACGAACAAGGCGTACTACTCTCTCTGATCTACCGAACAAGCAGGGGGTATATCGAGCTCACAAATACAAAAAAAAAAGCTGGTGAAGGTGGAGAGAGTAGGCGAAGATGCAAATTCTCCAACTCAATTCTCCTTTGTTGATTTCATGTATTCGACTTCTTCTGTTCCTGTCACCAAAGCAAACAGGACACCAACAAAGTAATCCATGGAGACGTAAAGGAAAACTATTGAAAGAAGTGAAACAAAGGGGTTGAAAGATATGAGTAAGAAAGAGTGGAGAATGAAAGAGGTTGTCTTTAAGTTCATCTCTGTTGTTTCTTACGACTTCGCATAACTAGAAAGCTAGATGAGCTTACGGAAGGACTCCTGTATTCCGTATAGCTTTCCCCAGATTCAATAGACAACGCGCAGAACTGTCTGCAAGGAGTCATCCTCGAGGGGTAGCTCTTATACTCCGGATCCAAGCTGTGCTAGTTCAAAGGGTTTTTATCTGACATACACCTCCTTGCTCCCTTATTACCAGAGTCAAGTCTCAAACGGCAAGGCCTTGAATGCATAAAGTAACGCCTCCTATGGTTTAGAGTAGAGCAGGGCCAAGGCTCGCCAAGGAATCGAGTAAAAACCATCACTCAATTCATCCATCTGTAGAGCACAGGTTTGAGAACTAGGTTATGTTTAATCTGACACAGCTAAGTCTAAGGTTGGGGTCAAAACAAATCCGGGACCACTCTTTGTACCAATCTCCTCCTAAATCCCTACGGCAAGCGAGCCGTAGTCCGGGGTCAATTCTACTCGTAGGACGTGCGTAAAGCATGGCGGGCTGTGATTGATACCAGTATCAAGGCATTATTGCGTATGGCTGGTGGGAGTGGATCACAAAAATGTGGTAGTGTTAAACCCATGATCCCTACCATTGGCTTGGATCTGTCCAACAAAATTGGGCTACCACTCAAACACGGCATCTTTTTTTTTTTTTTTTTTTTTGAAGAAATCCATATCTAAGGCACAGACCCGGCTACTGTACTCGCCAGCGTACTAACACTATAACTATGATTATTACTTTTCCCTCTTCAAGATGAAGGCTTTAGGCTACATTGTGGTTAGATTTTAAGAGCATACATGAGTTTGAAATGGGGCATGGCCGTTTTCATCAACAGCAACATCCGCGCACCTTTCTCTGCAGATCATGAATAAATGCATTAAGGGAGCAATCGTTGTTGAATAGCCACAGAGCAATCCTGTAGACGCAACAGCGCGTCCAAGTATATATTTCGATACAAATATTTTAACTTTAAATCTTCTGTTAGTCTACTTGGAAAGCAGGCGAGTGAATCACTAAAAAAAATTGTTTTCTTTGTCCATTTCGACGAATTAAGTTATCTTTTACTGGAAACCTCGTATGTACTCCAACCGTCAAAGCTTGTTGAAGCCATTGGTGAGTGTTGGGACATACAAAGTAAATGCTAAGAGGCCCCCGGATGCATGAATGAGGTAGACATGGTGACTGCAGCTTGGTTTAATTTGAGGATGAATGACCACGCGATTAGATGACAGAACAGGCTTTCCCTTTTGACTACAGAGTATGGAGTCTTTGTGAACAAAAGGGTTGCCTCTTTTTCTATGTGGCAAGTTCAGAGAGGGGGATTTTTTTTTTTTCTTTTGGACGAATGAGAGATGAGAACGCAGTTTACATCCTGGTGTTGAGTACTACCAAACATTCTCTTTTAACTGTCGGTGAACTTCCGTTGCAGCTGCATCCGACTTCCTCTTTTTATAAATGTTCCTTCCGGAGTGAGTCCAAAATGGTCAGTGCTCTTCACGACTTTCATTTTTCACTCTGTTACACCCCTGTGTATGATTGGGATTGGAGATGTAGAGCGATTGTGCCGTTTTCAGTAATGCCGATGGACGGATGGAATGGTGATACAGTGTGCATGAGAACGGTGCTTGGAATGTACTCATGGGATGAGTGGTATTGACTACGGATGAATGTTGTGCAAAGCTACTCTGAATGAAATATAGGCATGGCATATCTGTCAGACAAACTGTGCACCAATGTGCAATCTCGACTCAATTGAGTCACCCATTTTAAAAAAAAGCTTTTATTTTCATATGACACTTGTAAATTTATTACATGTCTGCAAGAAAAAGGAGAGGAGACCCCTTTGTCTACACCGATCCGTTATCTCTTACACGCCAAAACACTCTCTCCTTGTCCTTCTTTTGCCTCCAAGTCAATCCACCAAAAGCTTTTTTCTCTCCCCTGTTCCTCTTCCTCTTCCTCTTCCTCTTCCTCTTCCTCTTCCTCTTCCTCTTCCTCTTCTCTCCCTCTCTTTTTTTTTTTTTTTTTATTTTTTTTTTTTTTATTTTTTTTATTTTTAAATCCATCCATTCTACCCTAATCATCATCTCTCATTCTGTTTTAATCTCATTTGTCCTTTTAACTATTCTCAGTTAATCTACAAAGCAAACAAGCAAGAAAACAAGCAAGCAAACAGACAATCGAGCAAACAATTTTGTCAAGAGTAACAGTACCAGGTTATTAACCATGTCAAGGCTTCCAAAGACCCTGCAGTCCACGTTAGGGCGATGCACAGCCACTGGATTGCAGTCTACTTCAGATATCCTTCCATGTGCATGTGTTCAATCCTCGTCATTTTCTTCTTCTGCCTTGGTCACTTCAAGAAGCACTGTTACTGCTCGTCCAAACACTGGCAGTCTTTTTGACGTAATATCACGGATATCTGATTCAACCGCAGTAGCCACCTCAACAACAAACGCTAACAGTCTAAACATTATGCTCGGGAGGTGTCGGATGGTTATCAGACAAAAACATACAGTTGCATTAACTAAACCTTCAGCGTTGACACATACCACCGCAACTACGTGCAAACAATACAGTCAGCTCGCAACAGCTATACATACGCAACCACCTCCTCCATCTACTCTCTCCAGTGGCCTTCAACAGCAGCATCAATCACATCCAATTCATATCTCCGCCTCTGCGTTTCCCTCTACCCCCTCCGCATCGACGGCGGCAACTTCCCCAGAATCCTCTCCGCTTTTCCGGATGAATAACCCTGCCTCCATTGTCCGACAGCCTGCATCAGCACGTCAATCAAAACGCCGATATAGCCCTCAGCACTTTTATCAGAACCGTATTCTGGACCCCTATGTCAACCAGGCAGTCAGTCCAATCACCCTCCGGCAACTTGTCTTTTTTGGCCGTAACATGCAAGAGGATAAGCTTCTCAAATCCGCCAACTATGTCCGAACAGAGCTACCTATACGTCTTGCCCATAGGATTCGTGATTTCCAAAATCTACCCTTCATTGTAGGAACTAATCCACATATCGAACTAGTCTATGATCTCTATTGGCAGGCCTTTGAAAAGTTGAGCAAGGTTCCTGAGATCAAGACTTTGGAACAGAACGATACCTTTTGTGAGTTGGTCAAGGGTCTCTTGAACGATCACTTGGTAGTCATTCCACAGTTGGCGTTGGGAATCATGGAGTCCTCAAAGCACATTCCTCCAGATCAGATTGACAAGTTTATGAACAAAATGCTCAGGTCCAGGATCTCAAGACGAGTGCTGGCAGAGCAACATATCTCCCTGACTGCTAACTTCAATTCCCCCAACCACATGATGGCAGATTGTGGATACATCGGCATCATCTATACTCACTGCCGACCCCGAGATATTGTCGAAAGAACAGCCCTTTTGGCAGCGGAGACATGTCGTCAGGCATGCGGTGGAACTATTGAGCCACCCAAGGTCTTATTAGACGGCAATATCGATGCGGAGTTTTCTTACATCCCAGATCATATTGAGTATATTCTATATGAACTTCTCAAGAATTCGATGCGTTTTGTCATGCAGAAAGGGGCCCGAGAACACCGCACGGGCGAATTACCTCCTATCCAGATTACAGTGTGTGAAGGAGCTCAGGACATTGTCTTCAGGATCTCAGACAAGGGTGGCGGAATTGATCCAGAAATGGAGCGGCATCTTTGGTCTTACTCACAAAGCCCTGCCCGATTTGCTAATTTCGAGAAGGTATCAAAGATGGCTGCCACAGTCCAGGAACAGATGGTGTCGCCCTCCAGGAGTTATAATGAATCAAATAGAGTTGAAGATGAAGTGGAGGATGATGGTGAAGGAATAAAACTACCACCACCACCGACAGGTAGTAGCAAATCTACGGAATCGACGACATTGCGTTTGGATCGTCATGCGCCTCCTCGTACCGGTACCAAATCAGCTTCATACTCATCATTCTCAAACGCGTCTTCGCAGCGCTGTCAAACTGTGATTGATTCCACTCAAGAACTTGTAGCTCCGTCGAAACCAGGTCACTTGAATCGCGAAAGCCGTCAGTATAAGGATCAGTCTATGCATTTAGGTATTGGACTTCCCATGAGTCGTGTCTATGCTGAGTACTGGGGTGGAGATCTTAAGGTTTTTACGATGCACGGTTACGGCACAGATGCCTATGCCAAATTTTGTAAATTTGGCAACATTTATGAGAACTTTGACGTGTAGCCTCCGTCCGTAAAATGGACAAAATTTGCCATAATAAATAAATAGGCTTTAAATTCAGCAGTCATGGGCAACCTTTTTTCGGCGTGTGTATTGCAGGTCGAAATAAATGATTGAAAACTAATTGTAAGACTTTGAGGACATTGAATATTACATTTAAATGTGACATGTATCAGATATCAGCTCTACTGAGATTCACAAGGTCCCTTTTCCACATTAATGAAGAGGTGATTTTATGATGGGTTTGTAGTATATCCGTTATTGTCATAGTCTTTCAACCACTGAACAACCCATCCTACCCAATCTGTGCCCTTGCTTGCACTTTTTTGAAAAAAGTATCAATCCATGATATAAAAAGGAAGCATTGCCTTCCTCCTTTCCCGCCTGCCTGCTCGCTCCTAAGCTCCATACCTGTGACCACTACCACTGTACATCGATCGTCCACAGGCCAAAACACTTGTTCTCTCTGATGCCCTCAAAACTGTTATACCTTCGCTTGCCGGTTCTCAGTTACCACGCCCTCCAGCCAACTCTGACGACGATAACATCCTCACCGAACATGTTCTTCATCCTAAGAGCCCAGATCAACAATACAAAGTACCCTCTCTTGAGTTGCCTCGGCCTCAGTGAAGTGGTTATCTCAATTACAGAAACATCGGGCCCACGCTATGCGACTCTTGGACGAATTCTTGGCAGTACACTTTAACAAAGTGCACGATTCAGAATTACAGCAGATCGTCGCAGATTTTGGGCTTGTCATGCGATCTCATCTGGCCGTTACAGCACGTCAAATCTCCGATTTACATAGATAATTCTGTGTACGCAGAGGGTCTCAGGCCAGAGTCTTTGAAAGCAGTAAAGGTGCTCTTGGTAAGCGCCTCGCCATAACGAGACACCTTGTCACACAGATAAGACCTTTTTTTTTTACAAGGAAAACCACAGAGCCTCTGCCAACAAAACAATACTGCCATTTGAAACACTTTGGTCGAATTTTACACTAGTGTCCTCTGTGCCTGACCTCTCTGCCATGACTTTTTGGAGACAGTGAACCCACGCTCTAAATATCTTTGACAGCGGCGCAGTTGAAGTGGAACACATCGCAAGAATCGGTCTTGCTCAGATTGAGGGTTAAGAGAGACCCGCGAAGCGCAGGCCCATAGAAGGGTCGCCAGTCCCTCTGCAAAGGGCGCACGACGCTGGACACAAGTATTTGGGTACTGACACGTTTCGAATTTCCGGACTAACTTACAGATCGCTGTATTTACCAAGCCTCAATCCATGTGACATGAAGCGTTTTGTTTTGATGCGCGTTTTGTCAACAACACATCAACCATCTTACCATCTTTTGGTCCATCAGTCAAATAACAAGCAGCGGTTCATCTTGTCGAGGCACACTCTATTCGATATCACGACCACAATCTTTTTATTTTATTTTATTCTATCTTTATTTTGCTTTTGTTTTTTAAAAGAAGAGGAGCAATTCTTCGATTCATCTCATGCTCCTTGATTATTAGTGCCATTTTACTTGACTGCAGTTTATTTTTTTATAATGATTGATACATCTAATGTTTCGTTACTATTACTCTCTCTGCTCTGACTATCATCCTTTCCGATTAAACCCTAAATCCATGTGCTGATCTCTATCCGACACCCTTTACTTTTACTTGCTGGACCGTCCTGTTCCGCCTTATATTATACGGGCCATTCGGGGCAAACGTGGTTCCCTGTAAAAATGGGTGCCCGATCTCCTGCGGGTGCGGAGATTAGGAAGCATTTTTTTTTTTTTTTTTTTTTTTTACGCTTTCGGATAGAGTAGTGGGCAATTTATTTTTTTATGCCCCCATTTTTTTTTTCTTTGTTTCTTTGGCCTAGATTCTACTCATGATTCAGAGCATCAAGGGAGTGTATGGAAACATTGGATTTTTTTTCTTTTTTTTTTTCTTGAAGATTTTGCCCGATTTTTTACTTGGGAGAAATACAGGACTTCGTGGGCCTGTATTTGCAGACGGATACCCTATTCTGGTAGCTGTTAACTCTTCAAGGGCAATCAAATCTTTTAAGATACTATTGTAATTTATCTTTTATTTTTATTATTTCTCAAAAAGTTGTGGACGTGATGAGTGCTATGCTTTGGCTGATGTGCTGCTCGCATTGACTTGATGCAAATTATTTGGAAATGGTACAAATCACATTTGTACCAACACTTTTCCTTTATTATAAATATAATACTCTATAATATTAATTGTGGGTTAAGGAGGGCAATGAGATGTGTAGTATGAATCCAAAAGAAAGACGCTTGCGTGCATGTGTATGTGAATTTATGATAGACGCGTGAGGTCTTTTAGCAGATCGACAAGAGATACTTGGTGACACAAGTCATCCACTGTCGCTGTGCACAAGGGTACTCAACAACAAACTACAAACATACCATTGCATTGATCATAATGGATATGTTGCGCGTTGTTTTTTTTTTTTTTTTTTTTTTTCTCTCCTAGCTTGTGAATTGATATAATTTAACCACTGTTATCTTTGTCTTTCAATTGATCCTTAACCCGAGAGGTCTTCATTCCTGTTTTTTTTTTTTTTTTTTTTTTTTTCCTTTCTTCTTTTGTTGCACCAAATAGGGAGAAGTCATATTTCAAAAGTCAGTTTCATCCGTGGCAACGAGAAGGTTCTCATTGCAACGGAGATATAAAAAGTTTTTTTTTTTTTTTTTTTTGTTCATCCTGATCTTCCTCCCCTTCCTTCTTCTCCCACCTTCTCTACTTTATTACCTCCCTTTTATCACTTATCACTTTCTCTATCTTTTCCTCTTTGAATCCTCCTTTTATAATTCACGTACCCTGAAAAGAGTAGAAAGTCGTTCATTTCTATTCAATATTCATCGACAAAATCTCTCTCCCCTCAAAATGCAGCGCTACAAGCCCTATCAAATCCTCAAAAACATGTCCAACGACTGGGTATCCAAGTTGAACCTGACAGAATTGCAAACATTCGGCAAGCAGTACGCTCCGATCAATGTTCTTGTCCTTTATGGCTCTCTTCGGGAGCGATCCTTCTCTAGGCTATTAGCGTACGAGTTTGCGAGGATCTTGGATCGATTAGGCGCTGATGTTCGGGTCTTTGATCCAACAGGATTACCCGTCAAGGACGGCGTCTCAGAGAACCACCCTAAGGTTCAAGAGCTTCGAGAGCTGAGTCAATGGTCTCATGCACATGTCTGGGTCTCACCAGAGCAGCATGGTCAAATCACTGGAGTATTTAAGAACCAGATCGATTGGATCCCACTAGCCTTGGGATCCGTTCGACCAACTCAGGGACGAACGTTAGCGATTGCACAAGTTAATGGAGGATCGCAGAGTTTCAATGCCGTCAATACGTTAAGGATCTTGGGGCGATGGATGCGCATGTTCACTATCCCAAATCAGTCATCTGTACCCAAGGCTTGGACCGAGTTTGATGAAGACGATCGGATGAAACCAAGTGATTTCCGTCAGAGAGTTGTGGATGTTGCAGAGGAGTTGTTCAAGTTCACGGTGATCCTTCGACCCCATACCGAGTTCCTGACGGATCGGCATAGTGAGCGAGAAGAAAAGATGAAGAACCAAGGAAGACTGCTATCTCAGGCTGAGAAGCTTCAAATCATTGCTAAAGAACAGAATGCAACGATTGCAGTGGCGGCGGTAGCAGAAGCTGCATCAATTGAACAAACAACAAAAGACGAAAGAGTAGATGATAAAGAGTGAAGCAATCCGATACACTTTTGATTTATAATGCTTACTCCGAGTCTAACTTGTAATAAAAATAATACTTTTCATCTTCATTTTTATTTTTATTTGTGTGGTTCTCTATTATGAGTACTTTAATCTTGAGCTCGATTTCGCGCCCGAGCTTCCTAACCCCTTTGATTGGTTTGTCCTTTGGATAAGGAATAGACCAGTCCAATATCAGAAGTTCAGAGAAAAGAGCAGATTTCACCACAACCCATGGTCACGATTGCATGACAAGTCATCGCCAGCTCGGGTGTAAATCAAAGGGGCTTGATATCCGGTAGATCAATACTCTTCTCGAATAACATCATGAACTTCCATGGCGGAATCAATCTCTTGAGAGATACCTCTGACATCAGAATTGGGCATTGTCTTATGGGATATGGAGCAAACAAATGTGATATCAGACATGGTATTGTGAACCAAACTGAAGAACTCAAAAGAAATTGCTCGGCATGGTTTCTACAGCATAAATAGACCATTGAGTTTTGTATGTATACGGAGTATATTCAACTGAGGAAAAAAAAAAAAAAAAAAAAAAAAAAAACATTTTTTTCAGAGTCGCGTCTTTGGATCAGATTAAGAAGCACGGACATGGAGAATACACGTAGTGTTGGATGCTGCAGTACTTGATCAAATGCACAAGTAAGCAAGTAAAATGAGCCATGGGTTGAAATATCAAGATGTTTATTATTTATCTACGCGCATGGGACAGCATAGCGCAGCGACAAGTCGTCTCGTGGCCCAGCATGTCCTTTTTTTCACAGAAGACACTCTGTCAAGTGCACGTTCCTATTTGAGCCCATGTCTGTCTGCTTTTAAGGTTCTACTTACATTCTTAGCGCACGACCATCTCCCTTCAACACGGCTGCAGTTCAACGCCGTTTAAGCATTTGGCTTTCAATTCCCGATCAAATTCTATTTGTACATGTGCGTATCGATAATCATTTGCAAAGAATACTCGCCCATCTAGACTTGTTCATTATTCATTATTCATTAAGTGTACTATCATGCTCTTCCATAAGTAAATAGCTTAATGACCATTTTTTTTTTTTTTTTTTTTTCATTTTCTCTCTTTCTTTTTCTCTCTCATTATCACCGCCCTTATTGCTTGACAAGCCTTGTTGACCTTTTTTTTTCGGTTTTTACATTCAGTCTTTTCATTCGCACGATTCATTCTTTACACATTCCATCAACCAAGCGCTTTCCTGCCTGTTTAAAATTTTTGTACCTTAATTAAATTTTTTGAAACATTTAATTAAACAAACGACATATAGGACAGTTAAACTAGTCTTCCAGTTGCCCTGAAATCCCCCTTCCTTTAACGATGACCTTTTTTGCTCCATTAAGAATGCCGGTCAAACGCCGAGTACAGACAGCGGCGGTCCTGTTTTGGTTTTCAGCCGTCGTTTTCTCGTCATTACTGTTCTTTTACCTCTGTACAATCAAATATCTGTGGCCATTAATCATCATCTACCTCCTATGGGTCCTCATGCTGGACAGAGCTCCCGAAAGAGGGGGACGTAGAATCGAATGGTGGTGTAAAAGGCGGATCTGGATCCATTTCGCTCAGTACTTTCCCATGACACTTATCAAAGTAGGTTCTGTTGCGAAAAATTTCATCACAAACAAAGAATGAACTGATAATGCTTTGGTGCTTATTGTTGTTATTGTTACTTGTTACTTGTATAATCTACACATACACTATTTGCTGGATTGAAAGGAAGGGGAATTGGACCCCTCCAAGAACTATATCTTTGGATATCATCCACATGGTATTCTTTCTATGGGCGCATTTTGCACATTTGGAACGGATGGATTGAACTTTTCAAAGCGATTTCCGGGGATTCATCCACGACTGTTAACCCTTCAAGTTAATTTTCAGATTCCATTCTATCGTGATTACCTTATGGCGCATGGCTGTGCAAGCGTATCGAAGGCATCATGCGAGCATGTGCTAAACTCAGGCCCAGGTAACTCCATTGCCATTGTGATTGGAGGAGCCCAAGAAAGCTTGGCATGTAAGCCAGGCACACTCGACTTGACACTCAAGAAACGTCTGGGCTTTATCAAACTGGCCCTCGTGAATGGGTAAAAAAAAAAAAAAAAAAAAAAAAAAAAAAAAGCGTTTGAGCATTCATATGCAAATGCATTAAAATGAATGTTTGTCGTTTTCTTTTTAAACAGTGCTAGTTTGGTACCGACAGTAGCCTTTGGAGAAAACGATCTCTACGAGGTCTTCAGTGCCAAGGACGACAGCAAGACATATCAAGTGCAGCAGCTTGTTAAACGCTTATGCGGATTTACATTACCCATGTTCAATGGAAGAGGCATTTTTCAATGTGAGAAAAAAATTGTCAGCGTTCGTCTGAGTTTAATCTTTTTAATGCACATTTATCTTGTCAAAGTGATCATTTCAGCCGATAACTTTATTTTATTTTTCATCCTCTCTACACTTTTGCCTCTCAAACACTCACCTCTTTTGCCCCTCCTTTTTTTCCTCATTCTCATTTGTATATTCTATAGATGCAGTCGGGATATTGCCTCGCCGGAAACCAGTGTATATCGTGGTTGGGAAACCCATTCATGTACAAAAAGTTGAAGGTAGTCCATCGACAGAACAGTTGCAAGAACTTCAGAAAAAGTACATCGATGAGGTTTTATCCATTTGGGACCGTTACAAGGATAGATATGCTGCTGGACGTAAACAGGAGCTCAGAATCATCTCATAATCACCATCATCATCATAATAGTAATAAACATCATCCATAATCTTTTTTCATGCACTTTTTTTTTTTTTTTCATTCTTTAGCTGTATTCGTTCGGATGGTAAGTTTGGGTCTCAATCCGGAATTGGATATCAGGACGTAGCTTCTTGATACCCGTTGTCACATCTGTGTTAGTCCAACCATCGTGCACGACCGTGAAACTCTCAAGTTTAGGCCAGCACGGTTGCCCACGCTGGTATTGCAGCATTCGCTCTATTTGTAGCTCGTCAATATCCCTCATATCCCCCAGATTCGCAAAGTCCTTCATCTGGAGTTCTGATGCCACCATCATCGAAGATGTGAGAGTTGATATCGACAACGACGATGAGCTTGCAGGCAAATGATAGCTAATTGGTGCAGATATCAGCCCTGCTCTAATCATCGCCATCCTGCAACTTAAGCGCGCTGTATCTGCTACACTAGATGACACCGCAATCTTACTTGTACTGACTCGACCCCAAGGATGGCCTTCTCGTCTGATCCATTCCAGCACATCTGATTCATGAAACCCTGTGTAGGATCTGCAGCAGAGTTTGAGCTTTTCTAAATTATGGAGTCTGGACAGTAGACATAGGCCACCTGCAAGCCAAAAAGAGAGATATGGTCGACGAAGCTGTATGTCCTCAAGGCAAGGTGTCACCCGAGTGAGGTATCCAAAGATAACGCGTGAATGATGTAGTGTATCAGACTCAAACCGAGCACGGACCTCAAGGTGTAAAGTCCTAAGGGATCGGCATGCCCAAAAACGACCGTCTGCTCGAGGCGTGTTTGGATGGGTATCTTTGGATCCAACAAGTGCTTTCTTGAGATCAAGATATTCAGTATAATAAGTGACAGTTGGTGCAATAAGATGCACAAGTGTAGGAGCGGTACATAAGAACTCATGCAGGGTTTTACTCAGAACACTGGTTGATCTATCAGGGTCCGAGAGCCCTGTGCCTTTGAGCTCCAGTGTCGTCAGCCGATTCAAGATAACAGCCTTGCTGTGAACCAAGGGAAGCATAATAGGATCAAAAAGATCACGCGTAGCAAAACTCCAGTGTCGGACCATAGGAAGACGACTCAGGATAAGTCTCAGGGTCTCAGGACAGATTTTCCGTGAATCGAGTGAGAAATGAAATGTGTGTAGCGCTGGACAAGATCGAGCAATATGCGCGATGAGGATTTCAAGATCAAATGGCGAGGTACCATGCAATAGCTGGTAAGCTGTATGTGCGTCATAACCTCCGGCGACGAAAGGACTAATGCCTAACGGATTGGAGGCACGCTCGATCACGGAAATCAACTTGAGTACCTTGATATCTGGACATGCTCCTAATATCGCCTGAAGTACACGTTGAGATACCATGGGTCTACACAAGACCAGGGTTTTGAGACGCAATTTATTTGTCCATTCCAATGGTTCAATCACCTGTCGTTCGCGTAAGGCAGTGACTGCTTCTCGAACACAAGCTGGATCCTCACGGCTTGCGCCTGGAATAGCTTGCTCGTGCACATTGTCAGATTGTGGTTCTACCTTCAATACTTCAAGTCTAGGACAATTTTTCAGTATTTTCTCCAGGTAAAAGTAATCACCAGGTTTGAAAGCTTCGAATTGCAAAACCACAAGTTGCGAGGCTAGACACTGTTCAACAATTCTATGGAAGACTCGGACGTCTAAGTATCCCCTTAAATTTAGAACCCTGATCATGCCTAGTTGCTGCTCCTTAGAAGCATTCTGAAGATGGCTAAGGACCTCGCGCCAGGCAATCTGTCGTTGACCATGGCTGGCGTTAGGCCAAGTATAAGGGAGTGAACGTCGCTCGGGAGCATCAGGGGTCAAGGTGAGGATTTGACAGTGTGAAAATTTGGTCATGACATCAAGGCGTCTCTCTGGCTGGAAGTTGGAGGCCCAAAGAGTTTCATAAAGCATAAAGCGCTGAGATAAAGCGTTCCATTGGCGGCAGACAAGGCATGTGATATTACGGAGAACATGTTGACTGACAAATGAGAGAATGTGTTCAAGAATTTCGACAATGTAAAGTGCTCTTTGAGTGGAGAATGAAGTCGTGGAAGTGATAAGTCTCTGTCGTCTTCGACGGGATGACATCATTGTTTGCATGTAATAGGGCTAGGATTTGTTGGAATGAAAAGAGGAAATAGAAAGACAGTGAGCAGACGGAGAGGTGGCGAAACAAGAGAGCGAGTTGTTTGGGCAAGTTGTTTTGTTTGCACGATTGTAACAAAACATCAGTGGGCTGTGCTCTTTGCAATCAGCAACAATTGACAGGCAGTGGGTATCCAATCAGGAAATTTGGGCACCAGGAGGCACGTGCTTTAACAATAAAGGATTTATTTCCATGCAAATAATCATATATCTATCTTGCTCTATTTCTCCAAATTACCACGGTAGGCGCTACCATTGTCTTTTCATTTCGTTGTCAAATCATTTTCGCAAGCAACATGTCAAGTATAGGGTATCCGCAGACAGGCATCTCAGAGACACAATTCTATTCTCAAGCTCTGGAGGAGTCAGATGCCAACAAACGCCGTCGGCTCTTTGCTGATGCTCGAGCCTCAAACTTGTGCTCATACAGAGTCTACGTCCTTGCTGCTCAAGCAGAGGAGAAATGGGGCGCTGATATCACTCGTCTAAAGGCTTTACTCACAAAGGGCGTCATAGTCTTCCGAAACCCCGCTGGTCAACATTCTCACTGCTCGATAGTGACCAGGGGTCAATGGTTAAGTGAAGCAGATTCTGCATTCAGAAACAACTTCCCATCTACAAGCACAGCATTGAGGAGTATTCTACAAGAGACAGGCGTCTAGCCGTTTCAATCCGTTAAACTATGGGAAGCAAAGATGTTGCTCGTAACCTAGCCACATCATTCATGACTTTTGTAAATAGGAAAAAGCTTGTCATAGTCATTGTTCAAAGTATAGACAATTGGCTGTTTAACAACATATTTCGATGTTCAATTGTGAGGCAAAAGGATATCTCTCTGTGGATGTCACACGAAAGAGAAGAGAAAGGAGCATCATAAGAGCAAGTCAAATGAATTTATTATATAAATATGTATATTTATAGCAAAAAAAAGTTTGTTTCCCACTTCTCCATCTACTTCTTTCTCTCCATTCCTTTATTCCATCTCTACCTCCATCTCTTCTCGTTCATTTACATTCTATCATCAGTTGTAACAGACAGCAGATTGTTTATAGCGAAGCTGAGGTAAATAAATAAATAAATAAATTTTCATGTTGCAATGTAACTGTTCCTGATGGGAAGCAGAAGTTGAATTCCTCTAATTTGTTCTTTCACCTCTTTTATTTCAATATCAGCCTAAATTACAATTCAATATCGACATCACTACAGAAGGAGTAAAAAAAAAAAAAAAAAAAAAAAAAAAAAAAGCAATAACAACAGTAATAGCTCCATCGCATTCTCATCTCAGTTCACATCATTCTGTCATCATGTCCTTCTCTGCGCGCCCAGTCGACAGAGAGAAAGCAGAGTCTGAACTCGTCCTTCATATTAAGAAGGCTACTAACCCTGATGAAACTGCACCCAAGCAAAAGCATGTTCGAGGTAACTAGTGTCGCCATATCTTTTTTGCTGTTGACGTAATTGCGTTTTTTTGCTCATACTAGTCCTCCCATCATTTTTGGCTTAATGCAATTCAACATCAAACCTTGTTTAATTCTCATAATTCTGGTTTTCAGCCTGTATTGTCTATACCTGGGATTATCGCTCATCAACCTCGGTGTGGCATGCCTTCCGCACCCAGCCCATGCTGGGTGATGAGGTGCAGACGTTCAAGGCCCTCATATCCGCTCACAAGATTATCCGCGATGGACACCCTGTAGTATGTTTAGATCGAAAAACATGGATGTAATCCGCCATCAATCAGATTTGTTTGCTACTTTTCTTTTTGATCTAATGGGACTTCTCATGGTTAGACATTGAAAGACGCTCAAAAAGAGGCTGACTGGCTGGACCAGTGTGCCCGCTCCACCGCGCAGTACGACGGACGAGGTAAGGAACAACGCTACGTTGAGGGGTCATAAAGATGTAGATCTATAGTCGATTTGACACCGGCGTTTGCTTATGTTGAATAGGCTACAGTACTTTGATTCGTAATTATGTCGATTTTTTGCACTCCAAGCTGCGGTACCACGCCAATCACCCCGAATTCAATGGCACCTTTGATTATAAGGAGTATATCTCGCTTAGAGGTATCGATGACCCAAATGAAGGGTAAGGAAGGAAGCGATGCTGTTTAGACGATTTTATCTTTTTTCCTCTTTTATTCATATATCTAATGAATCTGTTCAAATATTGCCCGGGACTATTGTTTAGATACGAAACCATTACGGACCTGATGAACTTGCAGGATCAGATTGATCAGTTCCAAAAACTTGTCTTTGCCAACTTCCGACCTTCGTCCAACAACGAGTGCAGGATTGCTGCTCTGGTTCCATTAGTGGAAGAGAGTTATGCTATTTACAAATTTGCAACCAGCATGCTGCGTGCTATGCATAAGCGTACGTACAAAATGGAGTCTTGATATCTACTTTGGAAAAAAAAAAAAAAAAAAAAAAAAAAAAAAAATTAAGGATGACAGCCATAGCATTTACTTTTTTTTTTTTTTTTTTTTTTTTTTTTTTTTTTTCCAATTCGTAATATGTTACTAGGAACCAGCGACCCTGAAGGACTTGTGCTTTTGAGACAGCGCTTCAATGCACAACATTATGCATTGATCAAGTTCTACTATGAGTGCTCCAATCTCAAGTATTTGACCAGTTTGATCAGCGTTCCTAGATTGCCCCAGGACCCACCCAATTTGCTCGGATCTGACTCTCCCCCAATGACTCCTCAACGTAAACCTGTTGTTAAGGAAACGCCACCCCAAACTCCCGATCCTGATTGGGCAGCTCAGCAGCGCGAAATTGCAAAGAAGCAACGCGAATATGAACTGGAACAGAATCGACTTCAACAGCAGCGCGAGCTAGAAGAGCAGCAACGACGGATGGAGGCTTTGCGTCTGCAGCAGAATTTCGAGGAACAGCAGCGCCAACAAATGGAGCGAGAGCGTCTTCAACGCGAACAGTTAGCAAGAGAACAAATGCAACGTCAGGCTGAAGGTAGACTCGCAGAATTGGAGAGAGACGTTCTTGCGCTTCGTGGACAGTATGAGCGTGATCAAATGCTCATCAACCAATATGACCAAGTATGTCTCCACCAGCCAAAAAAAAAAAAAAAAAAAAAAAAAAAAAAAACTTAATGACTAAGCTGGGGTAGCAATTTTTTTCTAAGTAAACATGGGTCTTTCTTGTATTCTATTGAAACCATAGAGGGTTAAGGGATTAGAGAATGAGATGCAACTGATCAATATGAATGCTCAACAGCAACTTGCCTCCAAGGATTCTATGATCCAAAATATTCAAGGTAAGTCTAACAAAATAAGTGTGTTTGTTTTGAAGTATTTTTTTTTTTTTTTTTTTTTTTTTTTTTTCATCGCAATGCTAACTAACATGTATACTTTTTATTTTTGTATATCCATGTTTTGTTTTAAAGAACAAATCAATATTTGGAAATCCAAGTATGAAGCTCTTGCCAAACTTTACTCCCAGCTTCGTCAAGAGCATCTGGATTTATTAACGAAATTCAAGACAGTTCAACTCAAGGCTAACTCAGCCCAGGAAGCTGTCGACAAAATGGAGAAGATGCAGAAAGAAATCAAGGACAAGAATTTGCAGATGGCAGATATGGTCCGAGAACGTGATCGTGCCAAGAACGAATTATTGAGATGGCAGAATACTCAGAATGATGAGATTGCGAGATTGAAGCGTGATCTAGAGATGGCAAACGGACGTGTCGAAGATTTGGGACGATCAAAGAGCTCGGAAGTTGGTGCTATGGTGGCCAAGTTTAACCGGGAGAAGCAGGACCTGGAGGATCTGGCCAACGTACGTTCCGAACGCTGATATTCTCGGACTATGGATACGAAGAAAATAAGCACTTCATGTCTTGCTTTACTAAGATTCTTTTTTTTTTTTTTTTTTTTTTTTTTTGATTACGAATCATTCGTTTATATTAGCGCCGACAACGTGAAATTGATTCACTTGTTCGTCAAGTGGAGGATCAGAAGGCAGAGATTGAACGCATGCAAATTGAGAATGATGAGGAGAAGGCTGTTCTGGAGAGCGGCTTGGACGAAACTCTTCTTGAATTAGCGACGTTGAAGGACTCGCAGGGTGAACAAGCATCTGCTCTTCAAGCCCGCATTGACAGCATGACAAGCGCCCAGAAGCGCAAGTTGCAGCAGATTCTTGGTATGCTAAAAAAAAAAAAAAAAAAAAAAAAAAAAAGAGTACAGAAACTTATTCAGGTACTATACATATCTAGCTGACTTTTATTGTCAAATCTCTTATATGAACCCTTCTTTATTATTCCTCTGTATTTAGATTCTATTTTGGAGACATGCATTAGTAAGGTCGAGGAAAGCATCTACAATCTTGAGACACCTACACAACCGGGCAACCAACACGCTACACCTGAATTCACACTGTCTATGATTGAAAAAGCCCAAACTGCATCCACAGAATTTGAGCTTGCATTAATGCAATACCTGCGTACAGCATCTACAAACGATGTGAACCAGATCGAAGCTATTCGAGCTGCCCTTCAGCTCTCCCAAACGCTAGCAGAAGTGATGGACAATTCCAAGGGCATTACACGACTGGCCAAGAAAGATGATGATGCGGAGGAAATTGTACGCCAGGCAAGGTCCTCTGCTCAGGCAACTCAAGAATTCTTTACAAACGTGATGTCATCTCATTTAGGTGGTTTGAGTCCTGAGCGATCGATCACGACTATCACAAGGTCCAATGAGAATGTGCAAGCGGTCTTGGAGCGCTTGGCCAAGGCTGCTGAGAATTTGATACCCAAGAACAGTCAACTGGATTCCTCTAGATTGGATCTGGGTGATATGGTTGAGATGGAAATGGGTAATGCTGCCAGAACAATCGAGGAGGCTACAGCCCGCCTTCAGGCATTGATGGCTAAGCCCAAGAATGATGGTCTGTCCACGATTGAACTGCAAGTTAATGCCTCAATTTTGGAGAGTGCGATGGCGATGATGCAGGCGATTGGACACCTTATTAAATGTGCAACGATCTCGCAGCAGGAAATCGTGGCTCAGGGCAGAGGCACCTCCACGAATGCAGCCTTTTACAAGAAGAATAACCGCTGGACTGAAGGCCTGATATCTGCAGCTAAAGCAGTGGCTATGGCGACCACACTACTGGTTGAGACAGCAGATGGCGTAATCTCCAAAACACATTCAATGGAACAATTGCTGGTGGCGTCGAACGAAGTTGCAGCTGCAACGGCTCAGTTAGTGGCAGCATCACGTGTGAAGGCAAACTTTATGTCCAAAGCCCAGGACAACCTGGAGCGTGCATCTAAGGCTGTGACAGAAGCCTCGCGAGCATTGGTGAGAGCTGTGAAGGCTATTATGGAGCGTGAGATGAAGCAGCGGGAACAGGAGGTAGATTATCAAAACATGAATGCACATGAATTCAAGATTAAGGAGATGACACAACAAGTCGAGATTCTGAAGTTAGAGAAGGAGTTGACCTTGGCGAGACGTGTTCTTGGCGAGATGCGCAAGGTTTCATACCATCAAAGCGATGACTAAAAAAAAGTTATGCTTTTTTTTTTTGTCACTAATTCTAAAGAACTTGGTAATCAAAACAGAATAATAAAAATCAAAAAGGGATTAAATTAAGAGTTGTGTGTACAAACAGAAAATTCATGCTTGGTCAGTAGATCGTGCGATCACAAACAAACTCTCACACATCATAACTTCGACTAATTGATTATTCTATACTACAGTAATTAATACAGCTGATTGCAATGGATATTAGATTCATGTATGCTTGATATTTAAATTGGCTAGAAATGATATGACAAAATAGGAATATAGAAAGAGATGTAGAGTTTGCATGCATGCAGGCAGAAAGGTGTTTATTATTATTTCCAAAAGGATATCCTTCTTAGAAATACATTTTATCTGTCTCTTCAGTCACCCTTGTTTCTTTTCGCCTATTGCTAGGTGCAACCGGGATTTCAACCGCTGACAACAACCACCGTTTCGGTTGAAACGATGGTAAAGGCGCAACACCTTCGTGCTGATCTCGCAATACATGGTTATCCTGTGTGGTGCTAGCGGAATAATCATCATTAGGAATAGACTGCTCTTCAGTTTGTGTCCTTGGTTGTGCCATTTCTGATTCTGGGGTCTCATTTCTGATTGACACTGTACTGTCCAACACTCTTAGTTCCGCGTGCTGCGGCGAAGAACTGTTTGTTGGCATTGTGGCAGATGCAGCTGAAGCAGGTGATGAGGGGAATGTAGACATTGCCCCAACTTTAATTGCCGTGTAGTGTTCATCTGCGCTTTCATCCCCATCTACGATAAGCTTCCGTTTTTTGCCTTGTTGTATGCTCGCAGTATGCTCTAAATTTAGTAGGCCATACTCCGATGAAATCCTTGGCGCTGCTCGTATCTTCTTCCGAGAGGAAGAGAATGACACGAAGATTTCTGGTGTGAGAGGTGGTTTAAATATTGATTGTTTCTGTGGCTGGGAGCCATCTTCGGAGGAGATTGAAGCTGAATTGATTAATGCGCCATTGGAGGCTGGAACTTGTGTCGAGATTGACTGATTGTAAACACCTTCCTCAGGTCCACTTGTTGGACTTGGTTTTGCGATAGTAGAAACATTGTTCGGCTGGTTGGCTGCCGTACCTGACGATGTCACGGTATTGGCCATCGATATGAGTTGGCGTGCCTGCCCTAGACCCTGTTGCGTTGTTTCAAAATTCGTCAGTCCGTCAAAAGTTGGATCTTGCGGCCTGTTTGCTGCCGCTGTCGTTATTACTCGATGACTTTGGTGGTCTTGCTGCTCTTCCGCATGTTTGCTCATATCTAGAGTTTGTGCTGTCTGCTGTTGCAAGGGTGTCATAGCCAGATTCAGGGCCTGGTGCTTTTGATTCGAGAGTCGTGGCAGTTGGGGCGTAGGATCCAACCTTCCTTCCGTTAGGCTTGGCTGATTACTCTCGCTTGTCACTATGGGATCAATAAAAGCAGGTCTATCCATTGTAGGAGGACTCGCGATGCTCGTTCTTTCTTGATCCAATACATTTGATACTGAAGTAGAGGTCTCTAATGCCATCTGCTCCGCTGCAGGCCTTTGTTGCAGTTGTTGGTCGTTATTTTGTGCACTAGACAGCGGGGTATTTGAGGAATGCATGCTTGAGTTTTGAGCAGTCCCTGGCACTAGATGTGTTACTGACTGAATAATGCCATTTGATGCCCTGTCAGGATGGAAATAGCCTAAAGTAGGCCCTTTGATATCTCGAAAATCCTTCGCTGATGCTGTACCAGTGTTTAATGATGTATTATGCCTCCTCGCGACCACCATTACGATGTCTTCATAGTATTTTGCGATAAACCCGCTGTATTTAATACATTCGAGGCGCCACTTTTCTACTTCCTCCATAAGTGTTTTCACCTCTACATCCACCACGCCGCCAACCTGCACGTCCGTGCTCTGTACCTCCTGTCGGTTTCCCAAGAGCAACTTAGACTTCTCCACCTCGGCTTTGAGAGTATGATTAATGTGCGTAATATTTCTCAATTCATTCAGCCGGTGGTCTAACAATGCCCCCAATTGCGAGTTGACGACAGTCTTGTTATGGACCGACTCTTGCAGCTGTTCTTTTTCGCGTTCCAAAGTCGAAATCGCCGACAAATGTTCCCTTTTCTGAGAACTCAGAGTATTAATGTCATCCATCGCACGCATTAATTCTGAGGTGGCCATATCTAATTCGTTTTTGAGATTGATTAAAACTTGGTTTTGCTGCTGTAATTGTGTCAGATACTCGGCGTTTTGCCATCGCAATTCCATCAGGGTTCTATGATGCACTGGATATTGATCCAGGTAAGCGTCTGAATCCTTTTGTATATTGTCCGGGAGTGTAGATATTTGAATCAGCTGTTGCTGTTGCTCCTCTGTCGATGGACATGGTTGTCGATTCTCTGTCAGTCTCAGCTGGGCTCGCTCACTATCAACACGCGACTGAAGTTCTGCATATGCAATGCGGATATCATGTAGTTCTGTTTTTGTCTTATGCAGCTCTGCAATCAGAAGAGATACATCCCTGTCCATTGTAGTACTGAACCCTAGATATGACGGTTGTAAGTAGGATAGCATTGTCAATAAAAGATAAAAAAATTAAAACAATAGTAGTATTATTATTAAAAAGCGGGGAAACCTTGAGACACAACAAGACTCTTGCTGTCCTGTTTGCATACATTATGTAATACTATTCATATTGATAATCCACAAAGCACCTTTTAACAAATTCTCCATACTCCTGCTCAGTTGATCATATCGGCTTCGAGACAGCAATAACAACTTTTGTTTTAAAGCTTCAGCTTCAGCGTCGTTATTCCCAAGACTGTGTTCGCCTTCCACCTGTCCCTTGTAAAGTGTCAATGGCTGCTGGGAGGTTCCCATGGTCCGCCCCTGAGACATGTCACCATCAGGTATCTTTGGGCATGGCATGGAATTCGCAGCTTCATTAGTTGTGGTAGTTGTGGTCATAGTCAACGTGGAAGTAGATGTTGTCGTTGCAGCCACTGCTTTATTTGGCGATAGTGGTAATATATGTTGATCCATTTCTTTAATGATGAATGCAACAAGAGAGGAAGAGAAATTAGACAAAAGCAAATGGCCTTTTGTCCAAACACTTTTTGTCCCAAACAATTTTTTTTTTTTTTTTTTTTTTTTTTTGCCTTCTTCCTTATTGAGTTCCATCAGTACATGATACACACATAATGAATTCCACAGCATCCTCACCAGAATCATGTCTCTCAATTGACCGGGTCTTCGACAAGATTCATTCCTCTGATTACAAGGCTGCACTTGCCAACAGTGCTAAACGGAAACGAGTATTGAGCTTCTATGGTCAAATAACACACATGGTTAGCGCCACCAAAATGGGACATACAACAATGACTAATAATAGCACACCCTGTACTGCCATCGATCTTGACACATTTCCGAGCACACACGCACTGGACGTTATTATATCAGAAAAGCGCTACGCTTCTACTGCATCATCTTCCTCGGGTCAGCTGCTTGAGGTGCTTCAGGACTCTCGTCCCTATTCGCTCCACAAGGATGCCATAAAAATATTCCAAAAAATGTGGAATGGAGAGACTCCTGACCATATCATCTGGCTAAAGCAGTTGCAGGAACAATCAATATCAGAGACAGCTCGAGAGTGTTCACGGATCGAGAATGAACAACAAGCGGAAATAGCAGAAAAAATGACTAAGAGCGGTATAAATATGATTCAGCTCTCGGATGATGAATCAACGACGATCAGCAAGGGTACTACTGCTAGCAACAGTGAGGAAGAAATTGATTCTCCTGAGAACGATGGAAAGGAATCCGTAACTCATCGGTCAGATCCAGGGCATGGATACTACTCCATTGACAGAGCTAATGTATTTCAGTCAAAACATGAGGGAGAAAACCACTCTATCCCAAGAATGCCACAAAAAATCGTTGCTGTTCTACTGAATAACTGCCTTGTCGACACTCAAAATCAGAACAACACTCTTTCAGGAGAATCTTCGACGAGCGCACTCCTTACTCTTGGTTCTGTAATGGAGGTTACAAGAGCTGTTATGCTTTGGGAAGAGATCAGTAAGGAAGAAGGCGCCAAAGTATCATTTCTTGGAATAGCAGGGAAAACGAAGGTTAGAGCAATGCCATTATCCCCTTCTCTCATGAAGAAGAGATCGATTAACAAAGGAGTAATGCAGGGCAGCAAAATATTGAACAAAGCAGATCAATTCACTATTCATCATCAAGTAAGACTTCACCATGAGCCTGAGCGACCTGGGAAGCGAAAGCGAGCACGATCTCCTGTTTTTTTTAGTGATGAGAAAGGTATTGACGTCCCAGAAAGCTCTCTTCCTGTGCAAAGCAGACCTCCGAAGACAAAGCCAGTTATTTCAGAGATGTCCGAAACATTAAAAGTCTCAAAGTTGATGACATTCAAGCAACAGAGGGACCGACCACGAGCCATAAGCCCTTTAGACCTTTTTGTTCGACGGAGAGCTGATTACAGCCCTCAAAGTGACAGCTTTGATGATGGTATTATTTTTCTTTCTGACCTATGGTCATCACTACCATTTTCCAATATGACTACTGATGCCTCCACCTATTCAAATGATGAATCTATCAAGGTACCAAACCTTGACATTACCAGACACATCTGCTGGTTGACTCGGATACACACTATAATAATCCGGGCGATCTGTAACGAGTGCAATAACGATTACAAAGGGATGAGTTGTATTTTTGGATGTCTATCGCGCAAATGGCGCCTCCACACCCATATGGAATGCTCGATCACCGACGGCACTGCGGAAGCTAAGTTGGTGCTTTCTGCCGACCAAGAGGATATCTTGTGGACTCTGTTAGGGCTCAAAAAACGAAGCGATGCAGGGGCAGTCGACAAGGGTTCTAACGAAGCCATGGACAGAGCAGGCAGTGGTAATATTGTGGATCGCAATTTAGGACTAGACACAATGTTCAGCTCCAGAAGTACTAATTTTGGTAAAAGCTGCTTCCATGAAAGCCAACAAGAAACCATAAACAAAGTACTTCAGAGTCTGGCTCGAAGAGGCAAGTTATTATACAAGGCGCCAGCTGCATCATGCTTCAATCGGAATGTAAAATCTAGCGACCATAACGAGGGGATTGAACATGTTACCAAGATTGATCAATACCAGACACCACAAGAACTTGCAGAAGAACAAGTCTGGTTAGACATCTGTACCGCTGTGTGGCGAAGATGCGAACGCTTCATCTTGCATGCTCAAATTGTATCTACAGCACCCTCAACAGACATAACAATATCAGCAAAAGCCTCAACTACCGTCACAAAAAATGTGCCACTCAAAATTTCAATGACTCGGATCAATCACCAGAAGACTATCCAAACGTTAGTGCGGCCACCACTTGTCCTTCGCGCCATTTATGTAAAATGGATTACACCGAGGACAGAGGCTAACGTTCTGTTGGGCCAATTGATTCATTCATCGCAATAAAGCCATGGTATCATCATCCTTGCCCAAGTGACTATATGGACCCTTTTATTATTTAATCTTAATAAATAAGCATATATCAAGTATTACACTACTGGTTGGTCAATAGCATTAGAGAACGTGCTCACCACGATGCTTCTTCTCACTCTTTTGCATAATCTTTAGAAACTCTTCAATGGTAATACGGCCGTCTCCAGAAACATCACCCTCTCTAATAATCTCATCAATATCGGCCTAACAGGGAGAGAGTTGACATTTTGCAAAAGAGAAAACAAAAAAAAATTAGCTTTTAATGTAGCAAAATAAAAGGCTTTACCTTTTCTTTTCTTTTCTTTTCTCTCTCTCTTTCTCTCTTTCTCTCTTTCTCTCTTTCTCTCTTTCTTTCTCTCTTTCTCTCTTTCTTTCTCTCTTTCTCTCTTTCTTTCTTTCTCTTAATATATATCCGGTACACAAGATATTTACCTCTGATAAAGCATTAAGTCCCAAGAGAGATTGAATTCCTGCACGTAGCTCTTGCGCGGAAATATGTCCAGAACCGTCCTTGTTCATAGACTGAAACGCGCGTCGATAAGGCTCCTCAGGATCTTTGCCCTCATCACTATTGTAGCGGTTCATAATATCTGTAAACTCTTTAATATCGATGGGGTGGTTAGGTAAACGGATGGTTGCCTTGAGCTCTTCATCTCCCAATGTCTGTCATCATGGGAATCGAATAAAAGCCAATGTGAAAGTATCCGCATTTTCAAGTGCGACAAGTAAATACAACTGGGTATTAAAAAAACAGCTCTTTCAATAGTACATGTGGCATACTGCTACAAGGATATAAATGAACGAAAACCTCGACGTTTATTGGAAATACATTAATAAAAGCCTGGAATGCAGTTGGTTCAATCCTCCCAGTGTTTTGAGGATCAAAAAGACCAAAGGCTTCCTTGATGTCTTCGGGATGCATACGAGACATGGCGAATGAATAATGAGTGAAAAAGAATGATGCAGCATACAAAGCTGACAACTGGTAGGTTTGTGCGCATGGTCACGAGAATGTGTTGGAACTAAAAGTCATTTTTATTGAATTCTTTAAACGAAGAAAATCCTTTTCTCTGACCCAGCTACTTGTCTATTGACGCTCTTTGGTTTGTTAATACCAATTCCCCTCTAAATATTTTTTTATACGCGAAGGCCAATCTGGTGTTCCATAATAGTGTGAGGATCCACCATTTCTGTCGACATTTCGGGAACTATTATTGTAAAGATAGAACAAAAAAAAAGAACTTAGTTCATCGACAGATACCAATGAGCGACTTCTTTTTTTTTCTTTTTTTTTTTTTGGGCACATCATCTTACCATTCAAGAAGTCTTCAAAGTCAATTGTCTCGTCCTTGCCCATCAAAATATCCAATCCAAGATTTGACCGTTGTGGCAGCATAGATGGCCCACGGGCTTTGATGACTAATTGACGCTCCATGGCCATCTTAATAGGTGCATGCATTCCATACATATTGCGGGCCAAGCTCATCTTGAGGTCTTCTTGTGTATTCTCCCACTACCATAATGCAGTTCAACCATTCATCAAATGTCGTATATTTACAGGCCATTAGTAAGTCACGCAAACATGAGTCGTTTTTTTAACAGCGATGGATCAAGGTCGAAGAGATCATTTGAAAAAAAAAAAAAAAAAAAAAAAGATACATATTTTATCTCTTCGTTGGTCGTACCTCAGCTAGTCGGTTCTCCAAAGGGTGCTTGGCTGTAACTTCACTTGCAATCTGCCTCATACCAAAGCGCATTGTATCGTGAAGACCATATGAGTTGGATGTGTCGAAGACTGAAGCAGATCCCGCAGTAGTGGGTTTGCTTGAAGGTGCGAGGCGAAGAGACTAGTTGGAGATACAATTGAATAGAGTAGGACATAACTTAGATTTCCTAACATCCAAGGTATTTACATCACAAGAAGAATATTATTCCTTTATCCAAGCTCTTATAGTTTGGTTGGATCCTCAACAAGCATCATACCATGATGAGATGTGTTTATGAATGTTTTTAAGAAAAAGAGTGGTTTGAATGTTCCCTGAAATGTTGGAATGAATAACTAAATGCATGCGTAAACCTACAGGTATACGCGTTTTTCCCAGTCACTTTTAACACGCTGACGTTACCCAAATTTTATTTTCTAAATCTAATTCTGTGTGATCCTCTACCCTGTCCTCAAGCAGGTAAAACTTCTATAAAATGTTTGCTCTGAATGTGGGAACCATAAAATAGACGCATCGCACACCAACGCTGAATAGGATAGCTTATCCTTAGGAAGCTGGTGCCTTTTCTTCCATGTCCTCAGCTTTTGTGTCCACGGAGCTGATTACGCTGACGACGCTCGTGCTATCTGACGCATCTATAGGGCTTTGCGAATTGGTCGCTTTTAAAACCTTGGAACCTTTGATCCTCCGCGCAGAAGGCTGGTTGGTAACAGGAATATACTCAAACTTCCTTGAATCCAGCTCCAATGTTACAGGCCCATCGTTGGCAATGTTGACCAGCATCATCGCACCAAACTCTCCATCTGGATAGAACATAAGTCATTAATTGAGGCAAGAAGTAAATAGAAGGACAAAACTAATCACCTTCTCAAAACTTTTCAGCCTCTTTTTCGTTGTTCTTATTGCTGCTATTGTTGATACTCTTATTTAAACCTACCTTTGATTCGCTCTGCTTTGTATGCTTTCCTGAGTCGATCCAAGAAGTCGTGATACATTTGCTTAGACGTCTCTGATTTCATAGACATATGAAAGTCGGGTTTGCTTCCCTTGACAACCTGGCCATAGAGCGTGAACTGTGATACTAGTGGTTCATTGAGAAAACAAGCAAAATCAGAATCGAGAACATTAAACTCATCTGTCCTCTTTATATATATATATATATATATTTTACCACAAAGAATTTCGCCCTCAATATCAACGACGCTCTTCGCCCACATCTTTGGTGCTGCACTCTCGTCCTGCAAACTTGTTGTTGCTCCTGCTAGAGCATTCATGTTGGAATCAAACACTCGTACATTAAGGAGCTTGCGCACCATGAAGTCAATATCTGCGGACGTATCATCGACAGAAAGCCCAACTAAGACACAGATACCCTGCTTGATGCTTGAAATCTGTTGACCATTTACTACAGGTACACATTGGACATTAGTGAAAAATGAAAGTCTTCATCACTGATAAACCATTATAATATCTCGTTATACTGGCCCCCATCCCCACCTTCCACACTTGCTTGAAGGACTCTTTGTAGTACCTGTCAAAAAAAATGTATTCGCAGTATTATTATAAGACCGTGAATTCTTAAAATAGTTGTCAAAGTTTATTGCAAGTCAAAAAAGTAAATACTCACAGCTCTCATTGTGTGTATTGGAAATGAAGGTGCAAGCAATGGAGCAAAGTGTTCAAATGATCAGAACAATCATCTCGCAGCTTTCATCGTGACTGTGGCACCATTATTCTTCTGTAGAAAACCTGATTTCAAGATATAAAGGAATATATGATTTTATACAAAGCTAATATTATATTAAGGTTATAGATATTTGAATGATGATAATCTACCACCCTTCAATACGTCCTCCGCGAGAGTCAGAATGGAAACTGTTGTGGCCACCACTATTGGCACCACTACCAATGTCGCGCTCACTGCCTCCACGGCTCATCTGCCTCCCTTCTAATACAGCATCAAATGTACCTATACTTGCGCCAGCTACAAATCCAGGGAAAGGCGGGGGCGTTGAAGATGCTGAAGGCAAGTTGAAGTCGTCCACAAACCCCGAACCTGATCCAGGTCGACGCAATAAGCCCAGGTTTTCGAAACTGTTATGGTTATTAGTATTGCTTCCGCTACTCGAACCAACTCGGCTATGGTGAGCACTGCCAGACCTATTGCTGGCGCTATTGTTGTTGTTACTCTCTGCTGCACCAACATTGCTGCCACTATGACCGATTGTATTCCTGCCAAAGATCCGAAGGTGAGGAGATGATGATGAAGGCGTGCCCCCATTGCTAGAGCCGCCATGGGGCCCTAAGGAAGGAGACTGTGATTGTGATCGCAAATTCAACATAGCACCTGTTAAAGGAAGCATCGCTCGATCATGAGATCCGCCAACCGCTGTCATGATAGGCTCCTGTCCAAAATTTGAAGTGGGACTTAGCTCGCTCATGATGAACAGCATGTCGTCGTCGTCATTAATACATGTATTTGCTTCATGCTTATAGCTCCGATCACCCCTCAATCCTATCTCTTGGATATCACCCTCTTCATCTTCATCCTCGTCATCATCACCATGACTGTCCCGTTCGCCCCGTTGGCTACTGCCGATATCTGTAGGGTTCACTTCATTCAGAGGCTCATTATCATCTGGCGCGCGCGTACGAAGCCTTGGTAACGTAAAGCCTGTCCCATTCAATCCATTATTTAACCGTAGCAATCGATTAGGCCGACTACTATTGGTTATCTCTCCGCTCATATGTGATGGAATCGGCCTTGGATCAGGCCCAAAAGGTAAATCTAAGATTGGGTAGATGTTAGCAACCAAGCTTTTCCTATCTCGTTCCGCATCTAATGGGGCGGAATAAAGAGAATGCTGATGATGGACATCCTCTGGAAATGATCCAAAAGCGATGCCTTCCGGAGTGGCGACAGTCATCCGATCCATTGCTTCCTCCATATCTAAAATGCTCCTTCGTTGATCCAGACTTCCATGTCGGAAAGCAATACTGCCTACATTGAGACCCTTAAGATAATTGTCTTGCTGAGGCCCACTGGCGCTGCCAACACTACTACTGCTTCCTCCTATCAACCAGGACTGCCTCCTTATTCCGCTACTGTTTGAACCGGCTGTCGACCGAGATTGAAGTGGCTGAGAACTCGATTGGGGATGGACTGGGATTTCAGAATGCAGAGGAGAGGGCGTTGGTGGCTGGTGCGAGAATGACTGTGAATGTCTATTTACATTTGATGATGCCGAAGAACTAAACAGAGCACCACTGGAGCTATTGGGACCCATATCACTCACAGCCGATTGTCTATTGAGATGTCCTGTTGCGATTGCCAAAGGCGTTGAACACCCCGCTTGCTGCTGTTCCTTGGTAATCAATTGGCTTGCAGACATTGAGTCTGACAGATTGGCATTACTCTGCTTAAGTTGCTGAAATCGGTCTAGCGCTGTCCTGTTTCTGAGCGTTGAGAATGAAAGACTATCTCCTGACGTAAAAGATGGCCCAAGGCTGGAGTTCCCAGCTTTTCCAAAGAGCTTCAGTGGCTCTGGCGCTGCTAGCATCTGCACAAAAGCATTTACATCGTCATCGTCCGGAGTAAGTTGGAATGGAGACTAGCAAAAAGTGTGTTTTGAAGCAACATTAGGAACGTAATAAATTGGCTGCTTGTCAAGAAGTTATCTGTAACATTTACTTTTGCTTACAGAAGAGCCTATTATAGAATTGCGGTTCCCTCTTCCACTAGGCAAGCTCTCGCTTGATGCTCGACGACTGGAGGAATCATGACGATGGCCGAAGCTTGATGTTACACGAGGAGCAGAAGTCGAGGAGGCATTGCTCTTGGCTGAAGTAGACAAGAGATTGGCTCCTGCGTTAGGGATGCTAAACGACGCTCCAGAGTTATTTCCCGCCAAGATACTGCCTGATTTTGGGATTGAACTGAGTGATCCTGATCCTTGCTGAGAAGACTGTCCACGATGCATAGAGGAGGAGGATGGAGAGCGATTTAGATGAATAGAAGACGGTTTTGAGGAAAGAGAGGATGGTAATGCTTCAAGGTACGATGGTGAAGGTGAAGATGACAAGGAAGGTGATTTGAACGGCGAGAAAGTAGATGAGAGGTTTCTACGGTTATCAGGTTGACTTGCCTATGGAGGATAACAAAAGCATTGAAGGTTAGAAGCTATGAACAAACGGATACGCTCCAAAAGGTCTTACTACTATTGTACTTTACCCCCATCTTGAAGGGAGGGCTTTCTGCTATAGGATCAACATAATGCTTCGCCACAAGAGCATGTCCTCCGTGCGTTAAAGAAAAAGGTGGAGTACCAGTGGGGTTTTGAGGATCCATGGAAGCTATAAGTCCTCCTGAGGCGCCACTTGAGCCCCGCCGCGACATACGGGTGCCTAGGGACGACACTGACGATTGCGAAGACGAATTCTCACCGGACCGCATTTGTAATGATTGTGCGCTGTTGCGTCGAGGCCGAAAGTTTGGAACAGCGTTATCAGAATAAGTTCCCGAACTGTATAGTTCACTAGTAGGCCTTTGTACCAAAGGTACTGATGACAGTGCTCGGCGCTGTGGATTCTACATATAAACAAGACACCAATATATCAGGGATCCAGTTGAATAAAAGCCAAAACCCATTATTACAGAGCACAAAGCTGATGAGTTTAGGGTTACAACTTACATCCAAGCTTGGCTGCCTCATCAACCTAGGCGGCTCTTGTGAATGAGTGGCAACGGTTGGTGTAAAGTAATTTTCGTCCATGTCTATAAATCTGGAGCTCAAAACAGCTTCAGATTCATCGACATTAAACTCGCAATTACATCGATAAGTGACTTTAAGGGAAAATGCCCTATAGACCATGAATTTGATATCAATAATATAAAATAAATTGGACTTGATCAATAAGCTAACTACTTACTGTCTAATAAACAATAATGTCTTACCCAATAGATGTCTCCACTTGACCAAAACGATATTCTGCCAGCTTAGGCCGCGTCTCTCCTTCGATCAATGGTACCTCTATGATAAAAGAGGCCATGAAATCATGAAAATCCAAAAGGAAATACTGTTACTGCCATGTCGAAATATTACCATTTTTTCATCTCTTCAGCGGAACAAAATTCGAACGACTGTAGCGTCAAAGTCCAATTAAAGTAAGAGTATACGATACACTCTATGCACCGCTCTGTATATCACGTTGCCAACTAGAAGCAAATAATAGAAAAGCATGCGTGGGCAGAAAGCGACATTTCGCAAGTATCCTTACCAATCCCAATTTCGGAATCTCGAAATATACTTTCTTCAGGACTGTGACCTCTGCTAACTCGAAACCCAATTTTCAGTGGGTGGTTCTGCTTCCGAAGACGGCGATATAGTTGATAGGCAGGTAAGAGACGCATGTATGCAAATAATGACCTGAAAAATATAATTGACTTTTTATACACGACAGGTGGCTCTGGGACAGGCTCTGGAGGAGTATTACTAAAAGGGAGAAAAGCTACATCTATTAATAATTTAATCCATCACTGAGGTCCAGGGTCGTCAAGCTATAGTGCAAATACCTGAGTGACAAGGACCAAGATTCGAGTATAATGTTTCGTCGCATTCTAGTTTGGCCTAGCGGAGTAGAAGCTGTCGATGATCCTGCAATATCAACCCTGTTTTTACGGTTGTTTTCGTCCACTAATACTAACATTTGATTTGATGAAAGCTCTGAAGTGTCTAACAGCAGCTCAACCAGCATGGCTGGCGGAGACTCTGTGATAGCAATCGTCCTCCAGAATTTGGCATCTTCCTTGTAAATATCTAGGTCCTCTAGCTCCAAATTGAACTGTTTATTCAGGATATAAAAGCTGTCAACACATGTATCAGTGAGATAGAACATGAACAAAAGCATCCTATACTAGACCTACCCATTTGCTTGTCTTTTTTACTAATGGTGTACCCCGCAAGGATCCTTTCCTAGGTGTGTTGCTACCAGTATAATAATCCGGATGTGTCACACGAGCCAGAACTACAATTTGGATGACTTTTACATAAAAGTACTGGCGAAAAATGGTTCAAAGAGCGCGTGTTAATAGATTGGATTTTGATATCTGATCCAGAGAACAAGCAGTACAAGAGTACCTGAAGGATCTGGTCGGTCTTTTGGTTTCTTGGTGGTGGAGGAGGTTGCTGCATTGGAGCGGGGTGATGGGGTGGTTGCTGACTCGGTTGACGCTGAGACTGTAATAAATTAGACGGTGACGATGATGTGTCGGAAGAGAATGGAACAAGTGAGTTTGGTTTTGAGCTGGACTGATAGTATGAAGAAATGCTTGTGTGTCTATTCATGAGTGGTATGGTTTGGGTCTAAAAGAGGGGCGCAGGCCTAGGAGAATTTCGCTCGCGTTTTCTTTTCAGTCACTTGAAGCTAGATGGTTAATGGAGCGACATCGAAGGGCAAGAATAGAGTCAGGGTATATGGAGATGGAAGGAAAGAGGACAATTCAATATATTAAGAGGTGGTACAACAAAGCCGGTGCATGACATTGTCATTCCTTGTTAAAAAGGGAACAGCACAATGGTGGTTCTAATTGCGTTTCACACTTTAATATCAGAGCCACCTGTCTCGATTGCCGCTTGCGACCACTGCCTGTGCTGTTACTGCTAGGGCCAGTGCTGTTCATCTAAGAATACTATCCTTGGCTGTTCTTGAGCTGCAGGTACAAAGGCCACTGTTGGTGGATGAGATGATGGCGGATGACGTTGGCCATATCGTGCTGACATGGCCGCTGCCTTCCTTGGCCTGGATGGACCCTGGCAATAAGACACATACTCCAACGATGAACGCTTCCCTGAGACCTAGCTACAGCACTTTGATCCGGAAGTCGTCTGTGCCTGCGAGAATTGAAGTGGTGCGGGGAGAGAGCCTACCTTTGTCCAGTCGTCTAAGTTGTCCGCTTTCAGCTCCTTTGTTTGTAGGCTAGAGGCTGGTGGAGGAAGCCGTCCACCTTGATGGACCCACGAAGAATATCGCTGCGTCTGTAGCAATCGACGGGCAAAAAGTCTTGTCCCTGTAGATCTAAGTGGTTTTGGTCTCTTGAAGATGCATTTTTATTGTACTATTCCTGTATGATCGCTGTTTCTTGGGTTGTTCCTTGTCATAACCTTCAACACCCGTAAGAAATTTGGTCCTGGCCCCTTACTTGAAAGCCATATATACATACCGTTTCAAGAAAGTCTCGATTTGGGCATACCTGAAAGTGCTGGACTGACAATACCTTGGCACATCGCTTCCAAATCGGCGCTTTTCAACCAGGTCTCGACGAATGTATCTGTCTTCCATCGATGATATTGGTGTAATCTTCCGACGATTGCCAGCAGCCTTGTTGAGGAGCAAAAAACCCTCGATCGCAGGAACTGTCGAGTCAATCCCGAAGTATAGCTGCAAGGGACTGGCCTTTGTTCTTTCGGATTCGAATCTACGAAAGTATTGATAGTGTTAGCACCGTTCACTGGATACGCAGAAGTGCATATACCAGCGAGCCATGAGCATGGGCATTGTACCTGCGCAGGAGGGTTCTGTGGCCTTTCCTTGGAATAGACTTTCGTTACAGCTACCCTCTCTATCACAATAGCGTTCAAGGAAGTGGGTGCTAGATGAGATATCTCTTTCCTGGTCTTGGAGCAGTCTATGATTGGCTAAACGTCTTTTACTTTACTGATGAAGCTTGAGATCATCAGAGGATTTAGTGTTTGATAGAGATCTGCAATCGTTCACATATTGTGAAACGTCTGTAAAAACATGGCTATAGGGTTTCCCCAGCCGTCAGTATAGGTCATTATCATTCTGATACACATCCTCATGGGACACCTAAAGGCAGAACCTGTCCGAGCACTTCCCTATTTTGTTTTGGATGCCATTCCTTGATAGTTGCTCGAAGTAAATGGCAATGACTCCATCACATGTATGCCGAATTTCAGAAGCAAGGTAGATGACACCCTAGAGGTATTTCCTAATCATAGATACCAGATCGTTCAATGCTCGCTTATCACCGCCCCGGGGCACAGGAACGAGCTGAGTACCTTCATAGGTTGGTCGGCTAGGAATCGTTTCCCTAGTACTCATCTCAAGTTGCAGTGGATTGTGCTGATATTCAAGACAACTGTGAGATGTTCGGGGTACATTATGCACATCTGATCCTTTTATCTCTGGGATTGACATCTTTCTTGCCACATTGTGAGGGATCGACTCTTTTACTTTCAAAAGTGTGGGTTATCTTGGTTACATACTGATAACAATAAAGATGAAAGACGATTATGCATATTATGAATGGAGTAAATCCCTAGAATTAGCCCACAATGAGGAGTAAGCATTGTAGGAGTATCGGCGATCCAGGATGCTTGGTGACCGTATGCACACGCATGCACGCTTTCCCTGATTAGGGATAGTGTAAAGCAATTTCCCTCTGTTGCAATGTGGAGTAACTAAGACCAAAAAAAAAAAAAATGCATCGAAGCCTTCTCTCTTTCTATTGTTATTAAATCACTCTCTTATAAATCTATCTTTTCTTGTTTCCTGTTCCTCCGCCTTTCTTTTCTCTCTTTTCCAGTCATCTGTAGCTCCATACCAAGAACCGTCTACAGCGCTATATATGTCTGGAGCATCTCCTTCCTCCTTGGAGCCTCAGAGCCACCTTGACCTTCCAACAGGGAGCACACGGCCTCGCACTCGGAGCAACAACATTGACCATACCCAGCCCCAGTCTCCGCAGCGCCTACTCCATCCAATACAGACACAGCCACAGCAGCTGCAGTGTGAGCAACAACCAAACAGCAGCCCGGAGCTCCAAGTTGTCTCGCCATCCACGGCTGCACTTGATCAGATCTTGCTAGACCTGTCGCAACAGCATCACACTCATTCAAATCAAGGTTTCTCATCCACAACATCCCTGGGCGACACAACACATGGAACACAATCCTCAAGCGATTCAGCTTCAAGCGATTCAGCTTCAAGCGATTCAGCTTCAAGCGATGCACGTCTATATTCCATGAAACAAGACGCACTTCTGGCTATGGCCAGAAACAGTAGCAGCAATACTAGCACGCCGTCACATACAAGGATCGTCTTTCCTTCGAGCGCCAGAGCAGAATACTTCACTATCCCAAACAGCCCAGGGACCGTCCACTATTCAAGTAGTAGTATCTACGGCAATGGAGGGACCAACTCTACAGGAAGTCAAACCAGTCTAGCTCCTTCTAATGGTAGCCTCAGTACACACATTGGCAGCAGCCCATTGCAGTATCGACCTCACACCCCGCTAAAATCGTCTTTCTCGCCTTCGATCTCCTCGGACCATCCTTCGGACACTGTAATGATATCTCCTTCTGCATCATCAAACGCTCATGGAGAGACAGGAGCATCAATCGCAAAATCTGCTTCAGAAAACTCATTTGAAACAAATACGGGCGCACAAACACCGGCACTTTTCAAGTCCCTTTCAACCAAGAAGACTGGGCGAAACCCATACATGAGCAACGAAAAACAGTTGGGGCCTCTGCCGACAATAAACCGTCAGAGCGGACTAGGACGGCGTAAGTCTCTTTTTATTTAGTTCACAACAAACGGATCCTATCCCTAGGAGGTGCTACTTCAGCTTGCTCGACGCTCGTGGGAATTCGGATGGAAGGTCGAAATAGTGCGACAATGAGCCACGTATGATAATGAATGATATTGATCTACTTAGTCTCAATGGGGGAGAAGGCTTCCGATAATGAAAGAGAGCAGCTTTTTAACATACATGCAATCAACCCTCAGTTCTCATAAAATCCCCATTATTGGATCCAGAGTATCTAGACGACATTAACCATTACACTACTAACATATCGTTGTGGGTCCATTCAAACATAACGAATGCGGACTAATATCGCAAATTATAGCATCATGAACTCACCCTCTAATTGCATCACTGCCGTATTTGTTTTGGACATTCAATAGATGACATGGCGGCTGCCTACGGGATATCAATGAAACATCTTTCGTTGATTGTCTTACTGCTACAGAATAGCGTTTTGGTTCTAATGATGCGTTACTCCCGAGTCTCGGTGGATCCAGATCAACCTATGTACCTTGCCTCAACTGCCGTTTTTATTGCAGAGATTATCAAGCTTTGCACTTGTTTCATAATACTTGTCTTCAAAGCAAAGTCAATCACTCATACCACCTACATTATCCAAAAGGAAATTTTGGAACAACCTCAGGAGATTCTCAAGATGCTGGTACCATCGGGATTGTATGCGCTACAGAACAATCTTCTTTACATTGCCTTGTCTAATCTAGAGGCAGCCACCTTTCAAGTTACCTATCAGATGAAAATCCTTTCCACTGCTATGTTTTCGGTTGCGATGCTCAATAAGCGGCTAACGCGGCAAAAATGGCTTTCGCTTTGCTTGTTAATGGTTGGAGTTACATTGGTACAACTGCAGAACGTGGGCTCTGGGAAAAACTCAGCGATAACCGACACTTCTGGAGACGGTGGAGCTGAATCTGAGTATCTTGACGCTATAGCAAGCGATCACAGGAACAAGACCAGCGGCTCTCTAAGCAGTGCCTTTGGAGAAGATGAGATAATTACCAGTCAGAACCCTATAGTTGGGCTACTGGCCGTATTGACATCTTGTGTTTCTTCTGGTTTTGCAGGTTGCTATTTTGAAAGGATTTTAAAGGGCAGTGAATCCGACATGTGGGTGCGCAACTTGCAACTCGGGATTTCAGGATCGATGTTCAGTTTCCTAGCAATGTTTTATGATCGGGAGAAAATCTATGAGGGTGGTATACTCCAGGGGTACTCTGCTATTACATGGATGGTCATCGTCAATCAAGCATTAGGAGGCTTGCTGGTTGCAATCGTAGTCAAGTATGCGGATAATATTCTGAAGGGCTTCGCAACATCTTTGTCAATTATCGTCTCAGGTATAATCTCCGTTTATTTCTTTGATTTCGAACCATCGATTCAATTTCAGCTTGGAACACTTGTGGTAATCTTAGCAACATTCCTGTATGGACGACCGGATGCACCTGTTCCTGGGTTTATACGCCCTAGGAAAAAGTAAGTAATTGGGAGCTTCACTTATAAATATGCTCCTTAGGCCTCTAGTCCTTTGACTAACCTCGCTATGACCTATCCGACTATTCTTCTGCTGTCTTTAGGAGGCAAAGCATGCCGCCGCCTTTGAGGTATGCGTCATAAAAGGATGCTAACAAGCTGGCCAAATGGGTTTCCATAAGGCAACTCGGAATTTTCGGATTATGCTTGATATGGGTTGGCAAGTCAAGAGATCACGAACCTATTATCTTGAATTGCTAATTGGCGACCTCTTTTTTCATATTACTGCTTTTTATGGGAGCGATGCTCTTTCATTGCTCTGATCTGCAGGACCAGATCGCAGGCTACACACAATGTATAGATAAAGGCTTTCTTTCTTTTTTCTTAGTCCTAGTTTGTCTTCCTCTTCATAATCTTTACTCAATAAACTCAGGAGCCAATCCCAAATATCTCATTTGTTAATCTGCGCCACCAAAATGTATTATTATGTAATAAACCCAAAGAAGCCCGTGGCTCATTATTTTAGCTTTTTTAGTTGATGGCTTTCTACTTCCTTCAGATCTTTTCATTTTCCCAAACCTCATTTTGTTGCCATGCCATCGAACCACAAGTCGCAGCAACCTTCTCAGGCAACACAATCTACTTCAACTTTCCCACATACAGAGAATGTGTCCTTCAATAGTAGCCCTAGCCCAGATCAAGCCAAGAAGGAAGAGCCTCTTTATGGGTGGCTCATAAATCGACATACGCTTGAAGGTATAAATGATATTAAACATTGCATTATGTATGTTTGCGATTACGTTCAGTATATTTTATTCCTCATTAACCTTGTCCGATATCTCTCTCTCTTTCTCTTCATGGGCTTTTAGTATGCTTGTGCATTCATAAAGGCCAAATAGCAATTATTGGACGCCATCCCACATGGTACAAATTATTCTTTTTGAAGGCAACAACACGTTGTATAAACATATATTGAATATGACGTCCGCTATTTCTATCTTCGATAGTGATTTGGTTCTTACTGAGAAAACCGTCTCGGGCTGTCATTGTCAATTTTACACGGTTCGTTAAACTTTATCAACTCAACTGGACCCTGAGAAGCACCGTGACAATAGAGGATGTCTAAACAAATGTTCCTAACACGTATATAGAAATCTGAAGGCCTTGTCCTTTGTGAGGTAGCGAATTATTAGAAATATATTAATCTGCTATTTTCCAAGTATATCTGGCTCTTTGCTGACAGGTTTCAAATGTGCAGGACACAAGCACCAATGGCACCTATTGTAAGTTCGTTTCGATCATGCTTTCTTAGGGAAATTTCATGTATCATGCTACAGCCCTTTAACCAACAACAACATAAACATATTAATGCCTTGCATAAATAAAGGGAACGGGAGGCTTATCGGCAAAGGAGAATCCATTGTACTTTCGCATGGCGACTCAATTAGGGTCCGAGGCAGCCATCGTATGTTTGCGTCCCATTACTGCCGTATCCGTATAGCTGATTCAACATAAATGCTTGTTACTAGACTAATCTCGTACCAATTGAGGTGATAGACTTTGCTTTTCAAGACACGTTGAAAACGATACCAGGGCACGATGATCCTGAGATCGAGGTGAGAGCACAGCCATTAGTTTGCAGCTATTTTCCCCGATATGTAATGGTTAAGGAAATAAATAATGTTTTGCATAAAAATAGACAATAGAGAAATCGTACCAGCTTCTTCCCCGCACACTAGGGAAGTAAGTATATTATTATTATTATTATTTTTCACATTCAAGGTCTTGGATAATATTGACATGGAGTACAGTACATAACTTGTAATAATCAAAACCCCATCGTCCTCTATGATAGAGGAACGTTTGCTAAAGTGTATGTGGCAGTTCATCGTAAAACAAAAGTTCAGTTAGCTGTCAAAATCATGGATAGGATTCGATATGGCACCCCTGAGCATTCTGGAGGAACAGATATTGAGAAGGAAGTCGTCATTTTACAGAGTGCTAATCACGTAGGTTGTGGTGCTGGAATGTAGAGATTTGAGTTTTAAGATGACTACTACTCCTACTAACAACAGATTAGCCTAATATTACCCCTGTGGTAGATGTTCGTAAAACAACTCGCTACATTTATATTTTTATGCAAATGTAAGTGATGCTTAAGCTTCGTAAATCATTGGCACTATTCTATTACTAATGCTAGTAGTTTCATTCAGGTTAACTGGTGGTGATTTGTTCGAGTATGTCATGCACAAAGGCACGCTCCCTGAGCTTGAAGCAAAATTTGTTATTTATCAGATTCTTCAAGCGTTACAAGTAAGTATTCATCTTGTATTTTTAAATATTATCGTCTTTAGCTCCTCCTTGCTAACTTCACATAATGAATAGCATCTGCACAAAATGAATATTTCTCATCGCGGTAAAGACTTTTTTTTCAATATTGTAAGATACAGATTAATTTTCATGCGATAGACCAAAGTTAACATGCTTTTAATGTGAGATAGATCTCAAACCTGAAAATCTGCTTTTGACATCTGCAACAAAGTACTCAAGGGTGCTACTGTCTGACTTCGGAATGGCTCGCGAGCTGGATAACGAAGGCCTGATGAGTACCATGTGTGGGACCTTTGCTTACATGTACGTGGATGATGGCATATAGGCAAATACCATAAGACAAAGTGTTTGCATGTATAATCCCTAACATGATATATTTACCGTATTTTCAAAAGGGCGCCCGAGGTATTCGATGCCAAATACACAAAAGGGCTAGGCTATGGTCATTCTGCCGATTGCTGGAGCCTAGGGATAACACTGTATGTCATTATCTCAGGAACTCACCCATTTACAGCTAACTATGCACTCGATGACGAAAAGACGATGTGTTACAAGATGAAGCACAGGTACAGATGCATTCACATTCAAATAATACTCCTTTACTAGAGGATCTTATCTGTTCTACTGTTTTTTTTGATAGTAATCTTCTGTTCCCAGCACGCCACTGGAAAGATATAGGCCCTGAGGCAAAAACGCTGATAACTCATCTGCTTGATGTTGATCCTCAGAAACGCTGGAGCGTTGATGACGCTCTTCAATCTGAGTGGATTCAAAATGATCTAGCCTGGCTTCAACAAGAGTACCGCGGTAACGTGCTGCCTCACTGGCATAAGTCATTGCAACATTTAAGCATTGTACAGCAGGATGAGGCTTCATCGCGCACTAAGAAGCGTCTACGAACAGAACAAACGTTAGCTGTTAGCAGTTAAGTTCTATTATTTCGTTTTGTTTATTTTGTTATATTTGAGTAAAACATTTATTTTGTAGTTGGAGAGTTCTGACAGCGGCTTTCTGTGTACGGCATTTAGCTCGAACAAGTCCCAGGCAGCCTACTGATCCAACCGTGGCAGCAGTATCCAACATATCATTTGTGACAGGCTCGATGGAGCACGTACCAGACATATCATAGTATGAGACTAGTCATGTGATTTAATGCCCACAGAGACCGTTTGTGAAAGCGGGGAAGAGCCTTTTATGGTAACCGACGTTGCATTATTGATCGTTGCGATTGCAAAATATTGCATGCGTTACATGATGTACACGATGACAAGAAATGAACTTCTTGCAAAATATTCACATAATGTAATTCGAGAATAAATCATCAAACTATGACAACAAATAACCGCTACGAGCAAATGATTATAGTTAAAGATTGGAATAGAAGTTTTAAAACAGTAGACATCAAAGGAATTACTGAGTGCCTCTTACCGAAACATCCTCTGTTTGAATAAGAAGCAGATACAGAGCGTCAATCGTGAGGAATGCACGACTTGATGTTCACATCAGGGTGTGTTTGCAACATCATTTGAAGGGATTATCACATCGAATCTCCGCTTTTGAAACCACAAAAACTTTATAAAAGCCGCCTCTCCTTGGCTCTGGTTATTCTTCCATTTTCCCTGTCCCACCCACTTCTCTTTTTTATTCACTCTCCTTTCACAAACTCGCTCAATAACCTCTAATTCTTCACTATTATGGCTTCATTGCGCGCCGCTTTCCGTCTTCCTGGCCTTACCAAGGTACATAAACATTCATGGTGCTCATGCACTAAACATTTCGGTATCGAAGTGTGTTCTCAAATTGAAAAACTGTTGTTATCGCCGATCATTGTCTATACTTTGTTCGTCTTGAGAGTGATGAACCTGTTCTCATTTATCTGTCTCAATCATTCTACTTACACTATGCCATTCCATCGCAATGAAGGCTATGTTTGGAACTGTAACGATACAATTGACCTCTTTCACTAACTCTTTTTCTCTTTTAGGTTGCTACCCGTCACAATACCCTTGCTGCCTCTGCCATCAAAGCTTACTCTACTAAGTCCCAGGTGCGTTAGTGAAGTACATCAATTTCGACATAGATCTGAACGGGAGAAGCAGGAGATAACGACATTATAGATGACGACATGGGGGCGTGTATAGATAATAATAATTTTAAGAATCGCGGCATATGGGAGCATATTCAAAATATAGTGGGTGATATGGTTAGGAGATCAGGAAACAGAAGGGAGAGACTATACGAGATATAAAAGGATCCTAGGCAATACATACTCATCATGTCTGTCCTATGCGCCAATGGGATACTTTCATATTTATTTCTATGGTCATTAGGGCTTGAAGGATCGCCTTCGTGAGTTGATCCCTGAGAAGCGCGAGGAGGTTAAACAAGTTAAGGCCGAGCTTGGTAACAAAGTTTTGGGTGAGACCACTGTTGACATGGCCTATGGAGGCATGCGCGGGATTAAGGGCCTCATCTGGGAGGGTTCCGTTCTTGATGCTGAGGAAGGTATCCGCTTCCGCGGCAAGACTATTCCAGAGTGCCAACGCGATCTCCCATCTGCTGAAGGTGGTAGTGAACCTCTTCCCGAGTCTCTCTTCTGGCTGTTGGTCACTGGTGAGGTCCCTACTACTGAACAGGTTCGCGACCTTTCTGCCGAGTGGGCTGCTCGTGCCAGTCTTCCTACCTTTGTTGAAGATTTGCTCGACCGATGCCCCAACACTCTGCACCCCATGTCTCAGTTCTCCTTGGCCGTCACAGCCCTCCAGCACGAGTCTCAGTTTGCTAAGGCCTACCAACAGGGCGTCAATAAACAGGAGTATTGGGACAGCACTTTTGAGGATTCGATGGACCTCATTGCCAAGCTCCCTAACATTGCTGGCCGCATCTACCAAAACGTCTTCAGAAACGGTGCCAAAGTCGCTCAGATTGATCTCAATAAGGACTATGCTGCCAATCTGGCCAACCTTCTTGGATATGGTGAAAATAAGGAATTTGTTGAGTTGATGCGCCTCTATCTTACTATCCACTCTGATCATGAGGGAGGCAATGTCTCAGCTCATACTACCCACTTGGTCGGCTCCGCTCTCTCGGATCCTTACCTCTCCTTTGCTGCAGGCCTGAACGGACTAGCAGGTCCACTCCACGGCCTCGCCAACCAGGAAGTCCTCCGTTGGATCACTAAGATGCGCGAAGAACTTGGAGGCAAGGATGTCTCAGATGAGACCATCAAGGAGTATATCTGGAAGACCCTCAAGAGCGGCCAAGTTGTTCCTGGTTACGGCCATGCTGTCCTTCGTAAGACAGACCCTCGCTACACCTGTCAGCGTGAGTTCGCTTTGAAGCATATCCCCAGCGATCCCCTCTTCAAGCTCGTCTCTCAAATCTATACTGTCGCACCAAGCATTCTTCTTGAACATGGCAAGACCAAGAACCCTTGGCCCAATGTGGATGCCCACTCGGGTGTCCTTTTGTCTGCCTATGGCTTGACTGAACAAGATTTCTATACTGTTCTCTTTGGTGTTTCTCGTGGCCTCGGAGTACTGTCTCAGTTGATCTGGGACCGCGCTTTGGGCATGCCTCTGGAGCGCCCCAAGTCATACTCGACGGCTGCTATCAAGGCCATGTTTGCCAAGTAAAAAAAATAAAAATAAAAACAAAAATAAAAATAAAAATAAAAATAAAAATAAAAATAAAAAAAATTATAAAAAATAAAAATAATAAAAAATAAAATAAACAAAATAAAATAAAATAAAGTCTTACTTAGTCCCTTTACTTTTAGTGTCTATTGATTGGCCTTTATCATATACAAAAAAAAACATTAAAAGCTACATTTGTAGACTGCCTTTTTGTAATGGCTTGGGACTTGAAATTCGAAATGTACTCAAATTGACGGTCTATTTTAATTTAGACCCCACAATGAATGAATGGCCTTCATAATGCATAGAGCACAAGATTCAAGTCACAGAGCTATAAATTAAACCATCTCCCGTGGCCCTAGATTGGCTCTTTAGTCTTAGTATTTAACCTAGGACTGTAATGATATTAATCATACATATCAATGGTTGATGATCCGGCATCATTGCTAGGAGGATATCATTGCAGTTCTACAATCCATTCTGTGGATTTGTGGAGCCTGTTAATGATTCCGCTACATGGCAGGAAGCCTCAGATAACTGACATTGAGCCTTTATTCTTTTCTTAAATTACGTTTACCATAACTTGGCTGTGAGTGAGTAGATAATGCAACCAATCTGTGCCAATGCATCATGTGGGCATGTGTGGGAAGAAAGACATAAAATGATATCACCCTATCGCTCAAATTTCCCACATCTTTGTGCTATTCACCTCTTTCAAGAACACAGCAGACACTGACTGACCAACATGAGCTCAACACTTCACAAGTGCACCAATGCCACCTTCACTCCCACCAGGACTACCATTCACTTTTCCATCACAGATAAAGTCGGTGCCCTTGATGAATGCCTTGCTGCTATCAAGGCTATGAATATTTCGCTTACTCGGATTGAATCGTAAAAGAAATATCTTTTTTTTAAAGTTTTTGATACTGCTTCCTTTTAAAGAGGCGTATAACCGTCTCTCTTTCACGCTGTTCCATTTTAGGCGTCCAAGCAGGACATCCGAATGGGACTACGACTTCTTTGTTGATTTTGACGCTACAGGCGCTGAGCAAGTAGCTGAAGTATCAAAGTCGCTCGAAAACCTTGCTAAACAAGTCCATACCGTGGGCACAGGAGGTGGTACTGTCGCCGGGAGCTCTGGTGAGGATCATATCTGCCTTCGATGTTCGATTTCTTTTTTTTTCCTCATTTACATCTTATTAATAACATCTGCCACATAATTGTATTTGATTGAAAAATAACAACAGAACTATCTGAATCGACACCATGGTTCCCTCGCAAGATGGTTGACTTAGATACCTTCGCAGACAAGGTTCTCGAAATGGGAGAAGAACTAGAAGCCGACCATCCTGGTGCAAAGGATGCAGCCTATCGTGCTCGCCGTTCAGAAATTACAAAAATCGCAAAGATTTATAGGACGTACGTTCTCTTTCTCAGCCTATGAGGCTGCTTTTTTTCATCTTTGGTATCATTTTAACACGTTCTACAACTAACTATCAGTTTAATATGAAAGATAGTGGCCAACCTATCCCACACGTCGAGTATACACAGATTGAGATCGATACCTGGTCCACTGTCTTCAACAAGTTAATCACCATGTTCCCAACTCATGCCTGCCGTGAACACCAATACGTGTTTCCTTTGCTAATCCAGAATTGTGGCTATGGGCCTTCCAATATTCCTCAGCTCGACGCAGTCTCCAAGTTTCTAAAGGATTGCACTGGTTTTACGCTGCGGCCAGTGATGGGCTTGCTGACCAGTCGCGATTTCTTAAACGGGCTTGCGTTCAGAGCCTTCCATTCCACTCAATACATTCGTCATTACTCCAAACCTCTCTATACTCCAGAACCCGATGTCTGCCATGAGTTGCTAGGACATGTGCCCCTGTTTGCCAACCCAGACTTTGCAGATTTCTCACAAGAAATAGGATTAGCATCCTTAGGCGCAAGTGACTCTGACATTGAGCAACTAGCCACCATTTACTGGTTCACAGTCGAATTTGGTATTTGTCGTCAGGGAGATCAGCTTCGAGCCTATGGTGCTGGTCTGCTTTCTTCATATGGAGAGCTAGAATATTGTTTGAGTGGTAAACCCGAGATTCGGCCATTTGAGCCTGCCAAGGTTGCAAAGCAAAAGTATCCAATTACAGAGTACCAGCCAGTATATTTTGTTGCGGAGTCGTTCAAAGATGCACAAATGAAGGTTCGGGAATTTGCAAGCTCGCTGAAGCGGCCTTTCTCGGTACGATACAATGCCTATACTGAAAGTATCGAGATCCTGGACTCGAAGGACAGGGTTTTGCGATATGCTCAATCGATCAAATCTGATATGCTGACTCTTGTGGATGCTCTTGAGAAGCTAGCTTAATTATCTTCTCTGCCTCTCTTTTTACGATACTTCACAAAAATAAACATATATTTTCTATAATTTAATCTATTCACTGTATGATTATTATTTTAACTAATACGGCCACTACAAAACAAGATGAAAGACAATGTGGCTGCCCTGGCTGATAGAAAACGCCAATTTAGAAATAATCAACATGATTCGCAATTATTTTTTTTATTCCTTGAACAACATTAAGCAAGTTCATCAGCGCAAAGCCCCTTCTGACATGTCTCTGCCAAGACGAAGTGGTAGCTCTGTCGCTCACTTTGCGGCTGATTTTATGGACCTTGGGTTGGTGTATCACTGTAGGCCAAAAGGAAATAACCTCTAGTAATTCCTTTGTCCAGCTGGCCAAGCAAGCCCTCTTTGAAATCTGTAGGATCATGCTCCCTACAGACATGGTAAAGGCTCTGTGTGATGGCAATGCAGACGCCAATCAATTTAATGAAGAGATCCCAGTGTTTTGTACTGCATGGGAGGTCGATCCTGGAGACAACCGATCTTACTGGGAGCCTCAAGGCTCTTTTGGGAATTGATGCAAACCACTTTGATATAGTCAAGGAGCCTTCGGTGAAAGTGAGCGGAAATACTCTGCTGTGGTGTCTCAAGAATTATCAAATATTTGACTACATATACAACCGCACATTTATCCAAGTGTCGATCTTGAAGTTCGTGGACCATGACGACGACAAGTATGGGAAAATCTCTAAAGCTTCTGGGCCCATTAACCCTTGCAAGGCTGAGGATGTGCTGAGTAATGATGAAGCTTCATATGGCTCAGGTAAAAGGGAAAGAGAAGGAAGAAGGCAGTATCAAAGAATCCAATGGAAGAAAGAAATCAAATCGTAATATATCCGGATTTCGGTGTATGGAGGGAAACATAACACTAAGGCTAATGATCTCCAGTCTTTTGAAGTGACCGAGGGTGGAGCGATATTCCCCAACTTTGGGCTCGTCTACAGAAGAGGTCAAAGAATATCCATATATTTTGCATATAAATAAGACGGAGCTATAAAAGAAACACATTTGAGAGCTGTTTGTAAGGTACAATAAGTGACATGGTGGATCATATCCACACGAAATTGTCAATGAACATGACATTTAAAGTGTCGGATAGTAATCATTGACCATTAAATCTTGCCCAAATAGCTAGGATTTTACTCGATTCTATTGCATAGTATTCTCAGCGAACTCGGTTTTAATAGGCGCGTTCTAAAAGAGACCGAAAGCATGCTGATTTTATTTATTTAATTGCCTCAGGTGTATAATAGAGTGGCAATACACATCAACGTCTCTACAGACGTATATAATATCTAGCTGCGTATTTTTGTCTCCAAGACATGAATACGTTATAAATATGTAGGTATACCTTCACAATCAGCTGTCGTAAGAATAAGAAATTATTTATTTTTACGGGGGCGCCGGTGCATAAAAGGCGTGTACGAGCCGTGCAATTGGCTTTTGTCTTTGTAGAAATACTTTTCTCTTTTTAATAACAAGGTCCCTCAGGTAGGGCCATGGGATTTATTTCTTCATTTTATGAACAAAATGCTCCAGATTCGTAAAAGGATGATGGTATTTGCACGGGGACGTTTTTTTATGAACACGTTGATATCCTTAGTGCTATAGGTAAAGTCACTCATCTCAAACACAATTAGACTCGCTCCGTTTGGAGCCGCTAGCAGGCGCTGAGGCGCAAATTATTCAAGTGAGTTTTACGCTTTTTGATGAATTCTAATACTTGTAGTTAGGTGATGAGTGCGACAAGGAGTAGTATGTGATCAATCTAGACAACCATTTCAAATTTAGTTTTGCAAAACCTGATAAAAAACAATGGAGCGCAATATAGACATACTTAAAGCGCTGTTGAAATCAGTCGTAATAAATATGCGCCAGTATCATGGCGAGAAAAAAGGAAAGTCGGCTAAATTGCGAAAAAATATAATTACCGGATATTTTAAACTCATTTTCTCAAGAAGCACTGCATAAAGTATTGAAAATGAGGTCCATATCGTAGCAATAGCCTAGGCAAGCGATCATTACTTTGATTAAGTTCTGCTTCTCAAGGTTCTGGCGTAATAACTTATACAGCCATCAAAAATGGCATGATTTTGGTTTTTCTATGCTTATAATAATTTATACAGGTATTGCTCCATGGATCCTAAATAAATTCTTCCAAGAATTATTTTAAATCGAAGATAACAGATTCCACCTGTCGCTCACTCTAACAGGAGCCATTCATGCATGCTTAAAGTCAACTTTGTCACAATTTTTGGTGTAGTCTCAATTAACACTGAACGGACTGTTTTATCTAACGTCCTCTTCTGTACATTGAGTATAGCAGCATGTAGTAAGCACTTGGTGCTCAAAGGAAGAGCAACGGTTTACAACGCGTCGTCTATTGATATCCTTACTGAGGATAATCCTGTGTTGGATGTCAACAAGTTCAACAGGAGCTCCTGTGCTTCTCATCAATACAGGATTGTCCCAGTAAACGAGATATGAGAGTTTTTACAGATAAAACAAGAAATAGAGGCCAAATAACGCTAGGCAGGTTGCCAAGCAAATCATGGCGATGCACCTTGACATGCCAATTAGATTAAGGATGAAGTTATTTGTACGCCCGCCGTGCACACCTTGTTTACACGGGGGTCTTTCTTTTATTTGCACAGGGTCTTTATTTCATCTACAAGCGGCAGCGTGATCCTACTGACTACATGATTCTAGCTTTTTATTTTATAAGGAAATAAGCGAAGGTGAGTCTAGAGTAGGAAGGAGTCTGGAATTATTACTGTTGGAAGTTGCAGCGCCGCGGGAGCCACGATACTCATCACACTCTGTTGCATATTTCACAGTATGCAATATTATGATGGCCTAGTTAGAAAAGAATTAGGAAAATACTAATGCGCTAAAAAGATTAGCAGTAGAAATTAGTGGCAATAACGCGCCATACATAGACGCGATAAATCTTTGATATGAAGTCTTTAGAACGAACCTATGTCACCTTATAGATAGATACGTAGTTACCTGATACAGGTCCTCTACCAGAAAATGAATAAATACCCCATGGGTGTTGTGTGTGAACCCATATCTTATCCTCACTTACTTTTCTACTGCTTACTATCTATCTACAGTCACCCGAGAGAAAGTTTGGTCAAAGTAGGTTATTTTTACTATTTTTTATTTTGAATCTCTGACAAACAGCTCATATGCGACATACAAAAATACTTCACCAACCAAGATGGAACTTTACACTTTTGTTAATGAGGCCAATGTGGGTAATCACTGAGGCCTTTGAGTAGTACATGCTGACGGAAAACTGCAAGAAATAGGATGGAAGACAGTACTTCTCCTCATAACCATTTCAAAATTTTATTTTTTTGACCAAACTTTCTTTCAGGTGATTGTACAATATGAAGCCAGTCCTTAGACGCAGTGAGCATCTACATGTACTGCTGAGTATGCGAGACTGCGTGCTAAAGACGACCCAAGGCAAGTTCTGGCTATTTTATTGGTGAAAATCAACCCTGATTGAGCATGATAATAAACTTGGAATGTAATGAGGCAAAAATATGGATCTTTATCAACATAATAGAAAAGAGTATTTATGTCTCTTTTCTATCATTATTAGTCACGGTTATGCTATTAAAGTATTTAGCTATTTAGCTATAGTGATATAGGTAATTGTGGCACGATCGGTTTTGAGTACGAACTGCCACCAACTATCAAAAGATAAGTAATCTCTCGGGTTACAAACGGGTGAGAGGATGTTCCAGAGTCACATAAAGAATATCAACATCTACTCTGAGCTACGTACGACCTTGATAAGATAAATATTCTGGTCAGTATTTGATGCTTGGGTATCGACTCTGGATCTAAGCTTGTGTCGTGGAAGGCTTCCTGGTAGTGGTATTTAAGTCTGAAATAAAGACCCCGTACAAATAAAAAAAAACTGGAACAGTGTAAATATCTCTATCCAAAATCACCTTACTAAAAGGAAATTCCCAGTCCGGGGATCGAACCCGGGCCTTGTCGGTGAGAGCGACAAATCCTGACCACTGGACCAACTAGGAATTAGTTGATATTTTGTCGTAGAGCATCTACTAGTGATCTCTGGAAACTAGTAGGTAATGATGAAAAATGAAGAATTGGGCAAGAGCCTCGTGGTTTTGGGATACGATAGTGATCCTAAGTAATGCTTTGAATGATTTTGAGGATGCTGCAAAAGGGCATCGATAATAAGAAGAGAGATCTTTAATAACTGCTAATTTTCTGAGAATTCATAATGAGAATAATGAAGATAAACTCACCTGCAAAAGGGCATCGATAATAAGAAGAGAGATGCCGTTTTTGCAGTGAAGGAAAAAGCTACTTAAATACTATTTAAAAATGGTAGAAAATAGGATGATAGGAAATAAATAAATTGAAAGGAAATACATATTTAGGTAAATGAATAGGCGTCATTTACGACAATTTGTGAAAAAATCACTGTCTTAAGAACCGGGGGTTATACTTGGAGCCACATCGTCGTGGGTCCTTGTTATCAAAAAAAAATACTTGGAGCCACGTCGTGTCAAAAAGTATCGCCACAACTTTATATCGAATGTTTGTGAAGAAATGAAGAATCGTAACATTACTTTCGACCTATCGATCGCAGCCGAATTTGGTCTCCCACACAACGCTCTCTCGACATGGAAATGGCTAAACGGAGAATTACCACACGTATGGAAGGCGCTCACCAAGCGTATGGTATACTTTGTGGATCAAATACTTACGGATGATAAGGAGGACATGATCTCATGGCACGCATTCAGGGCCCGTTACGGAGGGCCTAAAGTTTCGCCATTCTGGTTCAACCAACTTCAAAACTTTTGCTTCGACAACGATTATGTGGGTAGGCATGCAAGAGAATGGAACAGGAGGAAACTGGCACTCTTAGACGTCAGTGATGATGACAGCAACAGCGACAGTAGTTATGTCAGCTCGGTAGACGGGGATACAGAAGACGAAGATCGAGAAGCGATTCGTGCACTCAACCAATTCATAAAGGATGAGGCAGCGAACAGAACTTTGACAGTATCACCGGCTAATCAAGCTGTTGAGCCACCAATTGGAATTAAGTGGATTCTAGATCAACAGAAGGAGCGGAAAAAGAGACGAGAAGCTGTTATGAAAGAGGCGCGCAGAGCAACCAGAGAACATAATCTTAGGCGACAAAGAGCAAAGTTAGATGCCATAGTCAGAAGAGCAGAACGCCACCAGGACCGAGAGCGAAGGCATGGTGAACGCATGCGAGCCCGCGAAGAAGCGAGGATACGCCGGACCCAGAACACAAGGAGATATGAGGGTCTGAGCGAGCAAGCTCTGCTAAGGAGAGCAAAAGTCGACCTGGATTCCAACGAGACACCGTGCCTAAAAGTGATCCCTGAAGTCAACAGAGGCCTAGCCAGGGACACAAATGGAGTTATCATTAGTGCCAATACCGAGGAGAAAATCCAACGCCAAAGGGAACGGTACAATACCCAGCCGGGTAATGTCATTTATACGGATGGATCTCTCAAAGATATTGGCACTGAAAGAGTAAGTATGGCATTTGGTGTGGTAGTCCAGACACAAGAGGGTGAGTTTTACACTGCGCTATCTGGTAGAGTAGCAGGCAACGCATCCTCGACAAAGGCAGAGCTAGCTGGTTTGTTGGCAGGAATACTTATCAGCCCACGAAACAGACCTATGACAATCCGACTTGATAACAGCGCAGTTGTGACTCAATTCCGAGCATTGGTCCGAGGCAGAGTGGATAGCACGTTGCGACAACGTATTAGATCACCGTATGCAGTATGGTGGGCAGCTATACACAACGCATTTATTCAACAAGGATCGGAAGTCACGGTCGAGTGGGTCAAAGGACATGTCGGCAACAGAGGGAACGAAGAAGCGGACGAAGCAGCAAAACATGGACATTATGGCGAGCTATGGGATATCAACATAACGGAGCATAATGACATGTACTGCCATGCAAAGTTCAACGGTGTACCAGCGGAAGATGACTTAAGGCAGATCCTTAAGTTACAGTCAACAACTCGTACACATCGCACGTGGATCGCTCAGAACAGGACGCAGGAGCATGTTAAGGATTGGACAAAAATTGATTGGCGAGCTACTATGAACATTGTTCATGATAGCAACCTACCGAAAGGACTCTTCACCAGCCCAGCGGACTGCCAAAAGCGAGCGCACAGGATCAAGAAACTCCATGGAATGTTGCCTACACAGTCATATATGAGACACTGGAGGCCAGACCTTTATGAAGACGGCAACTGCAGAGTGTGTGGGACAGAGGATGAAGACACATCGCACATCTGGAGATGTCCAAGGACGATGGAGACTCAGGCCGAGAAGTGGAAGGAGATAATCCAAAATGTGAATGTGATAGGGGAGAGGACATGGAGGAAAGAGTTGAAAGCAGTGCAGGAGCAAGCACAAAGGGCCAGAGAGAGAGGTGTAGACCCACCAAGGACAAAAGAGCCAACTTTTACTGCGGCAGAGGAGGACTACATTTGGGAAACTCTGGAGATGCATATCGATGGTGTGCGAGAAGTACGACGCCATGGTGATAGGAACGGCGATGATGAGGAAGAGAGAGAGCACACACCAGATTGGTCTGTGCAGGTCATTTACCATGGACTTACGCCCAAGTCCATTGCTCAGAGTTGGAAAGTTGGCTTCAAGACAACAACAAGGATAGCTACATATATGGCAGGGCGCTTCGTCAAG